TTTTCATAAAATTTTGCTAAAATATGATTTTCTTTTTAATGATATATCTGTCCCTAAATCCAGTTGGAATGTGTTCGAGGGTCCCTGAGGAGTCTTTCCAGGAAGTTTGGAGCATTTTCATTTTTTGACCAAAATTGCAAGGGGTTAGCCTTACATTTTTCATAAAATTGGGCTCAAATATGATTTTCCTTTTAATGATATATCTGTCCCTAAATCGAGTCGGAATGTGTTTGAGGGTCCCTTAGGAGTCTTTCCAGGAAGTTTGGAGCAATTTCATTTTTTGACAAAAATTGCAAGGGGTTAGCCTTACATTTTTCATAAAATTTGGCTAAAATATGATTTTCTTTTTAATGATATATCTGTCCCTTAAATGAGTCGGAATGTGTTCGAGGGTCCCTGAGGAGTCTTTCCAGGAAGTTTGGAGCAATTTCATTTTTTGACCAAAATTGACAAAAATTGCAAGGGGTTAGCCTTACATTTTTCATAAAATTTGGCTAAAATATGATTTTCTTTTTAATGATATATCTGTCCCTAAATCGAGTCGGAATGTGTTCGAGGGTCCCTGAGGAGTCTTTCCAGGAAGTTTGGAGCATTTTCATTTTTTGACCAAAATTGACACAAATTGCAAGGGGTTAGCCTTACATTTTTCATAAAATTTGGCTAAAATATGATTTTCTTTTTAATGATATATCTGTCCCTAACTCGAGTCGGAATGTGTTCGAGGGTCCCTTAGGAGTCTTTCCAGGAAGTTTGGAGCAATTTCATTTTTTGACCAAAATTGACAAAAATTGCAAGGGGTTAGCCTTACATTTTTCATAAAATTTGGCTAAAATATGATTTTCTTTTTAATGATATATCTGTCCCTAGATCGAGTCGGATTGTGTTCGAGGGTCCCTTAGGAGTCTTTCCTGGAAGTTTGGAGCAATTTAATTTTTTGACCAAAATTGACAAAAATTGCAAGGGGTTAGCCTTACATTTTTCATAAAATTTGGCTCAAATATGATTTTCTTTTTAATGATATATCTGTCCCTAAATCGAGTCGGAATGTGTTCAAGGGTCCCTGAGGAGTCTTTCCAGGAAGTTTGGAGCATTTTCATTTTTTGACCAAAATTGACAAAAATTGCAAGGGGTTAGCCTTACATTTTTCATAAAATTTGGCTAAAATATGATTTTCTTTTTAATGATATATCTGTCCCTAACTCGAGTCGGAATGTGTTCGAGGGTCCCTTAGGAGTCTTTCCAGGAAGTTTGGAGCAATTTCATTTTTTGACCAAAATTGACAAAAATTGCAAGGGGTTAGCCTTACATTTTTCATAAAATTTGGCTAAAATATGATTTTCTTTTTAATGATATATCTGTCCCTAGATCGAGTCGGATTGTGTTCGAGGGTCCCTTAGGAGTCTTTCCTGGAAGTTTGGAGCAATTTCATTTTTTGACCAAAATTGACAAAAATTGCAAGGGGTTAGCCTTACATTTTTCATAAAATTTGGCTCAAATATGATTTTCTTTTTAATGATATATCTGTCCCTAAATCGAGTCGGAATGTGTTCAAGGGCCCCTGAGGAGTCTTTCCAGGAAGTTTGGAGCATTTTCATTATTTGACCAAAATTGACAAAAATTGCAAGGGGTTAGCTTTACATTTTTCATAAAATTTTGCTAAAATATGATTTTCTTTTTAATGATATATCTGTCCCTAACTCGAGTCGGAATGTGTTCGAGGGTCCCTTAGGAGTATTTCCAGGAAGTTTGGAGCATTTTCATTTTTTGACCGAAATTTACAAAAATTGCAAGGGGTTAGCCTTACATTTTTCATAAAATTTGGCTAAAATATGATTTTCTTTTTAATGATATATCTGTCCCTAAATTGAGTCGGAATGTGTTCGAGGGTCCCTTAGGAGTCTTTCTAGGAAGTTTGGAGCAATTTCATTTTTTGACCAAAATTGACAAAAATTGCAAGGGGTTAGCCTTGCATTTTTCATAAAATTTGGCTAAAATGTGATTTTCTTTTTAATGATATATCTGTCCCTAAATCGAGTCGGAATGTGTTCGAGGGTCCCTTAGGAGTCTTTCCAGGAAGTTTGGAGCAATTTCATTTTTTGACCAAAATTGACAAAAATTGCAAGGGGTTAGCCTTACATTGTTCATAAAATTTGGCTAAAATATGATTTTCTTTTTAATGATATATCTGTCCCTAAATCGAATCGGAATGTGTTCGAGGGTCCCTTAGGAGTCTTTCCAGGAAGTTTGGAGCATTTTCATTTTTTGACCAAAATTGACAAAAATTGCAAGGGGTTAGCCTTACATTTTTCATAAAATTTGGCCAAAATATGATTTTCTTTTTAATGATATATCTGTCCCTAACTCGAGTCGGAATGTGTTCGAGGGTCCCTTAGGAGTCTTTCCAGGAAGTTTGGAGCAATTTCATTTTTTGACTGAAATTGACAAAAATTGCAAGGGGTTAGCCTTACATTTTTCATAAAATTTGGCTAAAATATGAACTTCTTTTTAATGATATATCTGTCCCTAAATTGAGTCGGAATGTGTTCGAGGGTCCCTTAGGAGTCTTTCTAGGAAGTTGGGAGCAATTTCATTTTTTGACCAAAATTGACAAAAATTGCAACATTTGGCCAAAATATGAATTTCTTTGTATTGATCGAGTTGAAATATTTCCGAGGGTCCTTTGGGAGTCTTTCTAGAAAGTTTGGAGCAATTTTATATTTTGACCAAAATACGAAATTGGCTAAATTTGCTTAAAAAGATGCTGAAGGGACCCTGAAACATTTGCCAATCAGATTTATGGACAGATATGGTTGATAAGAGCAAAAACAATTGTCGAATAATCATTTTAAAATCACTAAAAAAGTGCTGTTATTCTCAACAAAAAAATCTGGATGAATTTTGCTCAATTCTTCAAAATATTGGGTGTTTGAAATGTTTATTGATGCTCCTATCACAAAATATTGGGGGGGGGGGGTATGTAGAACACGTACACAACTGACATTTGTTGATGGTGTAAATCGAGGACACACAAGTACAAAATCATTGGTGAACCAAGGACAGAAACTGACTTGAGGACTCCTTGGTTGAAAAACGTGTACAAAACCAATGAGAGCTGCGAAAATGTACAAACAAAAGAAAAGGTAAGAGGACAAAAGAAAATCCTTGATTTACACCACAAACAAACATGCTAGCCTTTGTGTGTGTATTGAATAAAACTTGTAAAGGTGACATTTTTTTTGGGGGGGAGAAATATTGGTTTTGTTGTGAAAAACAAGGACAGTACTTCTTAAAGAAATTTTTCTGTGCCCTCCTCTTCAAACAAAGTTAATTCTATCAAATAATGATCTGAAACTAAGATCATTTAAAAACAAAATGACATTTCTTCAGTCATTTATTGCCTTCAATACACATTGCAAAAAACTGAACATCCCTGACAGTTTATGATCACCACTCAACCAAAAAAGAATGTCCCCCCTTAATACTTTTTTGTCTCACTCAAAAACTACTGGGCACATCTTGCTCAAATTACAACTGATCAGTACAGAAATTCCTTAGCAATCCAGCCATACTCTTTGTTTGGCCCAAAACAGTGATAATGTGTACAAAATTATGCAATTTATGACAAATGGTACCGAAAAAAAGTTGCACTTTTGTATACGTGCAAGGTGAGTGTGAACCACAACTTGCACGTATACAAAAGTGACTGCAACTGTTTTCGGTATCATTTGTCATAAATTGCATAAATTCGTACACATTATCACTGTTTTGGGCCAAATAAAGAGTATGGCTGGATTGCTAAGGAATTTCTGTACTGATTAGTCGTTATTTGAGCGAGAGGTGCTCAGCAGTTTTTGAGTTAGACAAAAAAGTATTGGAAGGGGTGGGGGCTTTCTTTTTTGGTTGAGTGTACATACGATTTAAGTTATTATATGTACTTGGTTTTAAAAAAAGTGTGACACAAATTCAGAGAGTACTTACATGTACAACCACAGGAAATCTAACGTGAAATGCACTGGACTTTTGCACTTAGGAGTAAAAGTGAGGTATTTAACTTTTACAAGGTTTCATTTTTCAAAGATGCGTTTCCAGTGCTTTTTTCAAATTTCACATCGAAAAACAGATTTATTTTTTTCAATTGGTATTTTCCTAACAATATAAAAGTTATTCATTTTTGGATGAGACATTGAACCAAAAGATCCACCGACGTTTACTTATTTGAACCATTTCTGCACAAAATTTGAATTATTGGTTGCTAGACAATAATTTGGCTCTCACAGGGTGGGTTCATTTGTGCGCAAAATCGGAAGATGCAGAAATCGGAATAAAGTAGATTTTTGTTAACGCAATATTTTGTTGAAATTTTGTTAAGAGCACAGGGCGTGCAAGTTCACTCTTGATATTTGGGAATAGCAAAATTGTAATAAGGAAAACTCCAGGAATTGTTTTCTTTGTTATGTTAAAAAGGAAGTGTTATACTTAAAAGATCTACCCTGAAAAGTTTGTGAAAGACAATCTTGGTTTTTTTGTGAAACTACTACATGTAAACTTGGTGAATGTTGGACAGATTGAAAGATTTCAGACGGAGATTAAAAGGGAAAATACAACGTTTGCAAACATTCAAAAAAATAAAACTACCAAATTATTATGAAATACCTTGCACTGGACTGTTAGTGAATGACAGTCTATAGCACCCTGTAAAATCCTGTACTGTCACTTTCAAGAAACTTGTGGTATTTTTGTATCAATTTCCAACGCTGGTTGGCTGACCAGCGTTGGAAAAAACTGGCTTTTTTTTCAAATACTGGCCCAAATTGACCACATTTAGTTAGTCTGCATTTGTTTGCAATCGATGACACACCTATGAAAGGGTACAAGCCAGGTAGACTGGTTCCCTGACCTTACAATTCCCCAATCTCTATAAATTGCTCCGTTTCATCTTAAATGGAGTCATGATTGTTTTTCTTTGTTTTTATAGCATCTACGAACTCAAAACATGAAAAAATCAGTGTAACAATATTTGCTATATCTTACTAACCCCCCAATCCATCCATTTCTGAAAATTACAGCAAAAGCAAATGATGTTTATTCCCTTAAAGGAACTATACCTTCGTTGTTTTGCACCACAAAAATTCCAAATTCCTTTAACTGTTTAAAGCCTCCACAAATACCCTGCTTTAAAATGGCTAATTTGTCATTCCTTCCAGGAAATGCCCAATGTCTCAGCGATGAATGCATAGATATCTGAATACTCCTCAATCTGAAAATGTAGAAGAAAAAAAAACAAGAATTAAGGTGAATAAAAAAAAAAAACAATTGCTGTAGCAACATCAGTTTTTGAAAGCACAAAATTGAAAAGCTGACAAAATTTGAATGATGTTGTTCCACCATTTCACTGCAAGGTGCATGACGCACATGCGTACGTGGTTGCTCTTATTTGTCAGTTTAGTGCCCGACATCGCGTAGCTGCAATCAGCTGAATGAGAATGTATCCCAAACACTGATTATGGGAACAATTTAAAACATGACACTGCGACTTTTGAATTGAAACCGAGATCGGAAAGAATGTTGCAACCCGACGCTGTTTTTTCTTCATGTATCATCTCATTGAAGGTCAGTCATTGCAAAAATGACGATAAGACATGAATCTGTGACTGAGAAATATTTGCAGTTTTGTTAGGAAATACTTAGAAAATTTTCTTGACTCTCCATGGACTTTGTACACAGCTGCCGAAGTAGCGTCAAGTTGCAACATTCTTTCCCCCGAGATCTTCAAATATTGTTTTTTTTCAGAACGTACAGCATTCACAGTGCTAAATCTTCATCCGGTTAGCTGTTACATAGCAGTTTTGTTACTTCAAACGGAAAAATGCACGAATGACAAATGATTTACCCTACCTTTAAAACATGTAGGAATTATCAAATTATTTACCACTTTGGCCGTGGGCTTGCCCGCCCCATGGCCTGACTTGGTATCCACGCGTACAAAGAGCGGATTGGTCTGTTGTGGAACACTGCCCAGGGCGTGCTGTAGTGTAGCAATGAATTTGAGGGAGTGTAAGGGAACCACCCTGTCGTCATGGTCCCCCGTCAGTAGCATGGTGCTTGGATACTGGACGCTAGGATCTGCTGAAGGTTTGATGTTGTGAAGGGGGGAGTACCTATGTACAACCGGAAAACTCAAGTGTCAAAGAACCACAAGTTTCAAGACACATGTGCAACAAAAGCTTCTATTCCAGTCATGATGCGCACTCTTTTGGTATCTATTGTTTTGGAGAAGACTGTAGATACAACATGTGAGCAACATGTGAACAACATGTGAGCAACACGTGAGCAACATGTGAACAACATGTGAGCAACATGTGAGGGCAGATGAGCAACATGTGAGCATTATGTGAGCAACAGGTGAGCAACATGTGAGCAACAGGTAGCAACATGTGAACAACATGTGAGCAACATGTGAACAACAGGTGAGCAACATGTGAACAACACGTGAGCAACATGTGAGCAACACGCGAACAACATGTGAGCAACATGTGAACAACATGTGAGCAACATGTGAGCAACATGCGAGCAACACGCGAGCAACATGTGAGCAGCATGTGAGCAGCATGTGAGCAGCATGTGAACAATGTGTAAGCAACATGTGAGCAACATGTGAGCAACATGTGAACAACATATGAACAGTATGTGAGCAACATGTGAACAACATATGAACAGTATGTGAGCAACATGTGAGCAGCATGTGAGCAGCATGTGAGCAACATGTGATCATGTCACATCACATGATGTATCCACATATTTCCCTCAAGCTGTACTCTCCAGCACGCAAAGCTTCAAATGGCTTTCTTTTGATATTTTAAAACTTTTCCTTTTACAAATCTTACTAGAAAGTGAGCAGAGTTTGGAAAAAAATCTGAAAATGAAAAATGGAAGTTTCAAAATACAATGTACAATGTAGTTTTAAACTCCTCAATCAGAGCCTATGTGTACATATGAAATGACTTTAAATTCAAACCTGATGACAGAAATAATTTGTTACAAAAATCACAATTTTGACAACACAATAAAACCATGTTAGTGTGATGCTAGATATCTCATATGGGGAATGTTACCATTGCAAAATTTAATCAAAGTAACCAAAAAAAAAAAAAAAAAAAAGATGGAAGTGGCTTACTTGATCAACCAGTCGAATTCGTCTTGCTTGTCAGCACAGCCGTAGTCTGTTGTCCAGGCGTGACCGATGGTAAACTTGTGGAACTTCAACATGTCCATAACACTGAAAATGAGGGGGGAAAATGTAGGGGGAAAACATAACTAGGGTTATGATAGAAATTACTGGAGGCTTTATTTCATGTCTAACCAACCAAAAAAATTCACAAATGACAAATGATATACTCTACCTTTAAAGACCAAAAGCTTCAACATTTTGGAAAGTTTGAAAATCCAACCGCCAATAGAAATTTCTCAACTTTTTGACACACTTACCCGACTTGATTGATGACGCATCCAAATAGATCCGGTCGCTGATTGGCACAGGCTCCAACTAACAAGCCACCGTTAGACCCGCCATTTATTGCAATTCTACAAAATAAATAACAAGGCCAGAGTTAAGCAAATCTACATTTCAATGAAAAGAATTTTTTAATCAGTTACTTTAGAATACAAAGTGCTTAACATAAAACGCTGATGGCGGGTAATTTACTCATTGTTTATGACAACAATTTTTGGGGTCAATAAAGACAATTTAAGGTTCCAACAATGGTATATTCCAACAATGGTATATTCCAACAATGGTATATTCCAACAATGGTATGTTCCAACAATGGTATGTTCCAACAATGGAATGTTCCAACAATGGTATGCTCCAACAATGCTGTTCCAAAAATGGAATATTCCAACAATGGTATGTTCCAACAATGGTATGTTCCAACAATGGTATGTTCGAACAATGCTTGTTCCAACATTGGAATATTCTAACAATGTATCTTCCAACAAAGGAATGTTCCAACAATGATATGTTCCAACAATTGTATGCTCCAACAATGATTTGTTCCAACAATGCAATGTTCCAACAATGGTATCTTCCAACAATGGTATGTTCCAACAATGGTATGTTCCAACAATGTTTGTTCCAACAATGCAATGTTCCAACAATGGTATCTTCCAACAATGGTATGTTCCAACAATGGTATGTTCCAACAATGTTTGTTCCAACAATGGAATATTCCAACAATGGTATCTTCCAACAAAGAAATGTTCCAAAAATGATATGTTCCAACAATTGTATGTTCCAACAATGGTATCTTCCAACAATGGTATATTCCAACAATGGTACGTCCCAACAATGGTACGTTCCAACAATGGAATGTTCCAAAAATGGTATGCTCCAGTGATGCTTTGTTCCAACATGGTATGTTCACCAAGTTTGTAAAAAAATATCAGTTTCTCGTCTGTTGTTCAAACAGTACTCCCTTTTTTAAAAGTTTTCCCGTGGCACAAACAGATTCTTATGATTTTCATTGCATCATGGGATAGCATCCTTTACCTTTTAGCGTTGGTGTACTTGTTTTGGATGAGGTATTCCGCTGCACATTGGAAATCATCAAAGACGTTTTGTTTGTTACCCAGCATGCCTGCTTTGTGCCAAGTCTCTCCGTATTCCCTAAACAAAAAAAATAACGAGAGGTTGGATTACTAGCGAGTGAAAAGCAAACACAAAGTATCCCTCACCAAAACCCTGTACAGAGTTTGTTAGTATGGAATCTGTGTCGCCACTTATATGAGAGTTCTAGCGTTTAGGACAAATTACAGGCTGTTTCAAAAAGGCAACAATACAGGGTGAGTCAAAAAGAAGTTGACCGGGATTGGTGATGATTTTCTAAACAAACAAATGACACTCAAAACCCCAGTGAAGCACATATTAAACAAGCACTCTTTTTAGCTTAATCTGAAAAAAAGAATGAAACAAATTGATCATTCCTAAGAGAAGTTATGCCTGTTTTACTGAAAGCACTCATGTTTGTAGCTGTCCATGGAATGTTAATGTACACAGCTAAAATGCTTACTTTACATTTGTTTGTTCAAGTATTCCGTGGACAGCTTGCAAAATGAGTACCTTTATTAAAAATAGACATAACTCCTCTTAGGAATGATCAATTTGTTTCATTCTTTTTTTCTAATAAGCAGGAGAGAGTGCTTGTTAAATATATGCTTTACTGAACTTTTGAGTGTCATTTGTTTGTTTTGAAAAACATCACCTATCCCGGTCAACTTCATTTTGACTCACCCCGTATAACGCAAAAAGTAAAGTGTTTTAATTTTTTTTCACAAAAAAAATTATACAAAAACCAAGATTCAGACTGCACGGTGCTGTAATTTTTTTTCGAATTCAATGAATGCATGAGTTGCCCTGGCAACCATTTTTCATCGTTGATTGCTCACCCGCCTCCTCGTATATTAGGGATGGCCAAGATTCCTCCTAGATGCCTGATGAAGACGAGTCTGGAGACACTGAAGCTGGGCATGATGGAGATATTGAAACCCCCATAGCCATAGAGTAATACGGGATGGTCACCAGACATCTCTATACCCTGCAAATAATCATGACATATTATTACTAATAATCGTGACATATTGCTCTCAACTATTGAGGGTACTATTGAGGGCAATATGTTAATAGTGAACACACTAAACTGTCTTTGAATCAACACCTCTTGCCATTTTGAATTTTTTTGTCCAAAGCTTTGAAATCCTAAGGCAACTCTCAAAATTCTGTCACTGGTAGTCATTGCTTTAAACGGTCAGTAATAATGTCTTCAATAGCCAGTAGTATGCCATAACGTCGACCAAAAATAAGTACGTAAGTTCTGCTAAAATTTGTTGGGAACATTTCTTGAAATGTCAAAACTGAAATTTGTGAAAAGTGAAATGTTGCACAACTTACGCAATAAATTGTGACGTAAGAAGAGTTACGCTATTTCCTTAAGTTTTAAAAAAGAAAAACAGCTGCCGATAGCTAAGCGCATGCATACACGTACATGATGCAAAACAATGGAATGGATGATACAGGTTACGAAAAGCATTTGAAAATATAATTTTGTCTTCTGACTAGCGCCCCTTAAACAAACACATTGACAAATGGGGAACCCCCAACATAGGGCTTGATAGCTCAGTTGGTAGAGCACCGGAACGGCAATCTGGAGGTTGCAGGTTCAAACCCTGCTCCAGTCAATGTTTTTGTTCAAATTTAAATCAGTGGATCTGAGGAAAAGTTGCATGCCTGAATGTCTTCTGAATAGCACCCATTGAACAAGACTCAACAAAATGGGGAACAGCCAACGTAAGCCGGATAGCTCAGTTGGTAGAGCACTGGAACGACAATCCGGAGGTCGCAGGTTCAAACCCCTACACCTACCTTCCTATGCACAATGAACATCGGTATCTTGGTGCCATCTTTGCTGTCATAGAAGACCTGTGTGGTCTCATACAGACTGGCGTCGAACCCTTTCACTTCGATCTCCCGGAATGTCTTGGGTTCGATTGCCCCCTGATCCAACTCACATCGGTAGATGACGCCAGGTGTCAGGAAAGATGTAAACTGGTAGAAGATCTGATAAAGTATATGGGGAAAAAAGAACAAATTATGAACCAAAAAAGGATGAGAAATATTAAGAAAGACAAACTGCTGCAACTGTTTTTCTGGAAAGAATGTAGCATAATGACGCCACTTCAGCGGCTGTGTACAAAGTCTAAGGAGAGTCAAGAAATTTTCCTAACAAACTTGGAAATGTTTCTCATTCCCAGATTCATGTCTTTTCAACATTTTTGCAGTGACTGAGCTTTATTGAGATGATACATGAGGAAAAAGGGGCGTCGGGTTGCAACATTCTTTCCGTTTTTCTGACTAGATTGACCTGAAAAAAAAAAATGTCTTTTCTACCTGAGTGTCCTTCTTGCGTCCCGAGTATCCTGTGACAGTACCAACGTCTAGAGGGAACGTCGTCAGTCTTTCACCGGCGCCCAACGAATAAAGATGAAGTACATTCTAGTAAAAGTAATGAAACCACTTTGTGAATTAGGTCATGATTGGTTACAATATCAACGCTCCGTGCAACAAGGTCGTATCTCGACATCCACTGACTTTACGTGTACATCCGGGTTATTTTAAGCGAGATACGACCTTTTGACATTCTTAAACTCGCGTTTTGCGTTCATAACCTTCATTCTGCAACAAAGTCGTGTCTCGCGCGAATACGCTCCGTGCAACAAGGTCGTATCTCGACGTCTGTTGACTTTGCGTGTACATCTGGGCTATTTTAAGTGAGATACGACCTTTTGACATTCTAAAACTCGCGTTTTGCGTCGTTCATGCCATTTTAGGAGATACGACCTTGTTGCACTGACGCGACGATATGGGCAAACGTACTGCTCATTTATGTCGTTAGAAACAAGGGGAGAATACTAAGGTCTGAAGTCTTTTTTGAATTGATAAAAAGAAGTGTGAAACATACTTCATCAAGTAATGGAAGAGTACATCATTTGCAGCTATCCCAAAAGTAACTGACAAAACTATTGTTGAAAAGCATACTTGGTTAGAAGATAGCAATGGCATTAAACTCCCTGTAATGATTCTGGCTGGAATAATTCTTTCAGGAATTCAATGCTCCATACCGCTAGGCCGGGCTCTCCAAATGTTGATTCAACCAGTGAAATTGCTGGACTTACTTTAACATCATGCAGGTAGCATAGGACTAGTTTATCCTTGCATACACACGCTGCCCACTCCAAGACGTCTGTGTCTGACTCAGGTACCAGGTCTTTCCAATTTTCCTGCAATTTCAAAGAAAGTTAGAGGTTTGATACATTTTGGAGTTCTTCCTGTCATCACTTGCAATACATTTAGTCTTAAATCATTTTTAAATTTGAGTCTCTGTGTTTTTGAGTATGACATCCCCAAAAGACATTTGTTTTTTTACACAATGTCTGAATAAAACCCCCGTCGTATGATTGGTGGGTCTTTGATCACGTGTCCTAGAATTATCGTCCCAACACAAAGCTCGGCGAAACCCACTGATCTCTATATAAAGACTGGATAGCGGATATGCATACAACATTCACACAGTAAGACTTTGCATATTGACCAATTCGCCCCCGGTCTCACGAAGATGGCCGCGTAAAATACGAACGTTCTACGCGTAAATATACGCGCGCGTTGTATCAACAGTTGACGCGCATTTTGGTCACGTACACATATTATGATGTTCTAAAAGGGACACATTTTCGTAGTGATTATTATTTCAAAACGCCGAAAAAGTGATATTTGCGGCATTTTAGTAACCACGACGTTAGAAAAATTGTAGTTAACCTTGGTCAGTGGTGGTGGTCAAAATATAAGTAAAGTGAACCGCGATGTTACAAAAGAAATCATGCTGTCTGTAAAGACGGCAACTTGTCCTTTGTAGATCACCAGCCGGTCTCACCAATATGGCGTCAAATTCATTCATTGTGCGGCTCTTTATTAGTTATCCAGTCTTTATATAGAGATCAGTGGCGAAATGGCACAACTAGAAATTCCATTCCATGGTCAATGGAAGTTCTACTGCACATTCACACTATTGGTGGTGCTATAACACGGCTCCGATAGCTCTGATGCTGTACATTCATTCACATGTAATGACAGACGATGACAAGTATTTATTCAGGTGTTGTATAAAACAACCAATGATTGTCTCACATTTGTGCAATGGAAAAACTAATTTTATTCGGTGACACCTTATGAAATTATTCTCACCACTGCTCTCTTAAAGTAAAGGGGGACGAACCTGTGTTGACAGGAACGGAGTGCCCATCTCTCTTTCATTAGCGATTGGGCCAGACTCATATGCTGCTGTGGGGGATCGCCACACCTCCACAGCGAGTCTGTTACCTTCCCAGCATTGAATAATGCCGGTACCCATTTAACACCTGGGTTGAAAGGAGTAATTGAGGTAAAGCGCCTTACTCAAGGGCACAACACGCATGGCCACGGTGGTGCTCGAACCCACAATCTCACGATCATGAATCCTGTGCTCTACCGCTATAGACCACACGTGCCCATTCACTGCTCTCTTAAACACTCGTTATTTGTATAATGACTTGCTAATTTTTAACAAAGTAACATTTAACTTTCAAATGGGACACAAGAAAATGCTCAGCAGAATTGCATGGATAGCTGCTTAGCACAAATAGCACTAAGCAAATAACACTATGGAAAATACAACCAATCACAGTATACAACCAATCACAGTATAAATCACATGGAATTTTGGCTCACAACCAGTAATGTTTAGCACTCAACAAAATTGAACCATTTTTGAGTGGACATAAAATGTTCTCTCTTAATTTAGGGACATTTGCGGGGTGGGGCGTGTTAAGTCTCACCATGTCTGGCTGTGCAAAGTCAATGTTGATGAGTTTGTACTTGGGCGATTTCAGATTGGTCTTGAATGTGAACAGCGTGCCTTCATTGGTGATGTACTCATACTCGGCGTCAAAGTTGTCGATCAGTTTCACCCAGGGTAGAATTCCTGCAAAACCAAGGGAAAATTATTGACGGCAATTGTGACGGCAAAAACGACAAAAAAATGTCTCATTCAGACAGCATGGTCAATGAATTTCACACTGTTCATACATAGTGACAAAGACAGACAGACATATCGTGCAAGTCCAACCGACATGGATAAGGTGGGGGGTGAGGGGGGGGGGGGGAGTGGTGGGGGGGAGGGGGGAGGGGGAGGAGGTTTGAAGCCCCAGTTAGCTCCACCAAAAATTAGCCAATGAGTCCATTTTTGATATTTCAAATTTTTTAAGCTCTGGCAGGAACTTCTACATGTCACTTGGTCGGTCTGTCTGTATGTCTGTCCCTGAAAATTCATCAAAAGTACGGTGTTCAATATGTGCCATCAGCGTCGCATTTTTCGGCGTCGCATTTTTTAAGCTCTGGCAGGGATCATTTTGATCGATTTCATGCAAGACTTCTTGCAACGCGGCCAGAGCTTATTGTGCACTCGCACTTGTTTTTTGATACTCACCAGATATTTTATGATCGATCTTCTCCAAGTCACAGTAATACAGCCTATTGACTGGGTCGCAGCCTTGCCTGATGCCCAGGATGACATAACGACCGTCATCGCTCACTTCAGCACCACTAAAAAAACAAATCCAGAAAGTATCTTCTTCACTCTTTGACTATGGATTTATTACAATAAACTCTAGTGTAGAAGCCTTGCTCAATGCAACAACCTCCTGCTTGCTAGTGCAGACATCTTAACCACTCGACCATCGAGCTTGCAGGTGTCGGCTGGCTGGATTATATCCAGAAGTTTGTGACGAAGCATGAAAGTAGTTGTGGGGCAGACAGGGGAGATATTTGGGGGAATTGTGCCTTTGATGATACAAGCTTGGCATTTGGCACACAGTCAGAGGATGTCTTAAGAAAGATATTTGGCTATAGGGCCATCACAGATTTGTCCTTTGAAAAAAATATAGGTAGAAAAACAAGTGATGATCAAAATTTTCAAAATGGCTGCCATTGCTTGTTATTCTACCTATATTTTTTTCAAAGGACAAATCTGCGATGGCCCTATAGCCAAATATCTTTCTCATGACATACTCTGACTGTGTGCCTAATTCCATGCTTTTATCATCAAAGGCACAATCCCATCACCTATCTGCCGTGCTATAGCAAGCAGCCTCCCTTGCGTACAAGTTAGCACTTCAGTAATTTAGTATAGCTATGGGCTCTGTGCACAAGTACCCCCTCAACGGTAAGAAAGGGAGAGTTGGGGGAGACCACTGGGAGAGACATTCGAACGCATTGGCGAAGACGCCCGACGCACATGCCAAAGCCCGCTATGGTTTTGTGGAATTCACAAAGACATTCAGGATATAGATAAGTCGTGCATACTTCGTGCTATACACGCGCGAGCCACTACACGCGCACGGCGTGTTCCGTTCACCGGGCTCTTAAAAGCTATCAACAGCGCCCTCTCTAGTTCGGGCATGGATCCTATGTTTTGTTTTTTTTGGGACTGACCTCATCCATTTAGGGTTTTCAGGGAACTCTGCACACAGGACGTCCTCAGACTGCGGCGTGCCCAGGACGTGATACTTCAGCTTCTGGTTGACGTTGGACTTGGTCTCTGTGCCAACTGCCTTGTCGTCTTGCTCAACATAGTACTGGGGGAAAACAGTAAGTGCAAACTTTATTCTAACCGATAAACCTTTTTAACCAGTTCGCGCCGTGTTTATTTTGACAGTGACCAGACCTAGGCGCAGGATTATTTTTCACGAGATCAATGCCAGACGGTTTCAGACCAAAATCTGCGGGTAGCACACCCTGACATTTTCGGCCTCGCTCGCTGCTTATGCAAACATACACTCTAGTAGTCCATTCAGTCAAAATCAAACAAATGACTGTTTTCAACAGTTAAGAGCTCCCAGCCTACATAGAGCAGGATTGACTGCCTTGGACTGATTAAGTAACTTGATACAGCTATGCTTTGAATCCGGGTGAGTGATAAAACAGCTGTGACCACAACTTGGCTGCCTTGTCTGTTGACTGAGTTTGACTAGTCACAGTGCTTGCTTAATATATGGTCTGACTGCTGGTGACTAGCCTTTGTTAAAAGTATAGCAGGGGAAGTGGAAGTGAATTTTGACTGTCTGTGACTGTTTAAATAGCAGGAGGGTTAATGCCATGCTACGAGGGTTTAAGACTTGTACACATTAGCATTTCTCATTATCAGGAGACTGAGGAGAAGTGTGCTGAAAGATCTTGAAGACAACTTGAGCTCAGTAGATGTCCAATGTTAATACTAAACTTACAATACTCCAGTATTTATACTTACATTGTAGAAGAGGCCCTTGCCATCATGCGTCCAGTCCATGCAGCTGAATTTGACTCTCTCCAGAGTGTCTTGCAGAGGTTCACCTTTGGCAACATCCATGAACTAAAAAAAAGGACATCAGAGGTCAAAACGTACAACTTATTTGAATACTGCAAACTTACTTTTAGAATTTGTCGTCAAAACCACAAGGGGAATTGACTAGGTACAGCAGTAAAAAGAAGAAGACGGTCAGAGCATACTGACCGGAACGTCGAGTTTACCTCTGGTTCTTTTCAGAACCATTCTCTTAGTTGAGAAATTATTCGCACATGGTGTTTCCGCAAACCTTTCATCATTTAGTAAAAAGTGTTAATGGTGTGCTTGTGCGTATCAGTTGGTGTGTTTGGCGTCCTGGATTCTTGAGTTACGAGTCAGTCTGTGTTGAGTCACTGTTTTCAATTACTTTGAGAAAGACTAGACCTCGCAGTAAGCAGGCTAAAAGCCAACATTCTTAAGCAACATCTATGGCTACTCTGCAAAAAGACACTCATGTAATACAAATACAACCGAGAAATCTCTTAACTAGTAATCTAAATATTACGCAGGAAATGTATCATTGGCTTCACTCTAAAAGAAAAGTCCGCATAAACTCACTTTGATAGTGACCCAATCAGATCCTCCCGTGCTAAGCCCATAGGCTAAATACGCTCCGTCCTCTGAGAAAGAATGGCCTCGCAGGGCCACCGTACCATCCTTTGAGAACGTGTTAGGGTCTAGGAAGACTCTCGGCTCAGCGTCGAGTGAATCCTGGACGTACATGACACTGTGGATAGAAAGGAAAAAATCATGATTGTACCTCCTATTTTAAGCGGCACTTTTGGCCAGAATGCATATTTTTGGGGTCTTAAATGTATTTCTCACAAAACGATAACACATGCAGTTGGAAAAATCATGAAAAAAAGAAAGAATATAAACGTTCACACAACTACAAGGCAATTAAAAAAAAAATCCCAATGGCATGAATTTTTTTTTAATGAAGTTCTGCATGTAGCACTATCAAAATCTAGGATATGAAAGCCCAATTCATAAGCTTTCTGTTAGTACAAGAATCATTCAAATCACTCATGTACTTTCACAAAAAATGTTTTTTTTCCAGCAAAACGAAAACAATTTGCATAGGGATGTGTGTGAATTGTTTTCATTTTGCTGAAAGAACACTTGTTGTGATCTGTGGAGAGAAATTTATAACGGTGGTTGTGTTTAAAACTCTGTAACTTGAAAAGTACATGAGTGATTTCAATGATTCTTGTACTAAAAGGAAGTTTATGAATTGGGCTTTCATATCCTAGATTTTGAAAGTGCTACATGCAGAACTTTATTAAGAAAATGGTCCTGCCATTTGGTCTTCTTTTTTTTACTCACCTTGTACAGCTTGAAAATTGACAGTTTTTTGTGTAACCATAGCAGGAATGAAGTTTGGGGTACAAATGTCAGTCCTCAAAATCTAGCCATTCGAGTACTCATCGTCAAATCACTTTCAGGTATCTTTTCATTTGTAGCGTGAAAAATGGATGGGCAAATTCGCTGTGCCGTTCTCACCGAGTTTGAACTGGCTCTAATATTTCCCCTAGTTACAGAGACCTCTTTTGCTAGTGTACTTACTTCTGGTTCTGCAGTCCTGTGTTCATGAAGTAGAAGTAACGTGAGCCTCGCTTGAAGGGACAGCCATACTTGGGGAAGTCCCACAGCTCCTTCAGTCTGTTACAAGTCATGGAAACAAAATAAACTTACAATTCACAGATGCACATGGCTACTTAAGCCAAATAAAAATAGCATGTTTAGCGTCCTGCTTTTGAAAAAAAAGGGGGAAGGCCCTTTTTCCTTCCAAAATGGCCGTCCAACCCGGCTATTTTTCAAGATGGCTGCCAGCTTTTGCTTTCAAATGGCCACCACCTGGACTCAGGAAATAACATACCAGCTTTAAATGGGCTAGATGCAACAGACAAAGAGGCCAAAATGATGTCACTGTTTAAAATTTATCATTTGGGGGGGGGGGGGGTTTGGGAAAAAAAAGAAAAAAAAGAAAAAAAGAAAGAAGCCTCCAAAAAGGAAGCAGGCGGGGACGCTAAACATGTTTTTTTTTTAATTTGGCCTAAGTAGCTTGACGAATAGACCAGAACTTGTGTAAGTGTAAAGTTGTTTCAGGTGCCAGTCTATTTTCTTGTGTTGCATATTTTCAATGCCTTAATTAAGTTTTGGTATGCTCATACAGTGTATTGAGAGTACCAAATTTTCGGACTAAGTACATTGTACATGGTTGTGTTATACTTATAGGTGATTACGGTTAAAGGGAATATACATTTGCTTTTTGTGGAATTTTCAGAAATGGATAGATTTTGGGGGTTAGTATTTTATGGCAAATATTGTTACACTGACTTGTTTGAAGTTTTGTGTTGGTAGATGCTGGGGGCAGTATCAGAAAAAAAGCCTTTTTTTTTCCCAACGCTGGTCGGCCGACCAGCGTTGAAAATCGATACAAATATACCACTTTTCTTGAAAATGTCAGCACACCAGGTGCCAAGATTTTACAGGATGCTTTAGACTGTCAGTCACTAACAATCCAGTAAGGTATTTCATAATAATTTAGTAGTTTTGTTTTTTGATGTTTGCAAATGTTGTATATTCCCTTTAAGATCTCACTCTTTCGTTTACTCTAGGTAGCGACGGTTTTCCTTATCCGGCAGATCTCCCCTTTCTACTCTACCTATCATAGAATGGCTTTCTGCTGGTACATTTCTCAAGGAACGGCATGGTCAGATTGTTCTGAGCATCCACAAAAGCCTTTGTCTCTTCGCTGTCTGGGTCCTCCAGCCAAGCATAGGGGTCCGGCACCTGAAACGAAAGAAATTCATGAAATGAAACAATGTTGAAATTTAAAAACAGGAGTTGGGTTTATGTGTTAGGCCAAAAAAAAAATAAGGCGGTCTCTGGTCAGCGCGCGCGTCGATTTTAATCATGCGCGTCGATCTTTTTTTTCCAAAATGTTCCGCGGTAGCTCCAACAGCGCCCTCTATTTCCGCACCTCCTCAATTTTTGTTACCAAAGAGCACCAAGGAATGGGAAATTGCATCAAGGCAAATGATCGAAAGCACCAAGGCAAATTATGGAGGACACCCATGTACATGAGGACACCAAAAAAAGCAAAATAGTACCCACCTTGTCTGTACAATCGAAGCTTGAAGGAAAAAAAAAAACAAAAAAAAAAAAACAGCCGCGTGGCCGCCTCAATTCCGGAACTTTGGTCTGACCAGAGACCGAATGTTTTTTTTTTTTTGGCCTTACACTACCTTTTTTTAACAGGTTACATGGCCTACACGTAATGCTTCAGCTTTTGCCATAACATCTAACTAACTATGCATGGGGTCGGACAAAACAATACACGAAAGTATAAAAAAAATACAAACAAATAAGGAAAAAATGTTGCAACCTGACGCCATTTTTTTTCCTTCATATATCATCTCAATGAAGGTCAGTCATTGCAAAAATGATAAGACATGAATCTGGGACTGAGCAACATTTCCAATTTTGTTAAGAAATACTTGAAAAATTTTCTTGACTCTCCATATACTTTGTACACAACCGCTGAATAGCATCAGGTTGCAACATTTTTTCCAAAAAAAAAAAAAAAAAAAAAAAAAAAAAATGTATTAGGCCCTTAACCAAAAATTTAAATAAAAGGCAAATTTAATTAACAAATAATATATTAATAAACACAAACAAATTCTTCATTTGATTTTTACGCTGATCTTACACAAAAAAGGAAAGCCACAACCCTCCCACCCGATGGCGATGCTAGCCCCGCCCATCCCAAAATTCTGGCTAGTCATGCTAGTTAGTCATGCATGATAAAGCGACAATTCAAATTCAAAAAGTAATCATCATTAAAAACTTAGATTCAGTTTATGCTTCCATTTCCCTGCTTAATTTTAGTTAATAAATTCCTCTGTTACTATGGTAACCCCTCATCGTTTTCCCGCACACGTGTGAGCACAGCCATGCGCTGAATGCCATTGATGCAAATTTGCAAATTATTATTTTCACGAACTGAATTATTTAAAGTCTGAAATTAACGTTGCCATTCCACTCACTTTTGTGCCGTTATAATCGTCGATACTACCCTCATCTCTACGTGTCTCTGGGTACTTGATCATCTTCAAACCTCAGTATTTTAACTTAAAGGCTTAAGGAATAATTTTAAAATAAGTGAGCAAAAATCGTCTTAAAGTGAAGAACCTGCAAAGTCATTGAAAGAGCAAGTGCGAGTTACCGGTACTCGGCGCGGCGGAATCCCGCACACATTGGCTATGAAAAGGTTGAAAAGGGACCAGTGAAATTTATTAATACAATTAGTTGATGCCTACAGAGGGCGCTAGTCAAAATAACTGCGAGAAAAATAAGCAAACAGATCACTCACTGGAAAAACGGCGAACAAGGTGCTCCAAAAAGAGCCGATTTTAGTGGCAGGTTTGACTTTAAATTATGCAGAATTGTTAGGTAATTGAAAGAACATGCCATGAAATGTTTCTTAACAACATGATAGACTTTGAATGTCGTTGATCAGTTTTATCCTCGGTGTTTCGTGGCTTTTTTGCATTTTTGCAAGTAGACTTTATGGACCACAAATTCGCTGCCTTGTGGAGACTCACACACAATAGTGAACAAAACATTGTAAACGTCTCCACAGGGCAATTTCTATAGATGAATAGGTCTCCACAAGGTTTTCACGAAATAGATATATGGGTTTTACTCAAAAACTAGGAATTTCCAAGGTATGTTTATTTGTCGCAAATGGAAGAGTTTTAGAAAAGGGATATTAATTCCAAATTTCAGCCCAGGAAACTTATTCTGGTTAAAATAAGAGCATTTTGAAAATTCACCTTCAAAATTGAACACTTTACTACACGGGAACAAAGAAATGTCTCCACAAGGATACAAATTTTGGAACTGGGGATGGACAATGTGTATACTGTGTGATTGAACATTTGTGCTGCCTTCGAATTCTTGCTCCTTGCTAGTTTGTAAAATGTATGCTTGTATTATTGTTTGTATAATATAGAATGAAGGGTGATGGCTCCTTTGTACACAATTTAAATTGAAAATGAAAAATTGAAATATTTTGATTGCTTGAGTTTTGTATCAGCAAAATAGGCCTAGTCGAGAAAATTGAAGGGGGGGGGGGCGTCTCCTTCATTTTTAAAAAAAGCCCAGACAAGACGCTATTTGTTTTGGAAAATATGTTGCAACCTGACGCCACTTCAGCGGTTGTGTACAAAGTCTATGCTATGGAGAGTCCAAATTGGAAATTTTTTCTCTGTCCCAGATTCATGTCTATGTCTTATCATCATAATATTTGCAATGACTGACCTTCATTGAGATGATATATGAAGAAAAAAGTGGCGACAGGTTGCAACATTTTTTTTACGCGACCTAAAAGTAAGATTACAATATCCTGATGCCTCTTTTAATACTTGTTTGGGTTCCAAAATTATTGGAAAAAGTGGCATCAATAATACCCAATTTTTCCGTAGTAAATTAACATAATTTGTGTTTGGACAGCTCACCTGTAAAATGTCCGCCAAGTAGCAGTAATTAAGCATCTTAACGCTCAGCAAGCCTCTGGGTACCAGACAGTACACCCACCCAGATGGTATCTCCATGGAGATGTACGACAAAGTGACGACCCTAGGGACAGGGTCAGGAGGAGCGGTGTATTTGGTCCGACACAAGGAAACAAAAAAGTAAGCCTGCTATTCCATTTTTTCTTGTATACTATCAGTTAGAAATCTTGTGACACTCATTGGTTTATTTATAGCAGTGAAGACGCTAATGTTCATTGGCTGAATACATTGTGGGCAGAACTTTGAGATTGGCAGTGAGGGAAATGTCTAAGAAATTCACCAAAAACTGAGCAAATTTTAAACATCAATAGAAGTTTCCAAGTACCTTTTCTGATTGAGCTCTTTGGTCTCGACATAGTAGCAACTGTGGCCATTTAAATTTGTTGTTGGTCTCACTTTTTGTTGAAAGAGTGTTGTCATTGCATTTGTTTCACCTCTAAATGATCAACTTCACAGAGTATTTTGTAAACCTGGATCATGTCTGCCCGAAAGCATCGATACTCATGACTGGGTAGACCCAATGCCAGTAACGCTTGTTGTGGTTGAAATCATCGTAAGTCCTTCACAAGTCTCACAAGTCCACTACAAGTCCATCACAAGTCCTCCAGTCCCAATTCAACTCACAAGCTATTCAAATGAGCTTTGACAAAGGCATTCCTTTGTTATTATTCATTACTTGTGACTGGACTTGTGACATTGACTTGTGATGGCATGGGTGTGGCTTGTGATGGACATGATGACTTCAATGCTGAAAATAATATTTTTTGGTGTGCAGGTTACAAGCTCTGAAGAAGATCCAGCTTGATGAGAAACGCAAGACTCGTACTAGGGAGGCGGTCCAACGCGAGGCTAACATCCTATCAGAGCTCAGACATCCACACATTGTCACTTACTACGAGTCGTTCTTTGAGGAGACGCCAGACGCTGTGCATCTCTGCATTGTGCAGGTAGGCAACATTTCAGAAAAGTTGAATAGGAAGAAATTGGTTGGAGAGGGATTTTTTGCTTAACTTGTGGAGTGCTCTGGTCCAGTGGTTACGGTGTTCAACTCAACCGTGGAACGTGGGTTCGAACCCTGATGGGTTACACGGTGCTTGTGTTCTTGGGCAAGACACTTTACTACAATTATCCACCCAGGTGTATAAATGGGTACCTCTGAAGGTAGAGACTAGAATGGGCTGATCTTGATCGGCTGCAAAAAACTGGCTGCAAAAAACTGGGGGTAATAATTGCAAAGCGCTAAGCACTATTTAAGTTATTATTTTTTTAATTACATGACAATACCATATACATATAGTGCATTGCAGAACCCTAGTGTACTCACAATTAGCAGAAATGCTTATAATCATTGGGGACAAGATTTTTTTAAAGTAATAGAAAAATGCCAAGATTAAATGTCAAATGTGTTTCCTGATTGACTTGCTATATGTGGCTGACCATCATTTATCAATCAAAATTTTACTTTTGGATAAGTGGCAACTACTGGTTGCACTTAATCTGCTTGTAGTGCACTGGAGCAGCAGTCCAGTGGGCTGCGGTACAAATCCCGGTTTAGTTAGTTTCTTGATAATCCTGCAGGATTACTGTGATGGAGGCAACCTGGATGAGAAGATTCAGAGGCACAAGAATCGTGGAGAGAATCTCGAGGAAAGCCAGATCATGCAGTGGTTTATACAGCTGCTCATGGCTGTACAGTACATACACTCCATGAAAATACTACACAGGTGAGTATAAGGCTGAATAAAAAAAAAAACATGTTTCTCGTCTGGGTTTTTGAAAAAAAGGAGGAAGAGGGGCTTTTAATTTTTTTATTTTTTTCAAGATGGCCGCCATTTTAAAATTTCCTGCAACCGTTGGTGTTTCCACTGTTCAAAGACACTTTAAAATGAAAGACAAGTTGGACAAGAAAACTGAACATATTTAAAGTGTCATTTAGAGTTGTATTGGTCTACAATGAACAGTTTTAGATGCAAGTATTTATTTTCCGATGAATTTGTGGACTTTTTCGGTGTTTTTTACTGCATTTTTCAAGAATAAAAAATAATTAAAAAAATCCAGGCGGCCTCCAAAAAGGAAGCGGGCGGGGACGAGAAACATGTTTTTTTTTACTTTGGCTTATCGGAACCTGTAGTCCGAAAACTAAGCCACGTTCGCATTGCACTTTATTTAGTAAAAGTTACTGTGAGTGATTGTTAAAAGTCCATTGTGGTTATTCTTCCGTACTTGGAATTAATTTTGGCCCACGGAAGGACGGTCACAAGAAAATCTTCAGTGATGTGAAACTAACAATGTAATGTTTTCGCGACCCAGTTGGCCCTGTAAAACTAACGCTGCAGTAAACAAAATATTTGTATTTGCTTGCAGAGATTTGAAGGCACAGAATGTCTTTCTTACCAAGAAGAATATGCTGAAGTTAGGTGAGTTAATTCGACAAAACTTAAAAATGATAAGGGCTACTCTTTGCAGCTCCGTTGTGCAATACCACTCCACTGCCGCCAAGGGTACATGACTTTGCTCTAAACTACTTTAGACCCTGTTGAGATAGCTTTGCAAGATTTCTTTTCCAAGAGAACATAAAATCTGAAACCCAACTTTGACATAGAATCCCCAGAGCTGTAGAAAGATTTGGACAGGTGTCTTTTTAAGAGCACCCGCATCAACTTTGTACATTTCTGCATTGATCCATTGTTTACATAGTTTTCCTTCAAATTTGCATAACAGTGCCATTGACAGATGTACACCGGGCACAATAGAAACTAAGCAGTTTTTATAATCGTCCTTGTGCTTGGTTTTCAGGTGATTTTGGCATAGCCAGGACATTAGAGCACACCATCGACAAAGCTAGTACATGCGTTGGCACACCATGCTACCTCAGCCCAGAGCTGTGCCAAGATATCCCGTACAACAACAAGTCCGATTTATGGGTAGGTCTTTCTGTTAAAAAAAATCTTATTAACCCTAAAGTAGCCAGGTTATTTTGACCATCTCACAGCCGGTGGGGGTGGGGGTGGGGGTGGGGGTAAAATCGACCCTCCCCCACCCCCCTTCAGATCTCGGCCATTAAGCGACAAAAAATTATGAAACTCAATGCATGCATAGAACAACTTAATATGAACATACTTAAGAATTTTCATGACTATAGGTTAAAGGGTTTTGGAATTATCGACTAATTAATTATTTATATGCACCGATGGTAATTCTGCTTTGTGTACACTACATACAGAGAAATTCAGATAGATTTTTTTTTCGCTGCGCAGTAACCTATGGTCAGAATCTTATGTTTTTGGTATCAAAAGATGCGCAAGACTCGAGGCTAAACAGTCAGGACAGTTCGGGTCAGGAAAATGAATGAATTTGTGTTAATAACGTTTTCCTTGTTTTGCCTTTTTTTGCCCCCTTGTTTTACAGGCCTTAGGATGTCTTTTGTTTGAGATGTGCGCCTTTGCTCCAGCCTTTGATGCAAATAATCTTATAAGTCTCTTCTACAAAATTGTAAAGTGTGAATATGCAGTAAGTACATCAATATATCTAGAAATGTAAATAGTGTAGCAAAGTTCTTATAATTGAAACGAACTATAAAGGAAAGAAAAACTCAGAACTTTTTAAACCACTTGGATTTTTTTGAAAAACAGTCAACAAATAACATGATTGGTTAAAATGGCTTTTTTTTTTGGTGGCTAATTGCAAGTTGCTATTTTGTATCTGAACAAAGTGTCGAGGAAAATTTGTTAAACGTAGTTCATTCATGTAGCTACTGCGAATTTAGAATTGAAGCAGATTTACCAGTGAAGTTCACAATGAATATTCAATTTTCTAAGGAAAGTTTCTTCAACATGACATCAATGCATATAATCCAGTAGTTTACAGATATTATGGAATCTTAAAAAAAACCCATTTAATTGTTTGAAATTGCCTGAAAGATGACAGAGGGTTATAAAATGTTGAGTACAGTTTTTCCTTTTATATTTTTGACAAACTTACCTGGTTTAAATTTTGTCCCTAGGAAATTCCGTCCATGTATTCAGATGATATGAAGCAGCTGATAGCAGCAATTCTAGTCAAGGAACCAGACCAAAGACCAGGGTAACTTAATTTTTTTTTTTTTTTAAATCAGGCTTAGTCCTAGCCCCTTGGCCCTTTTTGCTAGGAACCATCCTCAATCCTCCAAAATCCTCCAAAATGTTGCACTTATGTTGAAATGATGGATACCCACTGCCTCAATCCTTTAAAAGCCTCCAATAGCCCTGCCTCACAAAATGCATTCATCCTCAATCCTCCAAAATCCTTTCCCCTTTGTTCCATCAGAGCGAATGCTCTGCTAGCCTTCCCCTTCGTCCAGAAACATCTCAACCTCTTCATCACCGAGAAGGAGGTCCAGTGGCAACAGGTGCTGCTGGTTAGGCAGTCCATAGATTCCAACGCATCGGACAACGGCAGCAAAGCGAAGAAGGCGGATCACAGCCACAATATAGGTGAGTGTGGGGTTTGCGTACTGTACGTTGGTTAGAAAGGTGTCCAGTGTACTGAGCTGTCCACCCATCATTTGGGACAGGTATTTTAAAAAGATGGAGCACTTTCAAGAAAATGCGCCCATTTTGGCTCGAAAAGCATGAAAACTTTTCAATATCTGGTCAAATGAGCACTTTTCAGCTAAAAAATGAAATAATGGGGAATTGAAGGGAAAAACTGGAATGAAAAGATTAAATAAACTTTACTTCATCAAGCTCATAATTATCAACACTTTCTAGCTCCCAGTCCTTGAACCCCAACTCTCTAGGCATTTTTCTAGGATGCAACTTCAATCCTGCACGATCCTCCAACTTCCTCCATGTAAATATTGCATACAGCCTCATCAATCCTGCAAAATCCTCCGTTATTTCTTGGATGTGTCTCTTGGAGGGGCGACCACTGCCTCAATCCTGCAAAATCCTCCAGCAATCACTGCCAATATGTTGAGGCAGAACCAGTGACATCCATGAGCAGTGCAGAGGTTTTTCAAGTATAATCTTGGCTGAGCAAACAACACAAGGTCCGGCCCAAGACCTTGACACAGTGCATCCTCCAAAATCAGCAACACACTCTTGCCACATAGCCTCAATCCTGCAAAATCCTCCATTTTGCAAAGTGGATTTTGGAGGATTTGGGAAGGTTAGGGTTAGGGTTAAGTATTCAGAGAGATTTGTAAATGTTTTCCCCGTTGCCCAGATACCCCAGTCAGGAGACCCTTGGAACCCAAGGATTCTGGGGAATACTCGGACGACTTCTCTAGCAGCGAGAACGGCGATGATGATGACGATGATGATGTAGTAGATGAGGTGCTCAGTGAATGCAGCAGTAAGAATGGAGATGAAGACATCGAAGGTGAATAAGAAGTTTGATTTTATATTCATAAATACTTAAGACAGTTTACCCATTAGTTCACACCCTAGCTCACCACCTTTTGCTTACAAGTGCAGACGTCTTAACACTCGACCACATATTCAGGCCTAAAAGGTGGAAACAGATCTTAAAATGAACCGCAGAGAGGCAGCTTTATGCCATAGCATCTCTCGTTGCTGAAGCTATTCCCATGCCTTTTGCAGAGATTGTCGAAGAAGTTGTCGGGAGTTGCAGTGACGACGACGATGCGGACCCATCCCGGGGGCTGCTAAGCCCCTCCCCTCATTCATCTGCAGCCACGCCCTCCCCCAACCACAACGGGGGGAAGACCCCTAGCCCTCTCACCCAGCCGGGAGACCAAGAGTATGCTGACGACTTTGAGGATGTCGACTCAGATGCGGTAGGAACAGAAACATGCTATATACAGATGAGCTTAGCAAAAACATGTTAATAATCGGCAAAAGAGGTCATGTGATGTATAGCAGTGTTGTAGTGCTCGGGCTTGTTCTCATTCTCATGCTGGAGTACATTTTCTTGGTACTCGTACTCAGACTCATGAAAATGTACTCGTACTTGCAAAAAAAAATTACCCATACTCTCTTTGTGCTTGCACTTGTACTCAGACGAAGTACTTGTTTGTTTTTTTGTCAACAGAATTTGAAAGAGATCTTGAGCCACGCCCGGACGGCCATTGGGGTTGAGGCAAATTATGAAGATGACTTTGAAGACGAAATGGAAGAGGAACAGAGACCGACCTCCAGATGCAAACAGCTGCTTAGAGAGTAAGTCAGCGCAGGGTTGCTCAGTTGGGAGCAAAGCCAACCATGTGTGATTGTGTGCCCCGGTGAAGTTAATTATTTATTTATTCCACATTTTAAATGGTTATTATTATTATTATTATTAATAATCATTTCTGGTAATGAAACCAAGGATTCCTCAAAAGTACCCTAGGCACTGTAGCTCGCAAGCCTGAAGAAACCTGTAGAGAGAAGAGGATGAGAAGAAAACACAGTTTTAGAGGTGGGAGAAAACGCCCAGAAGAAAATTCTGGGGAAAAACTACGGAATCAGGCAGGGACTGAAAAGCCAACCCACATATTGGCCTAGGCGGGATTCGAAAGTACCGCTACGCCAACCTGACTCCCATTCGGTGGAATCCACTGATCTACCATGGGTCGCAGTAAATCATGTCAGATCAGAAACCTGATCCCTATGGAAGCAACTCAGCATTCACTTGGACTTCTTTTTACCGTTTTCTAGACACTGCATCGATTCTCTTGGTGAGGAGGTTTTTGCCAAGATCCAGGCCCAGTGTGGCAAGCGTGCATCCTCCAGTCCTGAGGAACTCTCTCAAGACATGGTCAGGTAGGTGGTTTAAAGGAGAAGGGTGAATGGCAGCACTACAGGGTGAGTCAAAAAACAAACCCAAATGTTAAGACCATTGTTTTAGGGAAGTTCTACATGTAGCACTTTCAAAATCTAGGATATTAAAGTCCAATTCATAAGCTTTCTTTTAGTACAAGAATCATTGAAATCACTCATGTACTTTTCAAATTACGGAATTTTGAACACAACCACCATTTTAAGGTTCTGTCCACGGATCGGAAAAAAGTTCAGTGTTCTTTCAGCAAAACGAAAACAAGTCACATAGGGATGTGTGTGAATTGTTTTCGTTTTGCTGAAAGAGCGCACACCTTTTTGGTGATCCGTAGACAGAACCTCAAAACGGTTGTTGCGTTTAAAATTCCGTAACTTAAAAAGTACACAAGTGATTTGAATGATTCTTGCACTAAAAGAAAGCTCATGAATTGGGCTTTCATATCCTAGATTTTGAAAGTGCTACATGTAGAACTTCAATAAAACAATAGTCCCGACATTTGGGTTTCGTTTTTTTTTACGCACCCTGTACTACTGTTGGGGCCGTGCTGAATATAGACAAATCCAGCGGCAGCCATTTTCGGTGGTGGCGCACGGCTCCCGCGAGTCGCGCTCAGGTATTACACGCGCACTACAGGCTCCTTCGACCAATAGGATTACCAAAATGCGCATGCGCATCGTACTTAAGAACACGTGCAGCATGCGCGTGAGCGTGACACCACCGCAGTAAAAGCTTTCTGGTCGCCAGATTCCACTAAACCAAATATTTGAACATCACCAGATATCAGAATGACATTTTTATCAATTCAGATATTCAAACGATGTGAGTAGTCTCCATGAGATTTTTATGAATGCGATGGTGTTTGAAAACAATCATCATAACTGACTCCTTTTCATATTTATAGCCTTCAGTTGAAGCACACTGTGGAGAACGATCACATGGAGACATGCTACCTGGTTAGTGAGCTTCTTGGGGAGACGGCGGCAACGTAAACCAGTTTGTGAAACGGGACCATGTTTTTAAAAATAAACTCCAAGTTTTTTAACTAAAAACAAAGACCTTGCATTATATGTTGATGAGCAATTACAAATGTCAGACACATGCAATGGCTATTGGTAAGGGCCAGTCATAACTCGAACCCGGGACGAGTTCCAGACACGTTGCGGGTAGAATCATTCACTTTGTCCGGAAGAAGCTCTGCATTTGTCCCGGACATGTTCCGGGGAAACTTTCATTAGCAACTGTTTACTCACCAATACTGATAACTTCATTGCGGGAAGATTGCGGGGAAGTTGTTCAGAATCCTGCAACTTATACCCGATGCAATGTCCGCAGCTTTTCCGGAACTCGTCCTGGATATGAACTGAGACGGGCCCTAATCAGCAATACAGTCAAGCTTGGTAGGCTGTTCCTCGTCCAACCATCATTCTTTAACCAGTTTGCGCCGGGATTATTTTGACAAGAACGAAACGAGGCGTGGAATTACTTGTCACTCGACCTCAAGCCAGGCGGGTTGAAGCCATCACCCTCGGGCAGCACACTCATATTTCCGGCCTCGCTCGCTGTGAGCGGGTCGCGGACAGATATTTCTGGCCTCGCTCCCTGCGTGTTTATCTGTCATCTGTTCCGAATACTGCAAAACTTTTGTGTGAAAACACGGCCCCCGGCGCGAACTGGTTAACCGGCATTTGAGTTAAACAATCATTTAACTATGGTTTCTGATCAAACTTATCTTAACAATGGTCTTGTTTTTGATAGTGTAGCAGTTATAACTATTGTACGAATCACAGACTTGGCAAGCTTCCGAAGGTTTGAAAAATTGTGAGAGATAACTGTAAAATCAGCTCACATATGTGTAAATTTTGTGAAGTCTTTTAGGACTTTCACTGAAAATGATGTGGGTGCCAGTACTGTTTAGATATTGTGCAGCTTTATATTCCTGAATAGTTCTTCCATGCTAAGAGGCCATCAACTTTTTTTCATCATTTTCAAGAGCGAACGAACCGTATACTGGGGGAGGGGGTTAATTAGATGGCCTTCTACACTTCTAAAAATCACTCAAAATGATAATACATGTGCCTTTCTCCATGATAAGCAGAGATTTATCAATTTTTCTTTTTCGGTTTGTACTAGTATGGGGAAAGGGGTCTCTGTACGCTCGTGAAAATGATGAAAAATAATTGGACGGCCTCTAAGCAATATTTGTAAATTCCTGTGCCTTGAAAGTGCGTGAACCATTTAAATGCTTCCCTACGCTAGATGTATGTTCATTATATTGTTCTTCTGGCCTTAGATTATGTACATTGCCTTACCAGTGAAAAGGTGCCTTAAAAAGCAGAGAATTTCTTTTGCAACGTTTTGTTTGCCTATCAATATTAACCTTAACTACCCCAACCCTTCAAAATCCAACTGCATGTTTTTTTGGAATCTGTTGGAGTGAGTACTGCACTAGTAAACTGATTCTGCTTTACATGGGGTCAGGCATACCACCATAATCAGAGTCCAACAGTTTGGGTGTTGATGGTGTTGGATTTTGCAAGAGTGAGGAAGGTTCCTAGTAAATCACTCAAGGGGTTAGGGGTAAATAATTGTCGTCGTTTAAAACAAGTAAGTCACATTTAAAACTTACTTGACAATTCCTGTCATTCAAAACTAAAATTCTTTTTTGATATTGTATAAAGTGAGATTTATGTATAAATGAGAATTTTCCGTTTTTAATCATCGAATCAATTTTGGATACAACGGTGTCAGTGATCAATTTGTAAAAATCAAGAAATGCCTTAGTTGTCCATTTTAGAGCAAAGGTGTAAAAAGTATTCAAGTATCTGTGTGTATATATTTGCTGCTATTAAGATATGCAAGGAAAAAATGATATAGTTTTTCTAAGAAAAAGCATTATTAAATATTAAAAGACGAAGCATTAATTATTTTGGGAATTTTTGAAAGGGCGGCTACGAAACTGGTTTTTGACAATTGAACACTATGTGTTTGCATAATGTATGTGGGTGCATTTAATACGCAGACTTTTGAAAATCGTAATGCAGTATGCACAGGCATTCTGAATGACGAGTTGTGTTCTGTGGAGACTGTACTTCTAAGAGATTGTGGAATGTTCGAAAACATTTCCGTCATTTTTTGGGTATATGTAGCCTAAGGCGTGATGAAATAAAAACGACTATTGTTTCTGTCATGAAATGAGTACAAAGGGTACTTTTGAGAGCTATTTTTCAGGTCCTGTTTCGACCCGAACGTGTAATTTGTGTAAAAGTCGTCGTTGCGGGCAGCAAACAGAACACAGTAAATTGTGGCGTAATAAACTGGACTCGTTTATGCTACTCTGCATCGGGAGTCCTGTTTATTACGTCACGATTTACTGTGTTTTGTTTGCTGCCCGCAACGACGACTTTTACACAAATTGCACGTTCGGGTCGAAACAGGCATGACAGGACTTGAAAAACGGCTCTCAAAAGTACCTTTTGTAATCATTTTATGACAGAAACAATAGTCGTTTTTATTTCATCACACCTTAGGCTACATATACCCGAAAAATGACGGAAATGTCTTCGAGCATTCCACAACCTGGTTGTCCGCCAAAGCAGCAGATATACAGAAATTCAGAATTTATTCTGCAGCTGTTCGCTGCATCAGCCCTTCCGTCCTGAAGTATGTTTTACCACTGTAACTTTAAAAGTTTTATGATTTTTAAAAATTATCATACAAGTTGGCACTCACATTGGTTTAAGCCCCATTTTGGATTCAGTCAGGTTGGCGTAGCAGTTCTTTCCTCGCCTTCCACCGCTGTGACCTGGGTTCGAATCTCGCCTGGGCCAACATGTGGATTGGGTTTTCAGTCCCTAGCGGTACCTGATTCCGTGGGTTTTTACCTAGAATATTCTTAGGTTTTCTTCCCACCTCTAAAACTGTACCAGAAATAATAACAACAATAATAATTATGATACTAGAAATAACTACGGGGAATAGTTAGATATGGTGTCATGACTATGGTACATTAATTTCATTAAAAAGAAACCCACAACTTATAATACTTCTTGTATTTTTTTTAAGTTAAAAGCATAAATAAGAGTTTGCGCAATAAAAGAAAGAAATATTTCACAAGATGATTCTAAACATGTAGCTGAACTTCTATGTGTGTTCCTTTTTTTAACATTGTAATGCATGTACATGTATGAAATTTAAGAGAATACTATATGCAGAAGATGATTTGTGTTTTCTATAGAACACGTGTGCATGCCGTTTTTTACTTGAGGGAGCTTGGCCTATTCAACACAACTTGCCAATGTCTCATCCCAAAATGTCGACAGAAACTCGACAAAAAATACCTCCAAAGCACTTAAAAAGGCTTCAACTCCCTACTGTCTTTTACTAATACACATATAAGTACTGGACCAAGTCCGCCACAATCCGTCAATAACGCTGCTTCCAATGCATGCTTTGCTTTAGGCCTCCAGGCCCAAGTCCATCATACTCCATCAATATTTAGTCACACCAGGCCTGCAGGACCAAGTCCCCCAAAATCCATCAAAATGAGGGATGGGTTTTAATGGAGTTCGGGAGGTTTAATAGGGTAAAGCATCAGGAACAGAATTTTATCACAATAAAATAATAATAATAAGTTAAACCTGACCCAAAGCACAATCAAATAATATCTCAGGAAGAAGATACCTTCGTTGATCATCTTCTCACTTGGCTTTAGCCTCCTCCTGTTTGCTTTTGTGCCTGATCTCGGCCCGTTTCACTTTGACGAGAAGGTGGGCTGTCTGATACATCCAAATCATCTTGAGAAAGAAAAACGTGAAAATACACGTAGGAGTCAAAGTGAAACAAATTTGGTACAGTTTGAAAAGGACAAGTTTTTGGAATTGGAGATTTAAGCTTTTAAGTCTTAGACTAATTCAGTCCATTGCTATAAAAACCACTTGTTCAACAGGTAATACTATTTTGCAAAACTGATTTCACACCCACCAGAACCGCTGTGAACTTTAATCTAAAACATCTTAGATTTTTGTTTCTTACTTTTCCCCTGTATACTCTTAATCATGATTTCCTGATGAGCGTGATTACATTTACGCGACAAAGTCCTGCGACTTTTATAGCACAATCTTTGTTTAATCAAATTTTAAGTGATTTTATCGCACAACACTAAAAGTTGTATGTTTTTCACATGGAACTTGTGCCTAAACTGATTGGTTTTAAACGATGTACAAAAAAAATCCAAAACATAAAAAAAATATTGGGACACGCATATGGGATATTACGTCCATGCAACAAAATACATATCTTGGCTAAATTAACGATTTGATACACAATCACAATCATAAACTGGCTATATAAACAACCTGATAATAATTGCCACATAAAAATTTGCTTTAACATGGATCTGATGAAAGGTCACTTCTTTGAGGCAAATTATGGAAAGAATGTTGCAACCTGACCCCACTTTTTGTCATATTATCTGCAGTCCATGAAGGTCAGTCATAGCAAAAATGTTGAAAAGACGTGAATCTGGGACCGTGAAACATTTCCAATTTTGTTAGAAAATACTTTGAAAATGCACTCAACTCTCCATAGACTTTGTACACAACCAAAGTAGTGTTGTCTGGATACTAGATTCTTTCCCAAATAGTAAGCAAATTCATTTTGCACACTTACCACAATCAATAAGCAGTTACAGAGCAATGGAAGACTGAAGACGACCGCGATGAAAAGACCGTTGGAATCAAAATATTGCTGCTTTGAAAATGATCTGTAGAGAGGAAAATATAACAACTTGGTTGGATATGGATCCTTATAATGTAGCACTTTACTAAGATCAAAGATCTTATTATTACCCCTGATCATCAGGCCAATGAAACATTCCAACAACCATCTCAGCTCCCTGGGGAGTATACAGCTCGATGCTGCCATTTCGGGGCAAAGCAGTTAAAATCAACCACACTAACCATCTCTGCCCTCACAGGTACCCATTTACGCCTGGGTTGGGAGAAGCAATGAGTGACAAAGTGCCTTGCCCAAGGACACGCACCATAACCCCCAGAATGGACTCGAACCCACAACCTGCAGAATTACCCGCAAAGCATGAATTCAATGCCCCACAAGGCCCACAGAGCTCATGGCAAGTTGATGTGGTGGTATTCGTCCGTTATAAATTTTTCATTTTTTACGTAACAATGTCAATCGCTTTTGTTACTTAGTTTGAAGTCTAGGGACTACAACAATCATGGACGTCATGAGGGGGAGGGCCCCCCCCCCCTCGGGAAAAGGGGGGGGGGGGGAAGGAAAAAGAGGTGCGAAGCCACATACACTGTACATGTATTGCTGTCAATTTGAGGGGGGGGGGGTAGGGCAACTGCAAATGTTCCCACGCCCACGCTCGGGAAATGATAAGTTGAGAATATAGTGTTGAAAAAGTTCAGAAATTTTGGGGAAAAATGTGCTTCCCCCCCCCCCCTCCTCTCCCCCGGACAAAATCCTGGCGACGCCCATGACCACAATATTAGCTAAATGTACTGACACATACATGTATTAACATTGGCCGAGTAAAGCAAGGGGGGTTTGACCCAAAAATGTGACGGAAGTAACAGTGTACAATACTAGTAATGTGGGGGGGGGGGGGGGGAGGAATGACTGAATTCTGTTCTAAATCAAATTAGCCATTACGTAAACAAGACTTACTCGTAATTTAAAGCTGCATACTCGTTGATGGTTTCCGAAAAATAGATAAGAATGACTGCAAAATAAAAAAACAAAAACAGCATCAGTAAATTTTAAAAAGTTTCTCATCCGACCTTTTTTCAAAAATGAAGGAGGTTCCCCCTCCCCCCCCCCCAGATGCAGATTTTGCAAGACGGCCGATGGATTCTTCAATTTTCATGACTATTTTGCTCACACAAACTTTTAACCCGTCTACATAGCTGCATTGTGTTGGAAACAAATAAAAAGATGACAGTGTGTCCTGAAACAAAGGGAACCAGATTTTTGGGGACTCAGTGCTAAGGCGAAGTAAAAAAAAAAACATGTTTAGCGTCCCCGCCCGCTTCCTTTTTAGAGGCCGCCTCCTTTTTTTTTTTTTTTTAAAAGACAAAAATTGATAAATTTTAACGATCTCTGACGAAAGAAATCGTATTTTTAGACTTTTAAACCGTGTATAAAGCTGTGGAAATAGTCAATGAGTCCAAGTGGCGGCCATTTTGAAAAAAGCTGGTAACCATCTTGAAAAATAGCCCGGCCGCGTTGTCTTGAAAAATGTGTCGGGCGGCCATTTTGAAAAAAAAATGAAAAAAAAAAAAGGGCCTCCTCCTTCCTTTTTGTCAAAGAGGCAGGACGCTAAACATGTTCTTTTTTTTAATTTTGCCTAAACAATCAACACAATTATGTATTTGGTTTGGAATTTGGTTTGGTATGCAGTATTGAGAGTCACAAATTTTCCGACTAGGTAAATATCAACTCAATCTGTTCTTCAGGCTAACTTACGGAGTAAGAAAAAGTAGACAAGTTGCACATTGAAGTATTTTCTAGTGAGGACCGTGACCGCAGCACACACAGCGTGGAATAGCAGCAGTGTGATCAACCAGGGTTCCGTCCAGTCAATCTGAAAAGAAGAAAACAAGAGAAAGACCGAATAATAAAAGTGTGGACGTGTCAAGTTGGAGTCAATTTCAAATATTAGAACACTATGTACATGCCCGTTTTCACAACTCACTAGGCCATTGCTGGATCATGCTGCACAACGGTGGAGGTAATTTAATTCCTTTCATAATGCGCTGTACAATATAGCAGGCAAATATCGTTTACTGAAGATAGTGGATATTTTGCCGGAGGTAATGACAGCAAACTAACGTTTACTAAAGGTTTGCCGGCATCAACAGAGGGTGCTGTACTCTTTAAGATAGGGCTGAATTATAAGATGTATTAAATTCCCACCAAAAGCTGTGTAGCACATTTGGTGTAGTGGTTAAGCAAAGACTCTAGTAAGCGGGATGACTCGGGTTCGATTCCGACCGCACCACATTTTTAAATTTTTTTTTTCTCATCCCCAAATAAATAAGAATACTCTTCTTTTATTATTTTAACATGTCTCAAACATTTTTTTGCAGCGTATTACATTTTCTTTTTCAGATTTGTGGCTCTGGAGGATTTTTTTTTAAAAGGGAAATATAGTCCAAAATTATAAAATGGTCTGAATCCCATCTTGTGAATACAAGGTTACAACGATAATTTTGGCATGGAGCCAGACTAAAATTTGTCACTGGAAAATGTTTAAGTACAAAAAAACAGTAACTGCGCATGTTCAGTGCATATCCGGCAAACTAACGTTTACTAAAGGTTTGCCGTCTCCGGCAAAATATACACTGCCTAATTTAATTCCTTTTATAATGCGCTGTACAATATAGCAGGCAAATATCGTTTACTGAAAGAAAGCCTGCTAAACGGAATGAATTCCATATAGGGACGTCATTTGACACCCTGTGTACCAACCTGTATGAGACTGGTCTGAAAAATTCTAATGTTATTCGTTAAATGTTTTCTAGCTAAATCATGCTGCTGGATTTGCCCTGCTAAATTTGACCTTTTGCGACATGATTGTTATCGCTTTCTGATGGCCGAGTGATAGGGCCTAGGTCATTACAGGGAAAAATTAATGACGTCCGTATATGGATTTTTTTTGGCTAAACTAGTAGTAAAAAAGTACCAGGCAAATTAACACTTCCTTGAAAAAGCATATTTCATATCGCAACTGGACAACACAATTTCCAACAATACAACATTGATGTAATCCTTATCTTTAGGACACCTCTATTTTTCACAAGTTCTGTTCAAAACTGACTTTGGCAATGGACTGTCCAGTACCAAAGTGACCTTTGCAGGCTAAAGAAATCTTTTATCTTCTGATTAATGTTCTAAAGTTGTAATTTTGAAAGCACTTTCAAAGAAAATGTGACTTTCCTACCTTTTTTGCAGTTTGCCATCTTGGTTTTTGAGTCTGTTTACTGTTTGTCATTGCCGTGTTTTACCCCCTAATTTCCCTCATAAATCAAAGCCCTGCCAGCCTCTTTCCACAAAATTAAACCTGCTGATATTCAAGAAGGGTCATACTGTTCAGATATAAGACAAGAAATATCAGAATGTCACTTTTGAGTGTCATTTAGTCAGCTGTTTTGGTGAGTCTTGTAACCTTATATAGGAACGGGGTCCTAAAAGTAAGGATTACCGAATTTGTAGTTGAACATGTTGAAAAGCACTGTATTCAATTTCAAATATCGGGAATCGTTTCCTAAACTCACGTGTTCCAAGAAAGCAAACATTCCATCGATGTCGTCCACACCCACGGCATCTTCTGGCAACTCCGGGGCCATTTTTGAACCAGTTTAATAACACGTTTTTCCTCTTCAACTCCGCGCAGCAGACGACAATTTGTAGCTGCAGTGAGTGAGGTCGACGTGTAATTGAAGCAGCGCCCTCTACTTTAAGTTTAAGTTTTATTAAATAGAGGGCGCGCTACATAAATAGTGGTCTCCACAAAGCCGCAACACGGATGCTGCAGTATTGAACAAAAAGAACAAGTCGGTTTTCGAACAAAAACTCAAGAAATACAAGATGTATTAAATTGAAAATTCGTGCACTGATTTTTTTACAATGAGTAACATGGAGACTTCGAATTTTATGAGAAACCGTGAAACAGTGAAAATAATATGATCGTAACAATTCATTGTTTTAAACGCGAAAAATCCACGTTGGATTCGGATTGTATTTGTCGCGGTTAAAACACTGTATTGTTACGGTCATAATAGCTTCATTGTTCGACTGTTTCTTACGAAAATTAAATCTCGTTATGTTAAACATAATGATGAATCAGTGTACGAAAATTCAATTTAATACAACACGTATTTCTTGAGTTGTTGTCCCCCGGCCCCAAAACGAGTTTGGTGGTGGGAGATCGAGACCACTATTTTTAAGTTTACACACAGAACTAGAAAATATCTGCATCACGCGGCCGTCCATCGAGTTCGTTGACCATGCACATCACATGCACTCAGTGCATGTACTTATCTCCCATGATAGTGTGATGAATCATCAACTATACGTTTTATACATTAACATGAACTGTACAGTGACTTTTCTTTAGTGCCCAGTCACTCATACTAGAACATCAGCATTTAATTGGCCAGCGCTGTTAGTGGGCGTGGCTTAAGTCATCTACTAAGCAATACTGCATTTTCATTGGTTGAGGCACCCTGTGTACTTTAGTAATGAGGGGCATTTATTGTATGTGAATGTATATGACCATGTTGGCCTATAAAAGGCACAGTTCGAGAGAATAAAACTCACTTCTTCGCCTGGTGGGACCAAAGAAGTCGAAGAAGTCTCCTGTCTCTGTTTTATTGTCTAATTGTCACTAATTAGGGTGTATGTCTCCCCCACTTGAGCCACTAGAGCCACTCGAGCCACTTGAGCCACTTAAGCCACTGGTTAGCCACCCAGAGCCACCGGTCGACCTCCCAAACCACAGGCTAATCCACCTAAAACCACAGGTTAATCCACCCAATCCCCTAAATCCCAAACACAAGTTGAGTTAGCGCTTTCCCCTGGTGGAGCAGATTTGGGAGTGCTGTACGTCACTTGGTGCTGTGGCCTCCAACCGCAGGTGCTTCAACTCCATCGGGACTGGGCCAGAGAGGCAAGGGACCGACTAGTCGACGCACATTACATAGGTGGCAGCGGTGGGATCCACTGAGAGTGACGGGACAGCTAGCCAAAGGAACCACAGGGTGAGAGTGGTCAGAATCGATCTACCAGAAGCAGTGATTTGGGGATAGCAGAATTCCGCGGTGGAAGTGGAGAACCACTAGTCACAGCAACAATGGACAGCAGAGACAGGATGTTGGAAGAAAGTGTGGGATACTTTGAGACGACACCGGCCAGGGTGACCAGCAGAGCAAGCATTAGGCTACACCCTGCGGTAACACCAACTCCTTGCAGGTAAATGAGGGGGAGGCATTTTAACTGATCCAAAATGGCTATTACTACAATACCCAATGGGTCGGATTTGGTCCATTTATTGGCCTAAAGGGATAGTCCTATACGACAGCACTGCCCAGTACACAAGGTACAGTCAGTCAATGAGTTAGCCAGTGAGTCAGTTAGTGATTGAGAATACTCGCTGTACAAAGATGACACTATTATCCACTCCGTTCACAAGTACCCGCTCACCAGCAAAGGAAGTACAGTTGGGGGTGACTGACCGACGCCATCTTTCCTGACTGCAATTCATTTGCCGCGCAGCGTGGCCACTGCGTGTAAATAGAAGAAATCCCCTGGTGTCCGCGCGTCACACACAAGGAACGGTGCGCGTCAACCAGCGAAATGTCCCGCCCATGGGACGTCGTTGTTAGGTAAAAGGGCGCTCTCTTTTGGTAGCGCACAGAGCTCATACATGCTGTACAAACATGACACTAGTATATTCTAGTCATCTCGATCTTGCAAAAATAGCCTGATTGTTACGTCATGTGTTACGTTATGAAAGGTTGTTGAATTTAAAAGAGCACGATCTGGAGAGTCTTATCTCATGCATTGTTAAATGTTCGCTTGTTTTCGTTTCAGGGCGTGGTTGTGTTCATCATGTTCTGCGCTCGACGCGAGGAGGTCCGCGACGCCCTTGCACCGTACGCGAAGCGCATCTGCTGCGGTCGGGAATTGCACATGCCAAAGCGGTCATACGACGTGGCACTTATGGCCATGGTTTCAAGTACTGCTTCTCAATCTATCAGATCCCCTTCACGAAGTGGCGTCGCCGAATTCGACGCGTCCGCTTCTGACTTCCCGGATGGCGTGGTGGTCCTCAAGTATAAGATATATTGTCACCGACACCACGAAGTAACACTCTACCGTGTTAAAGCATATTTTTTTTTCGATTTTCAGTTGTTTGGATTTTTAAACATTATTCATCAAGGCCTACCATTGCACGAAGTTTCAAAGCTTCAAGAGCTTTACTTTAATAATTACGCTAAGTATCCATGGCAACTTTTGCGCAAAAGTGACAATTTTCGTTTTCACGAAGTAACACTCAAGTTCCATTTTCCATTGCAATGCATGGCGCGCACTCTGCTCATAAGTGAGCAAAACCGTTTTCACGAAATAACACTCTTCTTGTAACAAGTTGTACGAGCGCGCGCGCGCTGACCTGAAGTTGCACTTTCCTCGTGTTAAATACATTGAAGAGTGTTACTTTGTGAAAACGAAAATTTACAGTTTCGCAGCTTTTTCGGTTTCACGAACTAACACTCATCTGTTTTCTCTTATTTCTTGTTTATTTAATACACAAACGAGTGAAAAACAGCAGATTTAATAAATTCAATTCATCAAGTGTCCACAACGAGAAACCCAACTGAAAATACTCTGTCGTTTTGACGCAAAGTGTTGTTTTAGAAGGCGTTCAACTTTAGTTGCCGTTTTCTCCGATTGCTAGTTTTTACTCGTATGTAGATGGGTGTTAGTTCGTGGTGTCGGTGACGATATGACCAAGACATCTGAGTGTTTTCATTGGGAAAGCGGGGGATACTAAATTTAATTTCATTGTTAATAAGATGCAGGATTGAAGAACGTCATATCAACTATACATTTGGCAATGACATACAGTTGGTATAACGAAACTCCTTTGGATGAATAAAGAACGACAAAGTAGAAAGTCAAATTGAGTTGTAACTGCGAGTCTCGACTGACTGATGAGAAAGGCATTGATCAGAGATATGAACGCGGCACACAATAGTAGTTTCGCTCTATGAAATTTAATCAAGATCAGAAATGAAGGGAGTTTGTCCTCTATGCAAGAATTTCTTCGACTGAAAATGAAAAAGGTTACAAAACGCACCAGGACTTAGAAAGGCATGGCAAGGAAAATTACAACAAATTATGGTATAATAATATTGTGTATACAGTTCAACAAAAACACATCTTATTCAAATATATATATCTATACTTTTAACGTTGCTGAGTGTACCTGTTAAATACTACTTGCTAACATGAAATGCTATCATGGAATGCGTGTACATAAACTGTGAACAGTTGGGCAGGCTTGCTCTGTCATGTATTTTGTCACTCCTAGGCCTCCTTGCAAATTCGCAAGCAAACGCAATCGAATACCACGCACACTTAGAAAGCATGTACAAAATTCGCTGAATCTTTCATTATCATACCAAACGATTACGACGTCTCTCGGGATGTATGAAGGATGCATGATCAAAACTCCTCCGATTTTTTTTCTGCGGTACAATTGGGGAACCCATATGCTTTTGCGTAGGTAGGTTGCAAGTTATAATCTGACTAAAACAAGGATATAGTGCTTGTTATGTACAAGCAGACTATTGTTGATGCACATTTATATAGCATATATATTTTTTTTGGCCTACCCAAACTTCATGTTTAACCATGCGAACAAGATAAAATTCAAATCGAATGAAATACATAGTAAAAACGTAAAACATATGTTTCCGTATACATGTACTCTAAATGATTATGCAGAAAATACTTATCTGTATTAAAGATTTGATATACGTAGCCTTTTTGCATTGAATTTTTAAATCCGAAGTACTCAGAATGATCGAATGACATCTTATGAAGCCTTAATACGTGAGGTTTTAATGCACTGTACGGAGATGATTTCATCAATTTCATTGTTCATTTAATGATTATGTGGATAATTATTAATTGTATAGATTTAGTATACGGAGTCTTTTTTATTACAATGTTAAATACAAAGTATTCGGAATGGTTGTATAATGTTCTTACGACCTAATTAGTACTTAAGGTTTCAATGCACTGTGCGCAGATGATTTCATCAATATCATCTTTCACTTACTGATTATACAGACAATTTCTTTAAAGATTTGTTATGCGAAGCCTTTGTTGTTGCATTTTTAAATATAAAGTCCTCGAAATGGTTGTATAATGTTCTTACGAAGCTTAATAGTACTTAAGGTTTTAATGCACTGTACTACACTGTACTACATTATTATGCAGATAATTTTTAACTTTAAAGATGTTAAACGAAGCCATTGTTATTGCAATTTTAAAATACGAAGTTCTCAAAATAGTTGTACAATGTTCTTATACGAGGCTAATTAATTAGTCTTTAAGGTTTCAGTGCACTGAACGCAGATGATTTCATTTATTTACAGATTTTTTAATGATTATGCAGATAAATATTAATGGCAACGATTTGATATTGGGAGCCTGTTTTTCTGCCAATTTTAAATACGAAGTACTCAGAATGGTTGTACAATATTCTTACCAAGCTAATTAATACGAGAGGTTTCAATACATACTCAGATGATTTCATACGGTTCCAATTGTGATAATATACTTGTGATAATATAGATTAAATAAATCTGCAAGTCGGTCGACATCTGGCCACTGTAGCCTCAATTATTAAAACTGTGGTTACAAAACCCAAGTTGTAAATGAATTTATAAACAACTCGATGATTCATTAATCTACTTCGAAATATAGTGTGAAATTTGGTCGCCATGAAATACGGACTCTTTGATTGCACTGCGCATGCGCCAGTTGACAGAATTAGGAAACTTGGTCTCATGAACTTGTTTACAAAAATCGATCACAATAGTTTACACCCCGATCTCAATTGTAACTCACAAAACAAGTGTTACAAAAAGCGTAGTAGGCCCTATAAGATTCAAGTTTCCAGCTCTACACATTATAACAAAGTCGCCAATGATGCATTATAGTAACAAAGTTTGTATTTCTATAAAGTTGCCCTATGGTTGAAAGTGCTCTAAGGTTTAAAGTGCCCAAAGTTTCCCAGGTTAAAAGTGTCCTAAGGTTCCCCGGTTCCCCTAACGCCTGGCCAGTGTACGGCTGTGTTGTGAACTCGGCCTTCCAAATTGCACCCGACATGAAACAGCCGTATTGCAATTAATCAACATGTGACTTACACGATGAACACGGTGATTAAAAATTTGAGATTGCGATGACTAATTCACCCAAAAATCACTCCTTTTGTCAACATGAAATAAACTAAAACATAGCCCAGCGGTAGCAGAGAACTTGCATTATGACATTAGCATGTAAAGAAGATACAAATGCCGCTCATTTGAAACTAAAATGTTTGTTTTTAAGCACAAATCTATGCACACGATACTCACACTTCGGTGTGCAGGCAGAAAAGGGCTGATATTCGCGCGTTCACGGCACTGAGTGCGCGTTTGTATACATTTTTCTGGGCTGTGTGCCAATTGTACGGTGCCTCGTAAAAGACGTCTCACTACAATAATAACGTTATACCGTCATTCTGAGTAAATATAGTATACTTTTAACTATGTAACATTTATAAACAATGCAAAAATAGAAAGTCCACACTCATATGAAGGGGTCATCATTTTGAATGTGATCGTCATAATGTTAACACCAATATACACACCTTTGGGGAATTCTGTTGGCTACATTTTGATAACCCGTTTGCTACCAAAGACTGTAAATCGTCCAAGATTGACAGTTGCAAATCTAAAGAGTAGGCCCACGCCGCAGGGGAAATTCATTGCTGCGTGACAATGTTACACTGCCCAAAACGAACGGCAGAAAATACCGATCGCTTGCATGCATACCGACAGGGAATACCGATTGCTTGCCATGCATATGGGAGCATGCTTCGAATTACCCGCGCTTTGATCTGGCACTATGCAGTCGATAGGGGACACTAACGGGCATGTGTGTTTGCGCTCAGCACCTTCTCCTCGCGTATCTTTTAAGGAGGTTGTTGAATGCTCGAAGACATTTCCGTCATTTTTTTGGGTATATGTAGCCTAAGGTGTGATGAAATAAAAACGACTACTGTTTCTGTCATGAAATGAGTACAAAGGGTACTTTTGAGAGCTATTTTTCAGGTCCTGTTTCGACCCAAATGTGCAATTTGTGTAAAAGTCGTCGTTGCGGGTAGCAAACAAAACACAGTAAATCGTGACGTAATAAACAGGACTCGTTTATGCTACTCTGCATCGGGAGTCCTGTTTATTACGTCATGATTTACTGCGTTTTGTTTGCTGCCCGCAACGACGACTTTTACACAAATTGCACGTTCGGGTCGAAACAAGCATGACAGGACTTGAAAAATAGCTCTCAAAAGTACCTTTTGCACTCATTTTATGACAGAAACAGTAGTCGTTTTTATTTCATCACACCTTAGGCTACATATACCCGAAAAATGACGGAAATGTCTTCGAGCATTCCACAACCTCGTTAAACTGCAACTTTTCAAACCGTACATCGTTTTTCATAAGCCGTTGTCGATCTTGGACGATTGACAGTCTTTGCTAGCAACTGGGGTATCAAAATGTTACTTGAGTGCACCTTTATAGGCCTTTCTTTTGTTTGTAAACATTGGCAATTTTGTATGGGCTGCCGTAAGCGCATAACTTGAAGCCGTGGTTGGCAACATATTTTTCCAAAAAAAAGTCCTCATAACGCCATCAACACATATAATAGTAAAAAGGCATATTTAGGAATTATTTTGTAGCTTTGTTGAAAATGTTGTATTTTCAAGTATCAAATAATATTTTGGTGATCTGAAATAACTCTTCTTCATTTTTGCAGTGTTGGACCTTCCATAGTTTTGCTGGCCGTGGTTGGCAAAAATGCAGTTTGCCAACCAAGCACAGAAAGGTCTATAGCTGGTATATACTTTATCCAGTGGTCACAGTGGACTTCGTGTACAGTCAATGGTTATACAGGGAGAGTATAGGTGGAGATCTTTGGGAATAGACATACATTATGTAATCAAATGGCGCCTGAAGCTCACACAAAGACGCAACAAGTTTTTTCCCCGAGGATTTAGTATAAGTTAAGTCGTGCACAAATCACGCTTACACGTGCCGACTGGCATGTGCACGAGTGTCCCTGTCAGTCCCATCTACTGTTCTGGCACGAAGTCCACGAAATCGCGTCCACGCAGCTTGTTAAATATTGTCCAATTTCATGATATACAAATGGGCGCGAACGCGCAACATCTGAAACAAACAAAACTTAGTGTACACAAATACCATAGGGTTGTCTAAGGGGCGTGGCTAACTCGCAAACGGCGATAGGTCAATTCGCTCTTTTCACGCTTCCGCCATAGGCATATGCACAGCCTTGATCTGGAAAGTTTACACAATAAAAATAGCCGGTTCAGTGATTCTCGTGTCGGGGTTCAGATCACAAATCCGGCTATTTTCATTGTGTAAACTTACCAGATCGAGGCTTTGCATGCCTATGGCGGAGCATGGAAAGAGCGAATTAAGTATTCTATACGCAGACTCTGAAGATCGACGCTTCAGACAGCGAGAATCGCAGTCACTAAAACGGGCCTGACACGGACATGTCAATTTCAGCAGTTTGGGCAGTCAATGGTGAAGTTGGCACCGACTCAGACAACATCGGCATGTTAGGTGACCTATCCTTTCTCCACGGCACCTGTAAATCACAGGTGCGACCGCAGCAGATGCGCTTCATGTACGGTGCGAGGGCGGTGCGGACCTCTTCACGTCGCACGCAAAACATGATGAAGACAATCAGACCCTGAAATGAATGGAACAAAGACATCCTTGAACACTGATTTTCTCATTCAGGATATTGTCTAGCCCAAGAACAAATTATTCGGCTCTGTGGACCTTTATTGAGGATTCTGTTAAAGGCAAATTCAACAAGAACATAATTATACCAATGCAAGGCGATACCAATCAAACATTCTAATTTTGAAGATGGCTGCTTAGCCTACAATTAATGCTCCAGAAAGATGACTACAATTATTCTCATTCAACCGTTAGCCGTGACCCGCCCAGACATTTCGAAATTCTACAAGAGGTTTCTCAGAGGAGTTCGTAGGGGTGAGGAAGGCTCTCGCCACTGGGGTGACTATATGCTCTTTCTGTCTTTAGAAGTCCAAAGAATGTGCAATTAATGAGATTCTTGCACAGGGGGATTTCGAAGATTTTGTAAGGTTCCTCGAAGAAAATTCTGGTGAAAGAAGGGTTTCATGTTGCTGTTTGGCAGGTACCAACCTGCACGGAGTTAGCCAGACAGAAGATGAGCTGAAAGGCAAACTTGGCTCCTTCGATTGCCAGAAACCCAAAACACCAGGTCAAGCCCATGAGGGCGGAGATGGCCACGGCATTCTGGAGGCGTTTGGAGATCTGCTGGGAGCGAGATTCCTCCTTGACCTTCAGGAGACTGCGCATGACCAAGATGAAGGTGATGATGTTGTGGAGAAGGATGAGACCGATGGGAGCAAGGAGGCCGAGGTACAGCACAAGATCAGGCTCAAGGAAGCAGCTGAAAAGAGATACATGGAAATCAGTAAGAGATAAAACATCTTCTTTAAGAATGGAGAGAAGATGTCTATTTTGTTGTTTGTTTTACTTACTAATGCTCGTTTCCGTAGTGATCAGTTGCTGCAGCCAAGGTGATCGTTAGAACAATCAGTGGAGATCCTGGAAAACAGTATATTGAGATAATGTTAACATCTGCCAAAGTACGTCATTCGTGGTGAGTCATGTATTAGCCTTTTCAAATAGGCTAGTATTAAATTATGCCGAAGAAATTGTGATAAACTCACCCCAAGCGATGAGGCAAGCCTTGAGCATGTATCGAGGCGCGTCTTCTGGGAACACCTTCACCGTACTGACGTACATGTTCCTGGCTTCAACGGCCATCCACATCATAGAGGACAGAGTCAAGTAGTGGAGTAAAGCAGCCACAAACACACAACCACCTCCAGTACCCTGTAATTAAAACCTTCAATAAGTGATTTAAAATCTGATTTTGTTTTTTAGCAACCAGAAAATTACTACACAATATGGAACATCACTTACTACAAAGAAGTAAACCCAATGTTTTTGTATTTCAGTTATAACTTAACAATTCAATCTTTCAAAAGTGTAAAGCAAGTGAACACAAATATAACAATCAGCAAACTGATTGAGTAATCATGCTTCTGGTGTCATATTCACACTCACCCTTGCGTTGTCGACACCGGCAAGGAACACGATGTACAACATCAGCAAGGAGAAGCAGAAATGGATGAAGATCTGACGAGATTTGCCGTTTCGCAGTTTCCTATGGTTACAGAAAAAGCTTGCATTGTTGGAACGACTAAAGCGTGGAACAAAATCTAATCAAGGGAATCATGTAAAAGGCTCCGTGTACATGTACATGTGGCATTTTTGCTACGAACTGCAAACTGTTATGTCTGGTTTACTGCAAGGATGAACAGTGCTCTAATAACTTAGCTGCCTAGCCTTCAGCTCTAAAATAGATTGACAGAAGATCTTACTTGATAGCAAGATACACAGTCAAGGTGATGACCAGTGCAATGATGGAGAGGACACAACCAACTTGGCTAATGATTTCCAATGCCTTCTGGAATGGATCACCTGGTTCGTCCTTCTGTCCTTGAACATCCTTGATAAAGGAAGAACAGTAAATGAAGAGAAATCTTGAATCAACATACCATTTAGTGTTTCCCTCAGCACTTAAAAGTTGAAAGAGTAAACGTATTATCTGAACTAAACAAAGTTTAATCTCTTTCATTTTCTTCTAAAAAAACATTAATCCCATGATCTGTCACTTTAACCCTAACTCTTCAAATTTATTTTGTAAGAACCAAACCGAATTCTGAAAGTACTCTACTCTGCAGGAAACTGCACATTGTGTTTTTTTCCCCAAAGATTTTAAACATATGGAAACTTCCACTTCTCTGTGAGGATATGGGGTTTGGCTTAAATACATGCAATTTTTATTTTCTCCAACTTACTTTTTGTAGTGAACCTCAAAGGACCTCTAAGACAAGCATAGGAAAATACAGCATTTCAGTTACCACTCCACAAGAATGGCAAAGAATGGCAAGTAATGGCATACCACGAGAATGGCAAGTAATGGCAAAGAATGGCAACAAAATGGCATACCACAAGAATGGCAAGTAATGGCAAGTAATGGCAAGTAATGGCATACCACAAGAATGGCAAAGTTGGTCGCATGACTGCAGTTACAGGACACTGTATAATTGGTCTCTGTTGACAGCAAGCAACCAGCCATCGACCAATCGCCGACTTCGTCGTTCAGATCGAAATCCCAGAAGACGCACTGGATGGTGCTGTTTCTCTCTGTTTCATTAATGGATGGTGCCTGTTTGAGACAACGTTAGATACAACGTTGGACTGTGCACTCAACAACAATAAACCAAACAATAAGACTGTATAATATAAGTATTAAATACTGCAACCTAAAAAACTACAAATCAGGATTGTTTTTGTCTTGGATGCTGATCTAAAATGACGGACTGTCTTCCCAGATAGGGAACTCCACCATTGCTTTATGAAGTATACCTTGAATTGGATGACCACTGGTTCGGTGAGGTTGACCAACTCAACGTCTTGCACAGTCAGTGAGACGACAGTCCCCGCAACCCGGAGGCTCGAACCGTTCTCATTCTCTTGGGAGCCATTGATACGAGCTGACTTGAACAAGGTGTCATCAGCGTAGACAATGAAACTCGCCCGCAGCGGCTGGGAACTGTTTTCTAAAAGTTATCAGCGACGTCAGAAAAAGATTGAAGACATGCCCACCTTGTCTTAAAGGCATCAGCTAGCAAACTTACATAGGAGAAATTCACAAGTCAAGCCTAGCAGGGGATGCAGATGATACAAAAAGGAATCAAGTAGGAAACAAAGTAAACCCAATATTTTTTTAATAAGCAAAACTTATTACAGCCCTTCTTATTTACAATGTTTCTTTAAGGTAATTGAACAACGCCTCCACTGAAAATCAGTCTTACCACTGCTGAAAATGCTAGCTGGTAACCGGATTGAAGCTATCACATCTTGAGGCACCTCATCACTGGCATTAACCAAGGTCGTGACCTTAGTGCCGACAAGACTGCCCTCTTGCGGTGAAGACTGTCCGGTCTCCTGCTCCGGAGCAGATACGAAGGTGAGTCCGTTGCTAACCTGCATTTGGTCCAGACTGACCGCCTCAACGTGGATGGTGTCCTGCTGTATACTGACCGGACCCTCTTGTCTCAGAGTCAAGGAAACTTGAGCCTCAACAGACTGAACGATGGCTGAGGAGCTGCCAGCATTGACCTCAGGAGTCTGGGAGTCTGGAGTCTGGCTAGTGCTCATGATGACATTGCTTACCGTCTGTATCACCAACTCAGTTACCTTCAAGAAAATTGATAAATACTCGAATTCCACAATAAGACATTTTGGTTGGCCTTAGAAGGCACTGTTCACCATGTTCACTGGCAACCATCTCATTTCAAAAAGCTTAACAGTTGGGTTACTATTTGAACTACCTATTATGACGACTTACAGGATTACGTTCAGTGCAACATTTTGTGCATCTTCTAGTTCACAGTTTACTTTGGATGTTTGTTCAAGTATGAGCAGGCAGCATGTGTACTATGTGCCATCAGTGAGGTAAAAGTAAAAGATTGTTGGAAATCCTGCTGCAAATGCTTTGTCAATAATTTCCTTATAACAGACTCTTTGCTGATTCTTTATTCTGATTGGCTAAACCGTGATCACATGGTGTTCATCAATAATACAAGCTGGTACGTGAAATTTGCATAAAGCACTAACTGATCAACATTTCCACACCAGTGTCCGGCTACATCAATCGGACAATCGCTTATTATCTTAAGCATCCATGGAACTTTTGAGTAATGCTAAGAAAACTCTACTTTCCTTGACCCCCATGCCTGTTTTGTGGAAATGCATCTCAGTCAGATGTGCATGAGTGTCCTTTGCAAGTCAATTTTACACAGTTGCCTGTGTCCCAACTAGAAACCCTAAAAAGCTGAGACAAAATCAATTGGAGTATTGAGAAGTTTGCCATCTTATAAAGCCACAACCTTGAAATCGGTGAAATGTCACTTTTGTGAAGATCTATTCGCTCCTCGGTTTCCACAAATTGCAACTTTTTAGTTCAACACATTTTGTTTATAAGCTACCTCACGATCTCCTGATCCTGCCCCGACAATGTTCATCAAAATGGTGGAGACCGCTTGGACATTTTCTGCACTTTCAGTTGACTCTGACGTCTGATTGGCCAGAAACTCAGCCACTTCATTTACGTTCCCTAGACTGACGTTAACCTGCCAGATGCAGAAGATACATTTACTTAGTTTCTCAATGGACCCTCTCAGTCAACTCAGAAAAGAATTCAACATGGATAGAATTACGTCGGACATACTGATTGAACGACAACATTACACATTGAATCTCAATCTGTAATAGCTGCCAACATTGCGTCATAAATAACAATAGAACCTTGGGCGTAAAAGAAGCCTGTTACAACTGTTAATGTAGTTACCACCGGATAAGGTATCACCAACCGATAGTGTAACAACAATTGACCGATACTGCATCACTAACCGATAATGTAACAAAAGTTGAATTATGCATGTAGCAAATGTTACTACACTATCGGTCAATTTTTTTACATTATCGGTTATAACCCATTCCACTTTACATTCTAAAGGTCTGAACTTCAAAGCTTACATCTTTGACTTGATCCAGAGTTAGATTGTTTCTTTCTTCTCCGCAACCGCGAGGTACGTGGTTTCCCCACTGGAAATAGTCCGGCGGAGGTACAACGGAGCAGCTGCGAACAGCTAACGGATCCCCAGCTGTATCCAAAATTAACCAATATAATTATCAAAAGTGATTTTTTTTTTAAAATCTAATAAAAAAAGGAACATCCTATTACACTTTAACCTTCAAATTCTAGAAGAGTAAATTAAACCAATTCTGTTTAAATATAGATTTTCTCCTTCACAATGACAGTTTACTTGGAAACGTTATGCTCACCTGCTTCTGCTGCAAGTATTAGCCTCCAAACTATTATATTATTATTATTAGATTCACAATTAATTGTCGTCTCACCTTTTGATGTAATGAGCGGGCATCTCTCGAACGATTCTGCTGTTGTGCCTCTTCTTGTTGCAAGCCACATCAACCGGCCATGAAGAGCATCATTCGTGGTGCTGGCTGGACAAAAACCTTAAGAGACAAAAACACCAATATGCATGTAATATTTCTATCAAAGCAATATGACATGCTGAACAAAGCAACAAAAGATCACTTAGCCTATATCTCTTTCTACTCCTAAAAGGCAAAAATACCCTAAAAGACAACAAGACAAACTCGAAATATTTATTTAGTATTGTGAAATAAAATATATATTACATACGGAACAAAGCAACTAAATATCGTGTTTTAATTGTGTCTTTTGAGTTTTTTAAATTTCCTTTCTGTGGACTCATCTAGCAACGGCAAGAATATATGTCATTATTGAGGTCACACGCAAATTGCAAAAAGTGTGACTTGTGCATGGTATTTTTTAAATTATATATAAGTTCTTCATTTTCAACTTACCTGGGTGAAAAACATACAAACAAAACTAAAAGAAAAAATCTCACTCACCGATAACCTGAACCGAAAACGAGCAGTTCAGACTCAGGCCGTACTCAAACCGCTGCTGGTAGTTGACATCATTGCTACCTATCTCGAGTTCATCGCCAGGACTGAAGCTTGAGGTGAAGTTGGTTGGTCCGTCCCATCCAGTAACAACCGGTTCCATCCAGTTAACACTGGTATTGGTGAAACCTGGCTCCGTATCGACTGTGAAATTTGCTGGGCATACTAGATCCACCACTAAATATTCAATAAAAAAATATATGAAGAGATATTGTTATATACCATAATAATTTCTCGCATATACAAAGCAACTGTATGGGTTTAAAATGGTGCCCATTGCTCATGGACCCCCTTCAAAAAAACAGAAGAAGAAAAGGAAAAACACAAACTAATGATATCTTCAAAGATACTTGGAAAAGTGAACAAGCTAATTGTGGACAAACCTATGACGGTGACTTTAAAAAGACACGTGGCATGGTTGCCAGATGTATCCGTAGCGTTGTAGATCACTGTAGTAACACCAACTGTGAAGATCCCACTGCCGGTTTTGTTACATTTCAAAACTGTGGTTGCTTGGCAACTGAACGTGACATTCACAGGACCAGCATTGTCCGAGATGAGAGGTGGAGGCCAGCTGTAAGCCACCTGATTGGACGATGGCTTGGCAGGAATGATGACGTCACCAGGGCAACCACTGAACATCGGAGGTTCGTTATCTAAGACTGTCATTCAATAATTTCAGGGGGAAAAGAGTTGACTTGGTCCTCATAACACAAAATCTGACAGTAAAAATAATGGATCAGTCCGATTTCAATTATTAAAATCTCATTTGTATTTGAATGCTTGTTGTGTAATCTGTAATTGTCAATACTCAATAGCTTCCAATGGCATTCAATAGACAGCAATAAAACTGGGCTCTTTTAGTAAAACATGGATGGCAAAGATCAATTTTAGTAATTATTTGTTTCAGATGAGTGGAAGAACACGCTTTTTAAAGATTAAAATTTTTATTAAAAATTAAAATTGATTGCTTTTTAATCCTGGTCACTTTCTTTTGACTCACCCTGTACAAAGGAAGGCAATTTATAGGCATAAGTTGACGACAAAAGTGATAATGAATTAATTACATTTAGATATGTGAATTCCATAAGGATTTCCAAAGCTATCCGAGCCGTGATGCCCCACCAGCCTTCCCGAAGCCTCAACACGCTGAATGCTGCGTGATGTCGAGTCAGCCCAGTAGATGAAGTCATAGTAGACAAAGATATCATACGGATTAATGCTGGTAGCTGAGTTGACAAGAACAGTTCGATTCTGACCCAAAAGATCCGAGTATTCGATGCGGTCGAAAAAAGCCTCACACCAGTACAGCCTTCCCCCTGAAGAACAAGGAGTCATTTCCAAGTAATATCATTAATCTTTATTTTGTATTATTATTATTATTAAAAAAATGGGGGTTTGGGTTGGACAAGAGGGGAAACGCCGTTGCTTCTACACGTATGCAACTCACACAGAACCGTTTAATAATTTTTGCTATAGTACTTTCCTTCGATAATCATCCTATAAAATCAACCACTCTGCAGGAAACCATGTAATGTCACATTCGTTCAACTTTAGTTACTGTGGGTAGTCACAATGACTTTTTGTATGATTGGGGGAAATTGTTACGCACAGAGTCTATTAATTCCAACAAGGGATTTGTTTCTGATATGGCAATTTAAAAAAACACACAAATGAAGGAAAACGCAGGCAAAGTAATTACCCTCCAGATCAAGGGCTATACCATTCGGCCACTGTAGCGAAGTATCGATGAGTACGCGACGACCTGAGCCGTCTGTGTCAGCTCGTTCAATCTTTGGTGCGGTACCCCAATCAGTCCAGTACAAATGTCTGGGGAAAAAAACAGGATAAGAATGAAGATTGAGGCAGGGAATCAGTCGCCTCCCCCTTAACACAAAGGCTGGCTGCAATGGCAAAATCTGAACTGGTCCAATGGTATGGTGAGCCTCATGTATACCTGTTAGCAGGGTCAACTACAATCCCCCTTGGTTGTACATTTCCGAGGGAAGTGTTTGCCAAGTTGAGAACCACTGATCGTTCCCGACCGTCCAAAGTAGCTCTCTCGATCAGATCACTGCCATCATCCGTCCAATACATCACACGATTCTCAACGTCAAGAGTCAAACCATCTGGAACTAAAAATAAGTGGCAAGAAAACTCTCTAATTTGATAGGTAACAAAAATTCGATTTGGTTGATCTACACAATTGGCTGGACAGGGTTAATCCTAAACGATAGCACTGCCCAGGTCACAAGTTATAGTCAGTCAGTTAGTCAGCCAGCCAGCCACTCAGTCAGATAGGCACAACGAGGGCCAGCACAAACACACAAAATGCCAAATCGGCTTACCCTGAAGATCCATAAAGAGAACTTCCACTCCACTCCCGTTCAAAAAGGCCCGATTTAAAGTCGAGAAGGTGCCATCATAATCAGTCCAATACACCATGCGCTCTAATGGGTCGTAGTTAATGGCGCGTGGTTGACGTATGTTGACATGGCTACCGTCTAAACCCGGGATGAGAGTGAAGTTGAAGGTGTCTGTGGGTGCGACATAAATCCCTGGAGGAATCAGATCGGTCACAAAGACCAAGTCAAGAGGATCTAAACGAAATCAAGGAAAAACAAAGAACATTATTATTATCCCTGATCGTATTAAGGCCAATTAAAAATGTGCCAAGGACCATCTATAAGCTCGATGCTGCAATATATACACCACTGACTAAATCAAACACACAAACTCTGCCCACAGATACCCATTTACTCCTGGACGGGCAAAGCAATGAGTTGCAAAGGTCTTGCCCACATTGTCATGAAGTGCATATTAAACGTCGTGTAACTCATCACTTTTACAGAGCATGGGGGCGGATTCATTCGAAACACCGCTCTGAAAGCCCCACCCCACCCCAAGCTTACAGTCCTGTACTTACGGCTCTGCGATTCACAGAATAATCCGATGAATCCAGGGGCACAAATACAACTAAAATCGGCAGAAGAATTAACACAACTTCCTTCATTCCAGCACGGGTTACTTTCGCAGGGATCATCTGTGAGAAAAAGTATATAATCGTTCATATATCTTCATGAATATTAATTTAAAAACGAGAACAACATCAAAACCGCATCCAAAATGAAAGCATGGGAATTAATGTGTTTGACCTTCACCCCATTCGCTGGTTCGGCTCTTATTGGGGAAATGATGTACGCTTGAGAGGTTGAAAGGAGATTAACGCCATGAGGGCGCACTATAACCGGCGTACAAGCTGCCCATGTTCAGGCCGCGGTGTTTTTTATTTGCAGCACACATCGTCAATGATCATAATTATTCAGCTAGTTCGATGTTTATTCATAAGAAATAACAATGTCGTCACACCATTGCTATAACTCTGTCATGCATGTACATTAAAGCATTTCAAAGAACGGCTTTCGTCGAGCTGCCACAGTGGCCAAGTGGATAACGGAACGACCTATGGATCGCAAGATCTGTGGTTCGAAGCCGTGTCTATTTTCATCAAAACTTTTTTTTGGGGGGGGGATAAGTTTAATTGAAGAGAAAACACCATGAGTAGGGTTATTAAGGTGCCTGTAAGCAGTGGCGTAGCCAGGAATGTTTTAATTACCTTGAATTAAAGAAAATAATGCTAGAGCATTAACTTATCTCTTTTCCTTATAATGCACAAAAAAGTACAAAGTGCACGGGTACGGTGCGATACTTTTTTTATGCGGAAACATATTAATTGTTTTCAATGAAATCAATGAAATGAATGCTTCACACAATACTTCAAACAATGATATGTTCATACTTCAAACGATGAAATGTTTCTGGAAGCCGACAGTTAAAATAATGTGCAAATACCGGTACTTTGGTTATCAATTGGGAAATTCCCCCGTATGTAGGGATTAGAAATGAAATTTCAAGCCCAGACCCCACCTACTAAAGCTTGTTGGGCTCAAGTTCCTCGCCTATTCTCACCCTTGTCCTGCACGTCTATAGGCCTAATAAATTCATCCCTTCTAAAAAAAAAAGTCGCCTTTGTTCTCTTGTGTTATTGAACAAAATCCCTCAACACTCCCGCATCGATTAAAATGCTTAAAAACTTCTTAGTTAATTTCTATCCTTGCCAATATCTTCTCCTGCCTTAACGGTCCACCGAACGTAGCATCCCCCACTTAAACTACTACACCAGCAAGAGTCCGGCAGCCTGCTGATGACGAGCAGAGCATACCGTTCGAAACGTCGAGTTAAACAATCAACTGGTTCTTCTCAGAACCACACATCTGTTCAATATAGTTCCCGCCAAAATATTTCAGTCGAAAATCCCAACTGTCGATAAAGCTACAGTCTCAAAATGTGACACGGCAACAGTTATCCATACTGAGACCCCCATTAAAAAGGCTGGCGCTGGCCAATTCATCGTGTTCGACAATAATAATGCTGGTGTGTTTTACACTAGTTTACGAGAAGAGGCTTACCTTCAGTTTGAGCTTTGACTGGAAACTTGGCGATCAAAACCAACAGAAAGGCGAACACCATCAGGTATGTGTTCACTCCTTTTCCGGCATCCATTCTAGATGTCGAACAAGCTAAACCTGACGTCGAACAATCTAACGGACTTTTTTTCTTCAGTCACGTTTACCAGAATGTAACTTTCTCACTCCCAGTTCTACGATATGGTTCGTGCGCAGTCCGGACAGACGGTTACTCGAAGAGAAAATGTCTGGACAGACTTCGACCCGAACAGGAAATAGATTGAACAGTCCGCACCCTGGCTGTTTGTACTTGTACAAACTTGCCAGTTGAAAATACATGGCCTGTCACATGAAATTGAAGTGTGCGGGTCCTTTCATCAAGTGAACAAAAGCCACCGTGGGACTGGTTTTGCCAACATTCAAACGGGTCCCGGAAATTACCGATACAAATGACTTCCTTTACAGCTCCTTATATAAACACGTCTCATCGCCCCGACGGAAAGAAAATACATTCCAAAATAACATGTTTTTAGGACTGTCTGCAGTGAAAAAAAGAAACAGAAAACAGTCAGACATGCACCCAGCTGACTACAGCTAGGGTCAGCTGGGTGCAAGGTCGGCTGTTTATGTGGTGTAGTCAAATTTAACTGCAGTGTTTTCATAGTGTTCATCGCGCTATTTCCTGCTGCCAGCCAGGAAAACTGTTGACTGGACAGGGAATGCAGAAATCAAAGGATATTTTATTTTTCCAAGTTTCAAACTTTGTCAAACAGTATGAAGCATTCGCTCGTACCCCGCCTGCAAACAGGGCACTGGAAATTAGGGCTGATGAGCTTCACAGAATCTTGTGAAGGAAGTGAGGATGGCATTCTGGGTAACCTATCATGACCTATACAAAGCGCGGTTAGCTAATGCACGCAAAAGCTATCCGAAAACTTTTTCATAGAAATGCATACATTCCATAGGGTCATTCCATGTCAGACCAACGCACTTTTTTACCTCATGTCTTCCGATTTTGATAAAAATTGCTGTGCTTGTAGGTCCTGATGAGCAATGAATGCACACCAATTTTTAGCCCGATCCGACCTACCATATGGTCAGGGCAGAAACCACAAAAAACGGACATTTTTAGGGTAAAATACCAGCCTTTTGGTAGAAATATGTCAAAACCATGTAAATTTTCATCGAATATATGCGAATTTGGTATCAAAATAATAAGAATTGCATGCTCAAATCAACTCTTTTGTAAAAATTAAATTTTGTGAAAAGTAGGTCACGTGACCTTTAATATGTTATCGTGACCTTTGACCCAATTTATGTACTAATGTATCATTCCAAAAATCAACGAAATGAAAATGACTTGATAGAGCATGTCTTCCTCTATCAGAATCCACTAAAAATCAATTGGGGTCTTTAAAATTTACAACTTTATGACTATTTTTGTACAGTTGGTAGGTTACAAATTAGTCAATTTATAGACTTTACATTAGAAATCCACCCGCACAACTTACTATTCTGTTTCTAAAGCTACTTAAATTAATCTTGGTTTGGGAATTTCTCATGTTTAGGGCTGATGAGGTATAACCAGACTCATATTATAAGTTATCAGGAGTGGCGCACCCAGGATTTTGCTTTTGTGTGGGGGGGGGGGGCTCATAATTTGTTTGTTTTCAAATTTCTGTAGAAGATTGAACAAAAAAAATTACCCCAAAATCAAACAAACAAATTGACAACCTTGGAGGGAGGGAGGGGGGGGGGGGCTCCAGCCCCTCGAGCCCCCCCAGTTACTGTTTAGGGTACGCAACAGCTCTATGCTTTCTACCCGGACCCAGTACAGTAGACACACATCCAGGTGAAATTTATCTCGAAGGAAAAAAATGCCAAGTCTGTGAGACTCATTAAATTTCAAGAAGCACAGTGATGAATGAGTAAGGTAATTTTGATTGCGATATTGAGTATTATCTTCAAGCAAACTTGAATCCTAGACCCTGATTAGTCCATCTATAGCAACAACAGTGTGATTTGATATAATACTGCACAGCTATATTGCGCCCCAAATATTGAATGTACATGTACATGTATGTATTGTGTTCTTTTTATTTGCTGCTGAACGGTCCGATACACTATGCACCTACATCTCTCACCACGTGCAATGTACGCTTTCGACATCAAGTTTGCTTGAAGATAAATTCGTTATGGCTCGTGGAACACGGAATAATGTAGTGTGTCGGGTGGCATATTGGTCACAGCAGCATTGCATTGTTTCATATTCCAATATTCCAAGCGCGCTCGTTGGATAACTAATTATCAGTGGCACGGGGGGGGGGGGGGAATCAAGGGACTTGAACCCACCCCCCTCCAAGGTTGTCAATTTGTTTGTTTGATTTTTTTTTCAATCTTCTACAGAAATTTGACAACAAAATGCTATGAGCCCCCCCCCCCCAAAAAAAAAGCAAAATCCTGGGTGCGCCACTGCTGATAATTTATATTATGAGTCTGGTTACACCTCATCAGCCCTAAACATGAGAAATTCCAAAACCAAGATTAATTTAAGTACCTTTAGAAACAGAATAGTAAGTTGTGTGGGTGGATTTCTAATGTAAAGTCATAAATTAACTCGTTTGTAACCCACCAACTGTACAAAAATAGTCATAAAGTTGTTAATTTTGAAGACCCCAATTGATTTTTAGTGGATTCTGATAGAGGAAGACATGTTCTATCAAGTCATCTTCATTTCGTTGATTTTCGGAATGATACATTATTATATAAATTGGGTCAAAGGTCACAATAACATATTAAAGGTCACGTAACCTCCTTTTCACAAAATTTATTTTTTACAAAAGAGTTGATTTGAGCATGCGATTCTTATTATTTTAATACCAAATTTGCATATATTCGATGAAAATTAACACGGTTTTGACATATTTCTACCAAAAAGGTGGTATTTTGCTCTAAAAATGTCCGTTTTTTGTGGTTTCTGCCCTTACCACATGGTTGGTCGGTTCGGGCTAAAAATTGGTGTGCATTCATTGCTCATCAGGACCTACAAGCACAGCAATTTTTATCAAAATCGGAAAACATGAGGTAAAAAAGTGCGTTGGTCTGACATGGAATGACCCCATACCGGATGTGATTTCTTTTTGTACACGTTTTCTAACCGAGGAGTCCTCGATTTGGTTCCTGTCCTCAATTCATCGATGATGTTGCACGTGTGTGTCCTCGATTTACACCATAAACAAACGCACTAACACACACCCATCTTTGTAAACACCGTCAATCGTGGACCCCCCATTGTCCCTAATCCTTATTCCTTTGTTTGTGCTCTTAACTTTTTTAGCAACAGCTGTTATTGGTTTTGTACACGAATTTCAATCGTGGACTATCGGTCAATCGTGGACGTATTGTTTGTGCCCTAACCCTTTTGTCCTAGCTAGGTCCACGATTGCCGGTGTTTACATACCATATGCACACATGTGAAAGTATTACTTCTTTTCTTGCTTGTTTACTATTTGACCGATTGATTGACTCATACATAAAAACGCATTCATAGATATTCTCTGTCCTAAACAGTACTCATAAAAATACATCTATATAGGCCCAATACTAATTGTATTTTAACACGACAATGAAAGGGGAAATGGTACAGAAAAAATAAAGAGAATGTACCATTCAAAACGAGAATAAATCTGCACCACACTTAAGGTCATTGTTATGATGTTTATAATAACAGCACTTGTACACGCGTTTGACCAGGATGTACTTTCCTGTCAAAATATTAGTTTTCCTGCGGTTTTGTTTCCAAGTTCCTTGTTTATGGCATGTGTCTAAATTTAGTCCATGAATATGACAACGCTACATTTTGATGCCGCAGAACAAGGTGTTTTGATGCTACTGAAAGGAAAATGAAACACGACATCTTGATCATCAGGTTTCTGTGCAGCCTGAACTCCTGTGAGAGTTCTGAGTATTTTTCAAAGAATTAATGAAGTATGGGGATTTCTCACTGGTGTCTATTATTTTTTTAATTTTTTTTACTGAGTTGCCCCGGAGGGCAAGAGTAGTGAGCAAAATGATTTACTTTTTGCGGCATTAGCATAAGTGCTCTACTTAATAAGTCTTCCCCCCCCCCTGTTTACTAGGGTGTATAGTGAATTTCAAAAAAGTTTGAATTCAAAGTTCTGAATCGGCTAAAAGGATAATAAGATAAGTTGTTGCGGTAGCACCATATATGTGGCAAATCTCTTTTTGTGAGTGATTCTGGACAGTATGCTCTGTCCATCGTCAGGAGACTGAGGGATTCCAAGTGGGGTTATGACAGAGTTGCAGTGAAAACAAATAAAACAGTCTAACATGCGCCCAGCTGACTACAGCAAGGTTCAGCTGGGTGCAAGTTCGGCTGTTTAGTTAGTCAAATTTAACTTCTGCAAATTTGTATATCTGACTCACTGTCAATTGCAAGCCGGGCAGTGCTATTGTATAGGAATACGCCGTACATAGCGCCATTGAATCGGCAACATCCGGCCAATAGTATACACCACGTGCATGCCAATACTATACGAAAACTTGGGAGAGGTTTGGAAATGAAGGATATTTTATGGAAGTTTCCAACTTTGTTATACAGTAGTGGAGCACAGCACGAACGGGCTACTGGGCTTATTTTTTTTTGGACATTGCGCCATAATGCAAGTAAAAACCCGTTTGTACTATATAAACAAACATTTTTGTTCTTAGTTCTCTTTACTAGTCTTTATTGTTTATTCTGTCTTGCAGTTTGTGGCGGATAGTTAAGCGGCACTGACCATATAAGGAAGGAATTCGATCAAGAATGAAAAAAGTTGAATAGTCCCGGGGATTTAACCTCCACTCAGTGCAGAAAGTAGTGCAGAATGGGGACGATCCCTTTAATGTTTTTGTTATTCAATATGGAGTCCAGAATGGTATGCGGAAATAGTCTGAATTGAAGTGCACCGGGCGATGTAGGCTACAGCTTCAAAAACTAGAGAACGCACAAATAACAACCAACCACATTTTCGTCTACAAGGAAATGTGTGCTGTACATTCTGTGTGCAAAGAACAATGCTTATATGTGAATTCGCTTAATGCCTTTTTTTGTAGTACATGCCTACTTTCGATATTAACAACTACATGTATCGCCCATTAATTTCCTGATGAATAAACTTGTTTAAGTCCTCCACATGCTTCACCTATTTAATATTGAAAATCTTCAGCCTCTTCGAATTTGGATTTGTATCAATTCGGGCGATTCTCAATGTAGTGCGCCATCAAGAGTTTGCCGTGGAGAATCTATTTTTGAAGTTTATGGTCGACAAATGAGTGTCAGTACAACTTGAGCTAATTTGTTATAAATTGGGGCATAGCGTTCTGCCGCCTTACAAAAAAAAACACCATATTGATAAAAAGAAAAGGAAAGGTCAAACATATACTCGAATCATACGCTTACGAAACAATTTCAAATGTCATCTCCCACAGTGCATTGGGAAAATGAACTCTCCGTGGCAAACTCTTGGTGGCGCACTGTATTGTGAACTCATTGTGCCTAGTGTGTAGATGTTTCTGGCAACATGCATTATTTGCTTCAAGTTGGAGTAAAAAAAATGCAAAAGTTTGAGCAATCAGCCAATGTGGCTCATCAGACCGGCGTTTATCTCTGGTTTCAGTAGCATGAAACGACTGAGAATAGATTTATTCACTCTGGATGGGATGCCAGTCCATCGCAGGTTACCGTTGGAGTGGCTTAAGAGAGACAAGTGCATGGGATGAAGTGGCTTGCTCAAGGACACAACAATGACATGCAGCTGGATTTGAACTCCTGCCCCTCCCTCTGTATATGAGTCGCAAACCCTAACCACTATGACACACTCGCAGACTACTCTAAGCATATACATGTACAATTATTGAAATAAAACCTTGTGATAGTGGGAACCTTTTAAACTCCCAAATCATCAATTTAGAAAACATTATGACCTCGAGTCAGGATTCCAACTGATCTTTACCGCCTTTATTAGCACATTCAGCAGGAAGCAACAAAACACCAAAAAACAACAACCAATCCTACTTAAAAAATGTCGACCATGCAAACTGTGTATCTAAAAGTGTCGTGGTGTGTTTATGGTGATTTTCATACATTCAAATTAGGCTCTACTTAGCTAGTAGCGTATTCAGCTTTTTTATGCCGGGGAGGGGAAAGGGGGCGGGGAAATTAACTGTATCGACGTCCGAACCGTCTTAAAACCGTCTGAAAAAACACTTGTTATTATTTTATGACGCCATAATGCCGACGGGGTGGGGGAGGAGTTGCCCCCCCCCCCCCCCCCACTGGATCGCCACTGGGCCCTTTTAGCCCGAGTGTACGGGTATGCAATCTTGTAGTACACTGCGCTGTATGTGAATACGCATATGCAACAAATGGTTAACATTACGTCACAAGAATTTGAAAGCATCACTCACATTAAATTCATGCATACAGTTGACTTCGTTTATACTGGACTTCTGTGTATACATGTATGTATCATAACATTTTATAAAATATAGGCCCTAGGCTTACGACAAAAACATTCCAGCTGCACAGCCAGTAAGGTTTAGGTATTGATTTCAACAGCACGAACGTACCTATACTATGAGCTTATTCATTTTCAACATATTAATCCGTACAAAGCTTTCACCTGTGTATGTTCTCGTGGTTTTAGATACCTTAATTGACAAAACTTTAATCAAACACTAGACGCAGAAGCTTAATTTGGAGTTGTACATTGTCACCTTAATTAAAGCCTGTATGCAATCATCAACCACCGACATTTTGCGACAATGCCGAATTTCTGGGCACCAGTAGGCCGACTAGAGCTACAAAGTGTGGGTTAGGCCTACGTTATCCTGTCTTTCCAAAAACAATTTAATTAAACCATATTTTAAATTCTGTGTAATATTTGCAATTTGTAACATTATATTGTCGCAATGTGATATGCTATATTGTCGCAATTTGTAACATTATATTGTCGCAATGTGATATGCTATATTGTCGCAATATGTAATATGTAATATTGTCCCATGCAATATTGACTAAATGGAAAGATAACAACTAAGACCTCCTCATCAAATCACTCGATCATTTGCGATGTAAAAAGACACATTTGCACATTTTGTGGCTATATTTCTTTGCCTGCATTAATGTTAATAAGTTTTTTTCTTTTCAAAGCGTTCATAGTCTTATAACTTCACTTACCAGCTACGTAAAAACAAATCCAAACACTCATTACTAATGCTTCAAGCATATAAAAGAAAACTCTCCAACTCATTCAGCTTAAATGCCTCGTAAGACTGTGAAATCATTAAGCTCATCTGTGTATTTGGATAACTGTTTCTGATAGTTTTAGTTTTAAAGGAATGTCTCATTAGCTTCAACACTGCTTCATGTCAATCCATCACTGTCAAAAGCCGTACGGGGAAAAGTGTTAACTTTACCGGGTCATTTTAAGAATCATTGCCCACTTTGTCATTTTCACCGAGAGGTGGCAGTTGGATGTTCAGTTGATTCGGTTTTTCTGCAGAACGGTAAAAATATCAACAAAGACACACACAGAATCTATTAAAATAGCCAAGACATTTGGTATCTTCTCAGTGCTAGTGCAAAGCCGGACGAGGGGAATACATTTTGTCGTCACGCAGTGGATGTTTTGATTGGATTGAAAGTCTGGGATCTCATCTGATGACGAATTGGACTACTATTTTGTTTTAAAGAGGTTGTGGAATGCTCGAAGACATTTCCGTCATTTTTTGGGTATATGTAGCCTAAGGTGTGATGAAATAAAAACGACTATTGTTTCTGTCATGAAATGAGTACAAAGGGTACTTTTGAGAGCTATTTTTCAGGTCCTGTTTCGACCCGAACGTGCAATTTGTGTAAAGGTCGTCGTTGCGGGCAGCAAACAAAACACAGTAAATCGTGACGTAATAAACAGGACTCGTTTATGCTACTCTGCATCGGGAGTTATACAAATTGCACGTTCGGGTCGAAACAGGCATGACAGGACTTGAAAAACAGCTCTCAAAAGTACCCTTTGTACTCATTTTATGACAGAAACAATAGTCGTTTTTATATCATCACACCTTAGGCTACATATACCAAAAAAATGACGGAAATGTCTTCGAGCATTCCACAACCTCTTTAATTATTAGTACAATTGAAGAAAGAAATTGACTGGAGAGGGGATTAAACTGCGACATTCGGAATACCAGCTGGGCTAAACAGCCCTTTGATGGCGGTTCCTCAGTTTGCGTAATGTCTTGTTTAAAGGGCGCTAGTCAGAAGCCTTAAACCCGTAAAGAATGCCTTGCAGTCAGGCATAACGCCCAAATTGAAGATGCCAACGACGTCAGCAATTTGAAACATTTAATCTGTTATAGTAATGAAAAGCTTCAATGATATAAGTAGCCCCATAAATATGGCCTATTTACTGGACTGCCTCCGTAAACATAGGCCACACATCCGTACAAAAACGTGTCGCACTTTGCCAAATTTTGATTTTCACATTTAGGCTTAGTTTGAAGGTTTTTTTGCTTTAGAAGCATACTCACCCTCTTTATAGGCTAGTCAGAAAGTGCTGCCTTTTTCAGATGTCTACTTTTTGTGAAATTTCAGGTTGAAATTTTGATACGCAAACGTGTAAAAATGAATCAGGAAATTTCACAAAAAAATATACATCTGAAAAAGGCAGCACTTTCTGATTAGCCTATAAAGAGGGTGAGTATGCTTCTAAAGCAAAAAAAACTACAAACTAAGCCTAAATGCGAAAATCAAAATTTGGCAAAGTGCGACACCTTTTTGTACATGTGGATGTGTGGCCTATGTTTACGGAGGCAGTCCAGTTAATAGGCCACATTTATGGGGCTAATAAAGAGGGTGAGTTTGCTTCTAAAGCAAAAAAACCCTACAAACTAAGCCTAAATGCGAAAATCAAAATTTGGCAAAGTGTGACACGTTTTTGTACATGTGGATGTGTGGCCTTAGTCCAGTAAATAGGCCACATTTATGGCGCTATGATATAAGATGTATTTTGTATCTATATGGTTTTTTTTACTCACCATAGTTTTCGCAGTCGGTTCCGGAGTACCGGTCCAGACACTGGCAGAAATAGCCGTCATTGGCACTAGCCGACCGGTAGCATGTCCCAGAAAGGCTGCACGAGGATGCCCCGCAAGGATTAGCTACAAAACACGGGCACATACTCAAGATTTAGAATAAGGCCGTACCGGAATTATTTGGAAATAACACACGGGTATAAGGGTGTGGCCACAGCCGCGTCGATATGCGCGTGTGTAATTTCCAGTCACAGCAAAACGGGCGATTTTCAATGCAGTGCGCCACCAAGAGTTTGCCACGGAGAGTCAAAGTTTACGGTCGACAAAAATATGACCGAATTGCTGCAACTGTAACAACTTGTCAGTAGACAACATCAAGAGAAAATTTTGATAGATCGAGGCCGAGCATTCTTCCGCCTCACCAAAAAAAAAAACCCCACATGTTGACAAAAAGAAAAGAAAAAGAAAACGATATAACACGAATCACGCTTACAAACCTATATTGACCGGACAAAAATGTCCCGCCGTGGCAAATTGGTCGACTGTCTCCCACAATGCACTGCGAAAAATGGACTCTCCGTGGTAACCTCTTGGTGGCGCACTGTATTGGGAATCGCCGGTATTCAAACGGTGCCCAACTCTGAACGGTGCCCAGTTCAAACCTAACACATGGATAACTTTCCGGATCGTTGTGGCCCAGAAACCTTGGCAAAAGTGTCATTTGTACCCAGCAAAGTATCCCCAAAAAGTATAAGGAAAAAAAACAGGAAATCCGAGATGAATCTGACTTGGGACTTTTTAGAGTATACCTAGCTTGCAGCTAGCTCCGGCTAAGCCATCCTTACAGACACACTGATGGTGGCCCTGAAACTGACGACAGCGTTCGCCGTCCCCGCAAGGCGTCGAATCCAGACAGGTGTGATCACTAAAGCCGTCTGAGAGAAAGCAATTTGATTTCATTTACTTAACTGCTGTCAAAATACGATTATTGGTACATAATATTCGATTTCGTTCTTAACTGAACTCAGGAGTTTCTTGCGTGAAAACGTGGAGGTAACAAACCACAAAAATACTGTCGACTATCAAAAAACACTTGTACTTGAGTTTTGTTTTTTCTTTTTTTGGAGGCTGTCTGGATAAAGTTACCTCGCGTGACATTGTCCAAAGTTGAAATAAAGACACTTCTTTATTCTAAAAGACTTACCACTGTGGATGTGTAAGCCCCCAGCTCTGGCGAAGGTTTCCGACCCGTAACCATGCACCTCATCACCGGGGAGGAAGTCCATACGGAGGATTTGTGTGAAACGCCAGTCAGTCCAGTACACCCTTCCCCGGTAGAACCAGATGTCGAATGGATGGATCTTGCTTGTGGCTAGCTCAGCGTGAACGCTCCGGTCGTCGCCCAGTAAGTCGGTTGACTCGATCTGGTCCAATCCGGCATCGCACCAATACATCCGTCCTCCTAAATGATGAACCGAACAACTTAATATCCGGCGTAATCCGCAATAGGCTACAATAGGCAAGTTGTTATTACACTGAAACGCCGCTATAACGAATATTTTATATTGCAGGATCCACAAAATTGTTCGTAATAGCGATCGTTCGGTATAGCAATTTTAAGCTGCCGGTGCTCCGGTACTCGCTTTTTAATAAATAACGCCCTTCAGAACTTCACCCTGCACGTCCTAGGCCTGGTAGTTACTGAAAGACGACTTTAAACAAGTGCCGACTATTGAATTATGTAATTGCACATGTTTTTTGAGCTTACTATACCTAAGACGATGTTCGGTATAACCGGTCGAATGTTCGGTATAGCGGTGTCATTATAGCGACGTTCCACTGTATTCGCAAGGTTTTGTGGCAAGATTCCCCAATGACGCACCCAGAATTTCCTCGTACTAACTTCATCACAGGCAGTTGATCGGGATTTCGCAACTAACACCCAATACGATGTGACAATATTGGATGTATTAATGTTTCGACAATATTTGTCCCATATGAGAGGACGCCTTACCCTCCATATCCAGTGCCAGACCACTTGGCCACTTCAAGCCAGTGTCAACCAGAACTTGTCGTGATGTTCCGTCGGTGTTCGCTCGTTCGATCTTGGGTGAGCTGCCTAATTCAGTCCAGTAGAGATGGCTGGAATGAGACGAATGCATGTGAAATCATTTTCTGGCCCGAGGGAATGTGTCAAATGCCAACTTAAACCCGTCTTTCGAAAGCCGAAAGAAAGTACTAGATATGTATTGAGACGGGCCCTTACCCATGTGTAGAATCCACTAGGATAGCTCTTGGAAGCACTTCTTGAACGGAATGGTCCGTCAGGTTGAGAATGACAGATCTTTCTTGGCCATCCATGGTAGCTTTCTCAATCAGGTCACTTCCTCCATCAGTCCAATACATCACACGATTCTCTGAGTCAAGACTCAGTCCGTCCGGGCCTGCAAAGCAGTTGAAAACCCTCAACGATAAGGTACATGCAAGCTTATCTTCTCTGTCACGTGTAACACCTATAAGCTTGAAACCATTAGACCAGCAGGTATCCAACTGGTTGAAGTTGTAAGACAATACCTTAAACTGACCCGAGCAATAGTTTGGTCTTTGTTTACCGATGAATCATGAAGGACCAAAGGTAGGGGTTTTAGCTCGGTCAGAGCTAAGGGCAAAATCTTATATTGATTTACATCACCCCGACGCAAAATTCCATCTGATGAATCGATCAGAACCTTTTGGTTTTTCAACACTCACAGAGGATCACTATACTTTGGTTGAAAATTGCAAACGCTAGTAAGTCTGTGGATAGTTTTTGTGATTCAAACTGAAAGGGGAAATGTAATTTCGGCAGTACGTGTTTGTCCAAATCATGTCCCAAACCACATAAAATCTACAGCTGCATTAACTCACTTGTGCTTCATGTAAGTGCCTCGGAATGTGGACATTGTTCTGGTGAAAATCTCATTCCTTCGTACTTAAAGTGGCGGACACAATTTTGAAAGCTTACTTGTTTGGGATGTAGTCCCTTTTTGATTGCAATCTTGTTCGGAATTTTAAGCCCCCAAACGTGGGCTACACTCAGAGGTTACTTACCTTTGAGACCAGAGACGAGAATCAGAACGCCTGTCCCGTCAAGGAACGCCCGACTGATGGTGCCCTGCCTGACGTCTGTCCAGTACACAGTGCCATCCACGGGATCGTAGTCAATGGCAACGGGTCTTCCAAGTTTATCGTCAAGGTCAGGGATGAGGGTGAAGTTGAAGGTGTCTGTAGGGGCGACATAAATCCCTGGAGGACTGAGGTTGGCCACAAATGCCAAGTCGTAGGGTTCTGTGGTTAAAAAACAGAAGAAGATAAAACGGAAATAAGTTTAGGCCTAATTTTATTCAATAGATGAATACAAGTCTAGGTAAAAATCCCTATGGCTCCGTGCGCCAACGAAAGAGGGCGCCCTTTTTCCTAGCAACGATGTCCCATAGCCGGGACACACAAATGTCGCTGGTTGACGCGCCGCACTGTTCCTTCGTGTGATGCACGTACACCAGGGGATTTGTACTATGTACACGCAGTGGCCGCCTGCTGGCGTCGTTCGGTCACCCCAACTGTACTTTCTTTGCCGGTGAGGGGGTACTTGTGAACGGAGCGGATATAGTATACAGATGTCCCAGAGTCAAATTTTTGGGTCAAGCCGAGGCTTTAGCAAGTCTATTTTACAAATGCTACTGAGAAAGGTACCCAGAGGACCCTATAGAACATTATCACGTTGCGGCCATCTTGATTTTTTTCCCATTCAAATCAACGTAACCAAAGCGAGGCTGGAAATATCATTCACTACTGTTATTGGATACTGGCAACATGACTAAAATGGTGGCAGCATGGTAAAGGTCTATAGGCTGGCCATCTGGGACCAACAAAACTTACAACATTTCCAAAAAACTTTAAAGAACTAACTGACGAAAAAGTTGATGGATGTTTTAAGTGACCTTAATAAACACGACCTAAATTGCTTCAAGTGTATAAAAAAAAGGTTGACTAGTGTTCTTACTGCTTTCGTCTTCACATTGTGTACCGACGTAGCCGGGCGAGCATTCACAGTGGAAGCTGTCCGGAAGCTCGTCAAGACAAGTCCCTGCGTGCATACAGGGGCTACTATCGCACGGGGGCACTGCAGAGATAAATTTATAAACACAGTCGTTATAATTCTCACAATTGGCTCGTGAGGAAGAGACGTTTTGCTTTTGTTGTTCTGATGATGAGTAACCAAAAATGTGACGTTATAAAAAAACATTGCAAAGGCTTTATAAGTGGGATGAAAAGCACCAATTTTCCTTTGCAAAAGAAAGTAATTTCAAATGAAGGCATACTCTTAGAAAGCAAAACTGAATCGTATGAGCCATGAAGTAGTGTTAAGGAGTCGGAAATGGATCGGACGTGTACTCAGACTGCAGGAGTCACTGCATGGAAGCAATTTTCTTTGCTCCGCAGAAGACAAAAGGAAAGTTATGCGCCTGAAGACAATATGGCGGCTTACAGTGAAAAAGGAGAGAAAGAACCTGGGTGAAAGTCAGGGAGCCAAGCCTCTTGTGACAGAACACTGTAGAGGGACAGCCTTGCAGCCGTCTGGGCCACCGGGCGCGAAGAGGATATAGGTGATGAGGTGAGGTGAGGAGAAGATGAAAATGGGCCTAATTGGTGCATAGGTGGACGATGAATGATAAGGGAACTCAATAGTGTTTGTTTACCTACCAAATGTTTCACAACGTTTTCCAGAATATCTGTTGGGGCACTGACAGAAGAAATCATCATCTCTGCTTGCCGACCGGGAACATGTCCCTCCATTCTCGCAAGGTGATGATGCACATAGGTTGTCTGTACGTTAAAACACAATAATGATCATTTTGAATTTAAAACGTGCATTAAAAGCAAGCGGTTGATAAGAACACCTCAAAGCGTAACCAAGGCCTAACTGCACAACCCGTTAACGACATGTTGTTTACAGATGAGGTATTACTCACCTAGTTCGCAGGCAGCGCCGGCCAATCCATCCTTACACACGCATTCATGGGTTGTCTTGTATTGACGACATCGTTCCCCCTCTTGGCATGTCGCTGGATCGTTGCATTCGTGACCTGTCGAATGGTCTGCAGATAAAGAAGAAGACAATTTGAACTATAAATTAATCTCATTTATCTATCTATCTATCTAGTTTTGCTTTCTAACGTCAGCAGGCGAGAGATAATTTTTTTTTTCCCGCTTGGGTGACGTGTGATTGACTTGTGATGGTTTGTATCACTTAGGTCCAGCTTATTGATAATAACAATAATAGCTTCTTGTATAGCGCACATGTCCGTCACGAAGTGACGCTCCTGGTGCTCTTTTATTACCCTGGCTTTAGCACGGCTGCCATTACGGCGCTCAAGCATTGAAGGAATTTCTTCCTACCAGGTACCCATTTACTATACTTGGGTGGAGAGGGGCAATCGTAGTAAAGTGCCTTGCCCAAGCACAAAAGCAACATGTTCCCCGCCAGGATTCGAACCATGCATGTTCAACGACACACGATTCGAACACACCGTAACCACTGGACCACACTCCTGATGATGGCCACCACTGTTGATTGCTCGAGTACAGCTGTTTTGTGATTACCTGTATAAATGTGCAAGCCCCCGGCTCTCAAGAAGTTGATCGATCCGAAGAAAGTAACCTCAGTCTTAGGCTCAAAAACTATACGGAGGATTCGTTTGAAACGCCAGTCAGTCCAGTAAACCCTTCCCCGGTAGAACCAGATGTCGAATGGATGGATCTTGTCGGTGTTTAGGTCAGCGTGAACGCGCCGGTCGTCGCCCAGCAGGTCGGTTGACTCGATCAGGTCCAACGCAGCATCGCACCAATACATCCGTCCTCCTAAATAACGACATGTGTAACCAGAAACAATGTCTGTTTTCCTATTCACAATTGTTTTGATATTACACCTCAAAAACGTCCGGGTCGGACTTTGCCTGGAGTCCGGGTCGATAAAATTGACCAGATAACCTTCCGGGTCAACTAACACTCTTCCGGATCAAAATTAGACTTCTCCGGAACATTTCCGATTCATTTTGACCCAGAAACTTGTAATTTCGACCCACAAAATTATCATTTTGACCCAGACAGTTGTCATATTGACCCAGACAATTGTCATTTTGACCCTGAGATGTATCATTAGAACTCTGACTCCGGGTCACTTTCTGCCTTACAATTTATTAAAGCCATCTCAATTATTTGGCACAGCGTACCGTCGAAATCCAGAGCAACTCCGTTCGGGTGTTGTAGTCCAGTATCCACCAGAACGATACGAGATGAACCATCAGTGTTTGCCCGTTCAATCTTCGGATAGCTGCCCCAGTCAGTCCAGTACAAGTGGCTACGGAAACATTGCAAGGAAATAAGAAACCAATGTTCAATTGTGGGTATTATAACCTTATTTTTTTATAATATGAGAAAATGAAAAATGTCAAATGGAGCACTTTTCTCCCCTTCTACCCCTATGATGTTCACCTCTTGAGAAACACCATCGATTCATCATCATAAAAATGTCTTAGTCCTTAAATGACCATTCGCTCAGGGCATAAAGAGGTTGCCGAATGATATTACTTATGAATGGTATCGACGACGATTGCTCGAGGCTTCACTTCGTCGATGGACTCATTCCTCAGGTTAATGACCACAGCTCTGTCCTTCCCGTCCATGGTAGCTCGCTCAATCAGATCAGTGCCGTCATCAGTCCAATACATAACACGGTTGTCAACATCCAAGCCGAGACCATCTGGAACTGCCAAAAAAAGAAGAACAAGCCACGCATGGCGAAGAGGACTGCACGCTGGCCCACTGGGTCCAATTAACAAAGAGGAAACATTTTGAAAAAAAATCTTCAATTTCTAACATCTACGAATCCGCAGAAGGTGGTATACTTTGTTTTGCTTATTTTCAATATAGAACGTTTCTCTACGATGGCAAACAGATGTTTAGCAATTAAACACAATCTTGCTATCACTTTGTAAACATGTTTAGCAGCTAAACATTACGTATCCAATTCCTAAACACCAATGTTCAATGGCTAAACACTATCCATCCTTACTCTAAACATGTTTAGTATTTAAACGTGTTTACAAACTGAAAGCCAGAAAGTATTTAGAAAAGTGTTTAATTGCAGTTTGGGATGGTTAATCTGCGCAGTTTTTGCAGTATGTGGGTGGTTAATCTACGAAGAATCTCCAAATTTGATCAGTTTAAGGTCTGTATAATTTTGCCCGATGTTAATTAAATTTTGCGACCAATTCCATGCTCAGTGTGTCACTATGATCGTTCTTTACGTCTTTATCTTCTTTAGAATCTCAAAAATTTGAAAGCCAACTTACTCAGAAGACCAGTTACAAGAACTGTGACGCCGGTTCCATCCAACAAGGCACGACTGATGCTTTTGCGCTGGACGTCTGTCCAGTACACCATGCCATCCACAGGGTCGTAGTCAATGGCAACGGGCCGGCTGAGGTCATCTTCAAGGCCAGGGATGAGGGTGAAATTGAAGGTGTCTGTAGGGGCTACGAAAATCCCTGGGGGGTCCAAGTTGGCCACAAATGCCAAATCATAGGGATCTTCCAAAAAGTGAAAAGAACAAAAACACCCTTAATGTGCGGATTGTCACCGTCGACTTTATGTCTCGGATTCTTTTCCTGCACCAGAATGGTTAAAAAGCCTTTACTGCCACATTCAAATGAGCAATACATTCTAAATTCAAAACTTTGACCTTCTTCTTGCAGGACTAGGATTTACTATATCGGAATCACTGCAACTATAGGCAAATGTATTACATGTCCCTTACATCATAGCCAAGATTCTAAAGACCATGAGCTGGAGACGAAGACCAGTTTTGGAAAATTGCACACCAGGCGTATAGTGGCATAAGGTGTTGGAAAACAGGCACAAACAGAGCAAAACATGTTTTTTTGGCGAGTTAATTTGGAGACATTGGACCGATCCAGTGAGCCCCATGGTGTTCTGACCAATCACAGCTGTGATTTATGTCCGACGTGCGTGTACTAAAGTCCGACATGCGTGAACGCGCGTATGATGCGCGCGGAAGGAAAATGCAGCTTGGCATATGGGAGTGGAGCACGTGTTAATTGCCCATGTGGGCACTGGGCGGAGCTTACTGGATCGGTCCATTCCTGGCTGCTTCTGTGCATATCTATAAAATACGATAAAGCAATTACTCACTGCTTTTTCTGTCACAGGTTTCGCCAATGAAGCCAACAGTGCACTCACATCGGAAACTCTCTGATGGTTGTTCGTCCACACATATCCCACCATTCAAACACGGATTACTTCTGCAAATGTGCACTGAACACAGAATGGCAGTAAATGAAATGGAACGACTATATCTGGGTGAGGCCACAAAATGTCAATTTAACTCGTGTCCATTTGTAGCACTCAATCCTCAAACCTGCAGTAATGTAACCCCGGAAAACTTGTACATTTGAGTTTATTTCAATACGTATACACTTAACCCATACCAGCAAGTTCCCAGCTACGGGTTTTCAACCCACATGTGAAGTAACCAATCCTCATTCATCTTTAAATACCCTAGACCTTCGAGTATATAATTTCATTTTTGATTGGTCATTCATGTCTTCTAAAACATCAAAAAGCTTGAACAGCCGCTTATGAAAATGGAAAAGGTCAGCCGTACGATTGCTTGATTTTCGACATGATTGACCTACCGAATCTCTCACAGTAAGTCCCTGTGTATCTTTCACTACACTGGCAGAAAAAGCCACCTGTCATCCGCGATGACTGGAGGCACACCCCTCCATTGAAACAAGATGTGTCCGAGCATGGGTTGTCTGCATGACATCAAACACAATAGCAATGATCATTTGAAATTTTGAAACATATATAAAGTAAGGTATCAAGACAGATACTAGCACCTCACTTAATTTCAAAGTGTCTTAAAATCTTGCTTAAATCCCTTGGTTTAAGTTAATGTTATACTTGGGATCATCTTTATCCCAAAATGTGCTTCTAGACGATCCCCACTCCAAGATGAAAATGAAACTTTAATTTGTCGAAGGTTATTCGCTGGAAACTAAATATACCTAAACTTATCCTGTGATGAACTAAACATGTACACTCACACAAACGCGTCATGCACAGACAAGTATTTAACGAACATCTGTAAACGTTTCGACAAAATTTTGTCTTGAAGCCAAAAAAAATTAAAAATCTGCGAAGATGGGTAAACTCTTTAATTTACCTTTCTGGCAAAAAACTCCGGCCAGACCGTCTTTGCACACACACTGGTGGTTGCTCCGGAACTGGCGGCAGCGTTCGCCTCCTCCGCAAGGTGTTGAATCCACACAAGTATGATCCAATGAAGTGTCTAAAAACAGGGTAAAACAAGCAAAAGGTATTGGATGATTTAGCTTCCTACAGGAAATTTTGCAGATTACATATTCTTACCTTAGAGGTCTTCCTTAAAACCCTCAGAACCCATGATCTTCATAAATCGCTTCATGTGTCCAGCAATCACAAGTGATCACTCCAGTGATCCAGGGCTTAGGCCAAAACAAGTTCCATCGTCTTCGCCTCGGTAACTAGTTTGCGAACTTTCAAATATCTCATGGATCTCCTACCGACTCTTATCGACTACCCAACCTTTAAATATGACACAGCCTCCACTCGATACAGATTTTTCTTTGTTTTTTACCTTTGTGAATATGAAGCCCCCCTGCTTTTTGAAAGCTCAAGGACCCAATAAGGGCTGCCCTCACAGGGCTGAATTGCATGTGGACGAGCTTCAAGTAGCGCCAGTCGGACCAGTACACGTCGCCCCGGTAGAACCAAATATCGAAAGGAACGATGCCATCGATATTGGCGTGGACTTGGCGTGACCCACCGTCTAAATCGACAGACTCGATCCGTTCAAGCCTCGCGTCACACCAATACAATCTCCCATCTGAACCTTTGAGGAGAAGAAAAAAGGAAAATATAATTAAAAAGTTCCTACCAGCTAGCAGCTTGTCATGAAGTTCTTTTTTTAAACATTTGTTTATGAGAACGTTTTAGTGTCTCGCTTGCTGGCACAAAGTGACAGGCATCGACACGCCCATTCGCAAAAAAAAACCCTTCAAATGTTGCACAGGCATCGGGTGGTATTTTTATCAAAAAACACTAAATCTTGTTTTGGTAATGTTCATTTTTTTTAAATAAAAAAAGTTCGCGTGAAAGCTCTGATTGTCATTTACGGGTGCATGACAGTTCGATCTTTACGAATCTTGGGGTTTATATAAAATGACGTCAGGATGACGTCTCTTCTTTACAAGGTTTTAAAGTAAGGCTGTTTCGTCATGATGACGCCATCGATATCAGGAATTTCAAATAGAGATGACTCGCCTTTTTCTAGACTGTCGAACTAGTGCATGATAATTACACGTGTACAAATTGGAACGCAAGAAGCTTGAAAATATGTTGCAGTCTTACACACCTGTCGATATGTAATGTAAAAAAAAACCTACTTGAAAAAAAGGATACTCTTAAGATCGGTTCACCACAAATTGTTTTTTTTTACTTATGACTTTGTACATACTGCTCGTATCCAAAGCTAAGCCGTTCGGTAGGTTCAGATCGGTGTCGACTATGACCTTGCGCGACCCCCCGTTGACGTCCGCTCGCTCAATCATCGGTGCACTGCCCCAGATGGTCCAATAAAGGTGACTATAAAAAGGTTGTAATATGGGAAACTGGTTGATTAATTGTTTTGCCTTGATGAATTCGGAAAACTTGGACCAATCATCTGACATCCTGTCTCGCAGCCATCGATCCCCTTTCAAAAATCATAGGAATAGCTAATTTCCAATAATTTCGCTCTTTTAAGTAGATTATGTTATTGTAAGCGATGATTTTTGCTGCGCCATTTGTGTGCATTGGCGACAGGTTCCCATGCAGCCACACTTCACTGGCCACACGCCAATCTTCTCTAGTTAGAGCTACGTCCGGGTCATCAACCGTGAAACAGACGTGAGGGGCCTCAGAGATTTCAGCCTTTTTTATCTTCTCGCTGTTTGGTCATTATAACCCTAAAGGGGCCGGGGGGAATCCGCCCCCCCCCCCCCCCGTTCAACATTTTCCGCGATAGCGAAAAAAATTTTCGCGACCCGAGCTGTTATGACTTTTTAGCCTCGAGCTTTGCACATCTTTTGATACCAAAAACACAAAAATCGGACCATTGGTTGCCGCGTAGTTTTTCGTGAAAACTGAATTTTCCCATATACGTCGTGTATACAGAGCAGAATTGCCATTCGTACATTTGAATAATTAATAAGCCATAATTCCAAAACCTTTTTGAACTATGGTCATGAAATTTCTTGGGTATGTTTAGGAAGAGTTGCTTTATGCATGTACTGAGTTTCAAAATTGTTCATCACTCAATGACCGAGATCTTAGGGAATCCGCCCCCGGCTGAGAGATGGTAAAAATAACCCGGCCCTTTTAGGGATAAGCGAGCAGTGTTGCAAACTTCGTATACAAATCTTAACCACAACATTAACTGAGAGCCACGCAATAGCTACGTACATTGGTTATATGTTAGTATAGGCTATCTAAGGTCGTTCACTTTTCTCTATAAATTACTCAAAAGTTCGGGGAACCATTGCATCTATAAAATGCCTTTCCCTTATTGAGGGTTTCTCGTTAGAAAATTTGGTCAAGACGTTACCTGGATCTGGTATCAACAACAATTGCTCTGGGTTTACGGTCCTCATATGCGCTTAGGTTGATGACCACAGATCGATGAAGGCCATCCATGGTAGCTTTCTCAATCAGATAACTGTCTTCATCGGTCCAGTACATCTTGCGATTCACAACGTCAAGACAAAGTCCTACAGGGGCTAGAAAACAATAAAATGTACGAACATTAAAAACATGGCCAGTATCATGCAGGACCAAAGACCGAAGACCAAAATAGCAGAACCTAAAACCCAGGACCAAAGACCACGGACCCAGGACCCAACATACAGCATCCAGCATCCCGGCGCCCAAAACCAGGACCCAGGACCAAGTAGCCACCTAGGACCCAGGCCCTGCTTGACCCAGGAAAGAGGACCCAGGGGCCAGATCGAACCCAAGACCCAGGACCAAGGACCCAGGTATCATGACCATAGTCCCATGACATAGGACCCAGTACAAGGGAGCCATGCGAAAAAAGGCCTAGGTCCTTTGACCCATGACTCAGAACCAGCGAGCAAGGACACATGAGCCAGGACCGAGTTACCAAGACTCAGGTCCTAGGACCCAGGTCCCATGACCCAGGTCACATGACCCAGGTCCTATGACCCAGGTCCCATGACACAGGTCCCATGACCCAGGTTCCATGACCCAGTTCCCGTGACCCAGGTCCCATGACCCAGGTCCCATGACCCAGAATCCTGTGACCAGGTTCCATAGAGCAGGAGACAAGACCCGTGACACAGGACGCACGACCCAGGACCTGGAGCCATGACCCGGGACCAAAGATCGAATAAAGACTGTCGATATATCAAAATTATTTTACAAAACCTAGAAGGTACTTACAACGGAGATCCGACACGAGCACTAACACGTCGGTCCCATCCACGGAGGCACGACTGATGGTCGAACGTGTGACATCTGTCCAGTACACCATGCCATCCACAGGGTCGTAATCAATGGCAACGGGCCGGCTGAGGTCATCTTCAAGGTTAGGGATAGCGGTGAACTCAAAGGTGTCTGCCGGTGCTTTGAAAATCGCAGGCGGGTCCAAGTTGGCCACGAACACCCAATCATAGGGCTCTGCCAAAAAAGTATACTGTGATGAATCATCAACTATACGTTTTATACATTAACATGAACAGTATAGTGACTTTTCTTTAGTGCCCAGTCACTCGTGCTAGAACATCAGCATCTAATTGGCCAGCGCTGTTAGTGGGCGTGGCTTAAGTCATCTACTAAGCAATACTGCATTTTCATTGGTTGAGGCACCCTGTGTACTTTAGTAATGAGGGGCATTTATTGTATGTGAATGTATATGTTCATGTTGGCTTATAAAAGGCACAGTGTGACTGCAAGAGAATAAACTCACTTCTTCGCTTGGTGGAACAAGAAGTCAAAGAAGTCTCCTGTCTCTGTTTTATTGTCTAATTGTCGCTAATTAGGGTGTCTCCCCCACTTGAGCCACTTGAGCCACTGGTCAGCCACCCTGAGCCACCGGTCAGCCACCCAGAGCCACCGGTCAACCACCCAAACCACAGGCTAATCCACCCAAAACCACAGTTTAATCCACCCAATCCCCTAAATCCCAAACACTAGTTGAGTTAGAGCTTTCCCCTGGTGGAGCAGATTTGGGAGTGCTGTTCGTCACTTGGTGCTGTGGCCTCCAACCGCAGGTGCTTCAACTCCATCCGGACTGGGCCAGAGAGGCAAGGGATCGACTAGGCGACGCACGTTACAATACAATGTATTGTACCATTTCTTTTGCCCATTTAATTGATAAATACTAGCACCAGTCATGTTTTGAAATAGAAGTGCCTGGTTTCCTATCACTTCAAACAAAAGAGGAATTTCCTATCACCGCTATAATGGGTGCTTTCGATTAGCTTCCTCGTCCGGGGCTACATCCGCTGAAACCAAAGAATGAGGTTTCATTATTGCTGGAATTGCTCCCCCATATATCAGACGGGCAGTCGCATCACAGATGGAGAAGCGTAAGCAGGAGAATGACCCCTTACACCCTCTCTTCGAGCACAAACCAGCCAAAAAGAGACTGAAATCAAGGCACAGCTTCCTTCACTCTGTTGATCCACTTGATGGTAGTGCCTGTAACCGCCGACTATTACCCTCTGGTCTGATCACCTCCAGACAAGCCCACACAAGCTCTCCTTCAGCCCCAAGGAATCCCTAACAGCAGGCTCAAGTGAGAAATGGCCCACCTGGTCATGTGTTAACCGTCTGAGGACAGGGACCGGACGCTGCAAAGCCCTGATGCAGAAATGGGGATATAATGAGGATGGTGAAACCGCATGTGACTGTGGGGCTGAACAGTCCATGGACCACCTGCTGGTCTGCCCCCACCTGCCAGAACCCTGCACCCACGAGGACCTAGAGAAGTTCAACCCCCGAGCGAGATCCTGTGCTCAACCCTGGGCGGGAGTGGTGTGATGACCCGAGAAGAAGAAGGTTTAATTATTGAACGCTGCGGTGTATATATTCGCCTTTGCATTTCTGGGAACATTAAGGTCAATAGTTGTTTTGGGGCGAGACTTTGCACACTTTCGTCTGTTTCACTGATAAATTAAGTTTTATATCACTGTAACCAGATCAATAAAAGCTGAAATTGGAAAATATGCTCCGAATTATCAAAATATGTCCATCCAACAGAACACTTTTAATTATTGAAAATGTTTGTGTCATAAATCAGTCAATTCGTATTCAAGTTCTATAGCCATCTTCAATCTGTTTTTTTTCTGGCACCAATGGACACAAAACATGCTATAATTAAGTGGAACGATATCCCTAAAAAGTACTAGCCCCTGCAAGTCTTTCATTTTTTTAAATTAAAAAATATACAAAATGATGCAAAGGACTGTGCAATAAGCATTCACGTCCCGAATGCAAATTAGTGCCAAACTCTGCGGGACTTTTAAAAACCCTTCGCGAAGTCAAAATACAAAAATGTATTTTTTTTTTACCACTCCGACATTAAGCGGTAATTATCTCATTTCACATGTACCTCATTCAAAAATAACACACATAACTTGGCGAGATCCAGAACTTATAGAGCCTATAACAAGCCCTTGTAAGTTGTGACAGGCTCGAGCCATTAAACATGTCTCGTCCTCGAGTCCTGGACGTCAATCGTTGGGGGACGAGGGGAGGGGGAAAGTTCCCCTACTTTTTAAAGTAGGTGGTATCATCTCATCCCCCCCCCCCACTTTTTTTGTTATAAAAATACAGCCTACATTTTTATTCCACAGCTCAGAATAGCTGATTCAATGACTCCAAACTCAAAAATGATGTTTAAAAGATGATCTTTTGCTAAACAAAAATATGGTTTAGTGGTCAGAAATTGCCTCAGATCGCACACCAGAACGTCTAGAACCCAATTTTTTTCGGGGCCCTTTACGCGGGCCACGAACCCCACTCGTTAGGGCTTTGCGTTTCGCGCTTGAATTAGTGCTGGTCAAGGTATGTCCCCCACCCCCTACTTTTGAGAAGCGATTGCGTGACGTCCTTGCCTCTTGAGTCCTGTATGGACAATGCATCGATACCGATGTTGGATTTGGTATTACTTAGGTCTAGGCTATATTCTGACTACATTTATTCAGATACTCACAGAGGGTAACAATTTTTTTTCACAAACAAGACTAGTACACATTTTTCTCATTAGCTATAAAGTACATGAACTACAGCACGGACGTGCACAAAAAAGAAGAAAAATAGTGTCGTGTTATTGCCACCTACCGCTTGTTGCGATCTGACAATCGTAGCTCGGAGCAAACCAGCACAGGATGATCACCGCCACTTGGAGCGAACGAAGCAATCTTCTGTCATCCATTGAAGACGGGTCACGGTAATTGTACTGCGTCTGCTTGCCAATGAGCCTATTTTGTCGAATCCAACATTCGCAACAACAAAAAACTGCAGCGAGTGCATTGACAATGGAGATTAAAAGGTTGAGAATGTTAAGGAGGAAATATATCCTGCCTGGCTTTTATAGCCTTGTTGCAATAACCAAGATAGTATCGGTACAAAGGGCTATAGGTCATGTTCTTCTAGCAGTACCCTGGATATAATGGTTCAGTTCCAACTGGCTGTGTTCCAACATGCTTTGGTTTTTGTTTTGTGCTTTTTTAATGCTAATGATGGTGTACTCTGATTGGTCGCTGGTAATCGTATGAGTTAGAAAGGTCACCGATGTTTCTCGTTTGACATTTGAGTTAAAGGGCATTTTGCCAAAGTCGCATCTGCATTTTACATTATGGCAAGAAGCCATCTATTGCACGCCATGATGTTTTGATGTGAGCGACTTAAGGCCCAGCATTAATGCAATTGGGTTATAGTTCACACGAAGGAGAAACAAGATTACAAAAAAGAGGATACTGTACAAGGAAACAGGAAGAAAAATACTCTCGATCTGGCCAATAAATATTATCAAAAAAGAACGCATAAAGGCCGTCCTGTAATGTAATAATCATCAGTATTTTTCTGATTAGCGATATGTTTGCTTTGATTGTATACAAAGCAATCCAATATAAACATCCCCATAAAAAACCTGGCAAAATACTGAGATTATTGACACTAAAACAACTTTCAACTTTTACTTCTGGTCAGACAATAAAGTCACATTTAAAATGCATTGCAGAAAATATCAGCACAGTGGTGACAATGCCGGATGAAGTGTCCCGTAGGCCCTAGTGCGCCCTATAGGCATCAGCACAAATGTCATGTTGATGCAAAGCTATACTAAGGCCCTACATGCCAGTGGATGATCCGAACCTGGGTGTTGAAATCTTATGTGCCTATCAATTGTTTCCCCCACCCCTCCCCTCCCCTCCCGGGCTGCCCCACCCAAGACGTGGGGATTGTTACTTTTGAAGTGACAAAATCCCCACCCCTCGGGCAAAATTTAAGTGACAATCCCCGACCATCATACGTGGGGCGCACTAGTGATTGCCTTTCCATTAGTACGCCAATGTTCACAATGTAATTTGAGTGACCAAAATCCCCACCCTGGGGCATGAAAAACGTGACCAAATCCCGACATCGGACCTGGGGTAGCGCGAGGGGAGGGGTGGGGTAAACACTTGATAGGCGCATGAAGGTAAAAGAAAACCAGAAAAAAAATATTTGCCTTGATCTGATAACACTTATATGTTTTAAATTGTTGGCTAATCAAAAGGTAGGCGACATTCACGCATCAACATATGAACTTCAAATTTAGTACATGTGTTTGCTGTAACTTTGTTTTATTATTAACCTCTCCATTTGACAATTTCAATTCCCCGATTACTTGGCATACAAGGATGTAAGGTTAAGGATGTGGTATCATCTTTCACTGAGGGCGCTGTTCAAAGTGGTCGATCATGATTAAACACACTATCAGAAAATTATGTTTTCAGGGAGGCACACGCACGAGATGCCCAAAAAGGCACTCGTCACACCCGCTGTTTAAAAAAGGCACTAAGTTTTTTTGGGGAAAAAGGGCATTTGTTTAAAAAAAAAAGCACTTTAAAAAACACTCGTTTTAAAACAAAGGGCACCCTTCAAAATAATGGGGGGAATATTTGCGAAAAAAGGCACTTGAATGCAAATAGGCAGTCTTTACATAATATTGGGGGGGGGGGTAAATACCCCCCAGCCAAGCCAGTGGCCACAAGTGGGTCGGCATGAAACACCGAGAATTCAGCAACAACAGGGGGCCACGACGGGGGGGGGGGGGGCAATGACAGTCAGGGTTGTTTATCGTGGTTTTCAAACTTACAAATAGGGCCCTATCATTAGCGTGTCCAGGTTTTTATGTCGGGGGAGGAGACTTTACTGTTTCGACATGCCGAATTTCTGGGCGCAAGTAGGCCTCTACTGGAGCTACACAGTGTGGGCTATGTTATCCTGTCTTTACGAAAAACAATTTAAACCATATTTTAATTCTGAGTAAAATTTGCAATTTGTAATATGTTATATTGTAGTAATGTGTAATAACTATATGCAATCTGCCAACAAAGCAGCGAATTCAGTCAATATAATTAATTGATTTAAGTTTCTTCATTGGTTGAGGGATTCGTATCTGCTCAGCATTATGTATGCCTCATGGCTTTCAAGTTGTGTATCCAGTGGTAAAAAAAAATCGCTAGAAATATCCATATTACAGTGTATTAGTTTATGTAAACTGTAGCAATCATTAACAGGTTGCAGAATGTCAATTATGCTCAATATTCGAGACTCGATATTCTAAATCGATACTTCATAAAATGCTTTCACTTGATCGTGAAATAACGAAACGGTTTCTGATTATAAGTATTTGCCTTAGGAAATATACACGCGAATCAACATCTTGTTCGCACCTTGACTCAGGTTGATTTTATCCGATTTCATGTCGAAATGTAAAATTGATCAAATGTTATATAAATTTGAGAATAATGTAATTATAAAAAAGCTCTGCGTTTCATTACTATTTACCTAATTCCTTGCAGTATAATAATTTAAACACAGCTTAAAACATGCTAAGCAGTTTATGAAATATGCTAAACATTTTATTAAATGAAACACGATACGTATCGATTATTAAACATAGAACATGAAGTTTAAGGGGCTTGGAGAGCGTCAATGACTGCTTTACCTGTTATAATGGTACCTCAAACTAGCAAATGTATGACACAAGATTGGCTCAACCTTGACGGTAAACCTTTCTTTGAAATCGCAACATAGTCTTCCTATTGCGGTGTTGTCACAGAGATCTCCACTTCTGCAGTCTGCCCGGTTGACGGTTGAGTGTGAGCCGTTGCTGACACCAATTCTGACTCGTTTGACTTTTCAGGATGCAGTGTGGGCAAGCGGCACTCCCGGCCACAGCAGATGCGCTTCATGTAGGGCGCCAGGGCTGTGCGGACCTCCTCACGTCGAGCGCAGAACATGATGAACACAACCACGCCCTGCAATGGGAGCAAATAATTACGACTTGGTTATCAAACAGACCCCGTACGTTTACAAAATTGATGTTGGTACGTAGTTCCCGCCCCTACTTTACATAATTATTAAACAAGCCACAAAGCAAGGGTCTACACCTACAAAATAAAAAAAGTAAGTACAAGAGAGAAAAGGAGTGTTACGGACAGTTTGTATTTTTTCTTTTTTGCTCACTATAGCCGCCGACGGAGGGCTCCGACGACGCGCTGTTTACACTGCGCTGACCTAGTTCCTTTGTTACAAGTAGCGCGCGGTCCGGAAATTAGTTCCAAAAACTAGACTCCATGGCGGGCTAAGTTGTTACAATGTACTAAGTTCTGTCTGCCTGTGTTATTCTATGCTGGGAATCAGCAGTTCATGTTCTGGCAGCGGTGCGGCAAGTTGACCGCAGAGTTTTAATTGCTGAACTAAATTCGAGTCTCTCTGGAGTTATTCTGTCTGCGTTCCCTTTTTGCCTGCGATTGGCGAAACTTGGAGGACAAGAACCCAATATAAATTCACGCTACTATCGGAAATAAAGTTCTTGGTAAGGAACTACACAGTGCATGAGGCCGCTAAAACTGTACGTCATTCGTCATAACCCTCAGCTCACAAGCGGTGCTAGGAAAATGAGGCAGATAATTGATAAGAACACTGGTGAATATACGATACGCCATGGAGGAACAAGAGTCTACTTGAGCACATCTAATGATTGTACATGTACCTGTGAAACAAGCTCTTTGGGGCAACAGAGCTCAAGTGAAGGACAAGACCCTGCATGTCCCGGTAGTTAAACTCATGACAGAGTCACGTCTCAAGAGAGTGAGCTACAGAGTTGATAAAAGTGTGGGAATTTAGTGAGGCTGTACCGCGCTGAAATGAGGTGCCAAGGAATGAAACACCCACCTGCAAGGAGTTGGCCAGACAGAAGATGAGCTGAAATGCAAAGGCTGCCTCGTTGATTGCCAGGAACCCAAAACACCAGGTCAACCCCATGAGGGCGGAGATTCCCACGGCATTCTGGAGGCGTTTGGAGATCTGCTGGGAGCGAGATACCTCCTTGACCTTCAGGAGACTGCGCATGACCAAGATGAAGGTGATGATGTTGTGGAGGAGGATGAGACCAATGGGAACAAGGAGGCCGAGGTACAGCACAAGACCAGGCTCAACGAAGCAGCTGCAAAAGAAGAAATATTGATCATCATTTTTTTTTTATATATAGGTAGGTAATACCAGTTTTAATACAGTGCTTAATAACCTGCACATGTATCACAGTCGCATCTGTTTAAGTCTTTGGACATTTTCGAATCTTTGTCTTTGTTTCCAGTTTCGGCTTGTGTTAAGAGATTGTAGACCTCTGACTCTGGATGATTCGGCTCATTATGGATCCAAGGTCTGCTTGAGGAGTACAAAATCATATTCGTAAGAGAATAAAATTTGGAGTAGTTTAGATTGTAGAAGGTTCTTAAATTCCCTGCATACATTGAAGTAATCAGACGCTTGGGACAAAGCCGACGTTTCGAGAACTACTCTATTTGAATAATAATTAGGTAGAGAGAGAGTGTCAGTCATTGGGGAATCCAAACAGCGCCCTCAGATTAAAAGCTAACATGGTCATTCACTTACTAATGCTCGTTGGCATAGTGATGTGATGCTGCAGCCAAGGTGATAATCAACACAATCAATGGAGAACCTAAAAAAGGAGATTGAAATCTTATTCTTGATTCAACTTGATTCCAACCTTGATTCAACTGAAGATAACAATGAGTTTGCTTGGTATCTATTTAAAAATAATGTTTGAGTTTAGACATGGACTCACCCCAAGCGATGAGGCAAGCCTTGAGCATGTATCGAGGCGTATCTTCAGGGAACACCTTCACCGTACTGACGTACATGTTCCTGGCTTCAACGGCCATCCACATCATGGTGGACAGAGTCAAGTAGTGGAGTAAAGCAGCCACAAACACACAACCACCTCCGGAACCCTTTAAATTGAAGTACATGTAGATATAACTGTTATAATTTCAAAGCAAGATGCAATTTACAAAAGACGTTACAATCAATGCTTTTCAAGATATGGAAAGTGCTTTTACCGACCGGTCCTGGCCACTTTTGACCTCTTGGTGGCTCCACATATCTATCGCCCCTTAAATTAAACTTAAAAGTTTCCTGCGTTATGTAACATCGCTCACCTTAGCATTGTCGACGCCGGCAACGAACACGATGTACAACATGAACAACGAGAAGCAGAAATTGATGAAGATCTGACGAGATTTTCCGCTTCGCAGTTTCCTACAAAAAAAGGTTAAGATGTTTATATATATATTCTTTATTTTCACTGCCTTACAGCGACAAGACAACACATGGAACGTATGAGTAATAAGCATACAGAGAAACATGGTTGGGTTTAATTTTGCTGATCATTTCATTACAATGATCTTACCTGATAGCTAAGTATATGATCAGCGTGATGGCCAGAGCTATGATTGACAGTGCAGCGCCAACATGGCTGATGATATCAAGCGCTTGCTTAGCAGGAGTGTCATCTTTGTCATCAGGTGCTTGGCCCTTCACATCCTGAAAGAAACGTCAATCCTGTTACCAATCCAGACGATATTCCTAATTTGTCATCTATGTATCCAACAAAATAAAATTATCTCCTAATTACAAATGTGGAGAACATTTTTCCTGATAAATGTTCTCTTTTTCCTGACTTAACAGACCTTCCCTTTTCGGCTTAAAGTAGTGTCACTCTTTCTTTGAACTGAAAGAGGTACTCTTTTGCTTTGTGATGTGCTCCAATGTCTTAGCTTGGTACAACCTGCAGGAGTCTAGTCACCTTGAGCCTGCAATTGTCACATTCTTAAATGGGAAAAAGCTGTATATAGTAGTTTGGAATCACAAGATTGAACTATACATACCACTAGGATTGCGAAGTTGGTGGCATGAGAGCAATTACACACGACTGTCTTATTGGTCACTTCAGCAAGCGCGCATCCATCTGTCGTCCAATCGCCGACTCCATCTTCCAGCTCAAAGTCCCAGGACACGCAGTGGACCTCGCTTGATTCCTCCTAAGTTTCGAAATCGGAAGATTGATAAAAAGCTACACCAAATTGAGGGTACAATCTGAATTGATTAATATGGACATTGATGTTAAGTTGGCAGGAATAGGCCCTCGTGCAACAGTGAAGTATTCTACTCTGGATGAACTGGAATATTAATTATCTCATGATCACCTTGAATTCAATCACGACTGGTTCTGTGAGGTTGACAAGTTCAACATTCTCCACAGTCAGTGAGACGACAGATCCAGCGACCTTACGAGTCGAGTTACCCTCCCCTCGATGCTCTCTGATCGAAGCAGACTGGAACAACGTGTCATCAGCGTAAATCAGGAAACTGGCTTGCAGCTGAGCTACATTGTGAAGAAATAGTTTAAAGAGGTACGTTTCTCATAATTGGTTTGCACTTCCCCCGAAAATCTTATCAACAAACAACGTTTCATAGTGTCATCCCTTGAAAGATGTTTAAGATTCTATAAGAATCTACTTCCGGAGGCTTAGGTTATCCCAACATTTCCATCATAACTCCACTTTCAACAAGGAACAGCAGTGCGTCTCAAACGTACGCACAATTTGAACCATTGCTTGCATAGTAGACCTCAGCAACCACCGCATAGCCCCACCCTCTTTTTTATCTTATCAAATATCGATTATTGTGCATAATCTTTGATCACACATGAATGATGAACTTACCATCAGGGGACGGTAGCAAATTAGTGATGTTGCCAGGCAACCGAGCCGATGCCAAGACATCGAGATCCTTTGGTATCATACTGGAGTACAAAGTCTCGACCTCGCTACCGGCAAGGGTGCCCTCTTGCAGTGACCCTTGTCCAGGAGACGTCACATTAGACTGTTTCACGGACACGAAGCTGAGTCCGTTCCTGGTCTGGTTTGGCTCAAGACTGACCGCCTCCACGTGGATGGAGTCCTGACGTATACTGACTTTACCCTCTTGCTGAAGTGTCAGGGAGATTTGAGTCTCTACGGACTGAATGATGGCTGAGGAGGTACCCGCCTCGATCTGAGTGGGCTCGGAGTCAGGAGTTTCAGGCCCAACACTCATGATGACATTGCTGACAGTCTCCAGCACTAGTTCTGTCACCTTCAAGAAATTATGATTATAATTAACTTCAGTTACATTTATTTCTACCATATCACTGTTCCACAGCGCTTTTTTTCTTTGAACCATGTATAAGTCCCCTCTCCGGACTCGTAATTCAACATACCTCTTTGTCCCCCGATCCTGCTCTTGCGATGTTCTCCAAAATGCTGGCAACCACCGCAACATCTTCTGCCTCCTTAGATGACTCTGACGTCTGATTGGCTAGAAACTCGGCCACCTCGACTGCATTGCCTTTGCTAACCTCAACCTGTCAACGAATATGGTTCATGGTCACATCTTCATATATAAGCTTCTTATTAAACACCGCATCTGCCTGCAGTTTTTCACAGTTTGCTCAAGTAAACACATGCAGTGTGATTCATAAACTAGGACCTCTCTGCAAGAGCCCCGCTATTAAAATGCCTTTCTGAAAATTGAGCCATCATCTAATTTGGATCAACTAACGTCCTGAGATAAACAAATTACCTTGACGACGTTTTCGAGAGACACTTTCTTCTTGTCCCCGCAGCCACGAGTCTCTTGCTCCTCCCATCGGAAGTAGAGAGGCGCCTCCAACTTCGAACAGTTCCGGACGGCTTCGGGTTCACCAGCTTCATTTTGAGTGATCAAAAAGCAATAATTCAGATGGGCAAAACCATTCTATCAGAACAAACTGAACTGTGCGAATAAATGCGATATAAGCGAGACTTGCGGCCAAGGAGCAGCGAACAAAAAGAAAGAAACATTGAGGTGGAGAGACGATCGATAAGATTTAGTCAAACCATTTGCAGTTGTCAGTGGACATCGTTGGACAGACTTGGCAGTGGATCCAGCTACTGCTACAGGCCATCTCAGACCGTCATTGGTTGTGTTGGTTGGGCACTGACCTGTTGTGAAAGCACGACAAAACGTTTCACTCTCTCACTAAGTCAATGTTAAACTTGTTTTCGTATAATATCTTGAAAAGGGTTCCAAACAAACTCTTTGAACTATCTTTGCCAAGTGTTCAAATACTCATATCTCACCTTGTACCACAACAAAGAATGAACATTCCAAGTGCAGGTTGTATGCCGCAAACCATTGCTGATAGTCTACACGGTGAGCTCCTATCAACAATTCAACACCAGAATTGTTGCTTGAGGTGAAGTTTGTTGGTCCGTTCCATCCAGTTAGATCCGGTTCCGACCAGCTCACACTGGTACTGGTCGAGTCAGGAGTTGCTAATGCCGAGAAATTGGCTGGGCAGACGAGTTTCACAACTGAGAAAGTAGACCAAAAAGTTATGACTAAGTACCTGCAAAGCTATCCTGTTTGTGAAATTGAGGAAGAAACCTTAATATTCTTAGTTAGGAATACATGACAAACAATGGACGTGGATAGACGGCTAGAATCTACTCATGCCTATGAAAGTGAGCAAAAGCAGATAATTGGAGTCAATGAAATCTGCATAGCAAACCGATTAAACATATTTAAATTAGAGTTTGAATTGGACACTAACCTGTAACCGTCACAGTGCAAACATTCTCATTACCAGACGCATCTTCAGCTCTGTACGTCATCTTGGAATCTCCAACTGAAAAGGTTCCCTTGCCAGCTTGGTCGCAGTCATCGGCTGTGGCTCCTGAACAACTGAACGTCACCTCCACTTCACGACCAGAGTTGTCAGAGGCCATTGGAGGAATCCACCTGTGATGTACCTGATTGGACGATGAGCCGACTGGGATGGTGACGTCGGCTGGGCAATCATCAAACGTAGGAGGCTCGTTGTCTAGAGTGGTACAAACATACAAGTATTAACTATAATTAGTAGCCAATGAATTATCACGGTTTGGTATGTCCAGCGCGACAACATTTTCTTTTTGCACCAATTTCTCACTCAGTTAATATTCAACTTTGTTTTAATGTTGATATCCCGAAAAGGGGTGCAAACAAACCCTTAAACTATATTTGCAAACTTTTTCGTCCAATAGGATTACCATGTAACGCCAATGAATTGGGTTAAATCCGGCTCATTTGATAGACCACATGCCTGAAGAGACTTCCAGTGAATAGCCATTCTGGATCGGTTGGATATCAGCAGTGTATATATATTTTTACCTTCGACAATGACGAGGAAATTACATTCGATCTCGGTGCCCTCAATCCGGTAGGAGACAGGAGTTGATCCGATACTGAAGGCGTCTCCAGGTAGGTTCTCGGACAGCAAGCGAATGGGTGTCCCATCATCATCATCATCATCCCCATCACTACCACTGCCATCGTCATCATCGACTGTATAGCTATAGCCGTAAAAATTAAAAAAACTACCAGAGCCTGATGACACGTGATCCAGATGCGTTCGCATGTCTCTGGTACCCTGCCCCTGAAGTGAACTGAATATCACTTGGGGCATTGCCCACGAAACAAAGGTGTCCTTACTTCCGGGATTAGTGGCAGTTGTGATGTTGGCCGGACAGCGAAGTTCAACCCCTGCACAGTGAAAGAAAGATACTATGTTAGAATGTGCATAACTTACAGAGTGTGTAACACAATACTAGGCGTATGTTGATAACAGAAATGTAGAAAAAGATATGTCTTGGAAATAGGTAAAGACCTGTCGTCACTGTCACCGTGAAGTTACATGACGCAACGTTCCCGCCTTGGTCTGCGACTGTGTAGGTTACCATGGTAACATTACCAACAGGGAACATGTCTCCACGGTGATGGCTGGAGTTCCATAGCAACGGCGTGTTTGGATCTGCGGCTCTGACGTCAGGCCATGAAATGGCAACTGATCCGATGTTGAAGTCCACTAGACGATGAATGTCACCCGGGCAACGCATAATAGGTGGGTCCAGATCTGTGGCATAAAACAGTTTATTGTAGCAAGGACAGAACAAAAGAGGACACGTGACCGGGTCAGATTATGATACAAATTTTTTCAATTATTTTGGACAAAACTCTGACATGTATTCTAGCAAGATGTATCAAGCACGAATAAGTTTGGTACACCTACACGTACGCATCACATACGGATGGATACGACGAAGAGTGTAGGCGTAGGCCTACATACCTTAAGCATTTACCAAAATCTACTTGCGATTGCCGGGGGCAAAAACACGCTGGAATAGTCGATGTCATAAAATAATTGGTTTTGAAACATCACTTGTAAGGAACTACATGTACTACTCAAGTTTTGTTGTTTTGATTTTGCAAAATTTTTATTTCGCAGCGAAAGGGAAAAAACAAAACAAGGTTTTCCATGTCAAAGTAGGTTCGGGTGTAAACATTGGAAATGACTGCTTACCTATAACAGTTATTTGCATAGTGCAGGTGGCAAAGTTGTTGCTGGCATCTCTTGCAGTGTACTGCAATGTGTGTCTAGACTGCGCAAGACTCAAACTGATTCTGCCATTTACACGACGCGTAGAACCATCCGCGTCAATGGTGATTTCGAACCATCCGCTGTTGTCGGATGCAGAGGCTGGTTCGGGTAAGGTTACTGTTGCGAAGTTTTGCTTTGGATCTGTCTGAATCGTCTGATTGGGTGGGCAGGTGATCACTGGCGGCTGACTAACTGAGGAAACATTTATATAAACAATAGTATTAAAAGCTTAAAATAGCTATATCAAACTGAAATGAGAACGAACAATATTTTAAAATAAAAAATCATTTTAAATTCAAAAATTGTATACTGATAAAAAAAACCATGAAAGACCTTTAGCCAAGCTGGACCCAAAAGTGCCAGTTAAGGGCATCATTTGTAGGCCTATATTCAATGATTCAGTGAATTAAAGTCACAGGACACAACGCTGGTACTTCGAATCGATCCAGCAAAACTTTAGACTGCATTCAAATTGACCTTATATTACGTATACATTGGGGTATAATAATAATTGCTTACCAAGAACGGAGATTTGCATGCTGCACGTCGCAGTGTAGTTTGCATCACTTGCATTGAATTGCAAGACGTGTGGAGAGTTTGCAATACTCAATCTGACTTCGTCATTAACACGACTCGTAGAACCATCCACGTCAATAGTGATTTCGAACCATCCAAGGCTGCTGTGGTATGAAGCGGCAGGACCAGGTAGGTTGACCGTAGCGAAGGTCTGGTTTGGATCGGACTCGATCGTCTGATTAGATGGGCAGATTATTATGACGGGTCGATCTCCAGCTAAGCATAATCAAAATACCAAAAATATGTCACTTGTCATATACCGGGAGAAATTCTGGCACTCAGTATGCCTTTAGGAAAATGTGGGGGTAGACCATTCATACTGGAAGCGCGAAAGGCAGTGATTGTGTGTTATTACTTTGAGATAGTGTACATATTAACTTCTTATACTATAATCTTCTTCAACAACATGTACTGTATCATTTTGAATCATCTCAGATATTACAAATTGTCTCAGATCAAATGTTTGATCATGACGAGTTATATTACTGTGAATAAATACTATTTTACACTTTCAAATTCTAAAACTTTCATAAACTAAATTTTTTTTACTATCTTATAAAAACCAGTCTGGATTTTGATGTCAGCATTGCAACTAACTACATCGAACCCCGGCATCCTCGTAATGAATGCAGTCGTGTTCTCCCGTTCTTCTTGCCCTGCAATTTCACTGTCTCCTCGTTACCAGTAACCAACATCATCCAACACCATCATCCAACACCAAATTCAGTTAGTTAGTGTTATTACAAAACCCGAATTATTAATAGCGTTCATTTACAATATATTTTCGATCTCGTAAAAAAAAACTCAGTCTGTTGTCAACAACTTACTACATCGAACCCCGGCATCCTCGCTATGCCCGCAGTTGTGGTCTCTGTGACTTCGTGCCGGGCAATCAAACACCGTCTGCTCGTTACCCGTACACTCAACATTATGCAACAGTATGTCTCCGGTCCCCCCACCAAATGCAGCTCGATGGGGAGCCGCATAAGCTTCTCCAAAACCCAGTTCCCGGCAGATAACTGTTGCGTCTTGTAGGTCCCAGTCGTCATCACAGACCGTCCCCCAAGCACCGTTCCAGAACACCTCCACTCGACCTTCCATGGAGTCTGTACCGCCTACCAAACGAACACCTATCCCTGTCAGGGCCGGATTAAGAAATCAGACTTGACATTAATTTAGTAAGATGAGACAGTAATCATTGTCAATAATCATTATTCTTTGCCAATTATTTTGCATGGCCATTGGGAATGCTGACTACGTAGGCAAGGCTTAAATGAGTGTGAGTCTGCCCCTCAACCCCTAGCTCTTGCATCATGCAACACCTTCGAGTTGTCAGGGGTTGTGGAGAAGACTGTATAGTCCATCTTGAACCGCTTCCCAGACAAAAAAAATTATAATAAAAGCTTAAAATAGCTACAGCTATATCAAACTGTAAATAAGAACGAACAATTTAAACGATTTTTTTAAACATTTTAAATTCAAAAATAAACTGTAAAAAATAAAATAAAAAATAGGCCTTTAGCAGAGCTGGACCCAAAAGTGCCAGTTTAGGGCATTTTTTTGTAGGCCTGTACTCGATGAGTCAGTGAATTAAAGTCACAGGACAGAACGCTGGCACTTCGGATCGATCCAGCAAAACTTTAAAAGACTGCATTCAAATTGTTCTCATATTACATATACATTGGGGTATAATAAAAATTGCCTACACTGAACGGAGATTTGCGTGCTGCAAGTCGCAGTGTTGTTTGCATCACTCGCAGTGTATTGCAATAGGTGTGGAGAGTTTGCAATACTCAATCTGACTTCGTCATTAACACGACGCGTAGAACCATCCACGTCAATAGTGATTTCGAACCGTCCAAGGCTCCTGTGGTACGAAGCGGCAGGACCAGGTAGGTTGACCGTAGCGAAGTTCTGGTTTGAATCTGAATCGATCGTCTGATTAGATGGGCAGATTATAATGACGGGTCGATCTCCAGCTACAAGCATAATCAAAATACCAAAAATATGTCACTTGTCAAATACCGGGAGAAATTCTGGCACTGCAATATGCCTTTAGGGAAATGTGGGGGTAGACCATTCATACTGAAAGCGCGAAAGGCAGTGATTGTGGGTTATTACTTTGAGATAGTGTACATAATCTTCTTTTCTATGACTATAATTTTTTTTTACAATCTTATAAAAACCAGTCTGGATTTTGATGTCAGCATTGCAACTAACTACATCGAACCCCGGCATCCTCGTAATGAATGCAGTCGTGGTATCCTGGTCTTTTTTTTCACCGTCTCCTCGTTACACGTGCAACCAACATCATCCAACAACATTTCCACGGTTCCCTTACCAAATTCAGTCAGAGTGTGTTATTACAAAACCCGAATTTAAGTTACAATATCGTGCATGTACAATGTATTTTCGATCTCGTAAAAAAACTCAGTCTGTTGTCAACAACTTACTACATCGAACACCGGCAACGTCGTCATACCAGCAGTTGTGTCCCGATCCCCTTGTTGCCGGGCAATCAAACACCGTCTCCTCGTTACCCGTGCACTCAACATTATCTAACACTATGTGCACGGTTCCCTCACCAAATGCAGCTCGTTGGGGAGCCGCATAAGCTTCTCCAAAACCCAGTTCCCGGCAGATAACGGTTGCGTCTCGTAGGTCCCAGTCGTCATCACAGACCGTCCCCCAAGCACCGTTCCAGAACACCTCCACTCGACCTTCCATGGAGTCTAAACCGCCTACCAAACGAACGCCTATCCCTGTCAGGGCCGGATCCAGAAATCAAACTTGACAAATTAATTTAGTTAGATGAGACAGTATAACCATTGTCAATAATCATTATTCCAGGCCAATTATTTTGCATGGCCATTGAAAATGTTGACTACGTATATACGCCCGGCTTAAATGAATGTGAGTCTGCCCCTCAACCCCTCTTGCATCATGCAACACCTTCGAGATGTCAGGGGTTGTGGAAAAGATTGTACAGTCCATCTTAAACCACTTCCCAGATATTAATAATAATCATAAAACCTTAAAATGTACCGGTATATCAAACTGTAAATGAGAACGAACAATTTTAAAGAACAAAATTTAAACATTTTAAATTCAAAAATAAATTGATAAAAAAAATCCATGATAGGCCTTTAGCCGAGCTGGACCCAAAAGTGCCAGTTTTGGGGCATTATTTGTAGTGAATTAAAGTCACAGGACAGAACGCTGGCGCTTCAGATCGATCCCGGAAAGCTTTAAAAGACTGCATTCAAATTGATCTTTTATTACATAGGCTTATACATGGGGGTATAATATAGGTTTCCCGAGCACTTTCGGAAAATGTGTACAAGAGTCTGTAAAAGAAGCATTCGTTTTCGTGCGAAATAGAATGAACGTTCCAAATCGCTGTTTGTATTTAACAAATGATAATTCTATTTCCATGAAGGTGCATTCAGTCGTAAAAAATCAGCGTACGATTTCCCGAATGTGCACTGAATTTGGTACATTGACATTTCATTTTAGCGCGAAATCGAAGGCACATCCGCAATCCTGTATTCCTCTTAATTTATCATCAAACTATTTCGCTAAATGTGCAGCCGATTTCCCGCATTAAACGTATGCCGAGTCAAGAACATATGAGGAATGTTTGATTAAATGATTGAATTTTGAATATTCATGATGATTGAGCTAAACCAAGTGGTGTAGTCTTTCAAAACATACCAACTTTTGTAATAAATCCTATATAAAAACCTAAGATGAAGACAATCGTTCTTTTTTTGTGCTCAGCAATTGCCACAATCGCATCATTATAACCAAGCAATCGAACTAATAAAATGAGACAGAACTTTAACAAATACAGAAAGACATTAAAATGCAATTAAGACAAAGAAGCAACAAAAAAGTCCCTGTATCCCATGAAACATGACACGTGATGTTTCCCTTTACCGTCCCAATAATATACCTACAAGATTATTTTGACTGATTTTATTTTGGTAAGATTTATATCTTTTCAACATTTCATTTGCCTAATTCAAATAGGCCTTTGTGTACATAAGAACAAACGCATTAATGATCAATTGGGCCTACAATACAGTGATTAATCAATGAATCAATCAAAGCTGTATCATGATTTGTATCGGCTGTATGCTTTATTTATAATGAATGCAGACTTTGCGATATAAATTATGACAAATGAAAAAGAATGTACAATTCAGCCCGTGTCACAATAACAAATCGATTTTCTGCGAATTGGATTGCACATTTGTAATAATCGGCAACGCATCCGTCAAACCGAAAGTCTAATCACGTATTTGCAATCCTTTAAATGAAACGTTATGCACATTCATTTATTTGAATGGTGCAAAATGGAATTGAATGCTAGTTATTGCCAAAATGAAACCCGGATATACGTCGTTCTCAAAATCAGCGCCAAATTGAATTTATGCTTTACAAATTCAAATGCACATTTTCCAAAATTGTCCAGGACGGGGCAAACCTTTAATAATACGGGCGATTCCAAATAGTGCGCCTCCAAGAGTTTGCAGCGCGTTGGCCAATCACAATGCGCGAAATCAGTCGACCTTTTCCAAACGGGCGTTGGGTCGACAGATTTTGCGCATTGTGATTGGCCAACGCGTTGCAAACTCTTGGAGGCGCACTATTGGGAATCGCCCGTATTGCCTACCAAGAACGGAGATTTGCGTGCTGCACGTCGCAGTATTGTTTGCATCACTCGCAGTGTATTGCAATAGGTGTGGAGAGTTTGTAATACTCAATCTGACTTCGTCATTAACACGACGCGTAGAACCATCCACGTCAATAGTGATTTCGAGCCGTCCAAGGCTGCTGTGGTACGAAGCGGCAGGACCAGGTAGGTTGACCGTAGCGAAGGTCTGGTTTGAATCTGACACGATCGTCTGATTAGATGGGCAGATTATGACGGGTCGGTCTCCAGCTAAGCATAATCAAAATACCAAAAATATGTCACTTGTCATATACCGGGAGAAATTCTGGCACTGCAATATGCCTTTAGGGAATGCGGGAGTAAACCATGCATACTGAAAGCGCAAAAGGCAGTGATTATGTGTTATTACTTTGAGATAGTGTACATAATCTTCTTTTCTATGACTATAATTTTTTTTACAATCTTATAGAAACCAGTCTGGATTTTGATGTCAGCATTGCAACTAACTACATCGAACCCCGGCATCCTCGTAATGAATGCTGTCTGGTATCCTGGTCTTTTTTTCACCGTCTCCTCGTTACACGTGCAACCAACATCATCCAACAATATGTCCACTGTTCCCTTGGCAAATTCAGTCAGTGTGTGTTATTACAAAACCCGAATTTAAGTTATAATATCGTGCATGTACAATGTATTTTCGATCTCGTAAAAAAACTCAGTCTGTTGTCAACAACTTACTACATCGAACCCCGGCATCCTCGCTATGCCTGCAGTCGTGGTCTCCCAGACTTCGTGCCGGGCAATCAAACACCGTCTCCTCGTTACCCGTGCAACCAACATCATCCAACAGTATGTCTCCGGTCCCCCAACCAAATGCAGCTCGAATGGGAGCCGCATAAGCTTCTCCAATACCCAGTTCCCGGCAGATAACGGTTGCGTCTTGTATATCCCAGAGGTCATCACAGACTGTCCCCCAAGCACCGTTCCAGAACACCTCCACTCGACCTTCCATGGAGTCTGAACCGCCTACCAAACGAACTATATCAAAACCAAAGGGAATTTCTTTGACTCTAGGAGGTTCAAGCTTAGATCTAGGGAATGCAAATATAGTACAAATAAATAAAATATATAATGTACGCACAATGCAAAGGCGGATGCATAATCAAATTTTGGTTGGGGGGGGGGGGGAGAGAAGGCTGAAGAGAAGGCTGGAGTATATTTTGTTTCAAAAAGAGTTTACAAGAATAACGATGCCCCAGCAACACTGAATTTGTTTCTACATTAAGAGTCTTTTGAAGGTATGATTCCTGCATTTGGCTGTATTTGCAAATTGTTGAATTCCACTCTTTTAAACATGGAGCAAAACGACCGAAACTAAAACTTGGTGGATTGAGAAATAAGATCACAGAAGCATAATGGATATTAGTATACAAATAATGAATGTTTATGAGTGCAATGCATGGTGAGAATATTTTTATGAGTTGAAAGATTGAATGTGGATTTTTCCATCTTTCAACGAGTGAAAATATTCTCACCATTGCACGAATGCAAAACATATATAACATACAAGTAGATCTTTGTCATTCGATTGGAGGATAAAACTGTAAGAACAAACAAAACTCACAAAGTTGTATCATATCCACTACTTTGTTTCAGCTTGTTCAAGGCTAACAAAGGTTTAAAAAGTCAAATCATTGACAATAATGAAAATTAACATTGTAACGCAAAAAAAACAACATCAAGGCAACTGCATCAACTTCAAAGGCAAGTTTTGTACTGCTATAACGCATGAGGCCGTGGGCCAAAGCCTGTAACGTACTCAATTTCTTGTCCCGAGGTCACGCACGCATGGCCCAAAAGCCTACGCGAGATTTTACGTGACTGTATTCGAGACTACAGAAAAACACAAAAAGTACCTGGATACATGCACTGTTTGAAAGTTAAAGTCGTGTGCTTTATTTTGATACCAAATATAACTGCTTTTGACAGAAATAAAGTATTGTTACTAGGCCTTCGTGTCAAACAAAAATCATACTTTATAGCAACAAAAGTGAGGGCCGATAGTTTTTAGGTGTACATTCCATTCTTAAAAAAGGCCGACGGAAATGGCAAGATTCATTAGATAGATGATATTCTACGCTTCATTTTCATGTGAAACACGTGCAGGAGACTTTTAGATTTTGTTGAAAAAGGAAGACTTTGGCGAAATGTCATGATTTGCAATCACAAGTGTACGCGTGTAAACGTATAGGCCCAAAATTGAAAATAGCACGCGCGAACGTGCAATGAATGACTTATGAATATTAAGTAGGCCATCTTGGGCTCGACCAATCAGTGGGAGTATGGGGTCACAAGGTCATACCGTGTCTGGGTTCCTTGCTCTGTGCTTTTACAATGGCGACGATCTTTTCGCGTTGTGAAAAATGGAAGTTGTTGGAAACATTAGGTGTACATCGAATTCTTAAAATATTAACGACATCACGTTCACGAGATTTTTTTGTAGATGAAGGTTCATTCTTTCCTTTGATTACCTCAACATCCGGGAGAGTTTCGTCGTTGTCGAATGAAAACGGAAATTTCATCACGTAATTTTTAGTCGATTTGTCCGTGAAATATTGTTGTCAAAATGCATGGAAATCCTTTTTTTTTGAGAAAAAAAATACCTTGACATATGCATGTAGTAGGTCTTTAACTACCTAAAACAGCTTTGTTTGTGTGAATCGGTTATGGTTTGGCATGAAAATTGCGAATTTTCTGAAGCCGTTTTACGGCCATTGTTCGCTGGCCTCGCGTTGCTGTCGGTTGTGTGGACGAGAAAATAGACAGATAGCTACGCGTGACATGACACGGCAACTGACTGATCGGCATCGGCACCACGAACTGACGCTCTGTTGCGCGTGAGTGCGCTGCACGCGCGCGTATTTACAGAACAATTTTGGGTTTCACGAACTGACATCCTCCACAGTGCGGTACTTTACTAGTCTGAGTATCACCCGTTATCCACGGAGCAAGCCTCCTGTATAACGTCTGATATGTCTAGACATGAAGATATATGCAAGCTGCGCGCCAGCCAATCGGAGTCGACTTTACTAAATCGTGACGTCATTTCATTCTTAAATCAGGACTTGTGGTTTGATTGGTCAATTCGAATGATTTTGTAATGCAACAACAGCACAAGGGCGGATCCAGGGGGGGGGCCAAAGGGGGCCATGCCCCCCCCCCAAAAACGAAACCAATTTTTTTTTTTTTATGTGACATCGCAATAAAGGCAGGCAATGAGTACACCACCATCTTTTCCTCAAAAAAACATTGGTTAAAGTGGTCAGAAATTGCCTCAGATCGCACCACAGAGCATCTAGAATCCAAATTTTTTTCGGGGCCCTTAAGCGGGCCCCGAACCCCACGCCGTAATTGTTTGACCCACTTTTTGGGGGGACCAAAAAATTGGTGTTCTGGATCCGCCCTTGCAACAGCAGGGCGCATTATCGCGTAACATGATACCGAGCGCGTGACGCAGGGCTTTTTAATCCATTGACTATGACGCGCAACTGCTGAATGACCGAAGAACCGATATAGAAAGCGCCCGCTGATTGGTCAAAATCTAGGAGGTCAAGAGGCGGGGTCTTGCCTTCAGCAAATCTGCTCACATATCATGGCGAATGCCATGGGTCTATTACATATAGACTACATAGTTACACTTTAGAGCGCACCCCGTACATTTTCGGTTTCACGAACTACACTCTCAAAACGCTGGTTAAAATTTTGTTGATTTAAATGTTGGTTAAAATTTTAACCAACGTTGGGTAAAATTGTCAAATTTTGCCCAACGTTGGGCACATTTCGCCCAATGTGGTTAATTTTTTTTAATCAACCGTTGGGCTGTTCACCTGTTAAGCAACAGTTGGTTAAAAGTAGTCAATTCACCCAACGATGGTTAAAATCGGGTACATTTAACCAGTAAAAGGACTACTTTTAACTAGCTGTTGCTTAACAGGTGAACAGCCCAACGGTTGGTTAAAAAAATTTCCCCAAATGATATTTGTGAGACATTCAGCCAAAGTGAGACAGGAATGGGCACAGGCCATAGTGGAGACAAAACGGGGGGAACACCGAATGGGGTGATTTTTTTTCTTTGATATGATTGTGTACTACACCTGAACATCTTGGAATAAATGCGTTTCTAAGGAAAAACAATTGACATCTTTCATTTCCACGACTACAAAACTCGAACTTTAAAGGTCTTTTTCTAAATAGTTTACTTTTTTGACATGTCGATAAATTCGAACTTTAAACAGTCATAACTTGTCAACGGAATGTCCAATTGAAGTGCAACAAACGGTATCGCAAGGAGAATATTATTTCTCCTTCCTTCCTTATACCCGCAAACGTTTACTTCGACCTCTACCCAGCTCTGTTTCAATTTGCCTGAACGCCTCACATTTTACCTAAAGTTAACCAGCCTTTAACAGTTCAGTTGATTATAATATCACTTACCTAAAGCAGCCACTTGGAACTTGCATCCGAAGGCAAAGAAAGCGAGGATGGCAAACGTCACAGAGAAAGAACTCCCTGATCTCATGTTGAACATGGCGTCCATGACAAGTTGCTGATGTACTTATTTATTCACCAATCTATCACAGACTCATTTTCCTTGTGTCTTTTTCACTGAAAACATGTACCAACATTGCTCTTTGCGAGATGGAAAATGAGGAGGCAAATTTAAGTACAGCTTTTATATACATTGTCGATGTCACGACCCGTGCATGCTACGTTTGGTTAAATTTAACAATGTTGTTGTAACTATCTGATGGTGAAAGTAGGCCTAATTGACATGAAACACATTCAAATGCCCCCAGTTTCCTGGTTGTACAGTCCAACTGGCACTGTAATTTTTATGACTGTTTGAAGGATATAGAAATAAATATATTTCCTGATTAACAGGATACACAGGCCATCTCTGAAGATTTGGCAAGACTGCGCGAGGAATAGAAACAATACTTCAAATCGTTCCTACTGAAAGGGTTAAAGAGCTAGAGAATGAATTTGTCATAAAACAAGTTCTGCTGATATCGATTTATTTTGGGGGTTTTTACGTTTGTATATAACTAACTGAACACCGTTTTATCGCTGTTTATAAACTAGGGGCGAGCGAGTAAGCCACGCCCCTTAGACAACCCTATGGAATTCGTGTACGCTAAGTTTTGTTTGTCTCAGATTTGCACGTTCTGCGTCCCTTCAATATTTAATGTCATTGGACAATAGTCCACAAGCTGCGTTGACGCGATTCTAACGCGATTCTACCGCGCGCAATTAGTCAATCATTTCATGCAAGACTTTCATGCAAGGCGGCCAGAGCTTATTGTGCACTCGCACTTGTTCTCTGTTCTCAGCTACGTTTAGCAGCTCTATTGAGTATTACCCGAGTCCAAACAACCAAGTTATCTTTATTTTGAATGAGAGACCCGCACTGCACACAGTTAAAGAATTTTGTACAATTTGAAATTAAAGTAAGCTGCAGCAAATTGTAACCTCGTGAAATGTTGCCTTTGCTTCGTACAAGAGTGTCGACAACTGATAATCGAAGACAGAAAAAACATCAATTTTCTTAACTTTCTGTACTCTAAAATCTTCGACAATAAAATTCGGCTTTAAAGATATCGTCCAATAAGTGAACTACGTCATGATTATTTGCATTAGAAAATAATCTTACAATCTGCCAAATGTGATGTTGCTCCTTATGTAGGCTGTGCTAGGATTGGGAGTACATGTACTTGTGTTGGTAAATTCTGATTGGTTGTCTGTTGGGCACTGTGTAAGAGTGGATGCCCTGCTCGCTCGTGTGTCAGTTCGCAGTGAGCGAAATAATATCTACTGAGCAGTAGTTCTTACCACATCGTGTTACCGCAAACCGAAACGATACCGACACTCCACCATGCAACGCCTGAAATCTTATATTCATGGTCTTGTTTTAAGTATGCTGTACAAGGAACATGTATGAGCTCCTTAGCGTTTTCTTTGATCATGACGATAAGAACAGGAAGAAGTGCCTTTAGCATAATTTAGATCCGGGTTTGATGCGTCGATCCCGGAACAATTGTCTCAACTTGGCAGTCAGTTTGAAATCAAAACAAACACTGCACGGAAGGCATGTCTGTTTTTATTGAGTTGTTGGGTTGCTTGTTTGATTTTTGATATTATAGAAATGATAGCTTGGTTGTTGGGACTCGGGCCACTTTAAAATAGAGCTGCAAAAATTGGCCGAGAACAGCCGTGCTGTGTAGAACAAGTGCGAGTGCACAATTAATAAGCTCTGGCCGCCTTGCAGGAAAGTTTTGCAGGAAACGTTTGTGCGTACAAGCCCGGGCCGCCGGGCTAAAAATTGACCAAAATAATAAGCACCTATTAAAGTTTCCCATAAAAAATAGCCCGTTTTATAACACCTCACCCACAGATTCTATGTCTTGATTGGCCGAGAGCGAGTCACATGTTACTTTCTAATTTTTCTGTGCACGGCCAAAAGTACTATGCGCATAGCAACCAAAGTGTACTATACCATTAGCAACCAAAGTACTATTTCCACGGCGCGGTATTTGTGTGCAAATATGCATGCTGGTGTGCGCGTTGCGCGTTGTGCGTAGCGCGTATTATTCCAAAGAGAGCGCGCCGCAGACTTGGGTTCAAACATTTTGTGAAGGGTTAGTTTTTAAGAGAGAAATACATTTTCCAACAATTTTGTATTGAAATTGAAGTTTATTTCAAATGTGTTCAGATTTAAATAATGTAAAATATTTAAATCAAGCAGAGTCTGTGGGTGAAGTGTTATAAAACAAATATTGAATGCTTTATCTCGTGGTGAAGTAAAACTAGCCTCCCTCGGTGATCCATGGACCATTCTATTTTCCCTCGGCTTCGCCTCGGGAAAATAGAATGGTCCATGGATCACCTCGGGAGGCTGGTTTTACTACACCACTCAAAGCATTCAATATTTGTATAATATACCACGTGACTATAATTAACATTACTGCACATTTTCTTGTCTCCATTTACACAATTTTCATAAATAACTCTACGAATTGTTGAACAATTTTTTAAAAGTATTTCATTTCTTTCGTTTGCTTTTTTCTTTAAATTAAAATTTGGTGTATAGTTATTTTTTATGGGAAACTTAAATGGGGGCTCTTTTTGGTCAATTTCCGGGGACGGACATATGCAAAATAGACGCGCATGCGCATCGCTTGAGACAGAGCCCGTTTTCCGATAACTTTCGTCAAGAGTGCATTTACTGAGGACGGCATGTCATTTGCCCAATATTTGTTGGGTGTTTGGGGTCCATTTTCGGGGACAGACAGACAGACCTCTGGGGCCACCCTGGGGCATGAAAAACGCGACCAAATCCCAACATCGGACCTAGGGTAGCGCGGGGGAGAGGTGGGGAAAACACTTGATAGGCGCATGAAGGAAAAGAAAACCAGAAAAAAATATTTGCCTGGTTCTGATAACACGTATATGTTTTAAATTGTTGGCTAATCAAAAGGTACGCCACATTCACGCATTGATCAACAAATAAACTTCAAATTTAGTACATGTGCTTGCTGTAACCTTTTTTATTATTATTAACCTCTCCATTTGACAATTTCGATTCCCCGATTACTTGGCATACAAGGATGTAAGGTTAAGGATGTGGTATTATCTTTCACTGAGGGCGCTGTTTAAAGTGGTCGATCATGATCATACACACTATCAGAAAATTATGTTTTCAGGGAGGCACACGCACGAGATGCCCAAAAAGGCACTCGTCACACCCGCTGTTTAAAAAAGGCACTCATTTTTGTGTGGGAAAAAGGGCATTTGTTTAAAAAAAAAAAGCACTTTACAAAAAACACTCGTTTTAAAACAAAGGGCACCCTTTAAAATAATGGGGGAATATTTGCGAGAAAGGCACTTGAATGCTAATAGGCAGACTTTACATAATATTGGGGGGGGGGGGGGGGGTAAATACCCCCCTTATCCCCAGCCAAGCCAGTGGCAACAAGTGGGTCGGCATGAAACCTCAAGAATTCAGCCACAACAGGGGGCCACGACAGTCCAGGGGGCCACGACAGGGGGGGGGGCAATGACAGTCAGGGTTGTTTATCGTGGTTTTCAAACTTACAAATAAGGCCCTATCATTTATAGCGTGTCCAGGTTTTTATGTCGGGGGAGGGGCGTAATAAAGACTTTACTGTTTCGACATGCCGAATTTCTGGGTACAAGTAGGCCTATACTGGAGCTTCAAAGTGTGGGTTATGTTATCCTGTCTTTACGAAAAACAATGTAAACCATATTTTAATTCTGAGTAATATTTGCAATTTGTAATATGTTATATTGTAGCAATGTGTAATAACTATATGCAATCTGCCAACAAAGCAGCGAACTCAGTCAATATAATTAATTGATTTAAGTTTCTTCATTGGTTGAGGGATTCGTATCTGCTCAGCATTGGGCATGCCTCATGGCTTTCAAGTTGTGTATCCAGTGGTAAAAAAAAAATCGCTAGAAATATCAATACTACAGTGTTTTAGTTTATGTAAACTGTAGCAATCATTAACAGGTTGCAGAATATCAATTATGCTAAACAGTCGAGACTCGATATATTTAATCGATACTCCATAAAATGCTTTAACTTGATCGTGAAATAACGAAACGGTTTCTGATTATAAGTATTTGCCTTAGGAAATATACACGCGAATCAACCTCTTGTTCGCACCTTGACTCAGGTTGATTTTATCAGATTTCATGTCGAAATGTAAAATTGATCAAATGTTATATAAATTTGAGAATAATGTAATTATAAAGAAGCTCTGCGTTTTATTACTATTTACCTAATTCCTTGCAGTATAATAATCTAAACACAGCTTAAAACATGCTAAGCAGTTTATGAAATATGCTAAACATTTTATTAAATGAAACACCATACGTATTGATTATTAATCATGGAACATGACGTTTTGGGCTTGGAGGGTGTCAATATGTGCTTGACGTTACCTGTTATAATGGTACCTCAACTACCCCATAACTTAGCAAATGTATGACACAAGAATGGCTCAACCTTGCAGTGAACCTTTCTTCGAAATCGCAACGTGGTCTTCCTATTGCGGTGTTGTCACAGAGATCTCCACTTCTGCAGTCTGCCCGGCTGACGGTACAGTGTGAGCCGTCGCTGACACCAATTCTGACTCGTTGGACTTTTCAGGATGCAGTGTGGGCAAGCGGCACTCATGGCCACAGCAGACGCGCTTCATGTAGGGCGCCAGGGCGGTGCGGACCTCCTCACGTCGAGCGCAGAACATGATGAACACAACCACGCCCTACAATGGGAGCAAATAATTACGACTTGGTTATCAAACAGACTCCGTACGTTCGCAAAATTGATGTTGGTACGTAGTTCCCGCCCCTACTTTAAATACTTATTTAACAAGCCACAAAGCAAGGGTCTACACCTACAAAATAAAAAAGGAAGTACAAGAGAGAAATGGAGTGTTACGGACAGTTTGTATTTTTCCTTTTCTGCTCACTATAGCCGCCGACGGAGGGCTCCGACGACGCGCTGTTTACACTGCGCTGACCTAGTTCCTTTGTTACAAGTAGCGCGCGGTCCGGAAATTAGTTCCAAAAACTAGACTCCATGGCGGGCTAAGTTGTTACAATGTACTAAGTTCTGTCTGCCTGTGTTATTATATGCTGGGAATCAGCAGTTCATGTTCTGGCAGCGGTGCGGCAAGTTGACCGCAGAGTTTTAATTGCTGAACTAAATTCGAGTCTCTCTGGAGCTATTCTGTCTGCGTTCCCCTTTTGCCTGCGATTGGCGAAACTTGGAGGACAAGAACCCAATATAAATTCACGCTACTATAGGAAATAAAGTTCTTGGTAAGGAACTACACAGTGCATGAGGCCGCTAAAACTGTACCTCATTCGCCATAACCCTCAGCTCACAAGCGGTGTTAGGAAAATGAGGCAGACAATTGATAAGAACAGGCGAATATACGATACGCCATGGAGGAACAAGAGTCTACTTGAGCACATCTAATGATTGTACATGTACCTGTAAAACAAGCTCTTTGGGGCAACAGAGCTCAAGGGAAGGACAAGACCCTGCATGTCCCGGTAGTTAAACTCACGACAGAGTCACGTCTCAAGGGAGTGAGCTACATAGTTGGTAAAAGTGTGGGAATTAAGTGAGGCTGTACCGCGCTGAAATGAGGTTCCAAGGAATGAAAACCGACCTGCAAGGAGTTGGCCAGACAGAAGATGAGCTGGAATGCAAAGGCTGCCTCGTTGATGGCCAGGAACCCAAAACACCAGGTCAACCCCATGAGGGCGGAGATTCCCACTGCATTCTGGAGGCGTTTGGAGATCTGCTGGGAGCGAGATGCCTCCTTGACCTTCAGGAGACTGCGCATGACTAAGATGAAGGTGATGATGTTGTGGATGAGGATGAGACCAATTGGAACAAGGAGGCCGAGGTACAGCACAAGACCAGGCTCAACGAAGCAGCTGCAAAAGAAGAAATATTGATCATCATTTTTTAGTATAGGTAGGTAATACCAGCTTTAATACAGTGCTTAATAACCTGCATATGTATCACAGTCGCATCTGTATAAGTCTTTGGACATTTTCGAAACGTTGTCTTTGTTTCCAGTTTCGGCTTGTGTTAAGAGATTGTAGACCTCTGACTCTGGATAATTCGGCTCATTATGGATCCAAGGTCTGCTTGAGGAGTACAAAATCATATTCGTAAGAGAATAAAATTTGGAGTAGTTTAGATTGTAGAAGGTTCTTAAATTCCCTGCATACAGTGAAGTAAGCAGACGCTTGGGACAAAGCCGACGTTTCGAGAACTACTCTATTTGAATAATAATTAGGTAGAGAGAGAGTGTCAGTCATTGGGGAATCCAAACAGCGCCCTCAGATTAAAAGCTAACATGGTCATTCACTTACTAATGCTCGTTGGCATAGTGACGTGATGCTGCAGCCAAGGTGATAATCAACACAATCAATGGAGAACCTAAAAAAGGAGATTGAAATCTTATTCTTGATTCAACTTGATTCCAATCTTGATTCAACTGAAGATAACAATAATTTTGCTTGGTATCTATTTAAAAATAATGTTTGAGTATAGACAGGGACTCACCCCAAGCGATGAGGCAAGCCTTAAGCATGTATCGAGGCGTGTCTTCTGGGAACACCTTCACCGTACTGACGTACATGTTCCTGGCTTCAACAGCCATCCACATCATGGTAGACAGAGTCAAATAGTGGAGTAAAGCAGCCACAAACCCACAACCACCTCCGGAACCCTTTAAATTAAAGTACATGTAGATATAACTGTTATAATTTCAAAGCAAGATGCAATTTACAAAAGACGTTACAATCAATGCTTTTCAAGATATGGAAAGTGCTTTTACCGACCGGTCCTGGCCACTTTTGACCTCTTGGTGGCTCCACATATCTATCGCCCCTTCAATTAAACTTAAAAGTTTCCTGCGTTATGTTACATCGCTCACCTTAGCATTGTCGACGCCGGCAACGAACACGATGTACAACATGAACAACGAGAAGCAGAAATTGATGAAGATCTGACGAGATTTTCCGCTTCGCAGTTTCCTACAAAAAAAAGGTTAAGATGTTTATATATATATTCTTTATTTTCACACTGCCTTACAGCGACAAGACAACACATGGAACGTATGAGTAATAAGCATACAGAGAAACATGGTTGGGTATAATTTTACTGATCGTTTCATTACAATGATCTACCTGATAGCTAAGTATATGATCAGCGTGATAGCCAGAGCTATGATTGACAGTGCAGCGCCAACATGGCTGATGATATCAAGCGCTTGCTTAGCAGGAGTGTCATCTTTGTCATCAGCTGCTTGGCCCTTCACATCCTGAAAGAAACGTCAATCATGTTACCAATCCAGACGATATTCCTAATTTGTCATCTATGTATCCAACAAAATAAAATTATCTCCTAATTACAAATGTGGAGAACATTTTTCCTGATAAATGTTCTCTTTTTCCTGACTTAACAGACCTTCCCTTTTCGGCTTAAAGTAGTGTCACTCTTTCTTTGAACTGAAAGAGGTACTCTTTTGCTTTGTGATGTGCTCCAATGTCTTAGCTTGGTACAACCTGCAGGAGTCTAGTCACCTTGAGCCTGCAATTGTCACATTCTTAAATGGGAAAAAGCTGTATATAGTAGTTTGGAATCACAAGATTGAACTATACATACCACTAGGATTGCGAAGTTGGTGGCATGAGAGCAATTACACACGACTGTCTTATTGGTCACTTCAGCAAGCGCGCATCCATCTGTCGTCCAATCGCCGACTCCATCTTCCAGCTCAAAGTCCCAGGACACGCAGTGGACCTCGCTTGATTCCTCCTAAGTTTCGAAATCGGAAGATTGATAAAAAGCTACACCAAATTGAGGGTACAATCTGAATTGATTGATATGGACATTGATGTTAAGTTGGCAGGAATAGGCCCTCGTGCAACAGTGAAGTATTCTACTCTGGATGAACTGGAATATTAATTATCTCATGATCACCTTGAATTCAATCACGACTGGTTCTGTGAGGTTAACAAGTTCAACATTCTCCACAGTCAATGAGACGACAGACCCAGCGACCTTACGAGTCGAGTTACCCTCCCCTCGATGCTCTCTGATCGAAGCAGACTGGAACAACGTGTCATCAGCGTAGATCAGGAAACTGGCTTGCAGCTGAGCTACATTGTGAAGAAATAGTTTAAAGAGGTACGTTTCTCATATTTGGTTTGCACTTCCCCCGAAAATCTTATCAACAAACAACGTTTCATAGTGTCATCCCTTGAAAGATGTTTAAGATTCTATAAAAATCTACTTCCGGAGGCTTAGGTTATCCCAACATTTCCATCACAACTCCACTTTCAACAAGGAACAGCAGTGCGTCTCAAACGTACGCACAATTTGAACCATTGCTTGCATAGTAGACCTCAGCAACCACCGCATAGCCCCACCCTCTTTTTTATCTTATCAAATATCGATTATTGTGCATAATCTTTGATCACACATGAATGATGAACTTACCATCAGGGGACGGTAACAAACTAGTGATGTTGCCAGGCAACCGAGCCGATGCCAAGACATCAAGATCCTTCGGTATCATACTAGAGTACAAAGTCTCGACCTCGGTACCGGCAAGGGTGCCCTCTTGCGGTGACCCTTGTCCAGGAGACGTCACATTAGACTGTTTCACGGACACGAAGCTGAGTCCGTTCCTGGTCTGGTTTGGCTCAAGACTGACCGCCTCCACGTGGATGGAGTCCTGACGTATACTGACTTTACCCTCTTGCTGAAGAGTCAGGGAGATTTGAGTCTCAACGGACTGAATGATGGCTGAGGAGGTACCAGCCTCGATCTGAGTGGGCTCGGAGTCAGGAGTTTCAGGCCCAACACTCATGATGACATTGCTGACAGTCTCCAGCACTAGTTCTGTCACCTTCAAGAAATCATGATTATAATTAAGTTTAGTTACATACATTTCTACCATATGACTGTTCCACAGCCCTTTCTTCTTTGAACCTAAGTCCCCTCTCCGGAATGGTAATTCAACATACCTCTCTGTCCCCCGATCCTGCTTTTGCGATGTTCTCCAAAATGCTGGCAACAACTGTAACATCTTCTGCCTCCTTAGATGACTCTGACGTCTGATTGGCAAGAAACTCGGCCACTTCGACTGCATTGCCTTTGCTTACCTCAACCTGTCAACGAATAAGGTTCATGGTCACATCTTCATATATAAGCTTCTTATTAAACACCGCATCTGCCTGCAGTTTTTTACAGTTTGCTCAAGTAAACACATGCAGTGTGATTCATAAACTAGGACCTCTCTGCAAGAGCGACCATATTAGAATGCCTTTCTGAAAATTGAGCCATCATCTAATTTGGATCAACCAACGTCCTGAGATGAAACAAATTACCTTGACGACATTTTCGAGAGACACTTCCTTCTTGTCCCCGCAGCCACGAATCTCTTGCTCCTCCCATCGGAAGTAGAGAGGCGCCTCCAACTTCGAACAGTTCCGGACGGCTTCGGGTTCACCAGCTTCATTTTGAGTGATCAAAAAGCAATGATTCAGATGGGCAAAACCATTCTATCAGAACAAAATGAACTGTGCGAATAAATGCGATATAAGTGAGACTTGCGGCCAAGGAACAGCGAACGAAAAAAAAGAAATATTGAGGTGGAGAGACGATCGTGAAGATTACAAGAAAGATTGGATACATCAGGCAGAACAAGGAACAACTTGGAAGACCAGGGAGAAAGTTTCAAAGACTGTGAGAGATGAAGTCAAACCATTTGCAGTTGTCAGTGGACATCGTTGGACAGACTTGGCAGTGGATCCAGCTACTGCTACAGGCCATCTCAGACCGTCATTGGTTGTGTTGGTTGGGCACTGACCTGTTGTGAAAGCACGCAAAACGTTTTACTCTCTCACCAAGTCAATGTTTAACTTGTTTTGGTATAATATCCTGAAACGGGTTCCAAATAAACTCTTTGAACTATCTTTGCCAATTCTTCAAATACTCATTTCTCACCTTGTACCACAACAAAGAATGAACAATCCAAGTGCAGGTTGTATGCCGCAAACCATTGCTGATAGTCTACTCGGTGAGTTCCTATCAACAATTCAACACCAGAATTGTTGCTTGAGGTGAAGTTTGTTGGTCCGTTCCATCCAGTTATATCCGGTTCCGACCAGCTCACACTGGTACTGGTCGAGCCAGGACTTGCTAATGCCGAGACATTAGCTGGGCAGACAAGTTCCACAACTAAGCAAAAAGACCAAATAGTTATGACTACCTGCAGAGCTATCTTGTTTGTGAAATAGAGGAAGAAACTTTTATTATTATTTAGGAATGCACGTGGATAGACGGCTGGAATCTTAGAGGGCCCAAGTTTCTCCTCATGCTGATGAAAGTGAACAAAAACAGATAATTGGAGTGAATGAAATCTGTATAGCAAACCGATCAAAATATTTAAATTAGAGTTTGAATTGGACACTAACCTGTAACCGTCACAGTAAACGTGCAAACATTCTCATTCCCAGACGCATCTTCAGCTCGGTACGTCATCGTGGAACCTCCAACTGAAAAGGTTCCCTTGCCAGCTTGGTCGCAGTCATCGGCTGTGGCTCCTGAACAACTGAACGTCACCTTCACTTCACGACCAGAGTTGTCAGAGGCCATTGGAGGAATCCACCTGTGATGTACCTGATTGGACGAAGAGCTGACTGGGATGATGACGTCAGCTGGACAGTCGTCAAGCTTAGGAGGCTCATTATCTAAATTGAGAAAACATTAACTCCAATTGCAGGCGAGTGTGTCATATTACGGTTTGGTATGTTATGTGCAGTTTAAACCTTTTTAAAGGAGGGGGTATGCATCATACTCAAATAGAAAGCGACAAAACATTTTTGGTAACCGAAACAGCATATTTTTTACCTTCGACGATGACCAGGAAATCGCATTCGATCTCCGTGTCCTCCACCCGGTAGAAAACAGGAGTTGATCCGATACCAAAGGATTCTCCAGGATGGTTGTCAGACAGCAACCGAATTGGTCTCCCTCCATCATCACGGGAGTATATACCACCACTACCACTGTCATCGTCATCATCTACGTCATCATCATCAGAGCCAATCAAGTGGTCTCCTAGTAACACTTTATCAAGATGAACACGCATCGCACTGGTGCTCTGCCCCTGAGGTGAACTGAAGATTACTTGGGGCTGAGCCCATGAAACTGAGGTGGCGTTACTTCCGGGATCAGTGGCAGCTGTGACATTGGCCGGACAGCGAAGTTCAACCCCTACAGTAAGAAAGACAAAAATGGATTTGTTTCGAGGTGAGCGGGGTGGGAATTGGTTGGGTTGGGGGGCGCTGGCTGGGTGTTTGCCGGGCTGAGGTTGGTTTGGATGGATTTTGGATGGGCTGGGGGTAATGGTGCAGGGCTGGTGCATAGATAAACTCACAGAAAGTATAGGCTGGAGTAGTCGAGAAGATGACGCTGCAAGACGTAATGTGTTTTAAAAAAAATTATGTTCAAATTTCCTAACATGAACCTGACCTGTCACTGTCACGGTGAAGTCACAATATGCCGAGTTTCCTTCACTGTCAGTCACCATGTATGTTACCATGGTAACCTCACCAGTTTGGAACATGTGACCAGGCTGATGGCTGGAGTTCCATAGCAACGGTAAGCTTGGGTCTGATGCAATCAATTGTGGCCATGACACAGGAATCGACTCAATGTCCATAGCAACCAGGCGAGTGATGTTGTCAGGGCAACCGGCGGTGAATGTAGGCGGATTTGAGTCTGTTGAGGGGTCAAGAAATTGTCAAAACTGTAGTACATTTTTTTACCGTTTTCAAAATGAACAACATATAAGCCTACGGGAATGCATTACGCTTGTCTTAAAGTCAAGACAAGCCTGAATTTCACATTACATTCGAGGTATATCGATTTCCTTCGACAATGAAGACTGCCAACAAAAACAAGGACAGTGAAGAATATCATACAGACAAGACAAGGCGAGGCAGTAAAGCTGCACAGAGCACAAACATTATATTGCATTGATTCACAATGGCTACTCAATGGCAGATTTAGCCCATTCATTGGCGTAATTGGGTAATAATCCTATACAATAGCACTGCCCCGTCTGCCTGGCTCACACTTGACAGTGAGTCATCGAGTCGGTGAGATACAAAGAGGACTACCGGCTGGACCATGCAGCAAAATACATACTATAATTATTTAAAGAATACTCTTCAGATTTTTCTCACCTTCGACAGTAATGAAAAACTGACATTCGCTCATCACTCCAAGAATCCTGATTGTCACCAGTGTTGATCCGATATTGAAGCTTTGACCTGGCTCATGATCACTGACGACGGTGACATTTTGGTCGTAGCCATTAAAGCTGAGGCTTGGCGGAGGCCACGACACGTTGGCAAAGTTGTAGGGGTTTGCAGAGACGGTGATATTTGCCGGACAAGTGATGCCGACTCCTGAGGAAAAGAGGTGACATCAACCAAAGCAGGCAGTATTAAGAGATCATTAATCCACCAGGATATATCAGTGGCGAATTCTGAATTTTCAAAAGGGCGACTGGCTAGGATGTTGAAGTCCAAGAGTTTTTTCAAGGGTGAGGTAGGGGGAATGAGGAGTTGCAGTCAACGCATAAACATACGAAACACCTGGCAGCAATGAATCAAGATTTGCAATATGGAAGGATTTTGTTATGTAAAGAACTTTTTTTCAGTATGTAAATGTAATTAACATTGGTCAGTCGGGGGTTGTTAACCACCCAAACCACCCAATGGATCCATCCTTGCATAGGAGAGAGGCGCAACAACTGATGACAAACTGACTTGTGTATTCACCGAATACAAAATCAATGGAACCTTCAAACACGTCGGCAGGCAGATTTCAGTTGAGCAATTGAACATAAGTTAATTGAATGATTAAATCATTGTCGTTAGACACATTAACTATTGACGCAATCAAATAAATGGAATCAAATGAAAGGAACTAAAATCAAATACGGCTACTCGATAAGTAATATATATATATAATGAATTTTAAATGGCATTTCCACTATCCCAACAGGCCTAAGCACCGCATAAGCTATAATGAAACATATTATGATCCCATTGCTCGGTGTTTTTCAAAGTCAAGTTGATGAAGTTAACATGATTTAGTTACAGAAAGGTGCACACCTGTCACTGTCACCGTGAAGTTACAAGATGCAACGTTCCCGTCTTGGTCTGCGACTGTGTAGGTTACCGTGGTAACATTACCCACAGGGAACATGTCACCAGGGTGATGGCTGGAGTTCCATAGCAACGGCGAGTTTGGATCTGATGCTGTCACGTTAGGCCACGCCACGGGGACTGATTCTATGCCGAAGTCCACTAGATGATAAATGTCGCCCGGGCAACCGGTGGTGAAAGTAGGTGGGGTCAGATCTGTGACGTATGACGCAAAGAGTTTAGTTAAGAGAGAGTAAAAGTGACATGTGACCGGGTCACATGACAATCGTGTTAATTGATCGTCGACGCAAAAGTGACGTGGTTTCTAGCAAGATGTATCAAGCACGATTAAGTTTGGTACACGTGCGCATCACATGCAGACGATACGAAATGGAGTATAGGCTTATAAACATTTAAAAACAGCTAGATTAATCGATGTCCTGAAATAATTGATGTTTTGAACATCACTTATAAAGAAATGCAACATTTTTGGGGTATGGTTTCGCAGAGAAGTGTTTGGGTGTAAACATTTGACATGACTGCCTACCTATGACAGTGATTTGCATGTTGCAGTTTGCAACGTTGTTGATGGCATCTTTGGCAGTGTACTGCAATGTGTGCACAGACTGCGCAAGACTCAAACTGATGCTGTCATTTACAAGATGCATGGAACCATCTACGTCAATGGTGATTTCGAACCATCCGCTGTTGTCGGATGCAGAGGCTGGAGGAGGTAGTATAACCGTAGCGAAGTTCTGGTTTGTATCTGTCTCGGTGGTCTGATCGGATGGACAGGTAATGACGGGCGGCTTATTTTCTGAAAGGAAATACTATATTAATCCTCATACAAATGTACATACCTGTTATATCACCTGTGACTCGCTGATCCAAAATAGCTTATTTGGACCCAGACCGTTACCCATGCCTTTTGGGTCGGATCCAGACATCGGAATTGACGACTTAATGTAATAAAATGACAACAGTAACAATTTCCAATCGTCTTAAAATCATTAACCCAGACCAGCATATGGCATATAGTCAATATTTAAATGACCGTTCTGATCCCCAGAGCCATGACCTCTTTCTTTTGCAGGGCCGGATGCAGAAATCCGACTTGACGAACTAAGTTAGTAAGATGAGACAGTATACAAATACAACATGGTTTGTCGGGAAATAGTGAAAACTAATTACCCCGAGGTGTTGGATGATTGGGACTATCTCCCGAGACGAAGGAGATAGCGTTCAATCATCCAACACCGAGGGGAATTTTTTTTCACTATTTCCCGCAAAAACCTGTTGTGTTTGTTTTACTATACCTCATAAATATTCATCAGGCATCTGCGGAATTTCATTCGTCCTTTTCAGCATGTTTTTGATCGTGCAGTATTTGGATAAAGTAAAACATTATTTTATTATAAGGAGACCGTATAAAGATAATTTTGTGTCATTTAATAACTTTAACATTCACGCAAAACACTGCATTTATTTTTATTGTGTAAAATTTTACCCACTTCCTCCTCGGTTAAAATCGCAAAGCGAACACCACCGGTTGGCATTTTGATGAATGGCCAAAAAAAAAAGTCTCCGGTTTCTGGTATGCGCGCGCGTCGCCGTAGCCATGCGCGTCGGCAAAATGAAAAAGTTTTTTTTTCAATGAAAGATGATGTCTCAAAACCGCCAAACTCACTGGTTTGACTGCTACTGCACAATTTTAACGTGTTTTTAGATGGGGTTATGATCGAGAATAAGCTTTATGTGGCCTCTCTGGACTCCCATATATTTGCACTAAGTTTAGTCGGGCACCATTTGCAGTCATCAGCCGACATTTGAAGCAAAAAAGTCAGGTAAAAAAAAAAAAGCCGCGTCGCCGCACCACTTTTTGGACAAGCTCCATACCAGAAACCGGAGACTTATTTTTTTTGGCCTATGCCGTAATAGACCGGCACATGCAACTGTCCTATCACTGGTGTTCGCCACGGTACGCACGTAAAGCACATGCGTCGTTGGTAAAGAGATAATACAGTACAACAAATCTAAGGCTGCGACCCAGGTCTGTGATAGTACCTCCCTGGTTTTTGCGCGTCACGCGCGCGTACGAAGACGCGGGGTGATAGTAAAAAGTTTCACACGGTTGAGTTGCTGGAATGGACCAATGAAATGCCGCGGTTGCCTGATGAATATTTATGAGGTATAGTAATAACCATTGTCAATAATCTTCAAATCAGCATTTCAGACCATGTTTGCATGGCTATTGGGGATGTTGACTACGTAGCCCCCACGCTACGGCTTTCGAGATCTTTCCAGAAACTAACATGATTTGCATATAGCCGAGCTGGACCCAAAAGTGTCAGTTTTGGGCATCATTTTGTACAGGCTCAGTGACACAAGTCAGTGAGTTAGTCATAGGACAGAATGCTGGCACTTCGAATCTAGCACAAATTACAAAGAATACATTCAAAGTGAATTTTATTACATGAACAATATTGTTCTATTTTGGGGTATAATAATAACAACACAATAATGGCCTACCAAGAACTGTGATTTGCGTGCGGCACGTTGCGAAGTAGCCGCCAGCATCCCTTGCAGTGTATTGCAAAGCGTGTGGAGAGTTTACAATACTCAAACTGACTATGTCATTAACACGGTGCGTAGAACTAGTATCAACGTCAATGGTGATTTCGAAATGACCGCTGTTGTCGGATGCAGAGGCTACGTTGGGGAGGGTAAATGTTGCGAAGTTCTGGTTTGGATCCGTCTCGATCGTCTGACCAGCTGGGCAGGCAATGACCGGCGGTAGACCATGCATTACTGAAAGCGGTAAAGGCAGCCAATGTGTGTTAGTACAAAACCTAAATTGGAGATAGCGTTCATGTAAAATGTATTTTCGATCTTGTAAAAAAAAAATTCAGTCTGTCGTCAACAACTTACTACATCGGACACCGGCATCCTCGTGATGCCAGCAGTCGTGTCCCGATCCCCTTATTGCCGGGCAATCAAACACCGTCTCCTCGTTACCCGTGCACTCAACATCATCCAACAGTATGTCCACGGTTCCCTCACCAAATGCAGCTCCAATGGGAGCCGCATAAGCTTCTCCAAAACCCAGTTCCCGGCAGATAACTGTTGCGTCTTTTATGTCCCAGTCGTCATCACAGACCGTCCCCCAGGCACCGTTCCAGAACACCTCCACTCGACCTTCTGTGGAGTCTGAACCGCCTACCAAACGAACTATCAAAACCAAGGAAAATGTCTTTGACTAGGCATATAGGAGCCCAAGCTTAGATCTAGGGAATGCAAAAATAGTAAAAGTAAATAAAATAAACAATGTACGCACCATGCAAGGGCGGATCCAGAACCAAATTTTCGGGGGGGGGGGGGGAAGCTCGAGTATATTTTGTTTCAAAAGCGTTCACTACAATAATAATGCCCCAGCACCATTCTTAATTCTTTCTACATGTCTTTTGAAGGTTTGATTTCGTGCATTTGGCTGTATTTGCAAATTGTTGAATTCCACCCTTTTAAAAATGGAACAAATGCGACCAAAACTAAAACTTGGTGGATTGAGAACGTATTGCAATTATAGGCCTAAACTTGCATTTCAGATTACATCTTAATACTGTATCATTTTGAATCATCTCAGATATCACAAATTGTCTCAGATCAAATTTTCGATCACGACGAGCTAAAGAGTTATATTACTGTGAGAAATTTAGTTTACACTTTCAAATTCGAAAACTTTAGTACGAGAACAAAGAAATGACTCCACAAGGATACAAATTCCAGTATGTGTGTACAGGTTCATCAAAGGTTAAACTTATTTCCCAAAATGTCATTTGTGAGACATTAAGCCCAAATGAGACAGAAATGGGCACAGGCCACAGTGGAGACAAAGTGTGTGTGTGGGGGGACAGAATGGGGTGATTTTTAGTTTTTTTGTATTCAGATTTATTGACATTTGTAATCTTTGACATGATTGTGTACTAGGGCCTACACCTGAACATCTTGGAATAAATGCGTTTCTAAGGAAAAACAATTGACATCGTTCATTTCCACGACTACAAAACTCGAAACTTTAAAGGTTGTTTTCTAAATAGTTTCCTTGTTTTGACATGTCGATAAATTCGAACTTTATAAACTCAAACTCGTCAGTGGAATGTCCAATTAAAGTGCAACAAACAGTATAGCAAGGAGAATATTATTTCTCCTTTCTTAATTATGCCCGCAAACGTTCACTCCGACCTCTGCCCAGCTCTGTCTCAATTTACCTGAACGCCTCACGTTTTACCTTAACCCTAAAAGGGCTTGGTTATTTTGACCATCACTCAGCTGGGGGGGGGGGGATTCCGCCCCCCCCCCCCTCGCCCCCCTAAGATCTCAGCCATCGTGGACGAAAATTTTTGAAACTTGGTACATGCATAGAGCAACTCATTATAAACATACCCAAGAAATTTCATGACTATAGGTCAAAGGGTTTTGGAATTATGGCTAATTAATTATTCATATGTACGAATGGCTACGTATATGGGAAAGTTCGGTTTTCACGTCGCATAGCGCCGGAAAAATGTTCGTTTGCGCGGCAACCCGTGGTCAGATTTTTATGTTTTTGGTATCAAAAGATGTGCAAGGCTCTAGGCTAAAAATTCCTAACAGCTCGGGTCGCGAAACAAAAAGTCAAGGCTATCGCGGAAAAAGTTGGGGGACGCAGTTCGCCTCCTGTCCATTTTAGGGTTAAGTTAACCAGTTCTTAACAGTTGAGTTGATTATAATTATCGCTTACCTAAAGCAGCCACTTGGAACTTGCATCCGAAGGCAAAGAAAGCGAGGATGGCAAACGCCACAGAGAAAGAACTCCCTGACCTCATGTTGAACATGGCGTCCATGACAAGTTGCTGACGTACTTATTTATTTACCAGTCTCTCACAGACTCAATTTCCTTGTGTCTTTTTCACTGAAAACATGTACCAACATTGCTCTTTGCAAGATGGAAAATGAGGAGGCAACTTTTAGCAAAGCTTTTATATACATCACGTATCAATGTCACGACTCTTGCATGTCATAACTGTCAAAGTTGACTTTATAATATTGTTTATCTATCTGAGAGTGAAAGTAGGCCTACTTGACATGAAACACATTCAAATGCCCTCAGTTTCCTTGTTGATACGGTCCAGCTGGCATTGTAATTTTTATGACTGTATGAAGGATATAGAAATAAATATATTTCCTGGTTAACATGATACACAGACCATCTCTGAAGATTTGGCAAGACTGCGCGAGGAATAAAAAACATTACTTCAAATCGTTGCTACTGAAAGAGTTCAAGAGCTATGGAATTAATTTGGCATGAAACAAGTTCTGCTGATATCGATCTATTTTGGGGTTTTTTTTACGTTTGTATATAACGAACTGAACACCGTTTTATCGCTATTTATAAACTAGGGGCGAGTAAGCCACGCCCCTTAGACAACCCTATGGAATTTGTGTACGCTAAGTTTTGTTTGTCTCAGATTTTGCGCGTTCTGCGTCCCTTCAATATTTAATGTAATTGGACAATATTTCACAAGTTGCGTTGACGCGATTCTAACGCGATTCTACCGCGCGCAATAAGTCAATCATTTCATGCACGACTTTCATGCAAGGCGGCCAGAGCTTATTGTGCACTCGCACTTGTTCTCTGTTCTCAGCTACGTTTAGCAGCTCTATTGAGTATCACCCGAGTCCAAACAACCAAGTTACCGTTATTTTGATTGAGAGACCCGTACTGCACACAGTTGTAGAATTTTATACAATTTGAAATTAAAGTAAGCTGCAGCAAATAATTGTGAACTCATGAAATGTTGCGTTTGCTTTGTGCAAAGAGTGTCGACAACTGATAATCGAAGACAGCAAATACATTAATATTCTTAACTGTATGTACTCTAAAATCTTCGACAATGAAATTCGGCTTGAAAGATATCAGCAAATAAGTAAACTACGTCATGATTATTTGCATTAAAAAATAATCTTACAATCTGCAAAATGTGATGTTGCTCCTTAAGTAGGCTGTGCTAGGATTGGGAGTACATGTACTTGTATTGGTAAATGCTGATTGGTTGTCTGTTGGGCACTGTGTAAGAGTGGATGCCCTGCTCGCTCGTGTGTCAGTTCGCAGTGAGCGAAATAATATCTACTGTGCAGTAGTTATTACCACATCGTGTTACTGCAAACCGAAACGATACCGATACTCCACCATGCAGAGCCTGAAATCTTATATTCATGGTCTTGTTTTAAGTATGCTGTACAAGGAACATGTATGAGCTCCTTAGCGTTTTCTTTGATCATGACGATAAGAACAGGAAGAAGTGCCTTTTGCATAATTTTAGATCCGGGTTTGATGCGTCGATCCCGGATCAATTGTCTCAACTTGGCAGTCAGTTTGAAATCAAAACAAACACTGCACGGAAGGCATGTCTGTTTTTATTGAGTTGTTGGGTTGTTGGTTTGATTTCTGATATAAAAACGATAACTTGGTTGTTGGGACCCGGGCCACTTTAAAATAGAGCTGCAAAAATTGGCCGAGAACAGCTGTGCTGCGTAGAACAAGTGCGAGTGCACATAAGCTCTGGCCGCCTTGCAGGAAAGCCTTGCACCTATTAAAAGTTTCCCATAAAAAACAGCCCGTTATATACCACGTGACTATAATTAACATTACTGCACATTATCTTGTCTCCATTTACACAATTTTCATAAATAACTCTACGAATTGTTGAACAATTTTTTAAAAGTATTTCATTTCTTTTGTTTGCTTTTTTCTTTAAATTAAATTTTGTGTATAGTTATTTTTTATGGGAAACTTTAATGGGGGCTCTTTTTGGTCAATTTCCAGGGACGGACATATGCAAAATAGACGCGCATGCGCATCTCTCGAGACGGAGCCCGTTTTCCGATACCTTTCGTCAAGAGTGCATTTACTGAGGACGGCATGGCATTTGCCTAATATTTGTTGGGTTTTTGGGGTCAATTTTCGGGGACAGGCAGACGGACATAAAGACTGACCGACCGACCACCATGCGACTTGTAGAAGCGCCTGCCAGAACTTAAAAAAGGTTGCTAGGCGAAAGACAATGTGCATCATCGATCAAAAATTTCTTGCGACGTGTATTGCCAATTACAATCGACTGGTTCTTATTGAAGCTGATTTGTATTTAGCATGCACCAGGAAATTTCAGCAAAATTGATTTCAATTGAAATATGAATGAAGTTAAAGAATCAAGACGTCACTTTCTGTCCATGTTTATTGAGATTTCAATCAATACATGGGAAAGTGAACAATTTGTCTCTTTTTAAACTTTCGCACGACTCATTTTCACTGAAACACATTCTCACACCGACTCAACCTTTCAAGAATAGACCCAATACATGTACTCAACAATCTTCAGATCACACACACCCGGGGGAGGGGGGGGGGGGGTTCACCACACATTGATTAGACGTCAAAGAATTTACCTGGAGTGGGATGAAGGGGAATGGGAAGGGAACCAAAACCCAAGTCAACTAGCTCCAGCACAGCCGCCCCAACTCTAGCAGGATGCGGATTCTACCGTTTAGCTGGAGCAACTGATACAGATACAGATAAATCTGCGACCTCCAGAACATTGAACCGGCGCTCTATCAACTGAGCTAGCCTGCCCCCATTTTGAAGTAAGCAAAATTTGTCAATGCAAAACACATGTACATATATTGTATTCACACACTCACCCATGCATGTTTGTTTTACATACGCTATGTGGACATTCCTTTGTTTTCGTGTTGTTAAGAAAACTCGGTACAAAAAATAACTTCACTTAAACTGTGACAACTCTTTCAACCCCATTTTTTAAAAATATTTTCTTGAAAGTTTATCTTCAATTCTGCGACAAATAACCCTAACCAGAAAATGCCTCTAAACCTGTTTTCCAGAGAGGGCGAAACGTTATGTGGACACGGCTTAGTCCACATAACGTAGACACAACCTGCATCTTTTGTTCACATGACCACATAGTGACTGTCAGACAAACTCATCTTTGTAAACACCGGCAATCGTGGACCCCCTATTGTCCCTAATCCTTATTCCTTTGTTTGTACTCTTTTTAACTTTGTAACTTTTTAGCAACAGCTCTCACAGGTTTTGTACACGAATTTCAATCGTTGACTATTGGTCAATTGTGGACGTATTGTTTGTGCCCTAACCCTGTTGTCCTAGGTCCACGATTGCCGGTGTTTAAACATACCATGTACCAAGGGCGGATCCAGGGGGGGGGGGGGGGTGGCAAAGGGGGCCATCCCCCCCCCCCAAACGAAACCAATTATTTATTTTTTTATGTGACATCGCAATAAAGGCAGGCAATAAGTACACCACCATCTTTTCCTCAAAAAAACATTGGTTAAAGTGGTTAGATATTGCCTCAGATCGCACCACAGAGCATCTAGAATCCAAAACATTTTCGGGGCCCTTAAGCGGGCCCCGAACCCCACGCCGTAATTTTTTGGGGGACCCCCCCCCCCTCCAAAATTGTGTTCTGGATCCGCCCTTGCCATGTACACACATGAGAAATTATTACTTCTTCTCACGCTTGTTTACTATTTGACCAATACTCTCACAAAAACTCATTCACACATATTCTCTGTTCTAAAAAATACTTATAGAAATACATGTACATAGGCCCTATACTTAATGCATTTTAAAACAATTAAAGGGAAAATGTCACACAAAACATAAAGAGAATGTACCATTCAAAACGAGAATAAAAACTGCATCACACCTTAACCCAAACGATCCCCAACCAGCCAAACTCCAACACCAGGGTATGTTGGAATCCGTTAGGATGGGTACTGCACTAGTAAACTGACTGTACTTTACATGAGATTAACCCTAACTCCCTAGGCCTTTTTGCTAGGAGGTAGCCTCAATCCTGCGAAATCATCCAATTGGCCTCATAGAAAAATAGCAAATAGCCTCAATCCTGCAAATTCCTCCATTATTTCTTGAATATGGTCCGTGAAGGACTGACCACTGCCTAAATCCTGCAAAATCCTGCGGCAGTGACTGTCAATATGTTGAGGCTTGGCCAGTGACATCCTGGAGCAGAACGGGGGATGTCAAGCATAATCCAGGTCTACATTTATGCATGGCAGAGCAAAAACAACACAAGGTCCAGCCCAAGACCTTGGCAAAGTGCATCCTACGAAATCAGCAACGCACTTTTGCCATGTAACCTCAATCCTCCATATTCCTCCACTTTGCCAAAGAGGGTTTTGAAGGATTCAGGGCGGTTGGGGTTAAACATATGCACAGTTTACCATATGGTGTTGGGATTTGCAAGGATGAGGAAGGTTCCTAGTATATAATTGCTAGGGGTTAAGGGTTAAAGTCACTGTTATGATAAATAATAACTTCACTGTTCACGCCTTTGATCAGGATACATGGACTCTCCTGTCCAAATATTTTTTTTCCTGCAGGTTTCGTTCCAAGTTCCTTGTAATTATGGCATGTGTCTAAATTTAGTCCAGGAATAGGACACTAAAATTTTGATGCCGCAGAACACGGTAAACAAATATTGTTTTTTTGATACCTTGTTCCCCTTTCAACGAAAAATACATTGGCTGACAAAAACAAACATTGACAAATGCTTCTCAATGGGGGAACTATCAGTTGTAAATTTCAATGTAATATACCTTTATCGTGCTGCCACCATTTTAGTCATGTTCCCTATATCCAATAACAGTACTGAATGATAATGTTTTCTGTGCAAAAAGAACCAGACTATTTTTCCTTGCAGCCTCGCTTTGGTTACGTTGATTTGAATGGGAAAAAAATCAAGATGGCCGCAACATGATAATGGTCTAAAAAAGACGACAACACTTTGCATGCAACTGGTCATTCCATACATTTGGGGTGCAATTGTTTTCGTCTCCCTGTTACATCTGAGATAAGATTCTGTAAACTCAGGACGCAGTTTTTAACGCCTTCTAACTCCAAGAGTGATTACGCTTAGCACCAGTCAAACAAACTTAAAATATTGTGAAGTTAATTGTAATGATACTTGCGTGGCAAATTACACAGGGTGGGTGTAATAGGGACACACAAAAAATGACACACTTTTGAATCCCAAATTTATGGAATAATCAACTCTACAAACCACATAAACAAAAAAATCAACCGATACAAAATATAACTTGAATATGGGAAATAAGTTGTACGTATCCAAAATGTGAAGATGTCTACAGTTTTCATACACCCCACACGATCAAACACAGTGACGGTTTCATCTTTATCCATCATTGCCATCAACTTGAGCCTCCGATCCGCAGAAATTACCCCGACAAGACACATTTGTGTTTACAGAGGCAAAGCATCGGAGCTGACTTTCTCGTTGCAGAACCAAGAGTCCCTTTGGGCTAAACTGTCCGTCGAACTGATCGCAAATGTCCACGTAATGTTCTCTGTTGGGCAATTACTTGATCTCGGGTGTACTGAGACCATACTTTGCTTTCATCTTGTCCAAATCTGCTTGTTTCTTGGCTTGGTCCACTTTCTTGAAAGCCTGGAGATAAAGGCAAGGAAGACAAATCAAAAGAATGTAAGCGATTGGTTTATTAGCTATCGTTAGAGGTATAATTAAATGCAAAAAAAAAAAAAAAAAAAAAAAAAAATGAGCACACCCTAGTCCTTAAAACTTCTAACCAACCTAAACTCAACATGTTCACACAAACAGCCTAGACAAATACATTAACAAACCAACCAACCATGATAAACTGAAAATTTAATGTTTCCTAAAGTTCATGCGAAAACGTGAATTAAAAGTTGATCCAAATTAAAAAAAGGTAACTCTACTCATATTTAAGCAGTGTACGTTGTACACACACTTAGTCTGAACGGTTTCAATAAATAATATGCTCTTGACTTTTGACACTTGGTCTCAAGGGAGCCATTTTCTGAGAACATGCCCAAATACATCAATCCCCCATACAAAAGTAACTAATGTATAAATTACACTGTTTCTGTTGTCCAATATTTTGATAGTGACCTTTAACCTTGACCTTTAACCTGAAATGCTTCAGCAAAGTAAAAACCACATCAGAATTACAAATTTCTGTTAATTAATGGAACATTTATCAAATGAAGGTGATGAAGCACAGAGAGACAGACAGAGTCACAGACGAACAGACAAATGTACATGTGCCTACGGCCCCCTCCCGCGACAACCCCCTCCCAAATCATCCCTTCTCACCTCCCCAACACTCCTTTAACCCTAACCCCCTAGCGTCTTTTTATGGGAATTGGACCAAGTCCATCAAAATCCATCAATCACTGTGCATCCAATACAAAACTGTACATGACATAATGGAATCCACCACTGACGCACTGGTTGACATTCATGGACTTGCTACACATGGCTTTTATCACAATAGCAGTACAGGAAGCTAGGCAAAATCAATCGGATACCACTAGCACTGCTTCAGGTTATTAGGCCCAAGTCCATCATACTCCATCCATATTTAGTCAAGCCAGGCTTTCTGGACCAAGTCCCCCAAAATCCACCAAAATGGGGGGATGGATTTTGATAGAGTTGGGGTGGTTAGGGTAAATGTCGGAAAAGAGGTGAAGAAATAAAAGAGCCTTACTCTGTTCGGCTGGTAGTACAGGACAACGAGGTATCTGCCGCACACGTTGAACCCAGAGAGATGATCGCATGCATTCTTAGCATCAAAGATGTCCTCATAGACGACGTAGGCTGTGCCTTTTGTGTCGGGACTGGTGCCACTTTGGTAAAAACAGGGACGAAAGATGACAAAGGGTAGTCAATAAATAAACACCTGTTTAATTAAATATCAATTAATTATGCAAATTAGCTGACTTGAAATGGTCACGTTCACTCATTGCAAGTAACTTACATTTCACCTACAAGAAAAAAAAATTAAAAATTAAAAACACCTAATCAGGTACATATATACATTTAAATGTTAAATTATTGTTTTAAATTTAAAACAAAAGAAAACAATGGATAACACAATAAACTTCTCTATCATTCTTTGAAATAATAACATGACCGCTTTTGACAACCCATCTGCACATATCATGAACTTCAACGTGAAAAAACTGCATCAAAATGAAAGTGCATAAATCCTATGCACAAGTAATGGGAAAATGCTGAGTCATTGTCATTTGCATATTTTTCCCAGCATGCACTGCAAAAACAAAACCCTGGTTTTGACCATTCCCAATTGTCAATTTCTTTTACAAAATACATCAATGAGATCAGAAAAATACAGGCTTTAATCTGATTACACTTTTGTGTTTGAGAAATGTTTGTAAAAAAAAAGAAGAATTTTCAGAGCAAAGCTGTGATTAGGAATCAGCGGAATGGATGGTCTATAAAGACAAAGTGCAGCAGGTTTTTCTAGCGTGTTGTATGAAAGGAGAGAAGGTTAGCACTCCCCTTGACAAGGACGGAAGACGCCGTTAGGCGTTTATAACACACAAATGGTTAAGGCATTGCCACTTACTTTGTGGCATCTAACCAAGTTTTTTTTTCTGACAAATTTGTTTCACAATTTAAAGGGGAAATACAACATTTGCAAACATCGAAAAATAAAACTACCAAGTTTTACGAAAAACCTTACTGGTATGTTGGTAAATGACATTCTAAAGCATCCTGTAAAACTATGGTACCTGGTGTGAAGACATTTTCAAGAAAATGGTATTTTTGTATACATTTCCAACGGTGGAGTCAGGGAACCATACTACTTGAAATTTTTTGTTTTTCTTGGTTTTTCCAGCATTTTCGGACACAACACTTCAAACATGTCAGTGTAACAATATTTTGATCTATGATAAAAACCTGACTATTTTTCATCTACTGCTCCAAATTTACCATTTGTGTCAGTCCAAATTGTGTTTGCTATTGATTACATGTTCATGAACAGGTGCAGGCCAGCTAGACTGGTTCCTTTCCCTTACAATTTCTGGCATCTAAAAATTGATCCATTTCATCTTTAGTGGAGTCAGGGAACCATACTACTTGAAAATTTTTGTTTTTCTTGGTTTTTCCAGCATTTTCGGACACAACACTTCAAACATGTCAGTGTAACAATATTTTGATCTATTATACTAACCCCTCAACTGGTTCATTTCTGAAAATTACAGTGAAAGCCAATGATGTACATTCCCTTTAACGGTAATAAAAAAAAAGTCACTACAAAAACCACCGCTTTAGGGCAACTCCAGCAATATTTAGCTTGCCCAAAAAGTGGTGCAGCAACGCAACTTTAGCCCGACTTAACTGAGTGCAAATATATGGGAGTCCAGAGGGGCCACATAAAGCTTATTCTCGACCATAACCCCATCTAAAAACATGTTAAAATTGTGCAGCAGCAGAATTCCAGTCAAACCTGTGAGTTTGGCGGTTTTGAGACATCATCTTTCATTCAAATTTTTTTTTATTTTGCCGACGCGCATGGCTACGGCGACGCGCGTGCATACCAGAAACAAGAGCCTTTTTTTTTTGGCCTAATGGTCAAGGAGATTACAGACTAGGAGTTTTGGATCTTTTCTCTGAATCATTAGTTAGATATTATGGTTAATTGGCTCCGTCATGGGCATTGCATTTTCTTTCACGATGCTGGAAAAGCCCTTTACCAGACATTTGGCTACAACAAACATCTTAGGTGCCAACTTTTTATGAATATACATTTTGTACACTGTACAACTACTGAGCTTTCGTTGAAGGAAATCAAATCTAACTGAGACTTTTTGGGGTCAAAACATTGGTTATTTCTTTGAATTTCAACAAAAGTACAAACAAGGCATAAGCCTGGTCATTAACTTTTTCCATCTAGCAGCCTCTTCCTCAAAAACAGTGATTTCTTAGATTTTTCCTGACATAATGTTTGATAAATTCATTGTCCCCAATCTGAGGTATTGTACCGATTGTGAGAATTATCGCAAAAATGAAAGTTGCTTCTCACAACGTTGGGGGACATTTCAGGGGAAAAGTAAGCTATGTGGTATCAGAAATTTAATTTTAGAAGCAGGAAATCCCGTGAAGTAGAACACCGCTAAAACCGACACCAGCTAGAGAAAGCCTAGTCCAGCTAATTGTTAGTCGTTAATTTGTTAAGGTACATTTAATGTGAACCTCACAATGAAACTTTAATTGTTGACGTCATGAAATTCGCTTTAGAGATTAACTACAGACCAGTAATCGTAAAAGAAGATTCAAACATGTAACTTACACTCTGATTTGTCTGATTGCACCATATTTGCCGAAGATATCATACATTTCCTCCGCTGTGATCTTATATGGGAGGTTCCGGATGTACAGGATCCTATTCACTTCTGGCGGTAACCTCACCTGTATTTTAAGTGAAACAATCACAGAGAAGAACATTTAGTGCATGTTATTATTAGGGACGTTCCTCCTGCAAAGTGGGTGCAGCAAACATTGACAAACTTTTAAGGCTACAGTCCATCATTTGCAGCTATCTGAAAAGTAACTGGCGTAATTATTGTTGAAAAACATTCTTGGTTGTAACAAAAAAAAAAATGTAAGATAGTAAGGGGACTAAACTCCCTGTGAAATTATTTTTTCTGGCAAGCTGTTATTGTGAAGAAATCAACAACTGGGCCTTTCCAAAGGTGCTACTTGGAATTTTCAAACAATAAAAAGTATTCCCTGAAGTTAGCCTGCATGATATTGGTCCATCCTTGGTATTTTCTCAGCTATAAAACACCTCTAAAAAAAAAAAAAAAAAAATCTTACCAATTAATAGATCATGGTGGCTTCCCCCTGACTTGACATGTAACATAGTGGCTTCATGTAAGATTACGCCCCTCCCAATAAACACAAAAGTTGCACGTGTAGGCCTACGGTCTATGTAGCGCTGCCATCCGCTGCAGTGATAGGCCGTGGGGTACCAGTCCGTGCAGACTGGTACCCTACTTTTAGTAATTTTGGGGTTTACATTCGTCGCTGGACTTACAGTAATTTTGAGGTTTACCTTCGTCGCGGGACTTACAGTAATTTTGGGGTTTACATTAGTCGCGGGGCTTTTAGTAATTTCTGGGTTTTCATTCGTCGCGGGGCTTTCAGTAATTTGGGGGTTTACGTTCGTCGCGGGACTTACAGTAATTTTGAGCTTTACCTTCGTCGCGGGACTTACAGTAATTTCGGGGTTTACATTCCTCGTGGGCTTTTAGTAATTTTGGGGTTTTCATTCGTCGCGGGGGTTTCAGTAATTTGGGGGTTTACATTCGTCGTGGGACTTACAGTAATTTTGAGGTTTACATTCGTCGTGGGACTTACAGTAATTTTGAGGTTTATCTTCGTCGCGGGACATACAGTAATTTCGGGGTTTACATTCGTCACGGGGCTTTCAGTAATTTGGGGGTTTACATTAGTCATGGAGGCTTACAGTCATTTTGGGGTTTACATTCGCTGCGGGGCTTTTAGTAATTTCGGGGTTTTCATTCGTCACTGGCATGACTGGGCTTTCATTGGGGGTTTACATTTGTCGTGGGCTTTATACAGTAATTGTGGGGTTTACATTCGTCACGGAGGCTTACAGTAATTTTGGGGTTTACATTCGTCGCGTTTTTTAAATTTTGTTTTCCTCATTTTCATCGGTCCTACTAAAGCGCGTCAACAAGCGTCAACAAGCGTCAACAAGTTTTAGTAATCATTAAGTGTGCGTCAACAAATTTTGTATAGGCCTTTGAACAATAAAAACAGCTTTATATGGTAGAAAAAGCAATATTGAACATCTTCTACATATCAATTAAAGTTAAAATTATTTTAAAACTTGGTTTTTTGAACGCGAAATGTACGACGAATTTGTCGATAAAAGTAGGCCGCCATCTTGTTTATGTGTAGCTAGCCGTACTACGCATGCTCAGTGCGTGAAATTACAGTCGGACATCGGACATTTTCCGACCACTTTCATGGTTTGTCCGACCAAATGCAGATGTGCTCGGACAAAATGTCCGAGCGATTTATGTATTCTTTGTGGAGTTGTCTTTTTCAGAAGTATGAAATAAACGGTTGCACTCAAAAGTATTTTGTTGTTTTACTTTATTTCCGATGATCCGGTCTGTAATACTTACCGTACGCTGAGCGGCTGCTAACTACATGTACGTGTTGTCTTATATTCACGCAATAGATGCAACGCGTTTACACCCCAATACATGTAATGAGAATTTAGCAAGATCAAAGTACGTTGTGTTGCGCGGTATGCTTTAAGTGCGTGATTGTTACTAAATTCTCACAACGTGGCTTACTACAGAAACGAGCGCGTGAATGCCCGGCGCTTGTCATTGCAACTACATAGTGTGTAATATGAATACGTACGTACGTAAACATACATACTGTACATGTACACACGTGTATGTACCGTCCACGTGTTTGAAGTATAGTAAACGCGGCCTTTTGAAAGTTCGTCTCGCAAGGTTTCACAGAGTAATTTACTTGGGAAAAAGGAGCATTTCAAGTTTTCAATCATGAAGAGAGCACTATGTAAGTATGTTTTAACTAGTTCTCGACTGTTGATAACCTATTTGTTTGCTCATGTGACCTTCAAATTTGGAACGCTAAATGGCAGATCAAAACTTGACAATGGCAGAACACTTTTGATTGTGCTCGGACATTTTGTCTGACCACTTTTTTTGTCTAATTTCACGCACTGCATGCTTGAAGTGTAAAGAGCCATACTACGCATGCGCGAAGTCTACAGCGCCATCCAAACAAGATGGCGGCCTACTTTTATCAACAAATTGGTCGTACATTTCGCGTTCAAAAAACCAAGTTTTAAAATAATTTTAACTTTAATTGATATGCAGAAGATGTTCATTATTGCTTTTTCTACCATATAAAGCTGTTTTTATTGTTCAAAGGCCTATACAAAATTTGTTGACGCACACTTAATGATTACTAAAACTTGTTGACGCTTGTTGACGCTTGTTGACGCGCTTTAGTAGGACCCATTTTCATTGTTCATTGTACGTTTTTGTTTGTCTTTTGGCATTTAATTTAACTTTCATTTTTGCTTAACTTTCATTTTGTGATTGGCTTTTTTACCCTAATGGCTGCCCATATCCTGACGCCAGTCGCCACTTCAGCGGTTGCCTACAAAGTCTAGTATCATTATCAAGAAAATTTTCCATCCAAGTAAGATTTCCTAACAAAATTGGAAATGTTTCTCATTCCAAGATTCATGTCTTAATCTTTAATCATTTGTGCAATGACTGACCCTTATTGAGATGATATATGAAGAAAAAAATGGTGCCAGGTTGCAACGTTTTTTCCAAAAAAAATTAGAGCCTGTGACTCTGCGAGGATTATCAATATCATGAAAAAGTATGGTCATGAAAATAGCGCCCTCTATAAACCAAACCCTGCCGAGTCGAGTCCAACGTGAACGTGTAACAAAACATAATTTTCAAAACCATAAAAACACGACTAATTCATCCGATTTATTAACTATTTCTGTATTTATTTTGATGCCCACATCCTACTTAATAACACAATAGTCTATTTATTGAAAATAAACTTCCAGAAAGGGGAATTTTTCGGTGCGTTCTGAACTCACATTTTGTCGACGCGCTGCTTGCATCGCCATCTTGAGATTTGTCGTCACGAAAACGATACTGAATCAGTGAATGTAATTTCTTAAATTAAACAAATTTAAATACACGAATAACTGCTAATTTGACTTGAATCATTAGAAGACACAAATAAAAATTTTATCATATTTTTGGTTGACTTTATAGAGAAAAGGGAACCGTCAAAATAATTATAGAAATATTATAATTAGTGACAAAGGCAGAAACCCTATATCGCCCATGTGAAGACCTTGTCCATTTGAAGTTGGGTACTTTAGTTTTCAGGAGTTTGGAGTTAGGCTTAACGTTTGTCAGAATTAAAGGGAATAAACAACATTTGCAAACATCAAAAAACAAAACTACAAATGTATTATGAAACAGCTTACCGGACTGTTAGTAAATGACAGAATAAAGAATCCTGTAAAATCATGGCACCTGGTGTGCTGACATTTTTGGCCCTTAAGTTAAAAGAGATCTTGACATAAAGTTAAATACTTAGGAACATTATTCAATTTGTCTTTAAATGTGTGAACGACATCCCTTAGGTTATTTTTTTAACGAAAAGTGCACTTTTTTAGTCTTAACTTTTCCATGCTTTCGCTGACGACCATGCAGGCTGAGGAAGACGTTGTTGCTATTGTGATGTCATTTTTAAGAAGACACTGTTCAGTTTGGTTTTCTGTTTAAATTGTGAACCAAATTTTCGTCATTGGCAGAAAATAAACTGTATAAAATTTAATATTCTGAATTCTGGCATCTCCACTCCAGCCTACTTAATAGGTTTGTGCTTAAATGACATCGCACGTACTTCTGCTCAATTTGCACTGGCATAAAAAACCCCAAAAGGCACCAAAATATCCTTGAAAATCTGATACAATGAAAATCATAAACCAAAATGGGACACAAAGGTGCATTTTCAAGCATTGCATATGACCTGATTTCTCTTTAAAGCATTTACTGCGTTCCTGCCCAATTAAGTATATGCCCATCTGAAGTTGGGTCACATCCTAGGATGGGATGCTGCCTTTTTACACGTAAAAATAACAAAAGTGATTTATTAACTTTTCCTTGGCCTTCAACGCATTTCGTCGTCTTGAGTGAAAAAGATCGGAAGAAGAGAGTGACGTCTCGTGATCGAAATACTACTTTCCCTTTTTGACACAAAAAGATTTGTTTGTCCAGATAAAATGGATAATAACGGCATGCCACCTTCGGCAGATCATATCTATTCGGATATCGCTACAACAGGTGCGTAGACATAACTGCCATGACCATGCAATGACTGCCTTGTTAACATGCTTTGACAATCAATGATTGAAACAGTCAACAATGACAATTGACATGAATGACATTGACAGTCAACAATGTGCGTGGTCAACATTATTGAAATATTCGTAGAAAAAATGTTGCAACCTGACGCCACTTTTTTTTTCATATAGGCCTATTATCACTGATTATTATCTCAAAGGTCATTCATTGCAAAAATGATGATAAGACATGAATCTAGGACTGAGAAATATGTCCAATTTTATTAGGAAATACTTCAAAAATTTCCTTGACTCTCCGTAGACTTTGTACGCAATCGCGGAAGTGGCGTCAGGTTGCGACATTTTCCCTTTTGTTAGAGAATAAGATCTATTGTTCGAAAATACTTTAAAAATATTTTGAGTTTGACAATGCACTTGATTCATAATCATAGAGTCTGTACACAACCAAAAAAGTGTACGATATTATTTCCGCGTAGGCCTATAGTGTAAAAAATGTAAATAATTTTAATTATAAAATACATGTAGGCTTAATGATGTGTTCTTTAATGCCTGAAAAAGAGGGTATTATAATTAATTAATAGTCATTTTATTAGTGAAATATGTATGTGTAGCATAAAATCAGTGTGAACTGAAAAACAATGTTTGACTTTGACTTTGAGGCCTACATATTCAATTTATCACAAAACCTATGAAATTTAATATTATTTAATTTTTAACATGTAAAATATTGACATTCATTCATTAAATTTAACAATAAACACCGGACCCAGGCATACATGTAGGATTGTCAGATTGTTTTCATGAACCTCGATGCCAGATGGGTTCAGGCTGTAATCTGCGGGTAGCACAGCCTGAAATTTGCAGCTTAAGTGTTGCAAAACATTTTCATGTGATATATGAAATGTACATGGTCTCATCACTGTGTCGTGACTGTAAATTATAAGGCCAAGCACAACACAAAATGGAAAGATTCCTGTAATCAGGCCATCACTTGTCACCCTGTGCACAAACCCTATGAGACTGGTCTGAAAATACTATAATATTTTCCCTTTTAATTTTCACTTTTGAGGACAAGTTATCCTCTATGATGGCCGATAGTTCACTGTAGGGAAAAATTAGTGATGGCCAGATATGGGAATCTTTCCCCCAAAAATACTTTCTCAACCAGGCTTTTTAACAAGTGGAAGGACGCAGGCCCAGTTTTTTCCCCAACAAATTGGCGGATTTTTAAATTTTCTTGAGTCGTTTGCTTAAACCATTGTTTCCAAAGAAGCTGTCTCCTTTCCTTGTACATGTACCAGATTTTGAAATTGCGTAGTATTAATGTGTACAACTATGTAGCTAAAATTTTGCTGCAAGCTAAAATTTGAGATGAGGTGGGGGCGGGCAGAAAAAGAAAGTAAGCAGGGACCAGTTCTGTTTTATTTTTTTTACTTTGCTTAAAGGCCTAGATGTACAAAATGTATACAATACTTGCATTGTGCTTGTACATTCTATTCGGGAGAAATATTTGTGCATATTATTGTTCATAAATTACTGATTAACAATGTTCATTTTAATTGCTTGATGCGTACATGTACATTGTATGTTTTGTACTGTTCCCTATAAATATGAGTGGTATTCATCTGGTACTTTTGTTAGTAAACATCTGATCAGATGAATATAGGAAGTACCACTTCCTAGCCTTCGGTTGACAATGGCAGGAAGCCTGAGGATTGATCAGTGCGTTTATCAGAGTATGTATGAACTGAAAGAACAGGTCTGCATACTACATGTACAAGTGTGCCACAGATCAAGGAAATGGTACTACATGTACAATGTAAAGTGCTGCATAGACTGGAGTTCGTCCACGTAGCTACCGACCGACAATCCCCTGTCTGGTCACCAAGAAACGAAGGGAAAATAGAACATTATTTTCCTTTGGAATGCTTAAAAACTGATCATACATTGACATACAGTGCGTTCACTTGATTTTTAACCTTGAACTTAAGTGATGGCGTTGGTAATTATGGAGTCAGACAAATCAAATGAAGAGGATCATTTGTACTATTCTCTGGATGGTGAGTAAAGAAAACTGTACTGTAGGTTATATTTTGCACAATTATTTATTATATACTATTATTTTTTCAATTTTTTGCATGCAAGAGCTTTTTTTTTTTTTTTTTTTTCACATGTACACGCCATGTAGCATAAGATTTTACATTGCATGGGTGTACATGTATATGATGTAGTGTTGTACATAATACAATTGTACACATGTATACATGTACATAATATTGTACACTGCACACATGTACATGTGACAACATGTAGCAGCATTAGTTCTGCACATAATGTACATGTACTACATGTGTGTCCTACATGTTTGTGCACATGTACGTACACACATACATGTACATGTACATGTAGGTGTGCTTTCTGCAATAACATGTACATGTATGCATGTACACATTTGTTATAATGTACATGTACATGTACATGTACATGTATGCATAACCAGTACATATGACCATGGGTACATACACATGTACACATGTACATGTATACATGTACACGTAATACCATTGTTGCAGAATATTGATATGATAAATAAACAAGTGGGCGTGGTCTCAGCTTTGTAAACACTGCTCCCACACATGTATAAATTGTTAAACAACAGCTCGTTTTTATTAAGGTATTAATTCTTATTGATTGAATTTAACAGCAGGGCCAAACAAAATAAAAAACTTGTTTCCTGGTCCACTAAATCTATATTTTACTGATCCAGTCACTTTTGCGGTGGTTTTACTTCATGCAAGTACATTGCAGCTGCACAGTGTGAGAAATATCACGTACATGGGAGATGTTGATGTATGTCATATCTACATGTACACATCAAAAAAAAAAAAAAACTAATAATAATAATAAAAGTTTCAGATAATTTGTTAACTTTAAAGTGACCAACAAACAATAACCAATTTCCTGCAGCCAATTATGCAGTATGCAGTGGCATATGGTGCTCATCATAATTGATATTCGAATCTGTATGCACAACTCTGTAAACTGCATCTGCTCTATAAGGGCTGTTAATCATTTGTGCCAAATCGTTAGAAACACAATCTGTAGAGCTAATTGTGTTGTGTTTAAAATGTAAGTTGCTTTCTTTGAAACAGTATTCTGTAACATGTTCACACATACATGGCATGCATTGTATGTAGCATCAATCGGACGTGTGCAATTTGGACAAAGAACATTTTGTAAAGAGTGTAATATCTACGGATACACTGGAATTTAAACAGCACTTGAAGCACCAACAGGTCTGCATAAGTTTGTGCATCTACTCATTAAATTGTACATCTTTGTGTGAGTGTGCTCTTCTGCTTCCAGCTGGACAGCTACGATACATGCATACATCTGTACATGTAACAGCAGTAGGATGGATTGTATCAACTGCAAAACTTTGAGCCAATCGCTGCCAAGGAACATCTGAAGACAGTTTTCTGTGACCTTTATGAGTGTAAAATCTGAACTTTTGATGTCACACCAAATTAAAAAAAAAGCACTACAATTTGCTAGAGCTTAACAGGTTGAAAACTGAAGTGACTTTCTCACAAAAGCGCCAATGAAGAACCACAGGAGTTGAAATGTAAATGGAAAGCAGTACAGCGTGGAACCAATGACGCAAGGGCACCAGTTTGTTGGAGACCACATTTGGACACCGAACTGATTGATTTGGCTATACGTGTTCTCCCAGACGGATATTTAAATTTGGCGGGCTGGTTAAACTACAATCTCCCTTGTATCTACTGTAAAGTCAGCTGATAATTCGATGTTCGGGTCAAAGGTCACGGTCCAAACATCTCCAACTCTTCAACACCCCCTTAAGTACACAACAGATTGATCTCTGGTACATGTATGTAAATACGTGATTGTGCTAAGATTGTACCCTTTGATGCAATCAAACAAAGTTGACAAAGATTAAAGTCATTCCAGTTTAAAGTCTGGCATTTCTGGTACCAGTTCGTACTCTGCTCCACCTTTTTTTGTCAACTGATCTTTTCGAAACGGTTGACTTATTATTCATGAAAAAAGCCAGCCGTACGGTTCCACATATAGGTACATGTTTATGCCAGCAAGATTATACTGAACGGATTTTGCAAAAAGGCCATTGTTGACTTATTGAAATGCTGTAAATAGATTTAACTCATGCCAGGAATGCCATTGAGAAGGGACAAAAGGATATTACATTGGTTTCGGTCTGTTGGTAATACCGGCAGGAAGCTTGTAGTGAGTGGATTATTCATTCATCAGCTCAACTAGTTTCTGAAGCACTTGGAGTAGGGGACTGTTTACCTGTTTGGTGGACGCGCTGTGATTTGTGCCGATTGGTTCCCAAGATTCTAATCGGACCAGCGTTCACTTTAAGTATTGGGTTTACATCAGTGGATGATTGTGGTTGTCGAACCAGCACTTATCAGAACAGTTGCGTTATCACAAAACTTCAGCCAGAACTTCCAAGAATTTTGACAGTGGAATACAGACCCGACAACAGTGAAACAGTGTTCACCCCGTGCTTGCTTATTTTCCGTTATCTTGGATTTGAAAAGTACTTGAAAATTGATTATCCGAACCAAACTGCATGAGTGCTTGTGAAATAGTTGACATTAGTGCAACACTGAACAGAGCAGTTACTTTGCAGAAAGCCTTCAGCCGAGAATTTTTCTGTAGACAACCTCCTAGGTCAGACAGCGAAAATAACTCCAACCGTGAAACAGCATCAGTTGTACAGATAAACCTTCAAAGAAAAGTTCTTCATGTAGAGGCAGTTACAATTTGAAGTCTGCTAAAGCAAATCGTGTGACTAGCTCCATCCAATTTCAAAGTTTGAACCAAACTAAAGTCCGCAACCATGAAGCGTTCGAGTCGTAAGAAGCCGTCCGACACCTCGCCCAACGACAAGCCGAAGCCTAAGCCATCCAAGCCAGCCGGCCCTCAAGCCATGGTCGGCACCAAGGAGAAGCCGCTCTACATTAACGAGAGCCTTCAGTCGTTCGTCACCGAAGAGGAGGGCTATGGCTCGGAGGAGTACGAGCTGACGGAGGAGTACAAGTCGCCGCTGGCCGAGGCGCCCAGCTATCACTCCTACCTCAGCATCGTGCCTGACTATTATGGAGATGAGGAGGAGGAGGCCCACGATGGGGGCGGGGCTTATCCCAAACCAGGTGGAACTATTTATAGATTCAAATAGACGTACCTGTATCTATAACTTGTGACACATTGTACTGTGTTATAATGTAAATTTTATACATGTACAAAGTTTCAACAAGGTACATCATGTACATGTACACGTGTACGTGTACATGCAGTTTTGTACTGTGTAAAAGTGCAGCATGACATGTATGTACAATGTACATTGTAATTCATTCAATTGTGACAAATACGACAGGGCTATACTATGCATACATGTGTAAATGGTACATGTACATGTACGAGTACATGCGCATATACTTTCTATCATGATGCAACACAATTTGAACAGTGTACATGTACGTACATGTTCATGTATATGTTTGTACATACATGTACATGTACATTTGTACATGTATGTGTACCGGTATATTCAGTATGACATGAATAATTCATAAACAAGTAATTTATCTACTACGTATGCATAGAAAAATATATGCAGTATGTGTTCATGTACATGTACATGCAGGGTATGCGCATGTACATGTACACATGTATGTACGTACCGGTACATGAATTTTATCATGTGTATGATACTTAAAGTTTTTGAAATTTGCAAATTATACATTATTACAGATGAACAACTTGTATGGAACTTTTACACAGTTAGACATCAAACTGTTCTACACGGAGGTTCCACAACCATATTAGAATTACATGAAATCAGCTCATTCTGTTTGTTTGCTTTTCATTCCTCCAGAGGAGCCCCTGTCCTCCCCAGACTCCACCCCACTGTATGACAACACACCGGCCAGCACGCCCAGCGACTTACCCAGCCCTGGGGTGGAGGTTGAACAAGACGAAGCCGAGAGGGAGAAATTGCGGTTGGAACTGGCCGAGGTAAAACACTTTTCCAGTTGACTTCAAACTTGGCAAAACTACGAATCATGAAAGTTTCTGTAATCATCCAAAGTTTCATAAAATTTGGTCATTGCATTTCCGAGATCAAAAGTGGATGGAATCTGCCCCTCCGCTGCCAATAAGACCCAGCTCATGTAATTCTTAGAAAAGTTGGAAGAGCTTGAATTTGCCACCAATTCACAGAGTTTTAACATAAACCATCATTGTTAGTCAATCTTCTTAGTCAAATAGGTGGCGATCGTGAAGTTACGGCCCCTCTTGAGTTTTCAATCAAATTAGAGTCAAGGGTGTTTTTTATCATTCAAAAATGTCCTTTCCAACCTAGAGCCGACTTCTCTCAATTCTTACGACACCTTTTTTTGGATAATTTTGAACAGTTTCTTGGGGTAGAAATTACGATTTTCATACGCGGTTTACGAGAAGTGAACACATTGGGTGACGCGGGGCATTTATGTGGGCGGGGCAATTATGGCCGAATCCGGCACCGTCCATTCTGCAATCTCGTATTCTGATTTGCGGGGATACATTACTCGCATCTTTAGGTTGAGAGCGACATTCTTACGCTGAGGCAGACGTTGCGAGCCAAGGAGGCCCACTCCAAGGAGATCAAACGGAAGCTGGGCATCACGCCCATGAATCAGATGAAGGAAGGCTTCCAGCACGGATGGCAAAACTTCCAACAGTCCAACGCGTGAGTAGACACGCACTGTGTGTGACTGGGCCTGAGAAAAACAGAAGAAAGTCATCACGTTTACAGAATGCAGTTATCTGAAAATCTCATATAAAACAAAAAAGCTTTATTGACAATTTGGCCTTGTATTCCTGGTTCATGTGATAATAATAACAGCGATTATTTATGAAGTGCACGTATCCACCAGAGAACTAGTGCACAAGGCGCTACATCATTATTACCCCTGCTCACTGGGCCCATGAAACATTCCAAATACCATCTCAGCTCCCTGGGGAGTATACAGCTCGATGCTGCCTGTTAGGTGCAAGGAAGCTGATTCAGTCACAATAACCATCTCTGTCCTCACAGGTACCCATTTACTCCTGGGTGGAGAGGAGCAATGAGTGACAAAGTGCCTTGCCCAAGGGCACACTCACCGTAACCCCAGGCTGGACTCGAACCCACAACCTATGATATACATACATGTATTTGCATGACTTTCACTTCACAAATTTAAGCTTAGTAGTTCATATTGCATGTGTTATCGGATTGTAGCTGTTTTTATGTGCGTGTCGCAGCAGTATGGATGTGCCATTGGAAAATTCATTTATTTGTTGTGGGAAAGTCATACGCTTGACATGGACAAGGGAAATATATATCATGGGAAATCCATGGGTTTTGTTAATGCGGAATTGACTGGGAAAAGCTCTTGATTTACTCCCCGTTTGATGAACTGGTACCACTGCACAATGATTTGTTTTGGAAAATCATGCGCTTGACATGGAAAATGGGAAATATTTATCATGGAAAATCCATGGATTTTTTTCATGCGGAATTATCTGGGAAATGCTCTTGATTTACTCCCCGTTTGATGAACTGATACCACTGCACATTGATTTGTTTTGGAAAATCATGCGCTTGACATGGAAAAGGGAAATATTTATCATGGAAAATCCATGGATTTTTTTCATGCGGAATTATCTGGGAAATACTCTTGATTTACTCCCCGTTTGATGAACTGATACCACTGCACAGATACGTCTCCACAAGTACAAAACTCACAGAATGGAATGAGAAAGTCACGTCGTCCGAAGCGTAAGTAGGGTTGCCAAGCTGTCACGGGCCAGAGCATGTAGGTTCATCCCAGCGGCATGATTGCTCATTTCATTGCTTGGGAATGTCATGTTCAAGACCAAGATCATGAAGATCAACACTTGCATCGCATATTTGATTTGTTTGTTTTCATGTTTTGTGCAGTTTTTTTGTTTGTATAGTTTGCAATATAGAATTCATCATCTTGGCAGGGCTAACTTTTCGATAATTGTTTTAGTTGGGTTCGAGTTCGACATCTCTCAAGATATCCACAGTTTTTCAAAATGTCGTAATTACTTATTCACCTGTAAACATGGTAAAACAATTGTTACATGTATATCTGTGAATAGTATACAAATGATATAAGAAGTAAAGTGTAACTTCTACAGTTTACTTCATCACAAAAGAATATCCCAGGGAGATATTAAGTAGGGTATATGCAGAAATTATTGCCCTTCAACAACCCAACATACATGTAGTTAACTTCTGCCTTGACCCCATACTAAACTGGCCCATATTTTCTCCCATTATCTTCATACTAACCCTCAATTAAACCATAACTAACAAGAAATTATTGCATTCACACATGTGCAAAACTAACACTCGCAGATAACACAGCAACATGTAGATAGCATTGCACGGTTAGCAACGATGTTTCTGGCAGTATTTTGTATTTGACATTTTGACCGGATGTCAAAATTTTGTTAAAGCACAAAGAACGTGCCTTGTTTATACTGCATATTGTTGGATTTTGATCGATCGAGGTAGGTTTCTTGCAAGAGTTTGTGTGGAGAATTGTACAGACAAATACAAAGTTTGCACCAGATAAAGATGACATGATTTTGACATGTTGGGGCCCTTCTCAATTCATATTGACGAGTTCTAGAGAGTGTGGGTAGAATTCACTTTGTCCGTCAGAAGCCCTGCATTTGTCTTGGACATGTTCCAGGGAAACTTTCATCAGCAACTGCTTGACTCGCATCATAACTTCATTGCGGGGAAGTTGTTTAGAATCCTGCAACTTGTACCCGATACAATGTCCGGAACTTGTCCAGAAATCATCCTGGATACGAAATGAGACGGGCCCTTATTGAGAAGAACTTGGCTAATAAAGTTTCAAGCACTTGCCTGCGAATAATTAATTTATAGCCCATGAACTATTTCCATTGTAGATGCCAGTTCTTACAATCTGCACTAATGCTTCTTAAATCTTTTTAATTAAAACAAACCCTGGATTTTTCTTCTACGTAGTCTGTATCTTCCTTCTACATAGTCTGTTTGAAGAAAACATTAAAAAAAAATTGCTCGCCCTTCACTTCTTTTACTTCAACATCAAATTTTACAAATATGCTTGTTACAACTACTTAAGTTTATTAAGAACTTAGTCAAATGATTCGGTGTTATTCATAAATAATACAAAATTACCAAGGTACACTCTGCCAATTCCAAAGGATTTCAAATACCAATCCTGTTTTTGGATCTCGTCAAAACATTCCTGCAGATATAACAAGACGAAAACGGGCCTTGCCACCGCCGGACAGAAGACCACGTCAGCATTCAACACCTTCGGCTCGGCAGTTTCCAAGAAGCTGGGCGATATGAGGGAATCCAACACCTTCAAATCGTTTGAGGAAAAAGTCTCGTCTGCGACGACTTCAATCAAGGTACATGAGATACTCGGAACATATGATGGAGGCCTTCTTGTCTGCTTTTTGTGGCTAAGGCTTAGGGCTTGCCATAGGCGTAACACTGTGACTCATAGCCATAGACTGAGACAGTTCTTGCGGGTGAGAAATAGCATTCCGTATGGAAAATGTATACTCCACCCAGGAGTATAAACAGGTACCTGTGAGGGTAGAGGACCGAATGTGCGCTGATATCGGCTGCCGTGTGGTCTCATGGCCTGATGAACGGGGAATTATTGCAAAGCGCTTTGAGACTGTTATATGATGGAAAGTGCTATATAAGCATTATAATTTATTTCTAATTAACTTAATTTTGTTAATAAGCACTGCCAAAAGAAAAAAGAAAGTCCACATTTATTGGAGGGGTCATAATTTTGAATCTGATCGTCTTATGATGACATCATTTATATATTGACCTTTGGGGAATGTTATTAGCTACATTTTGATACCTCGTTTGCTACCAAAGACTGTAAATCATCCACGATTGACAACTGTTTATGAAAAAAAGATGCAGTTTGAAAAGTTGCAAATTTAAAGATTGCGCGATGAGAAATTGCTAAGCGTAACCACACATGCCCGTAATTTCCCCCTATCGACTGCACAGTGCCCAAACAAAGCGCGGGTAATTCAATTCGCGGGCTCCAATGCGTGCAAGCACTGTGCGATCAGTATTCTCTGCCGTTCGTTTCGGGCATTGTCACATTGTCACGCAGCAATTTCTACTCGCGTAGGCATACTCTTTAAATTTGCAACTTTTCAAACTTCATAACTTTGAAATTTAGCAATTGAGATCATTTTTTGTTTTTTTAAATATCCAACAGACCAAGGTAACAGGTGGCAAGACTCAAGAGTCCAGTTTTGAGGAGGTTCTGCAGAGCACGGCGAGCGCCGAGCAGCAGCAGGACTCTCACGCCAACTCAGCCCTGCTGGAGGAGGAGAAGATTCCCTTGTAGGCTCACAATCGTTGTCGTCGCTCCGTGTTGTTTTGTTTGTTCCATTCAGTGTTTTGTCTGTTGGCTCAAGCGTAGATACTTACAACTTAAATGGGATTTAGGCTTTGTTTTGGAGTAATTAAGCTCGGGAGAAGTTTGCGGATGCAACATGTGAAGGGACTGTCCGTAAAGACAAGGGAAGTCTAGTAAAGATGTTTGTAGACCAGTCGCCGTCACAAGTGGCAGTCAGGTCGGGTAGCGATACTTTCCTCGCCTTCCACCGCTGTGACCCGGGTTCGAATCCCGTGGGGGCCAAGATGTGGATTGGGTTTTCAGTCCCTACTTGATTCCGTGGGTTTTCCCAGAGTATTCTTCTAGGGTTTTCCTCCCACCTCTGAAACTATGGTGGCTTGATTGCACTTGCCAGGAACTTGCTGCATTAGGAGAGCAAAATCTAAATCCAGTTTTTGACCGCGATTACTGTAGTTTCTTTCAGAGCAAATCTCTTTTTAAGATTGTCGCTTCACAAAAGTGTGCATCCGCAAACTTTTCTCAAGTTATTTATGGGAATGAACAGTCAGACCCAAGGAAGGGTTGGGGTGGGGCAAATGTAGGGGTATGTAGGGATGAGGGAAGGGAAGGAACCTTGAAAGTTAACTCAAACACTCCCAGATCCTTCCAAATTGAGGGTTTGTAGGATTTTGCAGGATAGCAGAAGACAGAGAATGGACACTATTGCTTTACGCTTGATGCCACTTGAAACTTGGTAGGTACAAAGAGTGTGCCATTGGGTTCCTGCACAGTGGAAGATTTTGTAGGATTGAGGAAGGTAGAGACCAGCCAATAAACGTTTACATTGGACTTGATGCTCCTTGAAACTTGGTAGGTACAAAGAGTGTGCCAATTTGGTTACTGCGCAGTGGAGGATTTTGGAGGAGGAGGATTTCTCACAAAATATGTTTAGGTTCATAGTAATTTGACCACTTTTTTTTCCTTGGAAAACTCTGCTGGATATTATTCAGACAAAAGGGGCCATTGTTTTTGTGGAAGAAACCAAATTATGAATGATTGTTAAAGAAATGTTATTAGCTAAAAAATAAATAAAGGTGAGCAAATGTTTTAGTTCTTTTAATAACAAGGATAGAAGTTTGGAAAATTCAATGACAGATTTTATTCATTTGTTATTTTCCTGTATAAAAAAAAATATTAAAAATATCACAGGAACTACGTGTATATTATATTTTGATAAAATGTGAAGTGTTGCCATGCATGTACATGTACCATTGATGAAAAAAAACTAGCCGGAGTCTTGTGAAATGATTTTCTTTTATTACAGATTATAAAAGTGACTAATGTTGATATGAAAGTAATATTGATTCAATCAATAGCTATACATGTATATCGGTCTGTGATATGTTTGCATGTGTTGGGATAACGCTGTATTACTATTGTATAAAGCAAAGCTACAGCACAAACACAAATAAGGTGAAACTTAATTGACATTTGCAGTAGAATTGCTGTAGTGTGTTTACCACTGAGAATGTCTTTTCCTTGTTGTAGCTGTGATGTCACTTGTGGATCACTACATGTATTTATTTATTTATTCGAGGTGACAGATTTCTAACCAGAACTACCGGTAGTGAATCGTTACAAAAGTAGACACAAATGTATTAACCCATTACGCGCCCTGTACCACCCCAACCGCCCAAGCACTGTGTGGTTTTATGGATTCATCAGTGACCGAATACAATGTGTTACAATGTATTACAATGTAATACAATGTATTACAATGTATTACAATGTATATGTAATACAATGTATTACAGTGTGTTACAATGTAATACAATGTGTTACAATGTATTACAATGTAATACAATGTGTTACAATGTATTACAGTCGACTCTCGTTAGTACAAACTCTGTTAATACAAAATTCTGGTTATAACAAACATAAAGCCTTGGTCCCTACTTTGCATTTATGTGCACAATGAATGGGACTGATGTTCCTCTTAATACAAAATTCTTATATAACAAACAATTTGGCTAGGTCCGAACAAGTTTGTTTTAACGAGACTCGACTGTACAATGTATTACAGTGTGTTACAATGTAATACAATGTGTTACAATGTAATACAATGTAATACAATGTATTACAGGTGCTATATGGCTTAAGGACATGTAATAAGTGCTGCCGTCACACTGTGCGCCCACACCATTAGTGCATCCTCCACATTAATTACCTAGCCTTGCCGACTAGCTGCTTGTATGAGAAATGTATTACGTGGGGATTGCAACCTCCTTCTTCACAAGCCACACCCCCTAATTAAAAAAGATAATGAAACAAAAAATATATGCAAGGACAACATATTTTGTCATAGAAACCAATTTTAGGTGAAAATGTATTTTGTCCATTGTTTGGCATATTGAGTTTGTTGCCATGGTTGCAGTCCGTTCATGTAATACATTTTTTAACGGCCGTCTGGTAGAAAATTAGACATAATTTATGTAGGCACCGTGTACAGTGTCACATTCCATTGGTGTTAAACTATTTTGTAGTGAAAAGAATGAGGAAGAAAACAATGCCTGTGAAATTTTTAAGCCTTCAGAGTTATCTATCTTTGTAAAAGAATTGCTCCGAAGTTTTTCACCACATAATGGTTGTGAGCAAAAAGTCATGCACATTTTTTGTGCACTGGTAATTAATTGTGGAATGTAAGGTTGTGGGGAAAGTTATACTTTACATGTGGTGGAAAACTTCTAGGATCAGAAAAAAAAATATCCCTTGCAACTGTATGTCTATTATATCTACACTAGCATTAAATGCAGTTTGTTCAATTAACTCAAAACATGTGAAAAATATATTCTTTCATTTGACTTTTAACAGTATCCACTTTTTATGTTGCCAGAAAATTATTAACCCTAACCATCCCCAACCCTTTAAAATCCAACTGCATGCTTCGGCAATTGTTTCACTAAAACTTTCTTTTTTAGGGAGTCGGGGATATTTAACACATGAGTGTATTTTACAAATAATGAATGATTGTGTGTGCAATGGGAAGAATAATTTCATTCGGTGACAGAATGTTCCATTTGCCTCGTTGAATGGAACATTCCATGTGTCACTGAAAAAAATGTTTCCATTGCAGGAAAGTAAACATTCATATTTTGTTTTACGCAACACCTGAATAAATCCTGGTCATCTGATTGGTCTGAGCCACCAAAAGTGTGACCGTGCAATGGAACTTCCATTTACCGTGCAATTAAACTGCTAATTTTGCCACCCGTGCGTTGGGACGAACAATTTAACGACACGTGATCAACGACCCACCTATCAGATGACAGGGGTTTGTTCAGGCGTTCCATAACATAGGATATTAACTTAGCTACGAAAGTATATCATGGTGCAGATTTAGTTTTATTATTTTTTTTAAATTTCAGAAGCCTCTTACATTTGTAAAATTAAAACAAAAAATTATGTTATAAAATTGTTATTACCCCAACTTGCCATTCTTCGGCTCTCAATACATGCACAGGGAATTCCAAAAATACTATTTTGCATTGAGCTGTTTATTGATAAATGTGATTTTAATTTATCTTGGAGCATTGAAAAGCAAACAACCATTCCACTCAGAGAAAATTTGTCATCTAGTAAATCTCTTTTAATATTTATTCATTGGTGTTAATTATTAACCAGTGCTAAATAATTACATGCAAATTTATGCAGAATACTACATGTATTATTTATTAGAAAAATGTTGTTACAATCAAGCACGTATGCTCAAGTAGCTGCACACAGCAAAATTAAACTTCATTTTCTTGATTTGAATCCAATAAACTAAACTTTCTGTAAATGAAATTCTCCCTCGGTCTGAACTTGTGTTGTCAAATTACTGAACTGTACTACAATTTACAAATTTTATTTTGAATATTAAAAACTGGTGAATGAGCCCTTAATATTGATCCAACTTAAAATGTACTTTAAAAAAACTTATGATATATATCCAATTAATCTCTCTTGCTTTGAAGTACAAATTTACAGCTAAGATTAGAAACTTAAAAATGAACGCATACTATTGATTCAGTTTATAAATTTCAAATACATACATGTATTATACAGATTATGGCGCAATACTAAATTGTTGGCTTTTTCATTCATCGATGTGGGCAAAAAATCTAGAGCGAGTAAGAAGTAAACCTACACTACAACAGGCAGATCCACTCTATCTAATGTTCCACCAATTGACATAAAATAAACATCTAGGACACTCCAACTAAATAATGCGCCATATGATACCAAAATAAATGTTTACAATGTTTCAATAGATAGTTTATTAAACCTTGATTCCATTAATAAATTTATCTATTGATCACCAAAGGTAAACGAAACATTTTAAAATCAACAAACATGAAACTACTAAAATTGAAAACTGCCGTTAGCCTTCTGTGATACTAGAACAATGTTGGATTAGACTTTTAAAACTATGCTCGGTTTTTGATATCATCTTACACTTCAAACTTCACTTCTGACATTATTTGTTATTTTTTGGTATTAAATTCACGTTAAATGTAAATCCAATGATTTATTGGGGAGGCCTATTTATATCATTGTCTAACAAATATTTATCACTCAATTGTAGGTCCATAACATGCTGATCAGTGTTTGTCTACAATTTTTGGGTTTCTTTTGCATCAATTGTGTGTATCTTCACTCCCAAGTTTCTAGACAGTTAAAAATACAAATGACCACTTGAGAGAGATGTTCTGTTAAATCCTTTGAATGATTTGTTGAAATCTACATTCTTCACTATCGCGTCATTAGCCACCAACGATCTCTTGGATTGCCTCGGCGTAGATGTCAAAGGTCACCAAGAGTGCCCTCTACAGTTTGGAATTGGCAATGTTCTCCTTCAGGAAGGGTCCGATGTACAGATGGTAGGCATCCTTGACCTGCGAAAAAAAGGGGGGAATGATGTGATAGCAAAAGTGTGAAAATTGTTAGCTCCAAGTCAAAATTATTACTGCGATGCTTGAGCAAAAGCACAAAGTGCCAAGAGTTGCAATTACAAGCCACATCAAATCGACAACGACAACGCAGTCTAGGACAAGCTTTACTTGACTCGCCCTGTCTTTTTAAAATTAAGGGCCAAATTTTTGAAGTACCTCTTTGTCATTCATGGGAGCTGACTTGGCCCACTTGTACATGTTCTCGTAGACGTTGCCGTCGTAGCGTCCCATGACAGAACCCATGTGCTTGTCGTGGATGTCGAAGGAGTCCACCAGGGTGACCGCGTTTGGACGAGTTTCTTTCAGGAGACGAATCAGGACGCGGTCGACCATGTCCAGTTGCTGACCGGTCATGTAGCCGTCCTGGAGGAAAAAATAAAGTTTTACTAAATGTTTGTGCTTTCCACATTTCTGTGCTTAGAAACTTGCTTAGAATTGTACCAGTAATGTTTTAAGCTCGGCCACAATAGCTCTCTCAAGGCGCTACATCATTATTACCCTGCTTATTGGGCCCATGAACCATTCCAAAGACCATCTCAGCTCCCTGGGGAGTATACAGCTCGATGCTGCCATTTCACTGCAAAGCAGCTAAATCAACCACACTAACCATCTCTTGCCCTCACAGGTACCCATTTACTCCTGGGTGGGGAGAAACAATGAGTGACAAAGTACCTTGCCCAAGGGTACACGCGCCATGAACCCAGGCTGGACTCGAACCCAGCTTTACCCACAGACCACGACTCCAATGCCTTTAACCACGAGGCCACAGCACTCCACAGAGATACACAAGTACTTACTTGCAGGAATTCTCCTCTCTTCTCGCTCAGTCCGTGGACGGCGTACATCTGGAACATGGTCATCAAGACCTTCTTCACGGCTTCCGGGGCCTCGGAGCGCTGGACGCCGGCAAAGAAAATCTCGGCGACGGCGAGATGACAGTGGGCCTGAGAGATTAACACAAAATTTGAGATATGTCAGCTTGGATAACAGCAGGCATACCAAACATCATCTCAGCTCCCTCAGGAGTATACAGCTTGATGCTGCAATTTTGGCGCAAAGCAGCTAAAATCAATAACAGTTACCGTCTACACCCTCACAGCTAGGTATGCATACTCCTAGGTTCAGGGAAGCAACTCGTGACAAAGTGTCTTGCCCAAGGACATAAACTTCACGACCTTTCAAGATGGACTTGAACCCATATGCATAAGTGTCCACAGATTCTGAATTTGATGCTCTAAACCAGAAGGCTACAGCACCCATACAGAGTTGACAACATGGTGGATTTTGGAGGGTTCAGGGAGGCTGTAGAGTAACAGATAATGACAAGTACATTGTGTAAAATATGTCAGTGTAAAATAACTCTTACGTTTGCAGCTCTGATGAGGTAGAGATGTTGTTGGTTCCAGGCCAGGGGTCGAGCCAGGCCGGACTTTTCCGCTTTGTCCAGATTCTCCGCAGCGTGAAAGACGATCCTGTCAATAAATGTCACCATGGTCAAGGCATATCTTCATAGTTTAGAATTTCTTTTTCCCACATCTGCACAGGGTAAAAAGCTCAAAACAGCAAAAGCCTTGGTTGGAGTAACGACAGAGATTAGTGGAGAGAAAAACCCACGACATTCAAAGTCGAGCATCTGGAATCTGGCAGGGACTGAAAATTTCCAATCCGCATGTAGGCCAAGACAGGAATCGAACCTGGGCCACAGCAGTGGAAGGCGAGGAAAGTGTCGCTGCGCTGACCTAATCTCCCATGTTTAATTCTGCACGCACTATTATAACATTCACACATCACTTCCCTATTTACCTCTGAGCTCTGTGGCGGTACGCATCCAGAAGCACCTTAGGATTCAGGAAGTCGTTCTCCGACTGGGCTGAGCAGCGCGACTGGGGGCGCTCTGCGAGGTACGACATCGCGCCCTTGAAGGATTGGCCCGACTTGAGTTGACGCACACATTTCATCAGGAACCTGCCCAAAAGAAAAATTTCAAAATCGCACCACGATATAAATCATGACGGAGAGAAACTAGAACATGTGCATTCAACCTCATTGAGCTTTTGCCTGCCACTGTCAAAACAATTTAACAGAGGGCGCTTTGCATATTCAACTTTATTGGTTACCTTGCAGTCTGCAGCAGCATGAAATAATAAAATCACATCATGATATAAAGCACGACAGAGAAACTAGAGCATGTACATTAGACCTCATTGAGCTTTTGCCTGCCACTGTCAAAACAATTCAACAGAGGGCGCTATGCATGTTCGACTTCATTGGTTACCTTGCAGTCTGCAGCAGCATGAAATAATAAAATCGCATCCTGATATAAAGCACAACAGAGAAACTAGAGCATGTACATTAGACCTCATTGAGCTTTTGCCTGCCACAGTCAAAAACAAATCAACAGAGGGCGCTATGCATGTTCAACTTCACTGGTTACCTGGCAGTCTGCAGCAGCATGACAGTGTTTTCTCCCTCGTAGGTGCACGCCGGTGACTCATTTGCGTACAGTAACGGGAAGCCGCTGGATGCCGAGTAGCCGTGGCCACCGCAGGCCATTCGGAGGAGTTCCAGGCCAGCCATGGCTACGCTGGAGGTAAAGGCCTTAAGACCGGCGGCCGTTGCGTGCAGCTGGAAGAACCAATTGGAGAAGGGGTAAGTTACTGATATGATGGTGTTATTTTACAGTTGGACAGAGAAATTGAATGGTGTGGGTTTCGAACCTGCGACCTACAGATTGCCGATCCGGTGCTCTATGAACTCAGCTATCCACCCTAGGTTGGCAGGTAATGTCAAGGTGTTTACAGGGGTTTCAGCAGATTTTCAAACTGGTTGACTGTAGCAGGCATGCAACTTTTCCTCGGATCAGCTGATTTCCTCATTTTTAAACTTCTCATGAATTCCATTACCAACTACAAAACACCGTACAAAGTCGTGTGTGGTTTGGGAATTTACTCCCTACAGCATTCCCAGTTATGCCTGCTGTAGATTTTGGATCTTTTACCAAACACAGCCTCTCAATTCTGGTCTTGACCAGGTGTGAATTGTACCCACGTAGGGCACTGGACCCATGTAGGACCCATGTTAGATTCTGCCAGCTTGACAGAGGTTCCCTAAAACTCAGGGTTTTGGAGAGTGTGGAAGGGTCTTTATTAACCTCGGGCAGGACGTTGAAGTTTCCGGAGCTGACTTGGTCCAGGCTGTCGGCGTACATCTGATGCATCTGCTTGCCGGCAAACTGGAAAGCATAGGCCGTGGCAATGTGGGGGAAGAGCTTCAACTGTTGGCTCTGGAAATCCAACACCTGCGGTTCACCCGCGCTGGAATGAGAACAGCCAAAAAAATACCCAGTTGGGGAAAGCATACAGAATGGCTCAACTCAAAACTTTAACGAATCTAGGTGTTTCGATGTACTAGAGGCTCATTTATTCTTAGGTCATCTCAATTAATATCCAGGACGAGTCCTGGCAAAGTTGTTGACACTGTATCGGGAATAAGTTGAAGGATTCAGAACACCTTCCCGCAATCTTCCTGCAATGAAGTTACTAGTTCTTGGTTCTTGGTTGGTTCTTCTTCTAAATACTCCACGTGGGAGTTTATACAGGAGGCCAGAAACACCGGGGCAAACCCCTTCTAGTATTGATGAGTCAAGCAGCCGCTAATGAAAATTTCCCTGGAACATGTCCGGGACAAATGCAGAGCTTCTTTCGGACAAAACGAATGATTCTACTTGCAACTTGTCTGGAACTTGTCCTGGATATGAATTGGGACAGACTTTTAGGTTTCAGATCTATTGCAAATCGTACCCAGGAATGAGTTCGGATTGGCGTCTGACGGCGCTGTAGCGTGTAGCAATGGTCACGGCTTGGGCAAGGACGCGTCCCATGCTTCCAACTATTGCACTACGGATCAAGATCATACTGCCGTAGGAAAGCTTGGCTGCAGGGGGTGCTTTGTAGGTACCGTCCGGCTCCACCTGATCGCAAAAAAAAAAAAAAAAAAAAAATATATAGGTTCACATTTATAACAATAATAATTATAATAAAGTCAACCGGATTGATTTTAGTGCCCAAAGTGCCCGTAACAAAAACGTGTACAAATGATATGGGCAAAATGACTAGGGAAAAAAAAAAAAAAGAGAAAAAAGAGAAAAAGAAAAAAAAGAGAAAAAGAAAAAGAAAGAAAGAAAAAAAACCAAAGGCTGTTTCGGCTGGTTGCCGAAACGGCCAATGATTAACCTTGATTGGACATTTGGGAGACATCCCCATAGACTTGTGCACGAAATTGTTCAAACTTAAATGTGCCCTAATCCAATATTTCCTTGTCCTTTTTCCACAAACTTCGGTATGTTTACTAATTAGACCACGAGCAACAAATATAACCTAACTGCGACAATAAAATTGTGCCTCTAAAGGGGGGCTGTGACATTAGGGAGACATGAAAATGTCTCCCTAATGACAAATGTTTCCCATCGTGCGAAGAAATTACGATAACGTGTCTCCTTAGTGGTACCTTTACACTAATATAGCGCTTTATAACTGTTTTACAATCATTACCCGTGTTCATCAGGCAATGAGACCAGTTTTTGCAGCAGCTTGAGATCAGCGCATTCTGGTCTCTACCGTCACATACTCATTTATACTCCTAGGTGGCGAGAGGCAATTGTAGTAAAATGTCTTGCCCAAGAACACAAGCACCATGTTCGCCATCAGGGTTCAGACCATGGCACGTGAGTCAAACACCATAACCCTTGGATCACAGCGCTTAATTCACACCTTACCCACCAAGATTCATCAGAAATCAAAGGTAAGTTTGACCGCTGTTGAACAGACCTGGGAATATTTCATCAACATGTTCTCCCGTGGAATTCGCACGTGAGTGAAGCGCAGAAACCCGTTGTCAATGTTGGCGTAGCCCATCTTGGGACCAATGTCCCCCAACTCAATACCTGAAATTAACAAAAATGAAAGAAATCAAGCTTTAATTAAGTGTTCCATTATCTGATTGTTCAGTTGCAACCTTGACTTATATGTCATGGAAATTACACAAATCAATGCATGGAATCGGTGCATCTATGACAATACAAAAATGTAACTGTTCTTTTCGTTGGAGAAAGTGTGGTCTAGTGGTACAGCACAGGATTCATGATCGTGGGATTGTGGGTTCAAGCCCCGCCGTGGCCATGCGTGTTGTGCCCTTGAGTAAGGCGCTTTACCTCAATTACCCCTCTCAACCCAGGTGTTAAATGGGTACCGGCATTATTCAATGCTGTGAAGGTAACAGACTCACTGTGGAGGTGTGGCGATCCCCCCATGGCGGCAAACGAGTCTGGCCCAAACGCTAACGAAAGAGAGATGGGCCCCCCCTGTTCCTGTGAACACAGGTTCGTCCCACTTTGGTTTAATTCAATACTCTCTAATTTCTAATTTGTGTCCATTTTTTTTACCTGGCAATGATTGGTGGTCTTCCAGACTTCGCAGCTGCACCATGAACATGTGGACTCCATAGCATTTGCCTTTAGTGTACAGCTGTGCGGCAACCACTGCATGAGTCACCGACTTACCAACTGCGACAGGAAGAAATTAAAAACAAAATGTGCCATTATTGTTGATAACACTCTTTCATTACACCACTAAAACAGATATTTTGTACACATTTTACCCCAAATTACATAAGGCAACATGTAACTTAAATTGCTGCTGTTGTTTTCTCTGATAAATTTTACAAAATCTAGCAGTATAAACGGTTAAAAAAATGTTGAAAACAAATTGAGCAACAATTAAAAAAACATCTTCTGCCAAAAATAGCAAACTTTTTTTACAATTTTTGCACAGAGCCAAATTTCATGCCAATTTTGGTTTGCCAAAATCAGCCAAGCAAAGCACCACAATTCCGTAAACTGAATTTTGAAATATTTCTGTTGTTGCGAAATTTCTGCGTCTCAAAACTCTTTGAAATTGTCCCTGACTTTTACTGAAGATATCTACTAATGACATCCTACATGTAAGCAGATTTTGGGGAAGTGGTAAGCTGATATTTAAGTTTTTTGATTACCAGGCAACCATATTTTGACTGACATGTTTGTTTGCTTAAATATCTTCCGTGCTCCACAAATAGCTCAGCACCTCTCGATATCGGCCCTGAATATTGCTCAGTGATTAGATTATATAAATAGTGATTTTCTGAGATATTTTTTTGTAAAGTGGTAAGCAGATTAGTATTAGTCTCACGGTTGCCAGGCCACCACTTCATGGCCGTTAGGGTCGGACTGTGCATGACAAATTCCTCAGTCGAAGGGTCATAGGTCGCGGTCGTCTCCAGGCCACGCAAAAAGGTTCCTTTGGTAACAAAGAAATGAAAGTAAATGATTAATGATTGAGTTCAACAAATGTAGGGCAACGTTTATGATCAAGTCAACAAATCTAGGACAACGTTTAAATCGTTGATTTGCATCTATGGCTATGAGTAATGACAAGGTGATCTGGCTATCACATGTACAAAATAACACAACTTATTAATAGTCTCTAATTTTGATTATTTTGGCATTAAATTCACCACATCTGATCTATGAATACTTGGTATTCTTTCTGAGTTGGGAATAGGTAATGTTAAAAATTTATTTGTTAGTATAAAAGGATCACTTCAATGACCATGAACACTATACAAATTATTTTTTAACTCAAATATTCACATTCTCAAATTGTATGACATAGCTCCCCTCAGAAGTGATTACATTTAAAAAATTCTGGAAATCAACCGCACTGTATGTGGCCTAACATGTCTACATGTAGCCAAGATATGGGTGTTTACAGTTCAAACTTTTGGATAAAATTTTAGCTTTCTCACAAAATTATTCTCTAAATTAACTTTTTTTTTTAATTCATGTTTCAATGTACTACAACCACCACCATGACTTTGGCAAAAATTACTACGTTACCATGGCAACAAATGTATGGTTTAAAGTCTTGAATCAGTCTCCAGTGTACAGTTAGTATGTAAAATGTTATTTAAGAGTAAAAAGAACACGTGTTGACGTAAAAGAGTTAACATTTTTTTCCAAAAATTATCTGTGATCAGTTGAAAAAATTCAGGGGAAATTTTCCAACCTCTTAGTCAGGCCACACAGGCAAGCGTCACAGAGCTGCTAATGAGCTTAGTACAGAATTTATTTGCTAACCACATTCCGGTTACCAGTGAAGCTGCCATGCAATGTTTATGCTGGTCACTGGTTCCCAGCATATTCATGCTTAGCATGTTAACTTCCTAAGCAATATCTTCTGCTTTGCTCAATGAAATCATGTGCATGGACTTCAAAATTCTGGGGTGGCATTCACGGGCCACCATACTTTAAAATCTATGCTACAGTTCATCAGGCATGTCAGGATAAGATGTCATCTGTGTGTCCCGTGCGAGGTGACTTTTGTAACCATTTCAAAATCGTTGTGCGATGCACTGCCATGGTTCCACAATGAACTGGAGTTTGTCCTTCAAAGTTCACAAAAGCTACACCGCCCACGGACGAATGGTTCAGGTCAGTATCATGGAAGGAGCAAACTGCTTTTATTTACACTACGAACACTGGGAGATAAGGCCAAATTAAAAAAAAACGTGTTTGGCGTCCATGCCAGCTTCCTTTTTGGAGGCCGCCTCTCTCTTTTTCTTCTAAATAAATTTTAAACAGTGACAAAATTTTTATCCTCTTTGTCTGTAATGCATCTAGCCCACATAAAGCTGGGTTTTTTTTCGGAGTTTAAGTGGTGGCTGTTAAAAAAAAAAGCTGGCGGCCATCTTGAAAAATAGTCCCGTCGGGCAGCAATTTTGTAGCGGGGAAAAAAAAGCCTCCTTCCTATTTTTTTTTTGAAAAAGGCTGGACGCTAAACATGTTTTTTTTTTTTACTTGGCCTAACCACTGATAACACAAAATATCTACCCTATATCACTAAGATACTGATAATGCCTTGCCTGTGAATTGTTATTTGTAGCTTCAAAAGTACAGCAGCATTTATAATCTCTGTTCCTACATATAAATAATTTCAGTAAATTCTGCATTTGACGAGAGCAGTGGAAATTTTCAGGCAGAGAGTACTAATCAATATTTTGTCAACAAAATGTGCACAGAAACTGTAATCCTGATGGCCATTTTCAGAAACCCTAGATTCATACAAAACGAGAAAGATTGTAAAAAGCTAACTAGATTAGTACAATGACTCTAGACGTCCTTAAATTATCACACAAAAACATACATACCGGTACTATTTTTATTCAAAACTAATCTCTTACTCTATGCTATGTTCAGTCGACTCTCGTTAGTACAAACTCTGTTAATACAAAATTCTGGTTATAACAAACATAAAGCCTTAGTCCCGACTGTGCATTTATGTGCACAATGAATGGGACTGATGTTCCTCTTAATACAAAATTCTGATATAACAAACAATTTGGCTGGGTCCGAACGAGTTTGTTATAACGAGACTCGACTGTAATTTCCCCCAAAGGGCCATTCCAGCTTTTTCATTCACATCATGTACATGTTTTTTTTAATTTTTAATTCAGTATGAGCGATTTTTCAAATGCTTGAAAACAGGACTCATTATTTAATGAAAGAGGATATCGTTATAAATGATTGAATGAATGTGGATCTGCCTGTGTTAATGCTGTTCTGTTTTGAGCACAATTCTTTTTTTTTAATTCCCCATTCGCCACAATCTTGAAACGAAATAACTCGAGATTGAATTTTTGCGGTGGGGATAATACTCGGTTTTGCCATCTGCTTTAAAAGCTTACACAGGACATAAATGTACCTGTACGAGGCTATGTCTACTTTACATTGAAGGGCTTAATCCAGTATTAAAATGAAATGAAACGATGCTGTGGATTTGTAAATGTATTAAATCGCCCTTGTGATCAATGCCAAAAGGTTGGACATACCATGCCCGAGTTCAGTTTGGGCATAGGTGGCTGTGTACTCCCAGTTGCGAGCTTTCTTCAGCCAGAACTTTTGCTGTTCGTTGGTCATCTGGGTTCGGAGGGCGTGCATGACCATGCTGACGTGCAGCCCTAGCTGGGGCACTTCGATCTTGTTAGCGGCCCTACCGGTCAGGGAAAGCCAAAAATGGTGATACATTGTACTTATTCTACATAACCCCCGAGGACAGACACACAGAGGGAGAACAACAGATCCTTTCAGTTCCCAGGAGTTGGGTCTTTTGTTCAAAACGATCCTCTGTGGTAGGTTTGTGTGCTTAGTCTGTGGGAGAGTGTTATATTACAGGAACGAAGGAAAACACAAAGCAATGTCCTGGGGAGTATAGTAAAACAAGAGTGGGTGTACATGTACATGTGTGTATGTTGGTGATACCCAGTGACTGGAAGCCTTAATGGATGGGAGTTCGTAACAGGTGGTAGAAATGAACAGGTGGGGACATTTGTGACAGGTAGCCACGATGATGAGTGTGTCGATGGACACGTGGTTGCAGTTGGCAGGTGGCAGCAATGAATAGATGGCCATAATGGGCAGGTGGCTGCAATGGACAGGTGGCCACAACAGACAGGTGGTAACAAAGAACAGGTGTCCACAGTATGCAGGTTGCCATTATAGACAGTTGGCCACTAAACGGCAGGTGACTGCAATCAACAGGTGTCCACAATATGCAGGTTGCCTCAATAGGTGGCTACGATAGATAGGTGGCCACAACAGGAAGGTTGCCACCATGGGCAGGGGGCCACAATGAGAAGGTGGCCATTATGGACTTTGGCCACTAACGGCAGGTGGCTGCAACCAGCAGGTGTCCACAATATGCAGGTTGCCACAATAGTTGGCTAGGTGGAATAGTTGGATGAATGTGACACACCCCCCAAAAAGGAAAAGGAAGTTTACATTTTTTTGATTAACCCTAACTCCCTAGGCATTTTTACTAGTAGGATGCAACTTTTATCCTGCAAAATCATCCTTATTTCTTGAACGTGGTCCTTGGAAGGGGTGACCACTGCCTCAATCCTGCAAAATCCTCCAGCAATCACTGTCAGTATGTTGAGGCAGAGCCAGTGACATCCTGGAGCAGAGCGGAGGATTTCAAGTATAATCTAGGCCTAAATGTATGCACAGCTGAGCATCAACAACACAAGGTCCAACCCAAGACCTTGACACAGTGCATCCTCCAAAATCAGCTACGCATTTCCCCTATAGCCTCAACCTAGCAAAATCCTCTATTTTGCAAAGATGATTTTGGAGGATTTGGGAAGTTGAGGGTTAAGGTAAGTAAGAGTAGTTGTACTGATGAAGCTGGAATGGCCCTTGTACTTGTTTGTGTGTTGGGGTGGAGGAGGTTTTGTTTTTCATTGGCCATACCATGTCCCAGTTCTGTCTGACAATAGGTGGCAAGGAGTTCGTAATTCTGAGCTTTCTCCAGCCAGTGTTGTCTGTTTGTGTCCATTGTCTCAATGGTATGACAGACCATCCCTTGCAAGCCGAGCGCTGGGAAGAGGGCAATTCTGCTGTGTGCTGCTCTGTACACAAACAAGATATCCAAATGTCAAAAATGACAGCAAATGTGTTTCTAATTTGTTATTTTTAGCTGCCGGGAAGGGGGTGTGTACATATGAAGTGTGTCTTGTATACTTGTATTAAAAGCTTTTTAATTTCGCACAACTGCAACCACAATATGAAACGTATGCCACAAGAATGTAACCCCACCAAAAAAAAAAAAAATCCCAAATGATTTTACATCCCATATGTGCCTTAGACATGCATGAGAATGATTTTGAAATGTAGATGATAAATTGTTGCCTCAGCACTAAAAGGTCCTTACTTCAAAAATGTGGGTTCGAAGTCCGAATTACATGTATGAAAAAAAAAAGCTTTAAATAACAAACTGAAGAGCAAGAAATTGCAAAAGCGAAGTATATTGTTGAAACATTTTAAATTTATTTTAAATATAAATTTATCTGAATATAACAATTAACATACCTTTTTCAAGATAAAAAAAGTTGACCTTAGATTGTCCGCCAGAAATCGGTGGACTGCTGTAAGGACCTTTTAGCACTAAACAGGTGAAATTATGCTAATGACTTTGGAATGTACATGTAAACAGTCACTGGTTCGTTACATTGAAGCAAATGTATGGGAAAAAGAGAAGTTTGTAAACTGCACTGCTGAGAAGAAACGTTCAAGAAATCGGTTAGACAAAGTGAACGATAAATGTAGGCAAAATTATAGCTGCAAATAAAGACATTAGAAAACGGCATTCTGACAAAATGTATAACATTGAAATTTACACTGATCTGCAAATGAGTATTATGAAGTTGTCATGTTCATTATTACATATTCTGTAACAAAACAAGCAAAGGGCCTAATTATAACAGGGGCAATTAAAAAATTGCTATTGAAAAAAAAATAGTGGGAATCAAAATTCAAATTTGTTGCGGAAATCTACAAGCCAAAATCGCATTTGGCTGATAAACAAATTTAATTGTTCAGCAATATTTTCCTGTAGGTAGTAAATTCAGTTTGCAAACAGAATGATTGGTCCTGTTCACCAAGTTTTATCAGTAACACATTGGGCTGGAAAATAAGTCACACCAAAATGGCGCCCCAGCATGCAAAGCAATGACAAAAGCCATGATGAACGTGTACATAACATGCATGTTTTAATATGTTAACATCTTCCATCTTCCACTTGTTACAAATACCAGCGGTGTTACAAAGTTAATGAAGCAGACACCATACAGATGTACAAGCACACTTTCATGAATATTCATGAACTTCAAGCAGGAGGCGGAGGAAACTCAACATGGGGGAGGAGTATTAAACTTTCTGTAAAAGGTTTATCTGGGGTCAATGTAAGATCATAGTGTACACGTATGTTTTTGTAAGAGGTCATGAAGTCTAATGGCATAAATGCAGGCCGACATGAATATTCATGACATCAGAGGAGGCGCAGACTTAAAAAGGGGGAGGAGCCAGCTTAGTGTGTAATGTTATTTGAGGCAAGTGTCTGGTCATGTCAGGGGTTATGTCAAAGGTCAAAAGGTCACACAGCCTGGCCTGAAGAAAGCTCTGAATATATTTGTCCTAGGTTGCTGAACCACACACGACTACAATTTTTCTTATTTTTGGATTTTTTTTAGGATATAATTTAAATCAAGGCCTATAAGTAGATATGAAGGTAAGTTTCCCTGCAGGCTGTATGTTCATAATTTTATACAACTTCAACTTACATTGTGTCTCTTACTTTGAGGAGACAATAATAAAATAACAACTACAAAGTGTACTGTACATCACTAAAGTGTGCCAAATTATTAATCTTTCCTCAGTTAGTATGGTTAAAACTAATTTTCTGTAGTCAGTGGTTTTATTACAATATTAGTACAACTTTTGTTAAAATAATGTCAATTTTTAACACAAACCAGGAGTAAATATTAATATTAAAATAAAAACCTATAATCTTTTAAAATCAGTCACGTCTGGTGGTTGTAATACAAATTCTAAATTATATAATTTTCTCAAATAAATTTGTTGAAGGTGGAATTTATTAATATATTCAAAGGGATAATGAAGGTATTAATATATTTGTAGGTTTTCTTCGTCATCCTGAACCTACCGTGCCCCATCTCTGTCTGGGCGTACGTTCCTAGGATGGTGTGGTCCTGAGCTCGGGTCAGCCACTCTACCATCTGCTCGTCTGTCGTCTGCGTGAACACGCTGTGCATGAACATGGACTCGTGCAAAGCTAGCGAAAGTAAGTTGGCTCCGTTCACTGCCCTGCTCACGACACAATGACAAATGGCTGGTTACACGTCATACTTCTTCATTAAGCCTAACCTCCCTAACTCCATCAAAATCCATCAAAATCCATCCCCAATAGGTCTCTCTCAAAGACAGTAAGAGAACTGCAACTGTGTATTTCACGCAATCAAGCACGTATTGCGCAGTGTTGAAATGAAATGCTACTGTGCGATACATACAATTGAGCATAAATTAGAATATATAAATTAAGCATTAATTACGTGAATTGGCATTATATACACCGTTCATCCTCTTCATTTGTGGGGGGGGGGGGGTACGGGCAGAATGTTAAAAATCTGAAGATTAACAATTACTATGAGTCTCCAATATATTTGATAAACACAAAGTATAAAAGGACATTGTTAATAATGTTATAAATATACGGATCCATAACGGCCAGGTCCAAAACAAATGAAAAGGTTCTCGTCTCGTTTGAGAAAGAAGCCGGTTTTTTTTCTTCTGAAGATGGATCCTACCATTTTCTCGGTCCTCTTCGTTAAATCTAATATCTCAATTGACAACAAAAACACATGCGTAGTACAAAATAATTTTTGTCTGCATAAAAACTGGAGCTGTTTACAATGGCCTAGCAAACAAATGTTAGCTGCTGCATTTTTAATAGCCATTTATGGATGAAAAAATGGTGAAATTTTATCTTCCAGCCCAATATGTTTACAAAACCTTTATTATTTGTAAATTTGAAAATAAAGTATCAAGACACGCACAATGAATTGATCATATTTTTTTAATCTGCCAAAAACGCAAGTGTAATAGCTGCTACTTTGCCACATATATTATGGGTCAGTAGGAAAAGTACATGTAAAAATAAAAAGGGCAATACAATTTGTAATATGTTTTTCACCATTACCTGAAATTGGTGCAACTTTTTTGACAAAAAAATGTCATTTAGTGGTCGGTCGGTCAGTCTGGTCTGTCTGTCTCGAAAAATTGACCAAAAGTATGGTGTTCCATATGTGCCATCGGCATCGTATTTTTCGGCCTCACAGTTTTAAGCTCTGGCAGGGATCATTTTGATCAATTTCATACAAGACTTTCATTGCCAGATCTTATTGTGCACTCACTATTGTATTTTTCTAAAGGTACTTTTCCTGCAGGATTGATACTGTATGCAATTTTTACATGGAGGCAGGATTTTGCAGGATTAGGCACAAAAAAAAAAGTCTCCGGTTTCTGGTATGCGCGCGCGTCGCCGTAGCCATGCGCGTCGGCAAAATGAAAAAAATTGAAAGATGATGTCTAACATTGTCTAAAAACCGCCAAACTCACTGGTTTGACTGGAATCCTGCTGCTGTACAATTTTAACGTGTTTTAGATGGGGTTATGATCGAGAATAAGCTTTATGTGGCCTCTCTGGACTCCCATATATTTGCACTAAGTATAGTCGGGCACCATTTGCAGTCATCAGCCGACATTTGAAAAAAAAAAAAAAAAGGGTAAAAAAAAAAGAAGAAAAAAAAAGCTGCGTCGCCGCTCCATACCAGAAACCGGAGACTTTTTCTTTTGGCCTTGAGGATGCATCCTAGGTTAAGGTTAATTTGTGTTCATTATGAAACAAGGAACCATGCAAACTGACCTTCGGTACCACATAGCTTCGGTGATGTCATGGATGTCCAGCGCCTTCAACTTCTTGATGCACAGGACGGCCGTCCGGATGCTGTTGGTGTAATTTTCTTCTCTGGTCATGAAGGCCACATCTTTGCAGTCGAAATCAGGGTCATTGAAAGCCAGCGATTCTGTGACGAAAGTTAACAGAAATATTAATAATCATACAACAATGACAAAGGAGCCTTTTCTGCCTTCAAATCATGCTTGTTATGAATCGTCTCTCGCACCAAGCTTTGTTCATTTTGTTTTGGTAAGAATGTTGCATCTTGAAGCCACTTTTTTCATTTTCTCAAAGGTTATGTTTTAGTTTTCCAAATTTGTCCCTTAAACATGCTCACATTAAAAGAGCCAATGCAAGTATCTTCGAAGTTTCTATAAGCTCCCCCCCCCCCCCCCCCCCCCCCCCCGAGGAAATAAAATCAGAATTTCATTACGTTTGAAATAATTTCTTGGAAAAAATGTTGCAAACCTGACGCCCCTTCCTAATAAAATTGGAAATGTTTCTCAGTCCCAGATTCATGTCTTATCATTTTTACAATGAATCACCTTCATCGAGATGACTATATGATTATGAGGAAAAAATAGGTGTCAGATTGCAACATTCTTTCCCATTTCTTTTCTGATTTTTCTTCTCACTTAGCTTCTCTAAAAACATGAGAACAGAGAAGTAAGTCCAAAACGCCATAGCGTACACCCCATGCCGATTTCGTTTGGGGAAACAAATTCTCTTCCCCCCCCCCCCCCCCCCCCCCGTCTCGCAGGACATGCAGGATGACACGACTTGCTCATTGACAGTCATTTCATCAATTGCATAATTATTTATTCTTGTCACCCCTGACATAGTACAGGATCGACAGTGCACGCAGTGCAGTGTGACACTGATGACACTGATGTGCTGAGTGACACTAAAACTAACAAAAAGTCAAACAAAACACTAAACAGTACAAATCACGACGCTCGTGCACTTCGCGACGATCCCGATACGTTCACACTCCCCAGGCTTATCTTACCGATATATCGCCGTCTTTCGGTGACTTCTCTGCCCCCATCGAGTTCGTAGGTTAGATGCAACGGGTCGAATGTCGCCGTGTCTCGCTCTTTCTGAATATCTGGGTTGATTTTGGCTCCAGGGTCCATGGAAACTGCTGTCGCTGCGGAAGCCATCTTGAAAAAGAATAGGCCACTAAGTTCTACGGTACCCACTAAAGGGCACAGCAGGATCTTTGCACAGTTCTCAACTGAGTTGAAGGGCAATACATAGCGCCCTCTGTTTCAGTTTGTAACATTTCCAATGGGCCATATATATTATGAGGGCGCTGTAAACGGCGCAATTTTGGGGCCGCAAATAGAAGCACGGACTGGTACGTTAAAAAAACATGTGTTTGTTTATCGCATTATTACACGTACCAACCACCCAGGGTTGAGCTGATCGAGGCGCAGGTGTGTCTATTATCAAGCTGATCCGTCGTTGCACGCATATCCATGCACGCTCAATGATTATGTGACGTCAATGAACCCTCACCCGTACCCACGGATCAGACTGCAGGCATTCTAGAGTTGTCAAAACTTTCTGGTCTAGCTAGCCCAAAATAAGTTACAGACTGCGGAGCATTATGCATATCATAGAGAGAGTCAACTGTATGTTACATCATGGAGGTAGAATTATGTTACACCCGATTCCCGTGTTTTGGGTTTTTTTTTGTGCGATGGCACTCAGAAGTCCATCATATCAGAAGTCCATCAAAAGTTCTCATAAAAGTTCACACGAGTTCTCACAATTAGTCCTCACAATTAAGTGTAGCACATGCCAGTCACTATTCAACTAGTCCCAATTATTATAGTCAGGTTAAAGTAGTGTTGTAGTACTCGTAGGCTCAATTACTACGACTCTTCTTTTGGAGTACTCGTACTCGAATGTCAAAGTACTCGTACTCGAAATGACGACGGGTGTCATATGAAAATCGGATTCGTATGAAAATCGAACTCTTTTCCCTTTTATTGGTTAAACCCTCTCACGCGACAATACCACCAATGAGTCCGTATTATATAAAACCTAAATTCATGCTACACCGGCACTCGTACTCGGGCAGCAAAGTACTAGTACTCGACATGTCGAAATTGTACTCGATCATCAAAGTACTCGTACTCGAATGGCAGTACTCGATAAAAAAAAGGGTAAAGCGCAATGCCATGGCCTATTATTTTATCGATGCTTTCAGTTGAATGGCTGATTGCGGAGACTGAAATTGGCAGTTTCCTCTACGCACGTCTGGGCAAACACAATTAACGGCTAGCCGTGACTGGGTTTCTATCTAACTGGGTCTGGGCCGCGCCAGTTACGCCCATAATGCCATTTGCCGAACTGTGGGCACAATAGACCTTTCTGCGCTTGGTTGGCAAAGTGCAGCATTTTGCCAACCACGGCCTGCAAAACTATGGAAGGCCCATCACTGCAAAAATGAAGAAGAGTTAATTACAGATCACCAAAATATTATTTGATACTTAAAAATACAACGTTTTCAACAAAGCTACAAAATAATTCATACATATGCCTTTTTACTAGGTGTTGATGGCGTTATGAGGACTTTTTGTGGAAAAATATGTTTGTATCACAAGTGATTAACAGTACATATAATTTTCGGCTTCAAGCACAATGTACTAGTATACTCGTACCCATATTCAGAATAATATAACTTAGTATACTCGTACTCACACTCGAAAGTACTCGTATAATGATACTCGGCAGACCTGTGCTTGTACTCGGAAGTACTCGTACTCGCACTCATACTCGGCAACCTAAGTACTCGGCAGTGCTCGGTACTCGGAAAAAAAATACTCGACTACAACACTGGTCAAAAGCTATTCAATGATGATTTGTCGGTTACTACACTTGATTCAGTGTATGTGACCGCACGTTTAACATACACTACATTGGTTCATATCATCAAACGAGTGGAGCAACGTACTACAATCAAGCTCATCTATTGTTCGAACGACCGTGACTGTGACAGCCAAGTTGATCATCAAGTCGACGGTGTTGAACGTTGAGTCGTTTCTTAAAACTTCAAACAACAGTTGTTCCAGAACCTATTTCACCAAATCTTTGCAACAAATTTGTTTGGAACATTTCTGAAAAGCTATTTTTAATATGGATAAAAAAAAAGCACGCAAGGTCAAGGGAACTAGATTGGGCCTTCAAAGGGGAATCCCCTTCTACTGAATGCTATTGTGAGTTCACAATAGCTTTCAACGGCTTCTGTGTGTGGGTTTTTTCCTTCACCTTAGCCCCCGGGACTATATTGCGAAACTTGTCGTCAAATTCGATCCTTCCGCATACCGCTCAATCATCCATCACAAATGAAGACAGAATCACAAAAAAAAACGGGAAAAGAAAAAAAAAGTGTTTGTTTGCTCATACAAAAGGGGCCTATTTGCATTATGGTGCAGTGCCAACAAAGTAGCTGCCTGAGCTTGTTCATCCTGTACTCCAAACTGTTTGACAAAGTAAAAAATTCCATACAATTTCCTTTGATTTCCGCATTCTCAAATACCTCTCACCAGTTTTCCTGTAATATGTTTATGCATCTGGTGTTCACGATGGGCCGCATGTTGCCCATTCAATATGGCACTGTGTACGTGTAATCCTATACGATAGCACTGTACGGCTTCACAATTAACAGTGATCCATGAGTCAGGGACAACAGGAGAAAGGCCGACAAGGCTGGGACCAGGAACTTGTGCGATATACGCTTTGAATTCCCACTCTATAGTTAAAATTATTTGACGAGAAAACAGTCGAAATTGCACCCATCTGATGTAGGCCTAGCTAGGCCTATATACTCAGCTGATGAGTGCAAATTTGACAATTTTCTTGTCAGATTTTACACTGCAGATCAGACGGGGTCCTAAAAACACAGTCCGCGTCGTTATCATTTACAACCTAATCAGGGTTGAGCTGGGCCTTAGGGGAAGTTCAATATCACGTTTAATACCAGCTTGTACTGGTTTGGAATTACAACAATAAACAAAAATGGTTAGAGTTGACAAAGTGCCCTGCCAAGTCTTTGGCGCTCACTTTTCGCTGGGGCATATAAACATATAATTATGGGATGGATTTTCTTTTCATCGATCGGCTAGGGGCGATGATTGGAGAGTCTTAATATAGATCTATAAAAAGATATCATTTTTGTTGGCAACTGAAGCGTGAATTTCCGGGGCCCGTTTGAATGTTGGCAAATCCAGTTCCAGGGTGGCTTTTGTTCGCTTGATCAAGGGACCTGCCCACTTATATTGATTCGATTTCATGTGACGTACCATTTATTTTCAACGGCCAAGTACAAGTACAAACAGCCAGGGTGCGGACTGTTTTATTTCCTGTTCGCGACGAAGACTGTCCAGACGTGTTTTCTTCGAGTAGGCGTCTGTCCGGACTGCGCACGAACCATATCTTAGATTTGGAAGTAAGAAAGTAGCACTCTGATAAAAGTGACTGACGAAAAGTCTGTGAGATTGCCCGACGTCTGGTTAAGCTTGTTCGACATCTAGAATGGACGCCGGAAAAGGAGTGAACACATACCTGTTGATGGTGTTCGCCATTCTGTTGGTTTCATTTGTCACTGAGTTTCCAGTCAAAGCTCAAACTGAAGGTAAGCATCTCCTATGTCAACCCCCCCCCAAAAAAAAACCCAGCCTTATGCAGACCCGTTTTACGAGGTTCTCAGTATTGATAACTTTTGATATCCATGCCACATGTATTTGATAGATATAGCTTTATCGACATTTGTGATTTTCGACGCTTAGTCTGGCGGGACAGAGAGGGATCATATATTTTACCCAGACGGTTTGAAGAACACGCACTATGTGAAAATATCTACGGGATTTTGCTTGGTAACATGAGAGTACATAATATAGGCAACTTTTTTTTCAGAAGGGATGGATTTTACATCTTTTTAAAGGGTGAAATTAGGCGAGAAATATGAGCACAACATGCTTTAATTTTGGGGGTCTGGGTCGGGTATTTGAACTTCTGGAAAATAATGGGGTCATTTATCAATAAAATTGATAACCAAACGTGTTTATACATTAGAGTTATGTTCGGCTTACATAAAGACATGTCATTGAGAAAATTTAAAGTTTGTTTCCGTATGTATGTCGCACTTTGTGCTGCATTTATAGTGCATGTTTCTGCATCATCAGGAAAACTATGATGAAAGAATGTGAAAAAAAGATTAACTTCATCCCTTCTGGAACGGTTCACAAAACTAGGCAAGCCTATGTGTCTCGGACATTTGGTCTAAAAAGTATAATCGTTTGGTTCTATTTTGGGCTAGGGGGCCGGGGAGGTTTCAGCAAGTCTATAATTTCTAAGGGGAATTCGCAAGTAACAGTTTGTTTTATGTGGCGTTGAAAGGTTTATGAATAAGCGACTTCGGTATTCCATCAAGATTTGCCGATATTTCTTTCGGGATAAAACATTCTTAGGATGCGTGCACAAGCATAGCGGGGTAGCAGCAAACGTGACGAGATTATCGTGTTCTGAAGTATACAATTTTGCATAAAAAACCTTTGGACAGCGAAAGGTTTTTAGGTGTCTTGTGTTTCAAAACCTTTGTTCCAACGAAAATTCCATCTCTTTTCGATTGCACGAAAAGTCCGCACAGAATGCAGATTTGGTTACCACGTCGCCCATAGCCTTGTGTGCATTTATCTGCCGCGGTTGTCCCGAAAAAAATATAAAAAATCGTCGAATCTTGTCATGCACCAGACTTTTTTGGAATACCGAACTGGCTTATTGACATTTTGTAAAAAAAAAAGATAATATAAAAAGATGCAAATGTTTTTAATTTGAATTAAACGTATACGCTTTTTTATTACCCAAATGGTTGAACACTCTAACCAAACCGGGCTTTTGCAGTTGGAGTTTGAATCTTGTGTGTCTCATTTTGCTTGCGTTGCTGGTCTTTGTAATGCATTATAAGTTGGCTTCCATCTTTATAAGCGAATTTATATTGATCGAGATGATACTTTTACTAGAACTGAGCACTGCTTGTATAATCATTATTGTTTAAGCTTAAGTCTATTTCAATTTTAGTTTAAAATTATGTAATTATGTCGCACTAGCCTAGATCATTAACTAGATCGGGACGGTTTAAACTTGATTTCTTGGTCAATTTTCACTAGTTAACTTCGTTTAAGTCTTAGGTATAACTTTTCCGATCTCGTCATTCGTGACAATGAGAAGTTTGAAACTAAGCAAGTATTTCGACCAACAACTATTCAGTATACCGTAGTTGAGTTACCAGCATTATGCGTTACTTAATTATTTAAGTTTGATTAATTTGCTTCTTTGACACCCTTAATAAGTGTCCCGGCAATAAACAAGGAAACAAGCAATTCTATACCTTTGACAAGGAAACAGGATTTGGAACGAAAACTTAAGCAAGGATCAGAAAACGATATGAATACTTCGGTAAACACGGCACACTAAAAAATGGTGTAGGCCTATTATGTACGCACATGAAATCGATAGGTTTCCGGAAAGCGTTCAGTGTCAATGAATCTGGTCACGTCCCTGGAGCAGGAAATATTTTTATGTAAAATTAATGTTTCAGCTTGCCGAATTGCGCGCCAGGCCAGTGCCGACGCCTACTCTGCTGACTTGCCCAACTAGCTCCAGGTAGGCCTAATTAATTCTGGGCTTTCAAGTGTGAAGCTGGGCCATTGAAATTGTTTTCGACGAAACAGGTTAGCCGGAAGGCGACATGATTGGAGACTACGAATTGGCGGCATTTATTACTAAAAATGCCCGTGCCTTCGGAGTGTCTGTCATCCAATGAAAACATTTGCACACCTGATTGTTGTGTCAGATATCATGACAAAATATTGGATGCAATATGTCGTTTCAATGCAACGTGTTTTTCTTGAGGTTTTCCTTACAATCACTTTTTTTACACCGCGATTCGACCCAAAAGTCCGACGGTCTTTTTATTCTATATCTATGGTCCGACGGCGCGCGGGCGCGGCGAGCTGTGTTTATGTAGCGCGGTTGGAAGAAATCGATCATAATGATATAGGGTCCACTGAACTAATTCAAGCCCCATTGAAAACAGTGTAAAATCAACAAAGTTCAGGGCCAAATAACATGCAAGCCAACATCACGGGTTTCTCAAACAAAATGGAATTATTGTCTTGTCTTTCATCTTTTCATTTCAGTTTAAATTTTGGTTAGATTAGCCAGTTACATGTTTATATATTCACACCAAAACAAAATTACCTCCCGAAAATTTTGTGATAGTTCCCAAGCCTGCATGTAGTCATTTTACAGTGAATCCTTCCACTTTCTCAGGCAAATAGGACCCATGTTTCAACCGTAATTTTATCAAGCCTGCCATCGAATGGAAGCCCCAAAACCAGGGAGTTGATCCTTTAGGCCTTGGGATTCAATTCCAGGATTTTAAAGCCAAACGGTCTCCGTTTTCAAAAGAATTTGTGGGGGGGGGGACACATTTTTTATGTTAATGAGCTTGCGTAGAAATTCTCACTTGAATTAGTTCGATGCACCCTTAAGAGTGCGTTCGTTTAGCTCACCGGCTATAGGCCGGTGTGGCAGGTAATTCTGTCCCCCGGTAAAAGTGTCCGGGGGGACAGAATTACCTAGGTAAAAGTGTCCTCCCTGGCCCGTTAATTCTGTCCCCCTCCAGGTAATTATGTCCCCCTCTTTTAAAACCCGGAAGGTTATTGTTTTGATGAATTCACTCTACAAGGTATACATTTTGGACTTTTAGTCTGCCCTTCATGAATATAAAAATATTTAATTTAGTCTATTAGATGATACGTGAACACAATGTTTCGATTCGGAATACGGTGATTAAGAGTCTATCGCGATTCTACCGCGATAGTTCAACACAGCGGCGATGCATGGCGATGGCCCTCGTCTCATTGATAGTATGATACAACGTCTACTTGGATTGGTCTGTGTTCCCATCATAGCGCGTAACGAAATTTCCTATTGGACGAATTTCCATTGTAGAGGGAGACGCATATGTACCCATGTGATAATCACTGCCTCAAATCTTGCAGCATGTACTGGTGCGTGCGACACGCTGCTGCTCTCATTACATACTGCATGGGGACACATTTACCAGGGGGACACTTTCACCGTTGGGCAGGGGGACATTTTTACCTGGAGGGGGACAAATTTACCTAGGTAAAAGTGTCCCCCGGACACATTTACCGGGTCACGATCCGGTAAATGTGTCCGGGGGGGGGGGGGGACACATTTACCAGGGGGGACAGAATTACCTGTCACACCGGGTCGACACTGGAACCGTTTGTCTTATTCCTTCTTTGGGACAGCCGATAGAGGGAGCTATTTATATGTACAGCGCTCACCGTGGATACGCACTTTTAGCCAATCAGGCCGTGACATTTAGTGTAAGTGGCCTAGGCCTTACACTAAATTCATTCTCTCACGGTTTCTGTCAATGTTCGAGATTCTTGTATCAAATATCATTGCGTAATCATGGCACGACCTCCACTCACCAACATAAAATGACAACATTAACTTAGCATTGCTTTTAGTAAAAGGCGAACAACCTAATAAAAACACCCATCCTACCGTCAGTTGGAAAAAAAATTCAGTGGGAAAATTCCCTTCCGGCCCCTCCCCTAAATTATGAGTAAATAGGCGAAGTTTTGTTTTTGACCGTCGCGGATCGCAGGAGCAAATTATCGTGAGGCATTATGAAGTTTGAAAATAATGAGCTTTGATCATACCGAAAAGTGCAATTATTATTGAAAACACTCCCTCCAAAAACAATGAACTATTGTTGAAGTATACCAAAGCATATGCAAACTGAGTTAATCTAGTCATTTTAATTGCTATCCTACTTTTCATTTGATTCAACGGTATACAACACAGGATGCATGTGGAGAAACAAGGCAGTTACAACCTTTAAAACAATTGCGACCTTGGTTTCATGACATTTCAAACGGAAAGTTGCTTTTTGTGTTTTGTTTTATTTTATTTTTCATTTTTGACACGAATCGACAACTATTTTGTACGATAAATGTTGGCAAGGGAAAGCATAGGGGAAAGTTTTCGTGACTTGTTTGCAACCCGTGTTTTATCAACAGAGGGCGCTGTACATAAAACATGGCAGCCTCCACAAATCAGCACGTGAGAATAATGGACCAGACATCTTGTCATAAAAAGCTATGTTGATCTCGCCTCTGAGAAGAATAAGAAGTGGAGGTTTAGTAATTTATTAAGATTACGACGACAACCTCAGAATGACACCATTTTGGTAATTTTAGAACAGTTTCTTGGGGTAGAAATTACGATTTTTCAGACCTACATGACGATGACCTGTGGCCTATTTACTGGACTGCCTCCGTAAACATAGGCCACACATCCACATCTACAAAAACGTGTCGACTTTGCCAAATTTTGATTTTCACATTTAGGCTTACTTTGTAGGTTTTTTTTGCTTTAGAAGCATTCTCACCCTCTATATAGGCTAATCAGAAAGTGCTGCCTTTTTCAGATGTCTAATTTTTGTGAATTTCATGTTGAAATTTTGATACACAAATTGTGTGCAAATGTATCTGGAAATTTCACGAAAAATGATCATCTAAAAAAGGCAGCACTTTCTGATTAGCCTATATAGAGGATGAGAATGCTTCTAAAGCAAAAAAACCCTACAAAGTAAGCCTAAATGTGAAAATCAAAATTTGGCAAAGTCGACACGTTTTTGTACATGTGGATATGTTTACGGAGGCAGTCCAGTAAATAGGCCACATTTATGGGGCTACATCGCGCGGTGATCGCCATCTTTATTTTCGTGTTGTGTTTGACGTCGTCATCGGCATTTTACACCCAGATTTCCCTCAAAATTCAAAACCCTACCCTTTAATGATATACCTGTAATTGTATGTAAATGTCGCGCCAACTAGTGCGTCAAATAATATTAAAAGTAAATCAAATTCGGTTGTGCCCTTCACCGACGTTTAAACACTGTATACTCAGTTAGCTCGGTGGTCGAGTGGTAAGACATCTGCCCTAGAAAGCAGGAGGTCGTGGGTTCGAGTCCCACCTAAGTGATTTTTTCCAACTTTCACTCGGGAGGTAACACACTGAGTACATTTGTATACAGTGTTTAAACGTTGGTGAAGGGCAAAACCTAATTTGATTTATATCACCCCGACGCAAAAAATTCCATCTTATAATGATTTAAAAGTAGATTTTGTTCCTTTTTTTAATAGGAACCGGGCCTGTAGATACACGATTGCCATAATGTTAACCATGTGTTAACAAATGTTTTTTGGTTGCCATATATGTGCAGGTAGCTACGATCTGGTTTTTGTAGCCAACCTGGAAAATCCTCCATCTATTTTCGTCGCTCCGGCCGATACCTTCAATTTCACCCTCATTCCCGGCTTTGATGATCATGAACACGTTCTTCGCCCCATCGCCATTGACTATGACCCAGTGGACGGCATGGTGTACTGGACGGATGTGCAGCGTAGGAGCATCACTCGTGCCTTTGTGGATGGGACAGGCTCGGTAGTTCTCTTGAGGGATCTTAGTCGTAAGTGACTTACCAAACATTTATATGAAGGATCAAAAAAACCCAAACAAATTGATTCCAGTTGGCTCATCCTCTGGTCAAACAATTTTTTTTTTAATTTCAAAGGGACCCTCTTGACCATTTTCTTGCAGAGACATCATTCATAACTTGAAGACTTTTGCATGATTTATTTCCCCCCCCCCCCCATTTTTACATTTTCTGAGATTATAATAAGGCAATGGATATTTGACCGTGAACCAGTCCTTAATTGTTTGCGTTGTTGAACCGGCACTGCACTGAACACGGGCAGTGAGTTCTTTTTGGGACTTACACATTTGCATCGTAGAAACTTCGTATTCAGGAGATTCAAAATGTTGGAGTCAGATCAATTGCAATTTCAGACTTTTTTCCTGTTAAAAAATAATCCATCACAACCATATATCAGCAAAATTGGAAAAAAAAAGATGAATAAAAATGTTCTCCGAATTAATGTAGGATTGGTTTTAAACCAAAGAAAGAAAACTCTTACTTTTGTGAGAATGTTTTTTTTTAAAAAAATGAGTGGTGCGATTGCATCTCCAACACGTGACACTTGCTCATGGGTCCAAATGCGTTAACTATCGAGCCACATGTTCTCTTGAGTTGGAATGGTAATTCGGTATGTAATATTGTATAGGTGTGCATGCGCAGAGGAAGTACAGCACAAATTCACGGTAATATAAATACTTTGATGAAGTAATTGTTTTACTTGAATTATTTGGCAAAGTTGCCTGTAATATTTGTGATGCGATCAAGCTAAATGAGTCGTTTGTCGACCTTGGTTAATTGATTTTTTTTTACAGATTTGAAACGAGCACAAGCATTACTGCTGTGAAAACCGCATGATGATACCGTCTGTACATGTAGTTCGAAAATTATGGAATTCGGAACACCAAGAGATGTGATGAAGTAATGTGATGAAGTGGCCCTACATGTATTTTGACCTGAATCTCCAAATGAAAGTTCCCGACAAACGACTCATTTTGCTTGATCGTATCACATTTTGTATCTCATTTTAGGTATTTGAGGATGGAAATCAGACTGGTTTCTTCCAAGTAAGAATTAAAATACATGTACATTTTTTTTTTTTTTTATAATCAGAACCAGAAGGATTAGCTCTTGACGTTGAGAATCGCATGATGTATTGGACCGATACCGGCAGTGATCTTATTGAGAGAGCTACGTTGGATGGCCAAGAAAGATCCTTGGTTTTCAATTTGACGAATTCGTCTGTCGGAGCCGTGGAACCCAGGGCAATTATTGTAGAGGTCACGAACGGGTAAAGGATGATCCATAATTATATCCCCTTTGATTTAACTCTCCATAGAAATTAAAAACCAAAAGATTTCACTATCATCCCAGCATCATGAGGCCATGGGTTTGAGTCCCACCCAAGTGATTTTTGCCAGGAAGCTTCAAGTCAATGGAATATCCCCTTAGAGACAAGCATCTATGATATTACGCAGATTCGGCAATTAATTATGCAAAACAAGACTGCGTCTTGACATCCAGATTCCGACCATTAAGCGGGCATTCGGGTATTCCTTAACAGGTATTCCTGTTGTTGTATTACAAAAACATGGCATCCAAATTTACCAATCAACAGCTATTAAGTCCACATTTCTGATCGAAATGACCTCACAGTTTCTAAAGTTGACTCCGATTAGTTGGTGGGTGGGGTCGCATAAAGTAAAACATGAAGGAACTATCTACATGTTAATAAACCATTCTGCACAATCTTGGAGCCATCAAATACAGGCATGTTGTTCATCAGGTTTCGAACCAGCCAACCAATCCCGCAAACTCGGTGGTTGAGTGGTAAGACATCTGCACCAGAAAGCAGAAGGTCATGGGTTCGAGTCCCACCCGAGTGATTTTGCCAACTGTCACTCGGGAGGACTGAGTATACAGTGTTTATACCTTGGAGAAAGGCAAAACCTAATATTGGTAAATCAATTTCATATATTTGTGTTATGTTTGAAAGGCTACTCTTCTGGACGGATTGGGGTTCCTCACCGAAGATTGAACGTGGAAACACCGATGGAACGTCGCGAATGACGCTGGTTAATTCTGGACTATTGTATCCAAATAGCATAACATTGGACCTGCCAGGCACGTACACAATTGTAATGTTCATCTACCTTTTAACATAGTAGCATAGGCCTGTATTCGTATCGGGCATTTACAGGCATTACAGTTAATAGACAACAAACGTTAACTGATTACGTAGTCACTTGTATCACCCGAAAACTGCCTTGCCTAATCCTTTCCCGTAGCAGTGTACCGCTTTATGGATTCATCAGGGAAAAAAATGCCCAAATTGTGTTAAACATTGAAACATTAATGCTTTTTACTGCTCCTCCATTACAGTTGTGCAATGAAATTTAAAAAAATTGTTTTTCAGGTGGAAGAATGTATTGGTGTGATGCTGGATTAGACCTCGTTGAATCCTCCGACTTTCTGGGCCAGAATCGCATGGCCATTTCTGACTTTTCGGCCTATAACATACATCCCTTTGACATTTCATTCTACCGAGGGAGTTTGTACTGGACAGACTTCAATTATATTATGATCAAACTTACATTAACACCGCCATTAGAGGCTACTGTGATTTCGTCAAGCGACTTAACAAAACCAACCGGACTACACATTCACATGGGTAAGTTTTAACATAATTTAACCCTCCTATGCAAACATGCATTCTGTGCAAAGTTTTCCTTCCAGTCAAAATCAGTCAGGTGGCTGTTTTTAGCAGTAAGGAGCTCCTAGGCTGAGGCCGTTAAAAAATCCATAAATGATGTTTAAATGATGGTCTTTTGCTTAAATATTTTTTGTTAAAGTGGTCAGAAATTGCCTCAGATCGCACCACTAGAGTGTCTAGAATCCAAATTTGTGGGGGCCCTTAAGCGGGCCCCCAACCCCATGCCATTAGGGCTTTTGCACTTCGCGCACACATTCTGATCAAGCTCCATCGCCAAGTTCCCTTGCACTCTCAGCTATTTATCCTCAAAGTTGACAACCCTGCAGCCTGCCTAAACGAGGATTGACTAGCTGTGACACTTGATACAGCTATGCTTTGACTGTAGGTCAACAACTTGCCTGCTTTTTTTCTGTTGACTGAATTTGACTAGTCAGAGTGCTTCTTGATATAGGATCTGAATCTTTGGAGAAACTTGTCCAGCTCACAAAAAGAATATTATTAACTCAACTTCACTAGTCCAGTTCGTTTGTAATACAGTAATTACAGTTGTAAATACAGTTGTTTGTGGACAACATATTTTTGTTCAGGAGGCATCTTTATGGTTCATAAATATTCTCCAATTCGGCATTATTGAGTTCGGGAAAAAAAACATTTACGCGTACCGTGCAAGCATCTCTTGGTGTGAAGCTCACTTGGTCAATGTTCGCGCGTGATGGTGAATTGAGAGTTCAGCTCTCGTCATGAATATGTATGAGGTATAGTAATCCTTCTTAATGCACTATTATAATATTGTCACTAAAGGTGCGAAATGTGTAATACTTCTTGAAACACTCCTTGTGATATTTGTAGACACGTTTGCGAATCACAGTTGCGTGGACAGCATGCCTTGCGGGGAAGGGGAACGTTGCCGCCAGTTCCATGACCACTACCAGTGTGTCTGCATGAATGGCTTGGCGGGAAATAACTGCCAACTGGGTGAGTTTGATAGCATGTGAATGGTTGCTTAGAGTGACTTAACTATTATGTTATCCCCTGGATAACAGATAGAGGTTTTTACCACTCCTTACTGCATGCAAGTGACCTTTCAACTTTGCCGAATAAATTTGCAGAAACAAAATTGATTTGACTGTGTCTTAATTGCCATACAGCTAACCCATGCAGTCGGGCAGTTTGTTCTAATGGAGGATCTTGTTTCCTGTCTTCGAGTAGAGATGACGCATATTTATGCCAGTGTCCTGAAAGATACTTTGGGACCAACTGCGAACTATTTGGTACGTACACAAATGAGATGTCAACACATGGGCCTCGCCCATGGTGCTTCTGAAAGAGTTGTTTGTGCTATTTTTAAATTGCTACAACAAAATATATACTTTTTGAATTGCCAATTATATACACATGGCAGTGCGGTACGGGCTGTGTTGGCCATTGCTTGTTTAGTGGTGTGCGCGAACTAAAATTCTCCATTTTGGTTGAAGAGAATGTACAACATTTGCTTTTGCTGCAAATTTCAGAAATAAATGGATTTGGGGCATTAGTATGTTATATAGCAAATATTGTTAAACTCAGAAAAACCAAGAAAACCAATCATGCTCTTGTAGTCTTGTTCTATAGTAGGCTGGTCGGCCGACCAGCAGTGGAAAAATACAAATTTTCTTGAAAATGTCAGCACACCAGGAGACACGATTTTACAGGATGCCTTAGAGTGTCATTCCCATGCAATCCTGTAAGGTATTTTGTGATAATTTGATCATTTCATTTTGTTGATGTTTGCAAATGTTGTATCTTCCCTTTAAGCATTGTCACCTCCAAATAAGTTTTCCTTTAATAAAGCCAGGTTTAATTTAATTATTTTTTGGGGGGGGGGGGGGCAAGTTTTTTTAGCAAATAAAACTGCTTTGGGCTGAAACTATGTATTTAGCGAAATAAACCTCAACTACATCTAGAAAAAAAGAAACAAAAATTCTCATGTTATTTTTTATGTTATGCTTTGCAAAATATATACAGCTTCAAGATGTATGAATATTCATGTCTTTTTTTCATAGATGATCCCTGCACTAGCAATCCTTGTTGGAATGGAGGAAGTTGTCTTGGTTCGTCAGCTGGGTTTATGTGTACTTGTCCCCCTGAATTCATCGGATTGTTTTGTGAATCGCAGAGCCGTAAGTATAGTGCCTCAGCCTCACGCGGGTGTGCTTAGGTAATTTACTTTGCTTTAATGATGTGCATTGGGTCGGGTTGACCTGGCCAAACTGACCCAAAACATTAGAGATATAAACCAAATCCGAACCAAACCGATCTTAACTCCCACAAACCGACCCGACCCAACCCGACAAAAAATAAGGTAAAACCGACCCAAACCGACCTGACCCGAAAAAAAACTGAAAAAAAACCCTGAATACCTGGCTTAGACAAAGTGATCACTTTTTTGTGCCTGCCCTTACCCATGTGGCATGAATTCTTTTGCAAAACCATCGTCTCTCTCTCTGTCATACTCAGTGGGTTGATCGAGAGTAACTCCGCTTATTGAACAAACGCATGGTATCATCACGCGATATCGTGAAAACTGTTACAATGTATCTATTTCACTGTCAGACCCATCCGACTGGTGAAATTAATACCGTGGGAACTTGATAGTACGACTGTCAATAATATTGCATCACCTTAATTTCTCAATTGTTTTGGTTTATTTTGGTTTATTTCGGTTAATTTCGTTTTTTTCTAAAGATGGCTAAACCGACCCGACCCGAAAATGAAAATGCAAAACCGAAACCGCCCCGACCCAACTGAAAAGATGAACAAACCGACCCGACCCGAAGTCGGTTTCGAATCGGGTCGGGTTTGCACATCATTACTTTGCTTCTCCCCACCCAGGAGTACATGGGTACCTGTGAGGGCTGGTTGGGCTTGAGATTAAGCCAGTGGTGCCTATAATAAAGCAGCATTGAGCTTAGGTGGTCTATGGAGTGTTTTCATTGGCCTTATCAGCAGGGGTAATAATGTATTACTCTGCGTGAACAATGTTTGGTTGATATGTACGTTATACATTCAGTGAAATCTTGGTAAGTCAAACTTCAAGGGAACAGGTTCAAAATGTGACTTAAGCAGAGTTTTGAGTTAAGCAGGGTTGTATATCATTGTTATACTACTGAAGGGAATGGATTCTTTGTTGACTTATTTTTGTTTTGAGTTATCAGAGTTTGACTTATCGAGATTTCACTGTAGTATTGTTTATGTTAGACACTTCAGGCAACTTTGATAGGAGTGTTCTTATCCTCAAAAAATCTGTGATGTTATAAGAAACTAATTATGACAGTACATAAAATGCACTCTAAAAGGGCTGGGGGGGGGGGGAATCATACCCATATTTTTGTTTTAATGAGCCTTACTGAGTGTAGAAGATACTGACGGCGGCGGCTGTGCTACAAATAATTTGGTCACAAACATCACACGGCGTGTGATGTTTGTGACCAAATTATTTGTAGCACAGCCGCCGCCGTTGGTATCTTCTACACTGAGTATTTAGACTGATATTATAGAAATATGAAGTATAGAGTGGCACAAAAATTAACTAATAAATCTTGTCCTTTTTGCCCTTCGTTTCCCTTTAGATCCTCATGACTTGGTCTTTGTGGCCAATCGAATTCCTCCAGGGATTTATGTCGCGCCAACGGACACCTTCAATTTCACTCTCATCCCGGGTTTAGATAGTAGCCATGGCAACATAAGGGAACCACGCGCCATTGACTACGACCCAGTAGAGCGCATGGTGTATTGGACTGATAGTAGCGTGGTGTCGACTTTAAATCGGGCCTTTTTGGACGGGAGTGCAGTGGAAGTTCTCTTTACGGATCTACAGGGTAAGCCAATTTATGTAACTCTGTGTTTTTGCTGCTCCCAGAGGTCCAGCTTATTGCCCTCTTTGACTCACTGACTGACACCCCGGCTGACTGACTGGCTGACCGAAAGGGCTGGCTCACTCCCCGTGAACCTATTGTCCTCTTTGACTTCCTTCCTTCCTTTTGTGTCCTAAGATGGGTGCTCTTTTTGTCATACAGACACATATGAACAGCGACCTCTATAGTCATAGTGGCATGTAGCTTGGGAGTTCCCTTTTCAGATACAACCGCGTGTGTACATGTGCGCATTCATGTACCTGCGTGAATGTATACACGTACACACACTGTCACATAAGAGAGAGGACCCCGGGGTCACAATCGCTTAACAAATGCTGAAAAACTAAAAGTTGGACCAAGCCCCACTTACCGAGTTTGAGCACCGTGTGACCTGCCACTTCCAAGAATAAACCCGTACAAACATCCAAACATCGTGACAGAGACTTGCGTATTATTACATGTATATAGATCGAATTTTGAGTACTCTGGAACTAGCATTAGTGGGCTTGCCTGGTGTTGTTTCCTATCAAATAAGAGAGTTTTCTTGCCCTCTCTATGTAGCTCCTAATGGTTTGACTCTTGACATTGAGAATCGTGTGATGTATTGGACGGATGAACTTAGTGATCTGATCGAGAGAGCTACATTGGATGGTCAAGAACGATCAACGGTTCTCAACTTGACGAACGCTTCCCTCACAGCTGTAGAACCAAGGGGGATTGTAGTCGACCCTGCTAACAGGTATGTACATGAAGTTCAGCATATTGGACCAGTTCAGATTTTGCCATTGGGGCCAAATTATTTGGTTTATGTTGAGCTGGGGGGCGACTGATTCCCTGACTCCCACTTCATTCTTCTCTTGCAGTCATTTGTACTGGACTGACTGGGGTTCCGCACCAAAGATTGAACGATCGGGGACAGACGGCTCAGGTCGTCGCGTACTCATCGATACGGCCTTAATGTGGCCGAATGGTATATCCCTTGATTTGGAAGGTAAATCTTTGTGCATGTTTTCCTTCTTGAATGGGACATATTTTCAATGAAACACACCCTGAGATAACTACAGATTGCCACAGTTATTGCCTGATAGGACCATGACTCTGTGGAAAATTTCTAAATTTAAATGAAAACAACATTGGCCTTCCAAATTGTTGAGAACTCACACGAGCTGGATAGTTTTGCAGGGTTTAAGAAAGGGGAAACTCATCAAGTGCTTTCAAGTTTGTTGCTGTTAAAAAATGAAAAGTTTCACTCATAATGTACATTTGGTTCCTGCAAGGTTTTTGATTGTAAAGGATTTGGTTCCTCTGTCATGCAGGAAAAGAACTTGTGATTTGTAATAAATAAAATATCCTCTTGTTTTTCAGGGGGAAGGATGTACTGGTGTGATGCTGGTACCGACCGCATTGAATACTCAGATCTTTTAGGCCAGGGTCGGACTGTTCTTGTCGACCGCACAAGTTTCAACATTCATGCGTATGATCTCTTCGTCTACTATGACTTTATCTACTGGACCGACAAGATATCATCCACCATTAAGCGTGTTGAGGCTTCCGGAAGGCCTTTGGGGAATTACGGCTCAGAAAGTTTTACCACTCCTTATGGAATGCACATATTTAAAGGTAATTAACCGATTAGGATTTGTATTACATTGTACTACACTGTATTTACTACTACTACTAATAATAGTTGCAATGGTTATATAGCGCTTTCCATTATATCAACAATCTCAAAGCCTTTACAATTATTACCATGTTCATCAGGCCATGCGACCATGCTGCCGTCGATATTAGTGCACAATTCATCCTCTACGCTCACAGGTACATATATGTCCATTCATGCTCCTGGGTGGAGAGAGGCAAGTGTAGTTAAGTGTCTTGCCCAAGGGCACAAACACCATGTTCCTGGCTGGGTTCGAACCCACGCAACATCGTACATGAGGCAAATACCGTAACCACTGGACCATGGCATTACTCCGTGATGAAATCATAAATTCATACAGTGCCAGCGCAGTTAGGGTTAGAATAAAGAGCAACGGGTAGGGTGCTTTGGGGCGGTTCAGGGACGAAAGGGTTTAGGAGTCTTCATATTAAATTTCTAGGATGAGTTGCAATCAGGTTTATCCTCAGTGGGATCATTTTTGATTTTTTTTTGTACTTTCAGCCAATATTTGCCAACAAATGGTTTGCCAGCATGGGGGACACTGCCAACTCTTCGAGCATCACTACGTTTGCATCTGTGCTCAGGGTTATAGTGGGCGAAACTGTGAAAATGGTAATATACGTTATCCCGCGAGCGCGTAGTGCGTCTGTGTGTGGGACACAGATGCACTACATTTTCCGTGTTCCACGAGCGCGAGCGTGATAACGAATTTATCTTCAAGCAAACTTGACGCACAGTTAAGATGGGACACGTACACATCGCATCTTAAAAAAGCGTAATACGCGGAGTGCGGTATGGACCGAGGCCGTGCTACATGGTTATATGTGGCACGACTTGTTGCCATGGATCGACCAATCAGGATCGAGGATTCAAGTTTACTTGAAGATAATAGTTCATATCTAAGAACTCATCTCATTCAGTCGCAGTCAGATTATCCGCAGTAGGTCCTCAATGGGTTGAAAAGAAGTAGCTTAGAATCCTGAAATAAAAATTTGAGCTGATGTGCTGTGCAAAATACTGAAATTTTGAAAACAGTTCTGTTCTGCTTCAAGAATTTAAAGTGTTTTTGTTTATTTTGGAAAAGAGACATGGATCAAGTAATTATTAGATTGTATATATATATTTTTATATATTAAGCAGGGCCTAACATTTGATCCTTTCAAAATCTTAAATGGTATGTTCTATTTGTTGCTTGTTTGGTTTTGCAGACAATCTTCCTCCTACTTTCACCACCGGTTGCCCGAGCAACATACTTCGTCTTGCTGACAACAACCAGAGGTCTGTCCCCGTGTCGTGGCCTGATTTGAGTGCGTCTGATCCAAGTACACCATTACTATGGAGCTCCACTCATCGACCCGGTGACATGTTCTCCGTTGGAGGGGTTACCATGGTAACATACACAGTGACGGACCAAGTCGGCAACGCTGCTAGTTGTAACTTTACCGTGACGGTGACTGGTACGATTGATTTTTTAACTTTTTTTTTACTTTTACTGTTATCAATTATTCAGGTATCATTTCTTTTTTGAGCTCGTGGTGAAGCAGTACATTTTTTTCATTTAGGGGTTGGCCTTGACTGTCCATCCAATGTCACAACAGCTACTAATCCTGGAGTTTTAGTTGCAAATGTGTCGTGGGCTCTTCCCAGCGTCACTTTCAACGGTCCTCAACAGCCAGTCATGTTCTACGTCGGCAGTCCGCCTACACAGGATACCAGTGGTACTGATGTTCAAGTACGTGTGTACTCCGACTACCAACCAAATAACATCTTCAATCTCGGTGTTACGCGTGTCACATATCGCGTCCAAGGACTGGGGACGCAGTGTCACTTTCATGTCATTGTCAGAGGTATGTCACATTTAGCAGTTTGGAGCATTATAAGGAGCAACCGGCAGGGTGCTAATTAAGCAGTTCACGACGGGATTATTTTGACAAGAACGGAAGGAGGCGCGGTATTACTTTTCACTCGACCTCAAGCCAAGCGGGTTGAAGCCATCACCCTTGGGTAGCACACTCATATTTCCGGCCTCGCTCGCTGTGAGCAGGTCGCTGACAGATATTTCAGGCCTTGCTCCCTGCGTGTTTATCCGTCATCCGTACCGAATACCGCGAAACCTTTGCGTGTATACACGTCATCTGGCTCGAACTAGTTAAATTTGTAGGATAAGTTGAAATCAACTTTTTTTTTCTCTCACAGATGTTCTGCCACCTACTTTCACTACCGGTTGCCCGAGCAATATCATTCGTCTTGCCGATGACAACCAGAGGTCTGTCCCCGTGTCGTGGCCGGCCTTGAATGCGTCCGATCTCAGTACACCGTTGCAATGGAGCTTCACTCATCGACCCGGTGACATGTTCTCCGTTGGCGTGGTTACCATGGTCACATACACGGTGACTGACCAAGCCGGCAACGCTGCTAGTTGTAACTTTACTGTGACGGTGACTGGTACGATTTATTTTTGAAACTTTTTACTGTTATCAATTATTCAGGTATCAATTCTTTTTTGAGCTAGTGGTGAAGCAGTACATTTTTTTCTTGTGATACTCTTCATTTAGGGGTCGGCCTTGACTGTCCATCCAATGTCACAACTCTCACCAATCCTGGCGTGTCTGTTGCCAATGTGTCTTGGGCTCTTCCCAGCGTCACTTTCAACGGTCCTCAACAGCCAGTCATGTTCTACGTCGGCAGTCCGCCTACACAGACTACCAGTGATACTGATCTTCAAGTACGTGTGTACTCAGAATACCAACCAAATACTGTCTTCAATCTCGGTGCTACACGTGTCACATATCGTGTCCAAGGACTGGGGACGCAGTGTCACTTTCATGCCATTGTCATTCAAGTCGGTAAGTACCAGCTTTGGTTTATATAATTGTTCCAAAAACATTTATTAAATTGAAACTTCTTTTCTCGTGGAAAATTGCATTATTTTGATGATTGTAACTAACCGTTCTTTTTAATTACTGTCTTAGATAATGAACCACCGATGATCAGTGGTTGTCCTGGTGACGTCATCATCCCTGCCAAGCCATCGACCAATCCGGTGGCTTACAGCTGGCCTCCTCCTGTCATCTCGGACAATGCTGGTCCTGTGGATGTCACGTTCGGTTGCCGACCAACTAAAGTTTGGAAATGTAACGAAACTGGCAGTGGGATCTTCACCTTTGGTGTCACCAAGGTTATGTACAACGCGACAGATGCGTCTGGAAACCGCAACATGTGTCAGTTTAAAATCACCGTCACAGGTTCGTGCATCATTTTGTTTGTCATTTTTTTGCTCCTTACACAACCTCGTTTCCATGGGTACAATCTTACTGCGCCATATTGGTTCCCATCATGCCTTGCGTGATCTTAAACCCTGGAGTTGTGTAATTTAAATGTCCAATTATTTGGGATATTTAAATTAGGACTGCATTTAATGTGTTTAACTCACTACGCAATGCTTACAATTTTTTGTTGTTGTAGAATCAGTCGTTTCAAACATGAGATTTCGATGTCGTGTTGTTAAGCAAGGATTATATTAAACGTCCGTCGTCCCTTTAAACAAGATACAGGTTAAATTATGGTTGTGTGGACGTTTATATTCAACTTTTAAATGCTCTTTAAATTTTATATCATTTTGTTTAAAATGCGTTTTGTTGTCCAATTAGGGACATCATGATGTAGTGTCCCTTTAAATTGAGTTAAACATGAGGTTGCATTTGGCCTTAATATCAGTTCATTGTGACAAGCGGACACCATTTCAAACCCATTCATTGGCTCTCACATAATACTACATTGTATTACATTGTGTTTATTAACTGAAGAATTCATAAAACGGTGCTCTCGGGCGGTTACGGACACATAAGCAGGCAGGGCAGTTTTGGGTGCTTCACTATTTGCTCACTTGCATCTTTTTAAAGGGAATATACATCATTTGCTTCTGCTGTAATTTTCAGAAATGGATGTAATTGGGGGGTTGGAAATATATAGCAAATATAGTTATATGACTTTTATGAGGTTTTGGGTACGAAAATGCTATAAAAACCAAGAAAAACAATCATTTTCCTGTAGTCTGGTTCCCTGACTCCATATAAGAAGAAACAGAGCAGTTTACAATTATATACATTGGGGATTGTAAGGTCAGGGAACCAGTCTAGCTGGCTTGTACCCGTTCATAGGTGTGTAATCGATTGCAAACAAGTGCGATGGTCAATTGGGGCCAGTATTTGAAAAAAAGCCAGTTTTTTCCAACGCTGGTCGGCCGACCAGCGTTGGAAATTGATACAAAAATACCATTTTTCTTGAAAATGACAGTATACCAGGTGCCATGATTTTACAGGATGCTTTACACTATCATTCACTAACAGTCCAGCAAGGTATTTCAAAATGATTTGGTAGTTTTATTTTTTGATGTTTGCAAAAATGTTGTATTTTCCCTTTAAATTCAAACTGCCTATAGCGGTGGATCTAGATTGCCCAGTAAATCGCACAGTCGATGCGGAGCCAGGTTCTACCAGTACCAGTGTGGACTGGATGGAACCGGTTGTAACTGGATGGGACGGACCAACCAACTTCACCTCAAGCCTCAGTCCGGGCGTTGAACTCCACATAGGTAGCCATGTTGTCAACTACCGGCAGTGGTTTGAGTATGGCCTGAGTCTGAACTGCTCGTTCTCGGTTCAGGTTATCGGTGAGTGAGATTTTTTGGTGTTTTTATATAGGGCACTGTTTAATTTGTTTTATTATATTTTTTTAAACATGGTACCTTGCCCATATTTCATGCTTTCACAACCAAATCTTGCAATTCTTCCTTCTTGTCACAACATGGGACGCTGGGATCATTCAAAATTTCTTTAGTTCGTCAACTCACATCGATCTCACTCCCTGTATGTCTGCCATCTTCAAAGCGCGGTAGCCGGAAACATGCTGCGTAGTTACCGATGTTAACCCGCGAGCCAGAAATAGACGTAAGTTTAGGGATAAACGCTGGGCCGCACTGCATTATTGAAGTAGAAATGAGTGTGCCTGCAATTTGCATGTGACCTCAATAATGACCTCTATTCTTATGGTTGCGAGATAAGTCCACAGAAAGGAAATAGGAAAAAGACTTGAAAGAGATAATAAAACAGTGATATTTCCTTGCTTTGTTCAGTATGCAATATTTGTTGATTAATATCACATGCATATGTGACGTTGGTGTATTCTTGTCATTTAAGGTTTTTGTCCAGCCAACACCACGAATGATGCTCTTCATGGTCGGTTGATGTGGCTTGCAACAAGAAGAGGCACAACAGCAGAGTCGTTCGAGAGATGCCCGCTCATGACATCAAAAGGTGAGACGACAATCAATTGTGAAGCTAAAAAATGATGATATGATAACTTTAAAACGGTGGCTGTGTTTAAAATTCTGTAACTTGAAAAGTACATGAGTGATTTGAATGTTTTTTGTACTAAAAGAAAGCTTATAAACTGGGCTTTCATATCCAAGGTTTTGAAAGTGCTACGTGCCGAACTTCCCTAAAACAATGGCCCCAACATTTGGGTTTTGTTTTGTTAAAAAAAATTTTACTCACCTTTTATTTTAACAGAATTGGTTTAATTTGCTATTCTAGATTTGAAGGTTGAAGTCTAGTAAATAGGATTTTCCTCTTTCATTAGATTAAAAAATATCACGCTTTTGATAATTATGTTGGTTAATTTTGCATACAGCTGGAGATCCGTTAGCTGTTCGCAACTGCTCCGTTGTTCCTCCGCCGGACTATTTCCAGTGGGGAAACCATGTACCTCAAAGTTGCGGAGAAGAAAGAAATGAAGTAACTCTGGAAGACGCCACTGTTGTAAGCTTTGAAGATCAGCCTTTTAGAATATAAATCGAGTTTACTGGAGCTGGAATTGAACCGGTTACCTTTAAAATGTTCAATTGATACACCATTACGGTGCTGTACCCTTGAGCTTATATGTGATGTGATCAAGCTACACGAGTCATTTGTTGACCCTGGTCAAAACATTTTTTATTACAGATTTGAAAAGAGCACAGTATCAGCATTACTGCTGTGAAAACCGCATGCTGATACCATCTATAGTTCGAAAAGTATGGTAGTCGGAACACCAAGAGATGTGATGAAGTTATGTGATGAAGTGGCCCTATAAGCCTTTTCGGAGTTGCAACTGCGCATTCATAACCTGTGACAACGCGCATTGTTTGTCTCAAATGGCCTTTGACATCATCGCGCCACTGACTTTACAAAAAGGCTGTTTGTGCATTGTGGGTACTGTCAAAGGGCATTTGAGACAAACAATGTGTGTTGTCACAGGTTACGAATGCGCGCATTTGGAACTCCGAAAAGGCTTATTTTGGCTTGTATCTCCAAATAAAAATTCCAGACAAACAACTCATTTAGCTTGATGGCATCACATGTGTTGAGAGTCTATATGTCCGCTGATCAGTCCTAGCACACCCAGGTGTAAGGCTTCTGACTGGATAGAGTGCCATGAACAGAGATTGAACAACTTTGTAACACTGTCTGACATGAAGGGCTAGATAGCTCCGTTATTGTAGGGTAGATCAGTGCGCTAGAGGTATGCAGCAGGTTCACATTCTACCACAGTCACATTTCTTAGTTTAATCTTTATTGATTACAACTGTGCCTGGTCAGTTTCCCTCGTAAGTGATGATTCACAACACATTCACAGTGTAATCTTGACAGTTATAAAACAGTTTAAGATTCAGCACGTATTATAATTACCGAGAATGGTACCTTAGGCCCCTAAAAAAGTCTCCGGTTTCTGGTATGGAGCTTGCCCAAAAAGTGGTGCGGCGACGTAGCTTTTTTTTTTTTTTTTTACCTGTTTTTTTTGCTTCAAATGTAGGCTGATGACTGCAAATGGTGCCCGACTAAACTTAGTGCAAATATATGGGAGTCCAAAGAGGCCACATAAAGCTTATTCTCGATCATAACCCCATCTAAAAACACGTTAAAATTGTGCAGCGGCAGGATTCCAGTCAAACCAGTGAGTTTGGCAGTTTTGAGACATCATCTTTTATTGAAAAAAAACCTGTGCGCAACAAAATTCAAATATTCATGACCCTAACCCCCATTTTACCTTATCCTACCCCCACAAATTTTGGAATCTTCATGTTTTGGACCACCCACGAGCAATGGATCTAGCTTTTTAGCAACCCTAAAATTTTGCCTCTAAATAGTTGTGGCACTAGGGAGACCTTGGAATGTCTCCTTAATCTACCTTTAATATTCTCCTGAAGGGTACATTTACAGAAATTCATTGTTTCAATCTGTATTTTGTTGTAATTCTATAAATGTTTAATTCTTATCTGAGTTGACTGAACAGTCCCATGGAGAAACTGAATAAATGAGTCTTCTGTATTTGGCAGATTGACGTCAGTCCAGGGAACGTGAATGAAGTGGTTGAGTTTCTGGCCAATGAGACGTCAGAGTCAACTGAAAGTGCAGAAGATGTGGAAGCAGTCTCCACCATTTTGATGAATATTGTCGGGGCAGGATCAGGAGACACGGAGGTAGCTGATCCCCCAAAAATGTCAACAAACTAAAAACTTGCAAAATGTACAAATTGAGAAGTGAATGTTAATAAATTTGAATCTTTACTGATTTCAATGTTGTGGCTTAATAAGATGGCAAACTTCTCAAATACTCCAATTGATTTCGTCTCAGCTTTTAAGGGTTTCTAGTGGGAACACAGGCATCTTAAGAAGTGAAATATTGACTTGCAAAGGGCACTCATGCTCATCTGCGTGAGATGCATGATCACAAAACAGGCATTAGGTCAAGGGAGGTGGTGTATTGTTTCAAAAGTTCCATGGATGCTTTAGATAATAAGCGATTGTCTGATTGATGTAGCCGGGCACTAGTGTGGAAATGCTGAGTTAGTGGTTTATACAAATTCAAGTACCAGCTTGTGTTATTGATGGACACCATGTGATCATAGCTCAGCCAATCAGGATAAAGAATCAGCTGTGGGTCTTTATAAAGAAATCGTTCACAAAACATTTGCAGAAGATATTCCAACGAGCCTAGCCTGTTACCTCAATGATGGCACATACTCCCTGCTCACATTTGAGCAAACGTCTTAAGTAAACTTCGAACCCTAGAAGATGTGCAAAGCGACGCACTAAACTTAATTCCAAAGCTATCAGAATAGGACTTCAAAAGAGGTTCAAATTGTCAGCCCAATAAGCTATTTGCCATGAGATGGTTGGCAGTGAACATGGTTAACTAAACTTCTGGAGGATTCTTGGTTCTTGGCTTCTTGGTTGGTTCTTCTCCTAAATACTCCACGTGGGAGTTTATACAGGAGGCCAGAAACACTGGGGCAAACCCCTTTTTCTTAGCGATAAATGTTTACTGGGTTCTTTTACGTGCATTTATGCAACACACGGGACCTACGGCTTAACATCCCATCCGAAGGACGAAGCAATAATGGTTAAGTGCCTTGCTTAAGAGCACAGGTGTCCACCGGTGGGCTCGAACTCACGTCACTGTTGCCTCTGAAACATCAGAAGATAAGTCCAGTGCTCTTAACCCCTAGGCCATGAGACTCCATTCTAGGGCCAACCTAGTAGGTGTTTTATTGTAAACCTCGTGGAATTCAAGTATTTGTAAATTTTTATGAAGGTAACCGAGTTGGTGATACAGACGGTAAGCAATGTCATCATGAGCACTAGCCAGACTCCAGACTCCCAGACTCCTGAGGTCAATGCTGGCAGCTCCTCAGCCATCGTTCAGTCTGTTGAGGCTCAAGTTTCCTTGACTCTGAGACAAGAGGGTCCGGTCAGAATACAGCAGGACACCATCCACGTTGAGGCAGTCCGTCTGGACCCAATGCTGGTTACCAACGGACTCACCTTCGTGTCTGCTCCGAAGCAGCAGACCGGACAGTCTTCACCACAGGAGGGCAGTCTTGTCGGCACTGAGGTCACGACCGTGGTGAATGCCAGTGTGGTGCCTCAAGATGTGATAGCTTCAATCCAGTTACCGGCAAGCATTGTCAAAAAGATACAGGCCGGCAATGGTAAGACTGATTTTCAGTAGAGACATGTTTGATTCGTAGATCAAGGCATTGTTCAATTACCTTTTAAAGAAAAATTGTAAAAAAGAAGGGCTGTAATGAGTTTTGCTCATTAAAAAATATTGGGTTTACTTTGTTTCCAACTTGATATATTTTAGTGTCATCTGCATCCCCTGCTAGGCTTGAATTGTGACTTGGTCCAATATAACTTTGCTAGCTGATGCCTTGACAAACTTGAAAGGTGTTAAGACAAGGCGGGCCTGTCTGAAGTCTTTTTCTGACATCACTGATTTTTATAAATACCTTTAAGAAAATGGTTCCCAGCCGCTGCGGGCGAGTTTCATTGTCTACGCTGATGACACCTTGTTCAAGTCAGCTCTGATCAAAGGCTCCCCAGGGAAGAACGGCTCCAGCCTCCGGGTTGCTGGGTCTGTCGTCTCACTGACTGTGGAAGACGTTGAGTTGGTCAACCTCACCGAACCAGTGGTCATCCAATTCAAGGTACTTGTCTTCATAAAAGATATCGTTGAGCTTCTGTACGGAAGCCAGTCCATCATAGGTTAGACCTAAGCATCTTAGACAACCAAATCCTAATTTGTAGTTCTGTAGGTTGTGCAGTCTTGCTTTTTGGTTGATTAATATTGTTGAGTTTACAGTCCAGCATTGTATCTCATGGTGAAACAGGCACCGGCCAATAATGAAACGGAGGGAAATAGAACCATCGAGTGTGTCTTCTGGGATTTTGATCTGAATGACGGAGTCGGCGATTGGTCAACAGCGGGTTGCTTGCTGGCAAGAGAGACAAACGATACGGTGTCCTGTAACTGCAGCCATGCGACCAACTTTGCCATTCTCGTAGTAAGTTTCCTAACTGAAGTTCATTTCCTACATCTGTCTTGGAGGTCCTTTGAAGTTCACCATAAAGTAAAGTTGGGAAAGTAAAAAATGCATGAATTTAACACAGACCCCTCCCTGTTCCCTGAAAATCCACGATGTTTGCAATCCTTTGAAAAAATAAGACCACAAGATGCAGTTTCCTGCAGAGTGAAGTACTTTCAGAATTCAGTATGGTTCTTCCACCATAAATTTGGGGAGTTGGGGTTAAAGGGAAAGTACAACTTTTGCTTTTGCTGCAATTTTCAGAAATAATTGGATTTGGAGGATAAGTATGTTATAGCAAATATTATTAAGCTGACTTGTTTCACTTTTTGGGCTGGTAGATGCTGGAAAAACCAAGAAAACCAATCACGTTCTTGTAGTCTGGTTCCTTGACCCCACTTTAGATGAAATGGAGCATTAGGCTTTTGGGACGTGAGGTCAGAGAATCAGTCTTAGAGCACGCTTGTACTCCTTCAAAGGTGTGTGATCAATTGCAAAGAAAATGCGGAATAACTAAATATGAAAAATTAGGAGCAAATTTTCTCCAATGCTGGTTGGCCGACCAGCGTTGGAAAATACAATTTTTCTTGAAAATGGCAGCACACCAGGAGCCACGATTTTACAGGGTGCTTTAGAGTGTCATTCCCTAACAAATCCAGTAAGGTACTTCGTGATTATTTGATCATTTCGTTTTGTGAATGTTTTCAGATAAAAATGAAAGAGATAGTCTGAATGTTTTAGTTCAGATAATTGTTTTTCTCTTTCAACTTTTAAGTGTTGAGTGGTGTGTGGATTCAAGGTTTCTGTTTTTACTGTTCTTCTTTTATCTAGAATGTCCATGGACAGAAGGAAACAAGTAAAGTATTCCGGGATGTTTTGAATATCGTAACCAACGTCGGTTGTGCCATCTCCATCATTGCACTGGTCATCACCTTGACTGTATATCTAGCGATCAAGTAAGATCTCTCTCAATCTATCTGAAGCTCTGTCGCACTCTTGCGAATACAGCTAACGTGTGCCTGACGTTTTTGGGCATTTGGGTGTCGTCATTCGTTTGTGACACGTTTGGCATTTAGTCATATTCGTTTACCGGTTCGTAGGGGTTTGAAAAGGTGGGCTGGGGTCTAGGAAAAAGTTCATGTTCAAAATTTTTGAGGGGGGGACAACGTAGTGATCAATATGTTATGTACACACTCTTTTAATCACTTTCAATCCTTTCATTAATTAGGAGCTTTATAAAATTACAAGCCACTCGTGTGCATAAAATGTGATATTTTGTAGCAAAAGTGCCTGTCACACTGAACCTTGCACAGGATTCACGTCCTTAGTTTTTCTTCCACGCAAGGCGTTCCTACAATGATTATCAGCTTTTTCTGTAACCATAGGAAACTGCGAACTGGCAAATCTCGTCAGATCTTCATCCATATGTTCTTCGCCTGGCTGATATTGTACATCGTGTTCCTTGCCGGCATCGACAACGCAAAGGTAGGTGTGAATCGACACTAGAAGTTTAATTAAAGGAATAAATGTGTGTTTGGTTGGTATTAAACACTCTATTTAAGACCGGTCGCAGTCTGGATGGGTGTTCATCTCGGGTAATCAACCAGTCTTAAACAGAGTGTTTAATACCGACCAAACACACATTTATTCCCATTCATCAATACCTTTTCGGTCAAAAAACAAATCTTTTCGGTCCAAAAATCAAAACAAATAAAAAACTAGACGTTGCCAACCATTTTGTTCAACAAGTTTACTTCATGTTTTATGAAACACCTTTGACTATAATATAGAATATCCCTCTACAACTCCTTACCTTATAAGGAGATTTGCGTGTGCGTTGCGCATACTGCGCAATGTCGCGCAAAACGCAGCTGGGCTGGTGTAGTGTGAATTTCAGACTATGAAATACTGATTCACTGGTAGTATTGCGCATGCATATGTTAGGAATATATGTTCAACCAATAAAACGTTAAAAGGCACCTGATTTCACGGGAGTCCAAATTTCATGTGACACTGGAAAAGTGTTTAAGACCAACCAGCCATGTCTTTATCATCCGTTTACGACCAGCCATGTGGCAGGCTCTTGACCAATAGGAATGGGTAAACTGTCTTGGGTATTTTAGGAATAAACATTAGGTGAGGACAATATTTTGCTGATTGTAATTGTGTTCACTTTACTCTATTGAAAGATTGAATTAATTACTGAAATTAAAATAAATGGGGTGTAATGAAGTGCTGTTCCATATTGTGTAATAAAGATGGATTATTTTGCAATTTTGTGGTCGCTGGGGAAAAATACCAGTTTTTGAAATTTTATGTTTTAATTTTAGGGTAGTGGAGGTGGTTGTGTGTTCGTTGCAGCTTTACTCCACTACTTTGTCTTATCCACTTTGATGTGGACGGCTGTTGAAGCAAGGAACATGTACGTCAGTGCGGTGAAGGTGTTCCCAGAAGACACGCCTCACTACATGCTCAAGGCTTGCCTCATCGCTTGGGGTGAGTTTCTTGTAATATCCTCTGCATAGTTATTATCATTTTAAGATGATAATACATGAATCATGCATAAATGACGTACCTTGTCAGATGTTAACGTTTACCCAATCAACTGTTTTCCAGGATCTCCACTGATTGTTCTGACGATCACCTTGGCTGCAGCAACTGATCACTACGGAAACGAGCATTAGTAAGTAAAACAGATCACGAAATAGAAATTGTCTGTCTGGTCTCAATGACGAGGTGAAATTTCCTATTGTTTTTCATGTACTTTGTATTTCCTCTCAGCTGCTTCCTTGAGCCTGATCTTGTGCTGTACCTCGGCCTCCTTGCTCCCATTGGTCTCATCCTCATCCACAACATCATCACCTTCGTCTTAGTCATGCGCAGCATCCTGAAGGTCAAGGAGGCATCTCGCTCCCAGCAGATCTCCAAACGCCTCCAGAATGCCGTGGGAATCTCCACCCTCATGGGGTTGACCTGGAGTTTTGGGTTCCTGGTCATCATTCATGGCGCCGCCACGTCCGGTGATGGCGCCACGTCCAATGACGGGGCTGGACTTGCCTTCGAGCTCATCTTCTGTCTGGCCAACTCCTTTCAGGTGGGATATCTTCCATACTACAGCATGAAACTTTATTGTCTCCAGAATTTTCTTCGAGAAACCCAACTATTTTATCCACCTGTGCAAGATCTAATGGCACAGTTTTTGGATTAGACAGAAAGGGCATCTTAATTAGTCACCTCCATGGCGAGAGCCTTCCTCACCCCAACAAATGTCTCTCAAACCTCTTGGTTGGTTTTGATCATGAAAGATCTGGGCAGGGTAACGGCTAACAGTTGCATCGGCCAAATTGTCGTTATCTTTCTGAAGCATTGTGTAAAAGCTGGCGTCTTGAATACAATAAGAACGTTTGATACAAGGGCTTGCCTTGCATTGGTATGATTATGTTCTTGTTGAATTTGCCTTTTGTTTACTTTACTTTATTCCACCTCTTGGTACATGTAATGCAAAAATATACATAGAATTCTTCTAAATTAATAAGGTATGTTATAACGAATAAGATAAAAAAAAAACCAATGTATTAGTATTAATACCAAGAGATGAAGGGGACTTACACAAAGCAAGCATGTCGAGTGAGAGTCCCCCGAACAACAAAAACAATATTTAAACACAATCAACAAGGTACTTAATAACAACAAAAAGGACTCTGTATGACATAGACAATACGAGAATGTAATTGACGGGGACGATGAGTTTGAATTAATGTAAAGAAGCTTAAAAAATTTGCAGAATCCTTATTGAATTGAAGGTCCACAGGGGCAAGGTGTGTTTTTGATCATGCTGGACCCATTCTGAATGAGATAATAACTGTTCAAGAATGTTTCATTGATTTCAGGGCCTGATTGTCTTCATCATGTTTTGCGTGCGACGTGAAGAGGTCCGCACCGCCCTCGCACCGTACATGAAGCGCCTCTGCTGCGGTCGCACCTGTGACATACAGGTGCCTTGGAAAAAGGATAGGTCATACGACCTGCCCATGATGTCTGAATCCGTGCCGAGTTCACCATCGACAGCCCACACTGCTGAATTTGACATGTCCGTGTCAGGACCGTATTAGTGAGAGGCAGGCTTCAACACTCGCTGTCTATGAAGCGTCAATCTTTAAAGTCTACTTATGGAATACTTACCTTATCATGCACAACATTACTGGACCGAGCTCTGTCAAATGTGGCTTTCTTAGTATAGGTATTTCTCCAGCACTTAACTGGTTTGTTACTCGTCACTCAGTTTCTGATGGGAGGCAGGTGGCGCTGGACAATGCCGCACATACATTGGGGATAGCCTGACTGTATGATTATGGAGCTATAAAAAAGGCTCCATTGTACGATCAAGGACAAACCGTGCTCTCCCGCCGTATGTGCGAACAGATTAGGTCGTCAACTGATTGAGAAGCTATTATCTCAGTAGGGTGCTCATGAATGCGTCGCGCAAGCCACATTAGACTGGGCTTGGTCCAGTAATAAAATGGTAGGTGACACTGACATGGACACCACGCGCACCCACATCGGGGTTTATCGGGTACCACTATCCACTTTGCTTCCCTACCATTGTTCGCTTTGTTTCTATTTGAAATCCCTCTATGGCTTTTCTGATGTTAGGTACCGAGATTTCTAAAGACCAACTTGTAGGATACTATTGTCCCCATTGTTACTCTCTGTTCTCAGTACCCAGTAAGTACCCATATGTATTAGTACATACTCATTGGCATGTGCACTCGTTGGCACATTTGTGCCAGCTAAATTGATTTGAAATCTTCGAAAACAAACTTGTTACGCCTTTGAGCAAGCTTCAGGCACCATTTGATTGCACAGGCATGTCCTTTCCAGTGAGCTTCCCCAACTTTTCCTTTATTGGCATGCAAGGAGTACTTGTCCACAAAGTCCATAACCACCACTGGATATAGTGACAGGTGCACTCAATCTGTGACTGCCTCATGTACATGGCCATGCAGGCATGCATGATTTGCACGTACATGTAGTTGAGAGCTTTTGCTGATTGGCAATTTTCAGCAACTGTGCAGAATTGTGCAGGCAGTTTGTAGACAATGTGCAGACATACTTACGCTTGACCTTGCTACTAATCTCCAGGGGCTAATTTCACAGCACTGCGTAAGTTCACAAATTTGCTTAGCACAAAAAAAGTCTGGCTTTACAAAAACAGGTTACCAGCCAAAACTCCATGAGATGTATAGTGCTCGTGAGTAGTATTCAGCTGTTGTAAATTTGCTATTGCATGAAAATCATGTGGAGTTTTGCCTGGTAAACTGCTTTTATAAGACTGTTTTTTTGTGTGCTAAGCAATTTTTTTTTACTTAGCAGCACCGTGAAATTGGGCCCTGGTTACTGTGGGAGGGGAGGGGTGGTTTTATTTTAAAGACTTAAAGCAATGTACCATAAGAAACGAAATCATTCCAGTTTAAAAACCAGCAGTTGTATATAATTATTAGTTGTCAGAAGGAGGAATAGTCGTATGACATTATTATCATCAATATCAGGTTTTTTTATATGTCAGCTAATTCTTTTTATGTAAGGTAATTAAGTTTTTCTAGTTATTGCTTCGTTTGGTTTCCGTTTTTTGGGGGGGTTTTCCAAATTTGAAAATTACAGCAAAAGCCGATGATGTACGTTCTCTTTAAACATACATGTAGTTGATTTCAAATTTTTGTTGTGCCGGTAATCTTATTTTGCTGTATCTGTGCCTGTTATTTATGTAGTTTTTGTGGTTATCTGGAGTAGCTTTTTCATCACAAAATGGAAACACTGTAAACAGCAGTGAAGTTAAAAAATATTGATAACTTTATATTTCAAATCATTTATTCATATTCAGACATTGTAAGCAATTATCAAGAAATCACACAATGTTATTTTTCAAGCATGCAAAATTAGAATAAGGTGAAACAAATAATCTTGGGTTTAGTAATTAAGAAAAAAGAAAAAAAGCAAAACAAGTTACAGCTATGTTAATTGTATTTGTGGATTGTACAAAATTGGTGGATATTATTTTGTATTTACTGCGAAGTAACTGTTTATTGCATTGTATGGAATAATTGTATTGTATTCAGACTTATAATGATATTTGTCATTACTCAAATGTACAAGCCAAAGTCGTTCATATTTGAATCTATATAACAGGGGTGTGAAATCTCAGCTTTAAAGCTGATTTCAGCTTTTTTTTATTTTGGATTTCAGCTTTTTTGCTTCACTTGCTGTGTACAAAAATATAGGAGATTTCCAAAGTTCAACTTTTTTACACCTTTTCCAGCTGTTTTCGGCTCTTTTTATCACTCACACCCCTGATATAAGCATATGATTTATCCTGTACCATTTACACCTTTTTCTTGATCACAATTGCATCCATCGTTCTACCCAGAGAAAGCAAAATCATTACAACAATTAATAGCCAACCAGCATTGTATTAAAATGTGAATATTGAATAATAATGAATGTCGCATTTTACAAGTCAACACCTTCAAAAAAATAATGTATTTTCCAGCAGGCCACAATATTGTATCCAGGCCTAGAATCCTAGGTAGCTAGGTAGTACGGTACGGTACGTGTATACATCTACTGCGCAGAAATAGGATGCGTACTAACGTTCAGCTAATTTGCATACTCTTTGAAGTTTCATACTTACATACATTTTTGTATATTAATAATTCTAAAACAAGAATCTAGACGAGAATTAAAATGTAGTAATTCTACACACAGTTGTTACTTTTTATTTTTTTTATGCTGTGTTTTGTGCAAATAAATCTCCAAACTTTAGACCAATCAGAGTGTGTGTTAGAAAATCACAAGGCGGCCATCTTGGATTTGAAAGCGCACTGCATAAAATCACTGCATGCAATGTGAACGTACTGATATATTCGACATTTCATATAGCGTGTTGAAATACATCAACCTGAAATTGACCTGTATGCATTCGTGAAGTATAAAGACACACCAGGTGAGGTATGCAAAGTTACCTTGGGGCGTTTATAAGCAACAAAAGACCTGCACCGAAAAAGAGAAAATGCATTCAAACACGGATCCTACACACAAGGATTAACGACTCGGCCCAACTCCTGGTAAGACGCATGACAACGGCCCGTACTGGTGGCAAATACCATGAATACTTTTCAACAAAGACCACTGCGCGCGGTGGCTTTCAGATTTGCAAGGCTCTGCGCCCGATCTGGCCTCGAAGTCTGTCAAGCCAGCGAATTATATTTCTGAATATTCATGAGTCTACGTTTTTGGTCTTAATTATTGAATTCTGATAAGTGATAACTACATAGGCCTAACCATGGTAATGCCGAGCACAATATCTTTAGCTTTATTGAACAATGAAATGTCGCTTTTGTTTCATCGGTTCGGCATCTTATCTCTCTCAAACTTTTTAATAAAAGCCTAATTAAAAACGAAATTTGGGTAAACGGTGTTCTCGAAATTTGACGTTTAATTCCCAGGTAAATACTTCACCTAAAAGACTAAATGACGACAAAAACTGCACAATACCATCTGTACTGTTATATCCTGAAGTATTTATTTTAAAACAATTTTGGAACAATTAAATCTTAAATAAGGAGTAGTTTTGCTTACAGTTTTATGAATATTTCCGTTTTAGATGTCTTGCAAAACCCCAACACAATAGGACACCTGGCAAATTCGCGATTACGCGCCAACGGGTATTAATGCCCGTTATCACGCGTCTAACCAATTATGGCAAGTCCACTGAGTGCATTTTGTACTAGAGCTCATCAGAACAGTCGTTTATCCTGGTGTCTACGATCCGCGATTCAAAGAAGGCCTAACGTGAGTGGCAATGCATGCTTATTGCACGCAAACGCTGTACGACATGCTGTAGATTTTTGCTTATCACGCTTTCAAAAGGATTCTATTTTGGGTACCTATGATCGAACAAGGTATGGAGTACTTTTCTTTTCATACTGGGTAATTATGGACTTCTCCAGAACTGATAATTTTTGGAAGGGAATGAAGGCCTTATTGGCCTTATTTATAATTCACACTGGGGATTGTGTCTACAACTGCATCTGAACTCGTGTTTGGTCTCAATTTTTGGAAAAGGAAAAGTTGTAGAACATGCATTTAAAACTACTTAATCGGGAAATAGTCTTCAAGTGTGTTGTTTGATGTTGATTGATGCAAAAAGTTGAGGTTTCCTGGTTGTGTATTGGGTTTAGGCTAGGCGGCCCGTCTCTCTAAATTCCAAAGAGTGAACATTCATGCTCAGCATGAAAATCACATGGAGTTTTGGCTGGTAACATGCTTTTACTAAGCCAGACTTTTTTTGCTTAACTATTTTTTGTGCTGAGCAATTTTTAGTGTGCTGAGCAGCTCCGTGTAATTGGCCCCTGGTCGACGTTTTAGAGTGAAAAAGATCGAGTTTTCACTCGAGCTTCGACTGTAAAGTGATTTTTTTCCAGAGTATTTCAATCTAAGCTTTGAGTGATTTTCACTGAAAATCGAACGTTGTCTCTAGTTTCACTCTTAGGAGCTTTAGACATCGTACGCATCACTCTGATACAAACCCTAACTATGCCTATAGACTTTTATCATGCTGCCACCTTTGAAGTAATGTTCCCTGTATCCAATAACAGTACTAAATGAAAACAAGTTTAGTGTGCAAAAAGGAACCAGACTATTTTTCCTTCCAGCCTCGCTCTGGTTACGTTGATTTGAATGGGAAAAAATACGATGGCCGCAACAAGATATAATTGCCTATAGGCCTACACTTACACACAGCATAAGTGTATAGCTATGTGCTTCTCGCTATACACTGCATTGGGTTTAACTTGGAATGAAATTGTCCCTGATTCATTGTGACTGGATATTTTTTTACTTCAAAATTTTCTCTCGATCGAGCATGCATGGTTGAGTATACGGTGTAGATTTCCGCATACCTGACCTTACTCCGTCTTTTGTAAATTAGTGTCGAGTCACAGTTCAGTTTTGCAATGCAACGATGTGCAGTGTCATATATGGTGCCATCACAAAAGGACAAGGTGATTTGAAGTTTTTAAACTTGGTTATGGCTTGTAATTTGTAGTCAAGTTATGTCCGAGAGCTCATATGAGCTGGCGGGTGCAAGACAAGTTTATCCAAGGGGCCGGCCGGCGTATTTTTTTTTGCAGCATACATTGTATTTTTACCAATCATATCATACACCCTTACATGAATATTTACCACGCTGTGTGGATGGAAGACACTTAGGTTCTCGCAGTCAGTGTTTTCCTTTCAATTAAACCTATCCCAACCAAGAAAAATATTTGATGAAAATGGACATAGGTTCGAACCACAGATCTTGCGATCCATAGTTCATTCCACTATCCACTAGGCCACTGTGGCAGCTCGACGAAAGCCGTTCTTTGAAAAAGCTTTAATATACAATGACTGAGTGATAGCAATGGTGTGACGTCATTGTTATTTTCTTATGAATAAACATCGAACCATCTGAATAATCATGATCCATCGACGATGTGTGCTGCAGATAAAAACACCGCGGCCAGCAGGCTATACATGTTTTCATCGGAGTCAAAATTGTGGGCAAATGATCAGACTCAAGCAAGTCTATATTAGAGAAAATCAGTGAGATGCAAAATATGTACATCCAACTGGAATTTTTGAGCCAACATGAGACTTGAGTCTCATTCACAGGTAACACTCAGTCAGTCCGCAGCAGGCAGTCAGGAAATAGATACAAAAAAAAATTGTGGCTGACAATCAAATTTGAACCATCCAAATCGTTTTTTTTTTTACGCCGATTGTTAATGTGAGACGTAATTGGTCTAATACACAGCTAGGTAGTCAGTGAGATTATATACAGACGACCGTATAGCAAATCAAAAGCCACTGTAAAAACCGCCAAAAATACACAAGGAAATTAGTTTTATTTCGATCGATATATGCCACCTGTTACAAAACGGTAGGGCCCACAGTTTCCCTGAATTTCCCCAGTACTCTCGAGCATGCACGGCCTTTTGTATACGGTGACGAACTGGTAATTTATTTTGGTTCAGGTTGAATTGAATGGAATCCGGAACCTAGCTTGGAAATATTGCTGTACGATATAGCTCATTGAGCATGGAAGAAACACGCAGACAAAAGGTTTTTTTCCCTTTGTGCACTTGTTTGAATTGCTGCCTGGCCAAGTACGCAGAGAAACGCATCACTGGGTTTTCTGTATAGCTTATACTTTTTTAGGGGGTGTCCCACAGAGGTACCTGGGTTTCGAACAATGATGATCTCACACCACCGTTTTTAGTAACTTTAATACGAACTTGCACTTTCTGTTGCGCAGCAAAAAATCCATAGAACTCTGTGCAGCCCGCGGTCACGTTCACCACACACCTATTTTCCGTGATATTGCACACACGCCTATTGCTGGTGTTGCGTAAATTGGAAAGTTCCCATCCTCGAAGAACGAAAAATTGATGAGTGTTGAGTCGGGACTCGGTGTAGAGACGTTGGTTTAACCTTGGTGCACCGCCGCATCAACTGACCGTTGATCATGGGTGTGACTAGTGGGAAATCGGAGTCGTTTCTCTCTGCGGTGCTGTGTGCTGTATTACTTGCCAGCGTTTGTAACAATGCAGTACATGCAGGTAAAAGATGTATAGTTTTCTCATATTCAACATATAACAAGCATGAGATATATAGTATTCATATCTATTCGATATCTATGGTCTCCTTTATACTTGGTATAACAGTTGAAACAGTAACGAAAACAACATCTTAGGCCTATATCTAAAACAATACCCCTTACACGAATTTCAGCATAGAAAAGTTTGTAATTGAATTTTCATTGAGGTTGCAAGGCCTTGCATTTTGCAGCGTATCGTGTTGTTGGCAACGCTCAGATAATATTTCTCGGTGATTTCAGCAGATGTAAAAATAACATTCGTGGGTGTATAAACAAAAACTGCACTAAAAATCAGTCGGGCGTTTTTAAATTGCCGCGGAAGAACAGCGATTGAAACTCCGAGACGCCACGATGGACTTTTATATCAAATAGAGATGCACTAGCTGTTGTATTTTCATAGTGAAACTACAAAGACATTGAAATAGTTTGGTAAAAATTATCTGTCTATAGTGGAAACCTGTGTGAAAACCCGATTTATTGGGTAAATAAATCTCACTCTAAATCGTCTTTTCCCAAGTTGCAGTCCGCTGGAATTAATCTTTACTCTTTGGAAAATGATACAGCATCATGTACAACCATTTTGACTGCTTACTTCATGTATAAAATTGGCAAATCCGTCAAGGGATCCACCATATATGACAATTAAGACTTTATCTAAAATTTTTGGTTTCGTTATGACTCAAACTCAGTGGCGTAAATCCGTGTTGGTGAGTGCATGGGAAAAGGGGGGATGACTATTGCCTGGCCGTGGAAATTCGAAAGGGTTGGGGGGGGGGGGAGTTTGAAAGTTACGAAATTACCTCACAATGGATTTTTTTTAGGTCACCACGAAAATAGGGGCGGAAGGGAGGTTTGGTCAAAAAGTGTGTGTGTGGGGAATAATATCCTCTTCATCTCCCCCCCCCCCATCTCCCCCCGATGATTGGCGTCGCCAGGATTTTTTTCTAGAGGGGGCAAAGCACATTTTCCCCCAAATCCCTTTATTTTGCAGCATTTTCCCGATTTATCAGTTTTTCGAGGGTGGGAAAAGGACATTTGCCCACCCCAACCCATTCAAATAACAACAATATGATTTCGTGCCTCTTTTTTTTTTTTTTTTTTTTACCTCGGGGGGCGGGGGCGGGGCGGGGCAAGCGCCCCCTTGCCCCCCCCCCACGCGACGCCCATGTCTACCCCCCCCCCTATTTTACGTCCATGCATGTAATGTGTATTTAACATGTATTGTATTTATATTATCAGCAATTCCTGTGCGTTTGGTGAATGGGAACACACCCAACGAAGGCAGAGTGGAAATCTTCTACCAAGACCAATGGGGGACGATTTGTCATAACGGCTGGAGTAGTAGAGAAGCCAATGTCATCTGCCGACAGCTCGGCTACCCTTCTGCATCCCAGGCCTGGCGTAGTGCACATTTTGGCCGAGGATCCGGGCCTATTTTCTTGGCCAATGTGCAGTGTGATGGACATGAAACGAGTATTGATCAATGTGATCACACAGGATGGTTCAATTATGATTGCAATCATAATGGTGACGTTGGCGTAACTTGTGAATCAGACACTACAGCCTTTCCAGGTAAGTACTTAGATATACAGCCTTACATCACTAACAAGTACTCACACAGTCATGTCATACAAACGGCACTGCAGTGCTGCATGTGCTGTCCGCGCCCACGCGCACTTGAGAGTTAGCTTGATAGCCTAAATTTAAAATGTTTAAAGAAGTGCACTTTTCAATAAAATTAACCAAACAGGGATGTCAAGTAAGTTTGCATACATTTCAAGAGGAGTAGAAAGTTGCACAAAATATTTCCCTAAGACAAATTCACCTCACGAACCCTTTAAGCAAAGTAAATTTGTACGGTAAAAATGAACATTGTGAGTGGTTAAAAAAAAGTAAAGATCCCATAGCCATTACTGGCCGAGGGATGTTAGAGGTCCACTGTGTCTTGGGCGCGGCATATGAGTGGCGGGGCCCAGTCCTCTCCTCTCGCCGTCTTACCTTCCCTGAACAAATCAGGTACCCATTTTACTGTTGGGTCGTCAGAGAGATTTTTCCAGTTTTTGGTCCGAATGGGATTCGAACCGCCAACCTTCCGCTCCGTAGCTCCACGCTCTAACCGCTCGGCTACGAGGCCCCACTGTGAGTGGTTATACCAATCCAAAGTACAAATCGGCTTATTGAACCAGTCAAAATTCTTGTATTAATTGTACATTTAGATCATAGCTAGATCACTTGAATATAAACACATCTAATATCCTACACATTGTGATTCTTTGCTTCGGTAGTCCGTCTGGCTGGTGGGAATGCGCCTCATGAGGGGAGAGTAGAGATATTCTACCGCTGTAATTGGGGTACAATCTGTGGTGGTAACTGGGGCATTGAAGAGGCAAATGTCGTCTGTCGACAGCTGGGCTACACGTCTGCAACTGACGCCTGGCGGAATGCTCACTTTGGTCAAGGATCAGGGCCAATTCTTCTTACTAGTGCTGTATGCCACGGCGGTGAATCAAGCATTGAACAATGCAATCATGATGGATGGTATAATCATGGCTGTAGGTCGCATAACTATGATGTCGGAGTAACATGTAACGTAACATTTGCCAACCCAGGTGAGTCGATCCTCTGTTACCGAATAGCCAATAGATGCACGTTTCCATAAATGTTTCAACGGTAGATTGTTTCAAAATTCTTTGAATCCCACAAATATAAGCCATATTACATCAAGTCTTTTTTTTCAGTCTCAGTTCGTCTCACAAATGGCAACACCCCATTTGAAGGACGAGTAGAAATACACCACGATGGTCAGTGGGGCACAGTCTGTGACGATGGCTGGAGCATTGAGGAGGCAAGCGTCATCTGCCGAAAACTCGGCTACCCTCCTGCATCACGGGCCTGGCAGAGTGCTCACTTTGGCCAAGGATCAGGACCGATTCTCCTGAGTAATGTTGCTTGCAATGGCACCGAGCCAAACATAAACCTATGTGAACACAGTGGATGGTTTAGTCATAGTTGTAATCACGCGGATGATGCTGGAGTGACTTGTGGAGAATCTCTAAATGCCAATGTCTCTTCACCAGGTAAGTTGCTTTAATTCACTTGTTAATACGGTACCAGCAAAACACATAATGCATTGGTATTTCTAGATTTGTAAAGTCAAGCATACTTTAACTTCTTAGTTGCAGTGCGTCTGATGGATGGCAAAGTGCCCAATGAAGGAAGAGTAGAAGTGTACTACCGATGCAACTGGGGTACAATCTGCCATCGTGGTTGGAGTATTAAAGACGCCAACGTTATCTGTCGACAGCTTGGCTACCCTTCTGCATCCCAGGCCTGGTACAGCGCACACCTTGGTCGAGGAACAGGGCCAATTTTGCTGGACAATGTCAATTGTGCTGGGGATGAATCCAGTATTGACCAGTGTGGCCACAGTGGATGGTTCACTCATAGTTGTTCCCATTCTGCTGATGTTGGAGTGACATGCGATGTTACAGTTCCCTCCCCAGGTAAGTTAACGTAAGTGTCTATGCAAATAGTATTAGTGTCTGTGCAAATAAATCATCCTTACTTAACTACCTCAATTTGTTTTCTACTTTACCAGTTCCAGTACGCCTTGTTGATGGTAACGCCCCGAATGAGGGAAGAGTGGAGCTCTACTACGATTGCAACTGGGGTACAATATGTGATTCTTCAAATGTCTGGACCATTGAAAATGCTCATGTCATCTGTCGACAGCTCGGCTACCCTTCTGCCTCCCAGGTCTGGAGGAATGCTCACTTTGGCCAGGGATCAGGTCCGATTCTACTGGCCAATGTTGTATGTGATGGAACTGAATCACGCATCGAAAAGTGTGATCACAGAGGATGGTTTGATTATTATAATGGCTGTTATCATAGGCACGACGTCGGAGTGACCTGTAGTGGCGTTACCACTTCAGGTGAGTGTCACAAAGTGTCGCCATTTTAAACAAACAGCGGCATTATTTTGTATTATACAACGAACCGGCTAAAGAAGGGGACAAATTTCAGGGAAGGATGGTTTAAGTTGTTAAGAGCATCTTTCTCTTTTTCAGTTTCAGTACGTCTTGCCAACGGAACCACCCCTTATGAGGGCAGAGTGGAAGTGTACTACCAAAACAAGTGGGGTACGGTCTGTAGTAGCGGATGGGGCATCAAAGAAGCAGACGTCGTCTGTGGACAGCTCGGCTATCCTTCTGCGTCAATGATCCACAGGGATGCATATTTTGGAGAAGGGTCGGGATTCATTCTCTTGGATGGTGTTGGTTGCAATGGCACAGAATCGAGTATCGACCAGTGTGATTATAGCGGATGGTTGAACAATAACTGTGATCATGGCCAGGATGTTGGTGTGACTTGTGATTTCTTAAACCCATCAACAGGTTTGTCAATTCTATCAAAGTTATTGTCATATAAGAATTCAATATTAGTTTTTCCCGTTGCTGACGTATAAGCACTGTATACTTGGTGAGTAACCTCCGTAGTGAAAGTTAGAGAAAAATATCATTTGGATAGGACTGGAACCCACAACTTCCTGCTCTCTAGTGCAGACGTCTTACCACTCGACCACCTAGTTTGCCGGTATCGGTTGGCTGGTTCGAATCTCCCTCACGCAAATTTCATCTTATGAATAGTTTCATTGCAGTACCCGCTGCTACCTTCAGATTCGAACTAGTCAGCCGATCCCGGCAAGCTTTGATGGACGAGTGGTAAGATGTCTGCACTAGAAAACAGGAGGTCGTGGGTTTGAGTCCACCCTAGTGATTTGCTCTAACTTTCATGCGGGAGGTTACACACTGAGTATACGGTGTTCAGCATCGATAAAGGGCAATAATTAATATTGAATTTACATCACCCCGACGCAAATTCCATCTTGTGAATAGTCATTGATTTTAAGAAGCAATGCATCTCATTGACAAATGACAAGATGTAAATGCAGTTGTCTAAATTGATCGTAACCATTTTCTAGTTTCAGTCCGGCTCGTGAATGGGGATGCACCTAATGAAGGTCGAGTGGAAGTCTACTACAAATGCCACTGGGGTACAATCTGCAGTAATGGCTGGAGCATCAGAGATGCCCATGTCATCTGCAGACAGCTCGGCTACTCTTCTGCATCCCAGTCCTGGCGGTATGCTCACTTCGGCCACGGAACAGGACCGATTCTCCTTAACAATGTTGCGTGTCAAGGCAATGAATCAAGCATTGACCAGTGTCACCACAGTGGGTGGTATGATAACTCAGGCTGCAATCATTTTAGCGACGCTGGTGTGACCTGTGACTTGGCATTACCTCCGCCAGGTTAGTTAAACATGAATGTCAATCAATGAACCAGGATGCATACCTGACTTCATCTATATATTATTAGGTTTAAGATGACCAAAAAAAAATGATTGGAATCTCAATATGTAGACTACCACATGTATTCTAACACTGATCAACCTAGTCTTATTATTTGCGGCTAAAGCAGTTTTGTTCTTGGCGCTAGTCAAAAGCCGAAAGCCATTCCCTTCTCCAGTTTTAGCAATAATATCTTAAGTTCCGTATTTTTCCTATAATGGTTGCAATCTATTTATATTAAATATAGGAACTTGTTTGTCAATTTCATATAAGAACTCTGTATCATTTTTGAATCACAGTATCTGTACGTCTGATTAATGGGGACACACCTCATGAGGGTACAGTTGAGGTGTACTACAGAGGCCAGTGGGGGAGTGTCTGTGGCAGCTACTGGAAGTTAGAAGAGGCCAACGTCGTATGTCGACAGCTCGGCTACCCTTCTGCATCCCAGGCCTGGCCGTATGCTTACTTTGGTCAAGGATCAGGACCGATTCTCCTGCACAACGTTGAATGTGATGGACATGAATCAAGCATTGATCAGTGTGATCATCGAGGCTGGAGCAATCATTACTGTAATCATTACTATGATGTCGGAGTGACGTGTGATCTTACCATTCCGTCACCAGGTAGGTTGATGAGACATTTCTTCAAACACTCCTCTTGAGTGTTTGTTAATTCATACTTCTCATGTTTTGGTCTTTTATAAATTGTACTAAATCAGAACCAAGTTTAAGTCGACAGTAGTTTAAGTGAGTGTGATCATGGGATGCCCTTTGTGATATCAGGAATAAGCGAAGAGATGGATATTTATTTCCAACGCCGAACGCGAAAAGGAGATCCTTAAAACTTCAATTTGGAATCACAATTCATGTCCAATTTTTAGTTACTTTTTCTAGCTCCAAACTTTGACATTTGTTTTAATCGTTTAAAGTTTTGGTACGCCTTGCCGATGGCAGCACCCCTTATGAAGGAAGAGTGGAGCTCTACTATCAGTGCTACTGGGGTACAGTCAGTGATTACGATTGGACCATCGAAGATGCCAACGTTATCTGTCAACAGCTCGGCTACTCTTCTGCAGTGCAGTCCTTGGGTCGTGCACATTTTGGTCGAGGATCAGGACCGATTCTCTTGCACAACGTTGAGTGTGATGGATACGAGTCGAGTATCGACAAATGTGATCACAACGGATGGTATGCACACAATGAATACTTCTACTACTTCTCTGGTCATAACAATGATGCTGGTGTAGTGTGTAATGTCACGCTACCCATACCTGGTGAGTTGATCCATAAAACACATACATAAGACCTTTTGAGGAAGGAATAGTTGAACGTGTTTTGTTGCTCAGAATTGCCACATCTGGTTGATGGGGAGTCTTGCCCATGCAAGATTTTGTTTGACGTGGTCATTATTGGTATATAATATCATATAAGTATCGGCACGTTTTAGTTCAATTGAAGAAGCGTTACTGTGATTACCTCAAATGACAATGTATTATCTGAAAAAGATAAAGTCGGACTACTTGTACTTGATTTTACTCTTATAGTCTTGGTGCGTCTTGCCAATGGTAGCAGCGCTTTTGAGGGTACAGTGGAAGTGTACTACCAAGATCAATGGGGTACAATCTGTGATGATGGCTGGAGCATTGAAGATGCCAACGTCATCTGTCGACAGCTCGGCCTTCCTCCTGCATCACAGGCGTGGCGTGGTGCTCACTTTGGCCAAGGATCAGGACCTATTCTCCTCAGCAATGCCGCTTGTATTGGCAACGAGTCAAGCATTGACCAGTGCGCACACAGTGAATGGTTCAGTCATAACTGCGATCATGCCGATGATGTAGGAGTCACTTGTGGGGAATCACGTAATATCACAGCCTTCTCACAGCGTGAGTACATTCTCAAGCATTGACATGTTTCATGCCAATTCCCCTAAATGTATTGGATCACTTGCATTTGGTGAATTGTTTTTTTCTCATCTGGAGCGCCAAATTGGTAAAAAAGCTGTTTAAATTTTAACTCAGTGGATAAGCCTACCATATAATTTAAGCATACCGAGAAATCCAGCAATTCCAATTTAAAGTTAATGTTTCATAGTTTGAATTGCACACTCACTTTGACAACCCGTAAATCATTTCACTCGGGATATGATTGTCATCCCGCCGATTAGTGTCAGGTGCGGATCCAGGGGGTGCGATGGGGTTGGGGGTTCGGGTGGGAGTGGGGGTTGGGGGTGTTGGGATATTGTTGTTAAAAAAGACCCAGCTCTGTCAAAAAAAAATTCCATAGAAATTCTTTAAAAATAATGCAATTATAAAATTTTTTCTCCAGTTTCGGTTCGTTTAATGGATGGCAGCACTCCTCATGAAGGGTTTGTTGAAGTTTATGATCGATGTCAGTGGGGATCAATCGCAAGCAATCAGTGGAGCATCAGAGAGGCCAACGTTATCTGTCACCAGCTTGGTTACCCGTCGGCATCCCAGGCCTGGCAACACTATTATGGGCGGTCACGCCTCATTCTCTTAGCAGACGTTGAATGCAGTGGAAACGAGTCAAGAATTGACCAGTGTGATTACAGGAGCATTTTCGATGATACCGATGATTACTATTACTATTTTTATTATGACATCGTGGGAGTAACGTGCAATCCTACAACTCCTCCACCGGGTGAGTTTGTAAAATCAAACTTTATTGTTCCTTCAGTTGGTTTTGTAATTTTCTACTTTTTGTTAGATGGGTCATGAAATTGCTACTTAAAATATCGGCTGTCATAGCAGAATCAAATTAGTTAGATTTACTTCATAGTACAATATTTCTTACAAGTCCGTTTGATAATATATTAATGGTTTTTATCTTGCAATGTCGACTACATAGTTCTAGTCCGACTAGCCGACGGGAGCACGCCACACGAGGGTAGAGTGGAGGTGTACTACAAATGTCAGTGGGGAACTATTTGTAGTAGTAGCTGGGACATAGAAGACGCCAACGTCATCTGTCGACAGCTTGGATATCCTTCTGCATCACAGGCCTGGCGGAATGCTCACTTTGGTCAAGGATCAGGACCAGTTCTTCTAGACAGAGTTGGGTGTGATGGAGACGAAACCACCATTGATCAGTGTGATCACAGTGGATGGTTTAGTCAATACTGTTACACTCATAATAATGATGTTGGAGTTACGTGCAACGCACCAGCTCATTTACCTGGTAAAACCTTTCAGTTGTCTTCAAATTGTTCATGTAATTATTATTGTCACAAATATGAATGCCACATTATGTAATATTCACATCTAAGTTGACCGTTTTGTGGTTCGATGGCGTTGAACACGTTGATTTCCACCGAAATCATAGGCCTACAGTGACTATTTACTGGATAGTATGTGTTTGTTTACCGTCAAGTCGTTTATTATTTTAAGTTGGTTGAGATGTGATTTTAAACACACTTGATTTCCTCTCAGTACTGGTGCGTCTTGCCGATGGTAGCAACCCTTTTGAAGGTAGAGTGGAAGTGTACTACCAAGATCAATGGGGAACAGTCTGCGATGATGGCTGGAGCGTCGAAGATGCTAACATCATCTGTCGACAGCTTGGCCTCCCTCCTGCATCACAGGCGTGGCGTAGTGCTCACTTTGGCCAAGGATCGGGACCTATTCTCCTCGGCAATATTGCTTGTAATGGCAACGAGTCAAGCATTGACCAATGTGACCACAGTGGATGGTTACCTAATGCCTGTAGTCACGGTGACGATGCTGGGGTTACCTGTGGAGATCACCATATCAATGGAACCTCCCAACAAAGTAAGATGATTGTGAAATAATTCAAGGAGGTCTTGACTACTTCATGCCTTTTGAACTTTCGCTGACCTGAATAAAGTTGGGATCGTAAATTCGAAGGGGATTCAAAACAACAAACCGCTGATTCATACATACACATTACTTATATTATCTTCTTATTGCTATCTACAGAGTCATGTCTTGAATTCGTTGGCAGAGAAGTTTATAGTTCAGAACAGAGTTGAGAATCTGATTATTTTATTGTAGGAAACAAAAGCAATCTAAAGCGGATGTTTACAGATAATTCATAGGCTGCTTGTGTTTCCTTTGATGTGTCTGTTTTTGTTGTTGTCCGGCAAGAAAATCGATTTCGACAACTTTTTCTCAATTCTTTGCAGTTTCCGTCCGTCTGGTGAATGGTAACACTCCCAATGAAGGAAGAGTAGAAGTGTACTACAAATGCTTCTGGGGTACAATCTGCCATAACGGCTGGACCATCAGAGATGCCAACGTCATCTGTCGACAGCTTGGCTACCCTTCTGCATCCCAGGCTTGGCGGAATGCTCATTTTGGCCGAGGATCAGGACCTATTCTCCTCGACAAAGTTGCGTGTAAAGGAACCGAAGAAAGCATCGAGCAATGCGAGCACAGTGGATGGTTCACGCACGGATGTCAACACTATTACGATGCAGGAGTGACTTGCAACACTGACGAGGATGCTACCTTTCCTCCATTAGGTATATATGTTGCCGAAGATAGATGTAATACACATTTAAATGCGTGGTCAAGTGAAAGAGCAAGTTCGGGCAAGGACCATAAGTCGACTAGTGGTTGATTTGTGACGTATTTTACGCCTGCGCACTAATGGCAACGTGCGAACGTCTCTAGTCAAACGCTGTGTTAAATGTCATTGCAAAACTTCTGGGTCCTGGCTTCCTGCTATACGTTTTGAATGCGTGCGGCTGTTGGTTACCAGGGATGCAACCAGCCCAAGTAGCCTCAAATAGTCGACTAGCGTAGTCCAACCATCGTCGACTAGCCAGAGCCATGGGCGTCGCCAGGATTTTTTTTCTTTTTAACTTTTTCATTATTTTCTCAATTTATCATTTTTCTGAGCATTAGCAGGGGAGCTTTATATTTGCCCTACCCCCGCCCCATCAAATTAACAGCAATTTGGCTTCGCACCTCTTTTTCCCTTTTTTGGGTCATTTTCCAGGGGAGGGGGGAAGTGCCCCCCTTCCCCCCTCCCCCTCGCGACGCCCATGGCAAGAGCTCGCGCTAACTTAGGCGAACTATGGTTAACCAATAGTCAACAATAGTTTTTGCGAGAACTTAATTGCCCTTAGTACATAATAATAATAATAATAATAATAATAATAATAATAATTAACATTTATATAGCGCTTAATACGCAGTGTTTCAAAGCGCTTTTCGAAAAGTAAACATACGTAAGTATATAGTACCAAAATATACAGGTATTAACAAACTATGTAATACAATGTAGTAACAACTAAAGAAGTGTCAAATGTGTCTAAGTTGACTCGGAGTTAAATAGGTGTGTTTTCAATCACATGACTCCGTGCACAACTGAGCAACGTTTAAAAAGGGAGATTGTGATGGAGAGACCATTGGGACGGATATTTGAACGCACTGAATTTGTGGAACGATGATTATTCTATATGTTTGTATTCAACAGATACTGAGCCTCCTGTCATTACGTGTCCAGCGAGTCTGACAGTGGAGACTGATTCCCGCCAGAATGTTGCTACAGTCTCACTACCCGCGGCTGCTTTTGTTTCTGACAACTCGGGAGAGGTCACGATAATCATCAATTTAGATGGTTCTGGGCAACATTACAATTATGAAGCCAACGATGACGTCATTTTGAGCCTACATGAGTCGCCACATTTGTTGCATTACACCGCCTTTGATGACTCTGACAATAGGGCGTCATGTGACATGTACATTAATGTTGTTGGTATGTTGATTTCCTTTTACTTTTGTTGATGAAAGAGTCAGGTGTTTTAAGAACTTGATCTCTATTTTTAATAAAGTATTCGTGTGTAGTTTATCCCATTTTATGGTGCTTGTACCCATATAGCTTAAACATGCTGTATTTGCACGATTTTCACTCATTCAAATGCTCCGTTCACGTGCCACCTTATAGATAATGAACCCCCTGAGGTCCTCGGTTGTCCAGATGACGTCATCATTCCCGTCATCTCATCGTCCAATCAGGTGTCTCATAGCTGGACGCCCCCAATGACCTCTGACAACTCCAATACTGAGGTAGATGTGACATTTACCTGCCAGGTAACCCCCGCCTGTTACCAAGCTGGTCACGGTACATTTCCGGTTGGGGTATCTATAGTGAGGTACACAGCTAGAGATCGGTCTGGGAATGAGAACATCTGCGATTTTAGTATAACAGTTACAGGTATGTGAAAACATGGCCAAGCCACATTCATTTAAACAAGCATGACATTCACTGTGTGGACTTCCGAATAAAACATGTCCACATAAACCAGGTAGCAGCGACGTTGTGTGGACTTGCCCACGTCCACACAAGGTTTTTCCCTCTCTAGAAAACAGGTTTACAGGCATTTTTGGTTTATGTTTATCCGTGGCAAAAGGAAGAGAAACACTAAAGGGAATCATAGAAAAACTTTTGGTTGAAAGAGTTTTCACAGTTTGAGTAAAATGATTTTTTTCACTGGGTTTTCTTAACTACACGATAACAAAGGAATGTCCACGCTAGGTAACTATATATGTACAACAAACATATTGTGCTTTTGTTTGCGTGTGACCTAATGGAGCGTTTGGAAAGACACTACAGTGATAACTCATTAAAAACTTATACTCATTTTCGTTTTACTTTGAAGTCGTGGATATTGTCTGCCCAGCAAATGTGACAGCCTTGGCCAGTCCTGGTTTGAACAGAACCAGCGTGAACTGGATAGAACCAGATCTGACCGGATGGGACGGGCCCACCAACTTTACCTCTACCGCCAATCCCGGTGATTCATTTCTGATAGGAACTCACAAAGTTACTTATCAACAGTGGTTTGCAAAGTATGGCGTGCTTCTGGAATGTTCATTCTTTGGGACGGTTGTAGGTAAGAATCTTTGTTTGGGAAATGTATACCAAAGTTTACAAAACTAGGTAGGAAAGCGAATCTAATTCATTGATTTCGACACTAGGTTGCTAGTAATTGACACCCTACTTGGTATTAACACTGCCCGTATCATCGGTGTTTAACGTGCCGAAGTTATATTTCCATGTTTTCAGGTCAGTGTGAAACTGAAAGATACGAAGGTCTCACGTGGCCTGTGACGTCAGCAGGATCAATTGCAAAGTCATTGGAGAGATGCCCTCTTCAGACCGTGAATGGTACGAAACCTACGCCATCTACTAAATTACCTTTTCATTTCGATTCCAATATTCTATTCAGTAATAGTCATTGGCATTTCAATCCTCATTACTTCCGCGATGATATTTTCTACAAATGATTTCCCTCAACAGCCGGTCAACCTCGAGCGGTGAGGCAGTGTTCAGTTGTAGAGCCTCCCGTGTACTTCCAATGGGAGGAGTACGAGCCTCGCAGCTGTGGTGAAAATAGGAACGAGGTTACCCTCGAAGACGTTGAAGAGGTAAGCTATACACTGTATATTTAAAAAACAAAGGTATCTCAATATATTTAGTTTTTAAGTTTATGTCATTGAGAAGCAGGTTATCTTGGAAATCAAGTGACAGTAAATATTCTCTTTGGTTTGTAGGTTGAGGTTAGTACAGGAAACGTGGTTGAAGTGGCCGAGTTTCTGGCCAATCAGACGTCAGAGTCATCTGAGGGTGCAGAAGATGTGGAGGTCGTGTCCAACATTTTGGTGAACATTGTCGAGGCGGGATCTGGTGACACAGAGGTAGGTGCATGCAGATATCGATTGCAAATTATTTTGATTAGGTGTTGGACAAGATGAAGGGAAAACGGGCTACCATTAACGACAACCCCACATGCTAGGCATTCGGCTTTACTGTTTTCTTTCTTTAGGTAACTAACTGAATTGGTGTTGGGGATTAGCCATAGGTGTGCAATTCGGCCTTACCTGATGGTGGGGTGGACATAATTAATTGGGCACTTGGGAGTAAACGCGCACCCACTTCACATTAATTAATAGTTCCGGGCTTCTGGTGCCCAGGAGCTTCGGGTGCCCATTATGATTGATGGTTCTGGGCTTCTGGTGCCCAGGAGCTTGTGTTAACTAACTCTGATTTCGATATTGAGATGCTAAGTGAAGTTGAATTGGTGCTACACACAATGCATGAGCTCTTGGTAAACTCCCGACTGTCATATTCCTTATATAAATTCCTCATATAAATTAGAGGTCAGATCATACATCATTAATGTGAAGCAAGGCAAAGGAATGGGATACGCTTAGAGAGCACACCGCCATAGCCAGATAAAACTAGTTCTGAGATAGTACCAAAGATAGCAAAGAGTTCCGATTTTAATGCGCTCGTTTTGACTCTCTTGACGTCCTTGTGTAGGTTACTAAGCTGGTGTTGAAGACCGTAAGCAATGTCATCATGAGTGTTGCAGAAACTCCTAACTCCCAGACTCCCGATATCAGTGCTGAAAGCTCCTCCGATATCATCCAGTCAGTAGAGAGTCAGGTCTCCTTGACTCTGAGACAAGAACGTGAGGTCAGTATACGTCAGGACACCATCCACGTCGAGGCGGTCAGTTTGGATCCAATGCAGGCTCGAAATGGACTCAGCTTTGTATCAGTACGACAGCCTGGACAAGGGTCACCACAAGAGGGCTCGCTCGTTGGTACTGAGGTGCAGACCATTATGGGTTCCAATGAGATCCCTAAGGGGATCGACGTGCTGGCATCGGTGCAGTTACCAGGAAGCATTCTTCACTTGATTCAGTCAGCTGACAGTAAGTAACTTCAGCTTTAGACAAAACACTTTATTGCTTTTCTGAAGCGACATAAAACATCTGTTGAACAAGAGTGGTAATGAAAAGTTTGGCGGCAGGTGGAAGGATTATGAAACTAATTGTATACAAATTATTGCTTGGCTGGGTGTTTCATTTATAGGGATATACTTGTTTCCAAGATCAAGTTTCAATTGTAATGGGAACTTGGGCTGTACTCGTCAACAGTGCATTAGTTCATCACTCTTCCCATGTGCTCTCAAACGCTTTGACTGATATCTTATATCAATGTGAATGTAGATAACAACTCTGCCCAGCTGCAAGCCAGTTTCCTGATCTACGCTGATGACACGTTGTTCCAGTCTGCTTCAATTAAAGAGCATCAAGGGGAGGATAACACTACTCGTAAGGTCGCTGGATCTGTCGTCTCACTGACTGTGGAGAATGTTGAACTTGTCGATCTTCCAGAACCAGTCGTGATTGAATTCAAGGTTGGTTAATAAGGACTAAGTAGAAAATTGTTTGGAGTTGAATTTCCCGGACTGTGTTCACAATATTGTACAAATAAAAAGTGTCAAAGTTAAATGCAAACTTTAATTTTCGAATATTGTAAAGTAGTTGGCATCCAAAGACATCACTTTGTTTCAATTTCAAAACAGGCACCTGATGCTAAAACAGACGAAAAGTTGGAGAACATCTCGTGTGTCTCCTGGGACTTTGAACTTGAAGACGGAGTTGGTGATTGGTCGACAGCTGGCTGCGTGCTTGCACAACTGTCCAATGAGACAGTCGCCTGTAATTGCTCCCACGCCACCAACTTTGCCATCCTCGTGGTATGTACCACAAAAAGAAAGAGTCGTCACTTGTCGTATCATCTTCGCAAATCTTTCTAAACACTCGACCACTGTCTCAAAATACCTTTCAAAAGTTTGGAATTTGAACACGTTTCTTTTTTCAAAGATTAAACACTTTTTGTGCCACGAATAGCAATCACCACCAAGCCACTCTTGGACTGAAATTGATCTTTTAAAAACCCTTCACTTTGTTCTGCTTTGTCTAGGATGTGAAAGGCCAAGCACATGAAAGTACTACTGCTAAGAAAGTACTTGATATCATCAGCCAGGTGGGCTGTGCAGTATCGATCGTAGCTCTGGCTATCACGCTGATTATATACCTAGCCATCAGGTAAGCTAGATCAACGTTGGTTTAATGTTTTAAGCCCCAACGAGTACATTTAATTTATCTCTATTTATGTTAGGGTAAAACTATAGCAAGCAAGGTCGTTGACCATTTGGCATTAATTGTAGCAAGTTGTATTACTATGTAATCATTGTTGTCTTATAAACCATACATTGTTGGGGGAGAAAGTAGTCTCAAACACAAAACATGATTGAACGTGCAAGCCCATTGATGCAAATAATGTTTACACACAGTATCAGTCTGTAACAATGTACATTCTTCTCCAAAGATTATATAAATCCTCTTCCAAGTATCATATTAATTTTGCTTCCAGAAAGCTACGGAGCAGCAAATCGCGTCAGATCTTCATCCATTTCTGCTTCTCCCTTTTCATGTTGTACATCGTGTTCCTTGCCGGCATTGAGAATGCCAAGGTTAGTCATGAAAAAACACCAACGTTGACGTTTAAAATAATCCAGTCAGGTAAAGTAGCAGTCTAAAATCAATATCTGATCAATTGATCAATATCTGATCCATTGATCAATATCTGATCAATTGTTGCGACTTTGCTCTTCAATAATTTAGAGCAGTAGTTGTTTTGTGATTTTACAACCCACTAAGCCCAGGCAGCCTGCGCTTAACGGCCTAAATGAGCTACGACGAACTGGAAAATAACCCTCGCTGATCTTTTTGACCTTTGTACCAAAAGGCTACCACAGGTGGTTGTGCGTTTGTGGCTGCTTTACTCCACTACTTGACTCTGTCCTCTATGATGTGGATGGCCGTAGAAGCCAGGAACATGTACGTCAGTACGGTGAAGGTGTTCCCAGAAGACACGCCTCACTACATGCTCAAGGCTTGCCTCATCGCTTGGGGTAAGTCTCTGTATACGCGTCAACTTAACCTTTGTTTAAAGTGATCCAAAACTATTTTAGTATCAAGAGATCAACTCCATGCATGGTCTTTCCCCTCTTTTCAGGCTTACCGTTGATAGTCTTGACCATCACACTAGCCGCAGCGTCACATCACTATGGCAACGAGCATTAGTAAGTAAATAATCTTTCTTTAGCTTTTGGTATTGGGGACGCTTTTGAGGTTCATGCATAGATAGAGGTTTTTAAACCCTCGGCCTAGTCCAAATTGATAAGTTTGGAACCATTCACTTTCTAAACCAATACGGAATCTGAATTTGGCATCGTATCCGATTGTGTGTTCCTAAAGCAGAGTATTGGGTGGGTATAGATAAAATAATGATCATTATGCTGTATCATTCCAGCTGCTTCGTTGAGCCTGGTCTTGTGTTGTACCTCGGCCTCCTTGTTCCCATTGGTCTCATCCTTCTCCACAACATCATCACCTTCATCTTGGTCATGCGCAGTCTCCTGAAGGTCAGAGAGGCATCTCGCTCCCAGCAGATCTCTAAACGCCTCCAGAATGCCGTGGGAATCTCCGCCCTTATGGGATTGACCTGGAGTTTTGGGTTCCTGGTCATCATCCATGGCGCCGCCACGTCCGGTGATGGCGCCATGTCCGATGACAAGGCTGGATTTGCCTTCCAGCTCATCTTCTGTCTGGCCAACTCCTTTCAGGTAAATGCAGAAATGTGTCGAGCTCATTATTGACTCTTGATCTTAGATGAATATCTGAAGTTTACAACTTACAAATTGGAGATGTCTTATCTGAGGCATGATAGGAGAAACCTTGCAAATGTTCTCTTGTCTTCTTTTGAAGGGCCTGGTTGTCTTCATCATGTTCTGCGTTCGTCGTGAGGAGGTTCGTTCCGCCATCGCACCGTATTTCAGTCGCTTCAGCCGCCGTTTGCCAATCAAACGCCCTGCTAAGTCCAACGATGCTGAACTGGTTTCCACATCGGCAGCTCCTACTTCACCATCCAGCTTCCAAACTTCCAGCTTTGACGTGTCCATTTCTGGAACCCAGTAAATAACGACATAGTGACATGAAGAACACAAATCAATATCAAGTTTTTAAAGGCTGGTATGGGATCATTTAGTTTTCATGCATTGTGTTCATGTCGAATAATCATAATACCACTTAAAATCATCCATGCGCTTTAGTGAATTCCTCTTTTTTTCATTAAATGGTCCACAGTATGCGACCGGTGTGTGGCAAATAAAAGACTTCGTTGCGTGCAGAAGACGCACGTGTTTCTTTTCTTGTCATTTAAATGATCTCTTACGTAACAGCAGTAATACAGCAATGCTATCCACGCGCGCACAGACACTCCGCTCTACTGCAGCTATCAACAACTACAGCGATTTTAGCAACATTTGTTGTACATTTTGTATCCTCAACTCTGTGGGCTCCGATACAGGCTAGATGGCGTTTGCTTCTCACAGAGGACGAGTCCACATAGTTTTCTACTTAAAGCTTAGGCAGTTTCCAGGAAATCTTCTACATATTTTGGTAAGCCTCAGCAGTTGCGAGCAACGCTTATATTAATATAGTGCAAGCCTCGGCAGTAGCAGGCAACTTTTATTTCTTTTAAAGCCTTGGCAGAAGCAGGCTAATTTCATCACCAAGATACCCCAGCAAGTGCGTGGTAGAAAAATATTACATATTTACCATACCACTTAAGCACTCTTTATTTCAGAAAATGAGTCAATTGACTGATACATGTACACCTTTATTTCTTGATTCTTCTAAATGACAGCAAGCCAGACGGAATAATTTCACGGGGTGTTTAGTACCCGTACGATCTTTAAACCAAGTAAGCTTTTTGATAATAATTCGATATGTTTCTTTGGGATAAATGCAAATTCCATTAAACGTATACTGTACGTTGCTTGTTCGTGACTACGAGTTGTTTGTGTACCTCACCTCAATTTAATTTTTATATTTGAGGTTGATTTTGGTTTAAAATGTGCTGTATAGTACATCGTATCACTGCCTCCTTGTTTACTAACGAAGTGGCTTATTTTTTAATGTTCTATACTTGGCATACGAATCGGTGAACGTAAACAAAGCTCTATTGTATGTACTTGACACACGAATTACATGTAGCTGGGGCTGTCTTAATGTTTTATGGATACGTTTCTTTTTGATATATTTTGTGTCGATTAGCCTATTGGTGTTTAAACGTTTTATACGGTTTTTTGTTCGATTTGGGGATTTAATTAAAGTACAACTTGCATTATCAGGTGAGTTTACACAGATATTATAGTGTTAAAACTTTTCATACGGTTTTTGTACGATGTGGGATATGATTAACTTGTATTAGGTGAGTTAACACAGATATTTCATAATTGGCGCTTTTTTAATCATTTTTAACGGCTTTTGTACGATTAGTGAGCTAATTAACGTACCGTATAATTAAGGTAAGTTTACTAAGATATACTGCATTGCAAACGCTTACTTGTGGTATTTTACAGTTTATATACTATTTTTATATTACGGCTGAAGTACAAATATATGTACCAACATATACTCAGTTATATTCAATGTTTTTGTGAAGATTTATGGAAATTAATTTACAAATCCACTTAATGATAGCCTTTCTGATGTAAATATCTTGTTACAAGCTTTCTTTGTTTTCTAAATTTTTGTTTTATATTACAATGATATTCATTTGAATTTACACCATATATATCGGAACCTTAAAGTAAGTTTAGGAAAACGCAATCCTATTCAGCGACACTTTCTCTCTGGTAACTGGTATAGCTTCAGTTCGATTTTTAAGCGTGAATTAGTCTGTTACGAAATTGGGATTGGTGGATGTTAGAGACTTGGTGACCAGCGTAGATTTTGGCCAATCAAATGTGATCGGGGGGGGGGGCGAGCAGAGGATTGTATTTTCCAAAACCTTCACTGGTCACCCACTAATGTCCGCCCATCCATTTTTTTTTTAACGAACATAACCGGCACAGACTAATTCATGCTCAAAGTTCATTCGAACTTAAGCTACACAAGTCACAAGAGAGAAAGTGGCAATGGGATAGCGCTATCATTTTTCTAAACAATCAAAACGATAATCGCTGAAGACTATATTAAGCAAAATTAAGTAAAATTACAAATGCGGGTTTTTTTTAGGGAAAAAGGGATATTTTCAATATTTGTTATGCTTGTACGATATAGCATTAAGATGTTACTACTTTATATGACAAAGACGTCTTCGAAAGATACTCAACTGGAATCACCTTTCGACATTGCAATTATAATGGATGATACCATGCCAATGAATGCATTTTTTTGTATACATGTACAACGAAGAGGTATACAAGGGAATCTAAAATGCTTGTGTAACTTCAATTTTATTTCGAAGTGCTCAACATGAAAGAAAACTTCCTGAAGTTGTGATTTTATTATACGATAGCCTAGCTTCATTTGTTATGTTCATGTAGTTTTAGAACTGTATTGCTTTATATGCGTAGGTTAATATGTGACTGTTATTAGAGTAATTGTAAGATCTGCTACCTTTCCAATAAAATTGTTACAGCTACGCGTGTAGTAGGACTACAATCACCTTATTTTTAATGTTTGATCATTTCGATTTCGGACAGAAATTATATTCAACTGGCACCCCAACCAAGTTTCAGCTGGGGCTTTATCAAGTTTAAATCAGAGTTTAGTGTCCTCAGTTTTCGCGTTGACCGATGCTGCTGTCATGCTGGAATGTTTGCTGCCATCTATTGGATGGGATGCTGTTCCCTTCGCGGGCATTCCTTTCCGTCCTCTCAGCTTCGTCTTCCACAAACCCCGCACCCTCTTGTTGAGGCAGAAGGCGATGAAGATGAAGACTCCCTGAAAGTAGTTGAGGATGATGTAGATGTAGTTGAAGACTACGATGCCCGTCACTGATTGAGTCAGGAAGCTAAACACCCAGGTCACGCCAACAAGAGCAGATACCTTAAAAGAACCCCAAGAAAAGAACCAAGTTGTGTTCATTTGCTCTCGATTATAACCATTTTAGCCTCTCAAAACATCTTGAAGATTGTTGAGTGTTGTTACCTAACTTGGGTTTAATCAGGTCATCTATTGTAATGGCTTGATAATTTGACGAAGTCTTTTAGTCTTTAAAATTATCCCAATATTCCCGTATGCGGCATTCTTTCCCAAGACGGGCAGGGGTATAGTACCATAAACGACTTGGTAGCTCAATCCTATTTCCTGGCTGGTTCCGGCACTTAGATTTGTTTCTTTCTAAATTAAATTTCCAAAAGGTTATTCCTTTCAGCAAATAATATCGCTAAAAGAATGGCGGTCTGTCGTCAGGGCGTCTTCATGCTCTCAAAAGGCCTCTTACCTTTACGTAAATAGCAACTTCCGCTTTGACTCCCTTCATCTTCCCTTGCTTCCGGACTGCTTTTGCAGCGTGCCTGCTCCGACGGACAATCACAACGGTTAAGACGAACATGAACAAGTTGAGGAGCAGACACAAGGAACACGGAACCAAAAACACGACCAGACGGACGGAGGCGTCAGTGATCCAGCAAACAGCGCCCTCTGCGTAGATCTTGGGAAGGCTGGTGCAGTTACAGTACTGGAGGATGACACAGATGCTAACTATGACGAAGGGTACGCCCCAGCTTATAGCCATGTACACAGCGAAAGACCGACTGGATCCGGCAGTGCCTCTTGGCACTAACGATGCTAGGGTCCGGGTGACGTCTACAGCAAGCATCGTCATCCACAAGAAAGCAGCCATCCACGCGAAGTGCGCCACCACTGCCCCGAATTCACACGCGGCTTGGTTCTGCGCGAGTATCCCCGAGAGTAGGAAAAGCAAGATGGCGACGAAGAGCGCCGCCACGAGATTCATAATGGACTTACCAGGCGTGTTCCGAAGTTCCGGAAAGACGCAGTAGGTCACGAAAGTTGCGGCCAGAGCGAATAAGGACAGGCAGCTCGCGATAACGGAAATCACCCAGCGGATGTACGGCTCCAAGCCCTCTGGCAGCGGTCCTAGGAAGGAACAAACGACCGCTGTGCCGTCGGGAAAGAGAACATACTCCTCAGGTGATAGGCTTGAACCGGTTGCGACAATCTGGATGATGTCATCCGAAAGGTTCTTGTATTCAGAGTTGTCCAAAGACAGGAGAGACGAGCAGTTCAGGTGAAATATTTTCAGACAGGAAGGAGGTGCATTTAATTTTAAGTACTGCTGTTCTTCTGGAGTATACTTGTACTCTGTTACGGTCAGCAATGTCCCGTTGTACTCAGGGAAGATACCCTTCCCGTCTACGACAGAATCAGCACAAAATGCATTCACCGAAAACGGCACGAAGATTGAAAACGAAGACACGTTGCAAATAAACTGCATTTCAAGTTTAGAGTCATACTGAAAGGCGCCAATGGCGTCCTCCAAATCACCCTCAACTTCGAGAGCTTCATCAACCGTATTCACAAAAATCGCAAGTTGCCATGTGGAATTTGTAGAGTCAGAAGTTGCGTGAATGTTGCCCCTCTCGACGACCATTTTAGCGGTTGAATTTTGTGCAAATTTGTTCAACAAGCAGATGGCTACCAACACGTTTGAACTGTTTCCGAATATCGAGGGACCTGTTGGTGCAGGAACACACTCGTTCTGTCTGATGCGGTATCCCGGTGCGCATATGAGCACGCGGCAGATCTCAAGAAATGGATCGTAGATCTGACCCCCCGAGCAAGTTCTCCCACCGATCGACGAAGAGGAGAACAGGTCAAAGAGAACCTCGATCGTGATGAAACTGTCGTAGGGACTGCAGATAGCCCAGCATGGTCCCCAAGGCGACGGATCACACCCTTCCAAACAAACCTGATCCCTGCAAGAGTTATCAGGAACGATGTTCCTACCATTACACATGGCGCAGTGCGGATTTCGATACCTGATGTTTGAGTCTTCAAGTTTGACGGGCGCGTAGTACGCTTGGCACCCTGCGTCTGTTGGGGTTCCTCTGTACTGTTCAAAACAGATGTCTGTGAGATGAGCAGGGCACTTTCGTATGGCTTCGTGTCCCAGGGGAGGAGAGATGACCCAACCTTTTGATGGCAAGGTTTGATTGAGAGATGGGTACAGCAGTGGTACCGTTGAATCGCGGTCGTTATCGGATCCGGAAACGTCCCACCGTTTCAGTTTGTCCAAAGACCTTCCGTGACAAATGGCGCAGTAGATGTTTTTGAAATCCACTCCTTGCTCGTCATATACCGGTAGCGAGCCAATCACATCTCTGAGATCCACGGGCCTGTGGCATAAGTCGCGTGTTCCTGGGTCCGTCCACGTGATTGGACAATGGTCGATGAGTGCATAACCAATGTGAGTGAACTGACTGCCCGGTAGCCACACGCAGCCAAAGTCTTCAATGGTAAACTCTCCTCTTTCTAGGGTTAGCGCCCCCGGACTGCACGTCCCTTCGTAGTCGTAACAGCAGTCGTCGAATAAGCTGCAAGCGTCGTCGCACTGGCAGTAGTGGAATACGTCATCTCCCGAGTCACTGATTGGATGAATCTGGTTGCATTGATCACCGCATACCTGCTTAGAGCCACATAGATATCCCGGCTCATCAAACTCATCGACTTCTGCAACACGAATGAAAACAAATTACCCAAGGAAGCGATTATATTTAATCTATAACACTGAAACATCAAGTACAACAATCAGAAATTACAGTGGAACAGCGCCCTGGCCAGCACTGTGGGCTTGGATTTCATGACCTATGACCTCCTTAATATTCAGCTAGGTCAAGACATCCGATGTACATTGTGTTCTATCGTTAGGCTTTGTACAAGTGGTGATGATGCATGATGGTACATGACGTTGCATTTCATTTTTAAGTTTCAGATGTTAATTCTTCAATGCTCGTTTTTTTTTGCTGTACCATGAGTAATGCATGTTTGCTTAAGCTATTACGTTTTGATCCGCTCATGCTCCAAACGTGCTGGTTTAATTACTGTCCAAGATTCGTCCTTTTTTTGGGGGGGGTGTTAATAAATAATTCAAAAACTACTCTGGCTGGCGCTTGTTTACTTGACATTAAAATGCATGAATGTTTATCAACCGGTTTTTATTAAAAAATTGTGAACGGCTCCACAAAAAAGGGTATTAAGTCTGAGCATGAGCATTATTGTGTAATGGCCCGCTCAACATTGAGAGGGTGAACATTTTGTCAAAATGTGATTTTCATTTTCACAACCATTTTGTGTGCATCGATCTGTTGTTCTACAACAAAGCCAATTATTTCAAAGCCTGTTTTCTCGGTTGTGTTATTTGAACTCCAAAGAAGTAATTAATATTCAAATACGGTACATCATACATCTCCAGAAAAAGAGGGGTTATGGAGTTTTATTATATTCCAAATGAAAGCTTACATTGTGGGCTTTCCAACCATGTATACAACTCAATTTCACCTTTTTGCGACACAATACCCTTTTTTGTGGAGCCGATAACAAATGTCTTTAAATTGTGGTCACTTTGTTGTTTACTCCATATGAGGTGAAGCACTCCTGTTGGTGCATTTTTAAAATTTATTTTCAAATCAGCGTGAACACTTTTTACCTGTGAAGCATTCCAATGTCACGTAGAATTGGCAGTCTCGGAGCGCGTAGTGATGGCACTCGCTTAGACTCGTCTCGTTCCCGACGCAGCCGATATCCACAAATAACGTGTAGTTGGGTCTGTGTTCAGGCTCCAGCACATCCAGGGGGACGTGTGCGGTGTTGATTGCTTGATCGGAGTGGCCAAGTTCCCGGCAGGCCACGCGGCCCTGCTTGAGTCTGTGGAATATGTTGCCGCAGAGGGCGCTCCACTCGTGCTCCGCTCCGCAACGGCCCTGGAGTAGTTTATTCGACAACGGGTATGTCGCACCCTCTACCAGCCTCAGTTGAAAATCCGGCATTCCTGGGTGAAAAGAAATTTCATATTATTTTCATCATGTAATCAAAAAAAAAAAAAAATTCAGCTCTACGCTTCATTACAACGTGTGTGTTAAATGACAGCGATTTGTGGCCTGGTCAGCTCTTTGGAAACTTTTGATCTATATTCACGTGGGTACGCACGTCTTTATCTTTTTCATGATCAGTATCAAAGTCGTGTTGACTTTAGTTTTACAAAATTTAGTGAATTACATTAATTACAGAGGACGAATAATTGAGAAGAATAATGGAGAAGTTGTGGTTTCTATATGCCTACGCTAGGTTTTGAACTTTGGTGATTTCTTGGCAGGTGATTGGTTTGATTTGTGAAAATTAATATAGAAATACCTGAATATCCACATGTCAGCCACATATCATTGTCATGGATGCACGGCGCCGGTCCGATACTCGGATCCACACTTGAAATCGGATGCAAACTGCATCCACCAAACGTCCAGTCATCCAAATCAGCGGCGCAGGATACCAGGTGACGTTCGCTGGTGACGTTGGCCAGCGACGCATTGTCCGTGCGATGGGGACCAGCGAAGTCATGGCCGCAGGCAAACGGGTACCCGAGCCTCCTGCACATCTGGAATGGGATGGCGTGGCTGAAGGAGGGATTGTTACACACGGCGGTCCAGGGAGAATCTGGGGACCAGCGAATGAGCACCCGGCCCTCGTTGGGGGCGCTGCCGTTTACTAGTTGAATGTCAACTTCATCAATGTTGGTCATAACTGTTAAACGGAATTTGGGAATGAGTATATTTATGTTGAATCGGTTTTATTACCCTTTTCATCTTTGGATATAAAGAATTAGTTCGGCCAAATAGGCCTACATGGATTACTAAAACAATGTATGGAATTTTGTGGCCAAGGCTACACATCGCTGATTCGCTGCCTGATAATGGATTGAACTTGGCCGTCACTGATGAGCTAGGTTTGTACACACTGTAATCACTCAGTGTTACATTGCCAAAGTACATCAGGATAAAAGGATGACTCATTTCGAACGTGTAGTTCGATTGAGCCTCCCCACCTCTGACGTCTGTTTTTTTTTTAAATCATGCGTAGTACAGAGGTCTCGACTTTCAGTACAAACGACGTTAAACTTTAATGTATATTCGCAAGTACAATACCTGCAAGTAATTCATGAAGTTAATATATTTTGATTAACTGTTAACACTGCCAATGTTTCTCACAATTTTCTGAAATGGTACCAATCATAATTAATATGTGACTGAACCTATAAAAGTAAGAAACGTTTGTAAGAACTTAAAAAAACACATTTGCCCTTACCAAATCCTATAAGTGGAAATCTGTATATATTGATTTTTTTTAACCCCCATACGTATCATATCTGTATATAGAAAACTGAGTGATATAAAGAGCTAGTTATATGGCCTTCCTCTGCATGTGCAAACTATTAAGTGGAACGTTGTTCTCAAAATTAATTTCATGGTTCCAGTGACATTTTGTCCTCGAAAACGTCTTTTCCGTTGAAAATCCTCAGACTGTAGCCAGTGGCGTCACCAGACTTTTCAGTCTGGGGGGGCACAGGGGGGGGGGGGCACCAGCATTTGATGGGGGGGGGGGGCACTTAGGTGGATACGGATCGCCGTCCTGGGGGAGGGGTCTCTAAGGGGAGGGGGTGCCCCCTCCCCTTTGGAAAATTTTCGCATACGGAGGATGGGCTAGATGCAAAATGGTGCCACATTTGATGCTAAATTCGATTTGAAGATATCTCCAGAAATTGCTATTTTTGAGGTAATGATTTTAACAACGCGCAGAATTTTGCAGAGGATAGGGGGGCACCAGCATTTGATGGGGGGGCACTCGGGGGGGCACTAGGTTTTCCAGGGGGGGGGGGCACGTGCCCCCCCCCCCCCCCCCCCCCCCCCCCCCCCCTTGGCGACGCCACTGACTGTAGCGCCATCGTCAAAATACAGAATCATGAATGTAACGTACACATTTCCCTATAATATCTGTCGACTACACCTGGTATCGTGGACAGGTGTTCCTGCAACTAAAATACAGACTCTCGATTACAAGTCAAATGTATATTATCGATTCCTTACCCTGCGGTATTGGTTGTGCTTGAATCTCTGCATGCAGCAGAAGCAGTGCCAGTGCTACCATTGTCGAAACCCCGGGCCCTTTCGTCATTTTATTACCGTACATAGTCCTTTGCAGCCCGACAGAATATGCAGTTGTTTTCCTGTTCGCAACGACGCAGAAAAGTGGCCTGTCTGTGCCAATGAGCCCACCAAACTCTTTTTTTCAATTATCACAGTCAATTCAGTAACTTTTGCAAAACGAAAACGACAATACTACGAGGCCAGTTGATCTTTTCTAAAAGTCGCTATATATGTCTGTGTTGCCATATGAGCTGCCAATGTCAATGGCTGTACGTGGTATGCAGAGGTCGTGTTTACCTTCAATATTAGGTGTTTGTCGATTCAAGGTCTGGTTCACAAAGAAGCTATTGTGACAGAACAAGAATGGGAGTCAACTATTATATAGAAGACGTGACCTTTCTAACAATTGGTGAATATTATTTCATAGAGTGTAAACCACTTTTGCTTCTTAGTCGGACGTGACACACATGGAACGGTTTGGGGGAACTGGAGCAAAACAGATGGGTAAATAAATCTCATAAAATAATTTTATCCAGTCAATTAAGTCATCGTGACGTGGCAAAACTTCGATTGTTCTTCATGGACTGCAACTACTCCATGCAATTCGCAAATCTCATTCCATTTATTTTTCTGAAATTAGCAAACAAGTAACGTAAGGGGTAGTGGACAAATATATTGAAAACATAACAAGGTAACTGACATGTTTTACTGATTCCTGTTCATGACACAATTCCTATATAATAATGTGCCTTTATAACTTAGTACAATATGACTATCAATTGACTCTACACTTTTACGATTTCTAATTTTCACAATTAAACTAACCTCCAATTGGCAGATGAAACAATACAATAGCGAATCTACAATGTAGGTTTTAAACACGTTTAAAACGTGTTTACAGATAAACGCGTTTAGGAATGTGTTCAATTATGTGTTCAACGATTATCGATTTTTGCAAACATAAGTGACAATCGCTATAAATCTCTGTTCGTTTTTAAATTTTTATTCATGGTGAAACCATGGCTCCATCATGGCGGGAATAGTAACGTATAAAGCTAAATCACGACAAGTTCTATAGTGTATATAGGTTAGGCCTATCATAGCATTTGAACATTCTACTTAAAGTGATTAAAGTGAAAAAGTTAAATTCCATTAAAGTCTGGCTCCCACTTCAATAATGATTCTGTAAATATGCAGTAACTTTCTAGAAACCTATAACGTACAAACGACATTATTCAAAAGTTGTTTAAATGCCAAACGTGTTATCCAGTAAACACGTCACAAAGCTCATTATGTCAAAATAAAACATCTCAATGCAAAATCTAAATGGGCTTTATAATACGTGAAAAAAAGTGGGTACGAGATGTGTGTTGAGAATTGTATCCATACTATTAACGCCATTTTTACAGTGTAGGGTGTGTGTGTGGGGGGGGGGGTGCAATCCCCAGTTCCCACTTCCCCGAAATACTTAAGAAAGGAAAATTTAGTCGTGCATTCTCAGAAATAAAGTGACTATGGATTGGTAATAACACCGATAACTTGGTTGTACTGAGAAAGTTTCAATGCCAAATGACCAGTGACTTGGGTGAATGACAACAAAACACACTGTGCTATATAGGCAGTCACATTGTGTGGGTGTGTATACAAGAAAAACTATGAGTAACGCATTCATGAGGATACAGGAACGATCATTAAAGTTCAAATGTAACATTGAGACTTAAAGTGTGATAATTAACAAAAAAATTAAGACGAATCGATAATTGTGAACTTATAATCTGAAACCGCTACAGGTTACATTGGATACTTTATCCCAAGGTTGTCCAAGTGGCCCTTCATTTTGTTCAGTTCTTGACGCAGCCGTTGTACCTCCTCGGTGGCCGGAGAGTGTCCACTCGGATGACACTGAGTCAGCTGGGTGACCAATGCGCTCTGGGCCGGCTGCACCTCGTTCCTCATTCGAATCTAAAATCGTGAACCAAATTACTAAGGTCAACATTGCTTAGGTTTAAGTTGTAAGATGAGATAATTGAATTTGAGACCCATGCATGAAAATGGCATAGCCATCACACATAGACTCCTTTGTATTGTTTTATAAAGTTGATAAATGCTCATATTTTCATACACTTTTTGATAATTGAACAACTTTTCCGACTCTGCCAGTAGAGTTTAATGGGAATTATCAAAACCGTTACTTGTAAAGGAATTTGTTTTTTATCTATATAAAATATAGGTGGTAGAGTTTAATGTAGGTTGATTCTGTGGGCCTTCCCTAGAACATTCTTCTGTGCTTTTCCTCCCACCTCTAAAACTGTACTTTCTTCTCATTGTCTTCTCTCTTCAGGCTTGCGAGCTACAGTGCAGCGCCTAGGGCGCTTATGAGGAATCCTTGGTTTCATTACCAGAAATAAATAATAATAGTAATAATTTATCTGAATTTAATGTCGGAGTTCACTTACTTTTGGAACAAACACCACACAGAGAGTCAGGGTAGTAGCCAGCCAGATCAGGGTAGCTACCAGGGCGTAGTGGGCGTTTCGCTCCTCCAGAATAAACGACACCGGAGCGCCAACGAAGGAAAGGATCAAGACGTTGTAGACACAGACGCCTACAATGCACCCAAAGAACGGAACCGAAATGGACAAGAAAAGACACAAAAGTAACAGTTGAAAAAATGTCCGATAATAAAGAGATGTGCAACTGCTGATATATGAGACAAGAGTAGTCGTTTAAATAGTAGCAGTCAATGATTATTACACATGAGTCCATAAGAAAATAGAACTTATCTCTCAACTGATTTCATCACTTTTGTACCATCTTCCTAAATTATCTGTCATCAAAGGTTTTAAGTAAATAAAAACACACACAAAATACCGATGTATTTGGAGTCATTGAGCGCTGGCATGGAGACTTTCCTGGTCTCCCAGGCCAGAAAAGCTCCAAATATCAACAGCAGACCATCGATGACGTAGAAGGCACCAATCCAGTAGGTCTGGTTCCTAGATTCGCACATCATACGGATTGGTGTGTAGACGATGTCGTCATTTCCGTCGTCAATCTGAGCAGGGAGAAACCTGAAGTCATTACATTGGCAAAATGGTCAACATCATTCGTTACATTATGGCATTTCAGAGTGCACAATTTCACTAAGAGCAACATCAGAAAATTGACTTTAAGAACGACCAAAAAGGAACGAAACTAACAACAGTCAGTTCGTTTTACCTTTGTAGCTCCAATCCGCTCTACTGCTTCCAGTGGGTCGAAAATTTCCCAAACGATTAGAATCACAACATCCACGAGAATCAAAACAGCGACACAGCCGAACAACCACTTATCTTTTACAACCTGAAAAAGAATGCATTAACCTGAATAACATACATGTAGTGGATACAAAACCGTAATTTTTAAGTGTACATGTAGTGGCTTTACGACAGAGGACAGACACACAAAGGGAGAACAAAAGATCCTCTCAGTCCTCGAGCGTTTGGAACTTTTGTTGAAAACGCTGGTCATCGATCGTACGGTTATGTGCTTAGTCTATGGGAGAGTGTTATATTACAGGGACAAAGGGAAACACAAGCATTGTCCTCGGGCGTATAGAAATTCACAACTGTGTGAGTTTGCTGGTATGCATATCCACTCCAGATATGGCCCTCCTTTGTGTCTGCCCTATCTCGAAAAAAACATCATGAGATTCACGCATCAATATGCAATTTATAAAATAACCTGCTAATACCTAATGGTCTTCATTCTCGTCGAAACGTGAACGACCGTTTCAGACAAGTACGAGTGTAATGTGTTCAGTCTTTGGGAAAAGACAAGATAAGTTAAAATTCGCGGCAGTCTGAAATCAAAGTACACCTTGCTCCTGGCGTTTGCAATAATTGTCAAAAGGTTGTCATGAGACTTTAAGTATAATCATACTTTTACCCGTTTCATTGCAGTTTTGTTGGTGAATATCTTGTGGACTCGCCAGGTCTTGCTGAACATGGCGCCGAATGCCAGGGAGAACCCGATGGGCAGAAACCATGTCTTGACCTGCATGATGACATTTGTAAAGGTAATCACAAACCAGCCAGGTCAATCGTGTAAAGGGGCACGAGGGGCCGGGTAGCACATGAGACAATTTGTATAGCACTTTCTTAATTGTTGCTTTTGTTCACTAGCCGCCGCCGGAGGGCTCCCGCGGCGCGTTGTTGGCGCGTTGGGTCACAGGTGCGCTGACCTAGTTCTTTTCTCTAGCTTATAGCGCGCGCTCCGGGAATAGGCTCTATAAATAGACTGCTTCAATGGGTTTCTTTTGTTCAGACACGCGGGGCGGGTTTGGCTAGACGCCAGGGCTAAAGTTGTTACAATGTAATACATTTTGTGAATCTGCTCTTGACTGCTTGCCTATGCTGGGGATCAGCAGTTGCAGTTCTGATGGCGGTGCGGCGAGTCGACCGCAGAGTCCGGTTGGCGAAATAAATGAGAGCTTCCTTTTGAGCTAGAAATCCTGCGTGTGTCCCCTTTTCTTGCGTTTTCCTCGACTTGGAGGACAAGAGCTCAATAGGTTCCGGCTACAACATGTTTCTTACCAAGTTTTATATGCTCAGCATTAAAAGGTAAGAACAAGTAATATATCCATTGACATTTTAATTGACTTGTAAAGTAAAAGTAAAGTCTGTCACGAGCCAATGTGGCCCATCAGGCCGGCGTTTATCTCCGGTTTCAGTAGCATATTTATACTCCCCCTGGATTGGATGCTAGTCCATCGCAGGTTACTCCTCAGCTAATGCTGGTACTCATTTATACTCCTGTGTGGAGAGAGGCAAGTGGGGGTAAAGTGGTGCCCAAGGACACAACATATGGCCTGCAGCTGGATTCGAACCCCTGACAATCTGATCAGGTGTCACTAACTCTGACCACTATGCCATACTCCCCCTATTGGCTTGTAGGGCAACCAGTATTTGGTCAGCTTTTTTGTGCTTGAATACTTAGGGTATGTGTTAAGCATCTGCATGAAATATATATCAAAAGCAAACAATTCTGCTGCAAAGATGGACGGTTGATTAGTTGGAGATACTCAATGTTTATTTTAGATTTACGTTGAGTGGAGTTGGCAAAATAGAGCATTTGAAGATGCATGTAATAAATATTTTAACATGATACACGATGATTCTTACCCGACACATCGATACGAAGGTGTCTGTGGATGCAATGTTGGTATCCACACCCAGGAAGATGATGGAGACGTAGGCTAGCATTCCACCAATCAGCATCACGTTGTTGATGTTGGGGCTCGACATCTTGATCACACTGGAATACACAAAGGGTAGTTCAACATATGAATAACGTTCCCACTTATAGTTAAATGAGGAAAATCAAAAAAAAAATGTTACTTAGCCAATAAGGAAAATCCAAACAATGCCATTTCTGAGTCGTCAAACATCAGGGAATCTGAGTGTTCACCGTAGTTTCCTGAAGCGGATGTTGAACGCCAAGAAGCAGCAAGCCAGAGCGATCCCAACTGTAGCCAATATGGCGCCGGTGAGGAAAAGTGAAAGCTGTATCGTCTGCCGATCTTCGAGTTTGATAACAAAATCAATCGGAGGCTTCCCACCTGAAAGAAAACCAAAGTTGAAGATCATTATTAGATTTCTTTACAGATTTGCTGTGCAAGGAAGCATTTATTACTTATGCAAGTGCGTGGTGAAGGTAAATATATTGTAATGCTTTTTTGGGTGATCGAGCCTAAGGCTCTACGCCCTCCAGCGTCAAACTACCTTTCCAGACAATTGGTTGGTGTCCCTCCCACATGATGTCCTCGCCTGAACCAGTCACCGGGTCCATCAACCCTACATCAACTTGTCTTTCATCTGCGAAGAATTTCAACAGATTTCAACACCTCAGTTTGGATTCGTTTTCGGCAGTGCTTAGAAAAGATTCTTTGCTTTGACATTTTCAACTCTTGGAGGCGTGTCGAAGTTAAGCCTATATATCTGTGTATTTTGGTAATTATACAAATCGTTTTTTGTTTTTAAGCGCAGTGAATAAGTTTAAGCGTTAACATTTAACGTGATCTCCTGCCTAGGTTGCAACTAACGCGGAAAAATTAACCCAATGAAAAGTGGCACCGAGAATGGTATGAAGCATGCACAAAGTCTGTGGGATTTCGGATAGAGGAACAAGAAGAAGAAGCTAGAGGTAGTGGTTGCTTAAGCAAGGTCATAACGATTTCTATAAAATTGGTACATATTTCTACTTTACGTTGGCTAATAATTAGAATGGCTGCGAGATTACCTTGTATCTGCCATATCTGGATCAACCCGAGCCTATCTCCCGATGACGTGAACTTTACCGGTCCCTGCGACAGTTTAGAGGAGACACAGTATGTTAAGTCTCGTTAGTTTAAATCGCCTTTTTTTCCCCGAGCGATCTTCAAGAGAACCCTCATGGTCTCCAAGCGATCCTCAACTTCTCTTTCCTACTCTCTAAAACGTTCCGATTCAGATTTGGCTAGGAATATCTGGGTCTAATTTGACCTGCTCCTTTTGCCAAGGTCAAAGTGACATGAAACATGATCAAGAGAAGTACATTTTGACCCCGCAAATATCAGCTCGTAGCAACCAGGATTCCGGGTCAAATCTAACCCGGGGTTTGAGAGCGTGCTTCTACTTCTACGTTGATGCTTGGCAAAGCACCCACATCAGGATATCAGGCCAAGGTTTGGTAGCACTTCTATAATGTTGCAAGCATTGTGCTATTAAGTGTGATCCATGATCAAATGGCTTATGGGTCTTTCTTGGCATCTTTCTAGCGCTAATTGACAAATACCGAGTAGCTGTGTGAGTACAGCACACCTGTACAGTGTCATTCTCTCGAGGTCACATATTCTAGTCCTTCGAGTACATTTCTTTGTCCAACGAGCCTGACATCTGAAACATTCTACCTACCGATACACCCTGGAATGTCATGTTGCTGATAACGTCAAAGAGTATTTGTACAGTGGTGTTGTCATCATAGGTGAAATCAGCCAGTGTCTTTGGTGGATCTGGAAAAGTAAAACAAAAACTAAAAACAAAATGCATCCAAAACTTAACGAGTAGAATGCGGTGGTTTAACAATGTCAGTGCTTCATCAAACAGTATAGCGGACCTCCGGCCTTAATGTCTCGACTTCTATTGTTTGCCATAATTCGCTGTATGAACGGTGATGGTAGCTGTTCTTTTCAAAGAGGTACACAACAAATTAAACGAGGAGGACACATATCTTTAAGATGCGGAGACGTCGGTTGTCCAGTTTAAACAGGTTTTGGGGAGGTAGGACCGGACTTACCTAACTGTTCGAGCTGCTGTTCGGCCTCGTGTAGAGCAAGAGCAGCAGTCCAGATGGTGTCATAGCTAAACGGAATCTCGGCAAAACCAACCAGGGATTCTGGATCGTCTGTGCCGACCGACGCGTTGAATCTCGCCAGTAACGCGCTGGTGGTCTGAAAATGGTCAACATGACGGCCTACATCAGTGTGTTCCAGTTTCGTTAAACTAATCCTTCACGGTTAGTGACAAACGGGTTATGGAATTAAATCAGGTTTATAAAAAAACTGTTCAAAATGCTGCACTTGTTGGTGGTTTGTTGTGTGTCCAAACTATGTGCTAGCTCTGTCACGTCACAAGCAAAAGAGGCTACGTATACCTTACTTGGACGCTGACATTTTAAAGGTGACGTCACGTCGTTGTCTTTCTTGAAGTCTTCTGTTAGTTGCTCTTACTCCCAGCACCGACCACTTACCATTCCTGACAGAGTCTGGTGAGTATCGGGCAGAAGACTAAGTGCGTTGACCCCGAACTGGTAGCCGGCTACTTCCTTCAGCTGGTCCAGTGAACAATCAATGGTGTCGTCGGGTACCAGCCAGGTGTTCAAAGCCAGCCATCCTTAAAGTTGGACAAAGCATCCCCGAACAATTAAAAAGAATTGAAGAACAATTAATAGAGAGGCCATTGCAGTTGCACCTACACAAAATTCTATACCTTAAAAGCAATTCTTGGTAGTCAGTTTTTACCTGGCAAAATCCAGACATACTTTGCACCGAACATCTTCAGATGGTAAGCAGCACAAAACACCTTTCTTGCCGCATCGCTGTAAAACCCACCGACTATGATGCGAGTCCCCGACTCCTAATGACAGGGACAAGGATACCAAAACTGTAATTGGGCACCGGCATTATTCAATTCTGGAAAGGTATTAACAGACTCGCTGGAGGTGTAGCGATCCGCCCACAGCAGCATTTCAGGACCCGAGTCTGGCCCAATCGCTTCGAAAGAGAGGTGGGCACTCCAATCCTGTGAACGCAGGTTCGGCATCTTTACCTTTTTACCTACAGCTGCTATACCAGATCTCAAAATCGCAGTGAATGGAGAAACTTCATTAAGAAGATCACGAATATTCGGTTATGAGTAACTCGACGACGACGACGACGATAGCAAGAGATAATCTAGTACTGATCACGAGACAGGTGGAATGTTGCCGAATACTTGAATTTGCATCCGTGAAACCATACAATGCTAGAATGGTTTGGCGTTTTAAAAGAAACAGTCAGTGATGATATGGGCAGTTCAGTGATCAAAGGATTTAAGATCCTGTCCCAGTAATATTTTGCTGTTTGCTCAACATAGTGCAGGTGTTGAAATTAAAACTTTAATGAATAACAAAACTTAATATTAAAAAAAAACGTTTTACTTTTAAGTGTTCCATCTGCGTAGTTGGATCATCTCCAAATGTCTCTTGAGCTATGACCTCAATTCCGGCTTTTTTTGCTTCATGGTGGAATTCTGCAAAGGTCTGGATGAAGAAAGTGAAGACAATGTCGCCATATTATTTTCATTGTCCAGATTAAATGTATGATGAACCGTTTGTTCTAGTCATACAGATACTTTATACAATTTTAGTTTGGTTTGGAAAATTAGAAAAATATCCTTTTATTGCTCAGACTTTGAAGTAAAGTTCTGACCGACATACAGGCTTATTGAAGTAAAAACCCTTGCAACTTTTCGTTTGTGGAGTGGCATGACCAAGTGGTTAAGATCACTGGACTCAAGCTCTGGTGCTTCTGATCAGCAAAATGTGGATTCGAGTCCCGGTCTTGTCACTTGTGTCCTTAAGCAAGACACTTAACCATTATTGCTTCGTCCTTCAGATGGGAGGTAAACCGTAGGTCCCGTGCGTCGTGTTATAATTATGCACGTTAAAAAAAACCCGTAACACTTATCGCTATTAGAGAAGGGGTTTGCCCCGGTGTTTCTGGCAGTGGCTGCTCAATGGTAAGGTGCTACATAAAATAGGTCTCATATTTCAAATACTTCATTTACATGTCTTTAAGATTGATATTAATTAGCGCCTTTAGTACTGTACCTGATTGTTAGTAGATACATACTCCGGTACTGTTATTATTATTATTGGTCTTAAGATTGTTGGGAACCTTTTTCCGTTTTTGTTTGGTACGAAAGAAGAGCTTGACGTACCAAGGAAAATAGTGGAAGCGATTCGTAAATTGTCGCCACTTTCGTCCAGTTGAACTTCTTAATCAAGGTCAGCTTGGCAAGGTTGAAGGTCGTCTCGGGTTGATACAAACGGAAGAACCGGGGGTACAGTAGTCGGTCGGATAGCTTGGGCGAAGACGCAGCGTAAGATATCTTGGAATAACGAACAGGTGTTACGTTAGTAACCAAGTAGGCCATCTGTAAACGTGCCCTATAGTACGGCAGATAGGTGATGGGATTGTGCCTTTATGATGATACTATCATGGAATCTGGCACACAGAGTATGTCATGAGAAAGATATTTGGCTATAGGGCCATCGCAGATTTGTCCTTTGAAAAAACACAGGTAGAATAACAAACAATAGCAGCCATTTTGAAAAAAAATTGAAAAGTGCTTGTTATTCTACCTTTAGTTTTTAAAGGACGAATCTGCGATGGCCCTATGGCCAAATTACTTTCTTTTGACATACTCTGACTGTGTGCCAGATTTCATGCTTGTATCATCAAAAGCATGATTGCCCCCAAAATTTCCCCTATCTACCCACTAATCTTCCATCCAAGCAGCATATTCATCCAATACTTCATTACTTATTGGTTTCAATTAGGAGAATCTTCATTATCCATGTTGATAGAGTAATTATGTCTTCCCGTTGGTCAGTTAAAAGAATAGTATATGCAACCCAATGTAGTTGTGCATAAATTCGCAACAAACCCTTCCCAACAACTTACAAAAACCAAACATTATTTAACATCTAGCGACATTTGATATTGAAAGGTCAAGTCAGCAAGAAAAGGAAATTAATCGATTGAAAACATTTTTAAAATTCCACGGAATATTCAAGAAATAAGGGTGAGGTGAAAAGCAAACTGATAAAATTAATGCTGAAAAGGAAATTGTCCAACCTGGATGAGATTCCAGAAATGCGACGCCTGCGCAGTCGGCTCGGTTGCCAGAGAGCAGCCTCCGCCGATTATCATAGTCTTAGTGGTGGAAGTGTTGTAGAGCTCCCTGTACATTATATCTGTAGCCTTGCCACCATTGCACTATCGAAAAAACAAACCGACCACAATTCGGCGATTCATCACAATGCAGTGCGCAACCAAGAGTTTGCCTCGCGTCACGGAGAGTTAATTTTTTCCAGTGCATTGTGGGAGATGTTCGCGGGACAGTTTTCCCGCTCAGTAGTGTCGTTATTAGCGTGTGATTCGAGTATCTGTTTGTCCTTTTCTTTGCTTTTTATCAATATGCTGGTTTTTTTGTACTGACACTCATTCAGATGGGCCATGTTTTGTCGACCGTAAACTTAAAAATGGACTCTCCATGGCAAAATCTTGGTGGCGCACTACATTGTGAATCGCCCGAATTAGGAAGGGATTTAGAAGAACGAAGTGTTTAATTCATCGGAACTCAATATTCATCTTTTGTGTTTCTTCCTGGTGTGTCTTTGTGATTGCCGAATTTTTAAGAATTATGTCTTAATTTCATATTGTTTATATAGTTAATTATTTCCATCGGATTGCGTTTAAATACCATTTATTTGTATTGTATTAAGATTGTTTGTAACCGTTGTGTTGCTAAGTAAACCCAACCCAAGACAACCCAATCAAACCCAGCAACCCAGCCCAGCAACGTGCAGTCCAGACCAAAAATACCCAACCAAACCTTTAGTGCCCAACCGTAGTGTCACGCTCGGGGAATGTTTCCCTTTTTGATGTAATAAACTCATTAATCAACCTTGAAATATTTCTCTAAGCCCCAGCCTGTTAATCGCTTAAAGGAAATCGAAAAACCCAGCCACCCAAACAAACAAGCAAACAAATAAACAAACATTCCAACAAACAAACACCCCCACACCCCAGCAAAAGCGATGTACCCGCCACCCATTCTCATCGTCTGCCAAAGAGACTGCAGGATTTCTCCCAAGCAAACTCGGCATCCTGAGTTGCCTACTAATGGGAGCAATCATGGCAAGGACCCACTACGTGCCTAGATCAGTTCGTCGAGGACCACACCAACATCAGTGGAATAGATCTAACACGCAAGGCCTGGACAAGACTAAACCGCCTTCGAGCTGGCGTGGGGTGCTTCAGAGCCAACATGGCCAGGTGGGGCCTCGCGGACAGTGCCACCTGCGAATGTGGAACTGCAGACCAAACTGCAGACCATATTCTATCCGATTGCCCCATCTATACCAGCTCCGCATGGTGCAGACGGTCAAACTATGGGTGACCCAACTGCAAGTTGATATCTGAATCTGTCTTTCCGACAAACGAAAGACGAAGAAGTAGTTAGGACTTACCTCTGTATCCCTTGGTATAAGAACTATCTCGTACCCAGGTAGAACATCAGGATTGCCGTTGATGTCGTCGACAGCTAACTGGGCAGCGGGCAGGGCAGTCTCCGCTCCTGCCCAAGGCCCCGATTCAGGGAAGAGGCCCAGGAGATAGAGCTTGGTCACATTAGACTGGCAGAGACACGGTGTGACAGCAACCGTAAGGGCGACAGCAACCAGCAGCAGCATCTTCTCGATCTTCACAAGCAAGAGTCTCAACGCCAGCCTGTGAAGCCTCGATCCTCTCATATTTTGTGCGCCCTTTGTTAGTTCGAGAATGATAGATACATAAGGGACAGAATTGTTCCTCCGCTTGCTTTATAGACCGCCGGTTTTCTTCGATAGCATTGATAAATAAGGTAGGACCTTGGGATATTACGTCATTGGAATTTTAGCCAATGAAAGAGTATGAGGACGGATAGTGTATATATGGTGCGACCTCTAGAAATGATCGAAATGGCGCAGGAAACTTAGAGGTCTAATGGTAAACCTACTGCTTTCGAGAGCACCATTGGAAAGCTTGCACACAAGCGTCAATGATATACGCGGAGATTCGGCGATTAATAATGCAAAAAAAAGACTGCATCTTGACCAATCATATTTTGACAACAAAAACATGGCAGCCAGACTGACCAATCAACAGATTAATTCACAATTTCTAAGGATCGACTCCGATTGGCTGGCTCCTCTCTTGTTTGATATTTCTAATACTTATGTGTTGCTCTTAAAAAAAAGGGAATCACAAATATTTCCTACGATTCTACATTAACTCGTGACGTCTTTCCTCATTTTAATTTGTTAAAATGTGACTAGTGGCAACTGGATATCAGATGATGAGATGATCGAATTAACAGTTGTTAATAAAGATATCGAGTTGTTAATAAAGATATCGTGTACTACTGTTGTTGACAATTGTTGAAACAAGTATTCTGTGTCATTCTATTTGTTGTTCCTAACAGTCAGGACACAATTTTTTTTTTGACGAAACAGGTTTTAGGGTCATTGCGTTTAATAGTGATTCTCTTTGAAATGATTGAGCAGTTTCAATATTTTTTTCAACTAAAAGTGATTTCTGAAATTGGCTTTCCAGTCATTAATATTTTTGGTGCTACATTTTTTTTTGCAATTATGAAATATGTTTTTGGGGGTTTATGTTTCGCTTTTTTAATAACCCTGTATATCTGTATAAATTCACATTTTATTTCTACTTCTTTCTACTTATTTCTGGCAATGAATCCAATGATTCCTCAAATGTGACAATGAGAAAAAATAACAGTTTTAGAGGTGGGAGAAAAATCTCGGAAGAATATTCTGGTTTAATTGGGTAGGAGCTGAAAACCCAATCCACATGTGGTCCGGGTGGGAATCGAGCCCTGGCCACAGTTATGGAAAGCACTGGAAAGTAACCATTGCGCCAATCTGAGTCTCAACTCAGTGCACTTCATTTTGATTTTAAAACATGACTGTGCATTTGCAGCATTATTCAGACAGGATCTATCGATTCCATGTCAGATGTAATCACATCTTCATTATCAATCTGGTCCAAGGGAGCAATGCATCACACAAGTTTCGAAGGTGAACCAAAATGTCGAACCATAGCGCCCATAGAAAGGGACGACAGTGGAGCTTCGTTTGTAATAAGGCCAAAAAAAGTCATGACATTGTTAGTGACGTAGGCATTCAACACACGCCCTGCGCGTATGCGAAGATATTTTGTTCGACAATCAGACTGATTCGATCAATTCCAACACAGGTGGCCTTGATAGGATTTTATGTGTGTGAGTTTCCACAATGGTTAGCGGCCTGCAGCCAATTTGCACCACGAAATCAAATCACGCAACGGTATTCCTTGTGGGGAAATCAAATTAGGCTCAAGGAATTGTGGATGTTTTTTCTGTATCAGCATTGTGTTTGTGATTGCACGCGTACCGTCAGTACGTTTTGAATCTTTTGTTGGATATCAATGCGCCTTAATTCTTTTTGCTCTTTAACCCTACAGACCGGAGGATTTCTTTTCATTCTAGAGAGGCCCTACATGTTTGTCCCTGTACATCTCAGTGTCGTTTTGCCTCCGAATGAAATCTTAAGATTTGAAAGTCAGGCCGCCCTAATTTTGTTACTAGTAAATGTGATGTAGGGCCTACTACTGAATTTGCCTGGGTGAGGGCGAACAAATGGTGTTGCTTTACCTTCACAGCGTTTGGCTTGCAATTCCTTTAGCCACTTATTCGGATAATAAGAGGATGTTTATCTCAATTCATGTACAGTTGCTTGGTATCCATGCTGTTTTATAAGATGTGCGAATTGGAGAAAATTGAATCTTAACGCCAGCGCAAGATAGGGAGATTTTCTGCCGTGTTGGATTTTTATAATGAGAAACAGTTATCTTCTTTTTCATTAATTTCTTTTTCCTGACTCTCTACATGTGATGCGCATGGTAATATATAATTTGAGACATCTTTAATAAGGGAATAAATGCGTGCTTGGAAGGTTTTAAACACTCTTTTAAAGCCCGGTTGGAGTATGGAAGCTGATATTTACCCCGAGCTTAAGGCGAGGGTAATTATTCAATTCATAATTACCTTTTCGAAAGTTTTCGGTCAAAAACTCAAAACTTTTCGGTCCAAAAGTCAAAACAAGTCAAAAAGTAAACATTTCCAACGATTTTGTTCAACACTTTCACTTCATGTTTTTCCCCCAAACATTCGGCACCCCTCTAACTATATAATGGAGTGCCCAACTCGCGAGTACAAGTCTTAAACAACTCCTTTATTGGAATTGCGCGTAATGCGCAATGCTGCGCAGAATGCAGCTGTGGCGGTGCGTTGTGAATCTAGGACTATGAATTACTGACTCACTGGTAGTGTTGCACTTGCCCACGTGATCACTGTGAACGTTCAACCAATAAAACGGTATAATGCACTGGATTTCATGGTGAGTCAAAATTTCATGTGACACTGGAAAAGTGTTTAAGACCAGCCAGCCGGTCTAGTCATCCATTTAAAACCGCGGCCACGTGACGGGCTCTCGACCAATATGAATTGGTAAACAGTCTTACGTATTTTAAAGGATGATTTAAAAAAAAAAAATTTTCCAAGCCCTTACCTCGTGGTCGAATGGAAGTTGTAAAAAAAAAATATGTTGAGTACTGCTGGCTGCTTGTTCATCTTGTACAGTAAATACGTAGCCCTAGTTCCAGATGAAGGAATAAACAAAAAAATGTCTTATGAAATGTTTCAAAAGTTATCTGAACGTTTCTGACATGTCTTTTAACAAAACAAATTTCACTGATGAGGTCACAACTGCTTTTAGCAAAAGGAAACGGAAACCAGTGATTTGTCCCTGGTAAACTAATCATAATCCTTCACAGCGATCGAGCCAATTAGGTCTCCTCGAAATCAGAGCTTTCCCATATCCAATTAAGTAGATGTAATTCATTTACTTTTGAATTTAAGGAACACTTTATCTAGGTTGAGGACAGATACGCTTTTTAACTGAATCCAGCAGGCACTACCCTCATGAATGAGTGGTTGTATATAATTATGAGTAGGCCCATATGCAAGATCTGAGGCCAGTGATTGTTAGAAGAATACACTGAAACGTGCCTGAATACTTATGGTCAACTTAATTCCGTCTATGGCAGCCAATTGCCATTTTTGAACTTCAAATTTCAAGTGTCTTATATTCTCCGAGGCTCTGCAATAAGTCAGAAACATTTTCTACATGCATCCCAGCTGTTAATGCCATTATCATTCAGTACTGTTATTGGATGCATGGAACATGACTGAGATGGGGCCAGCATGATCTATGGCAACCCCGTAGGCTAACTGTCACTAGTTAGTTTTCAGACATTTCAACTAATAGATTGAAAGTTTGAATGTGTTGACAGTTTGAACATTATTTTGCCCAGTCAGTATAATATTTTTATCAAGGTATATTTCTTTCGTCTCGTCCATTGTCTGCGTAGAGTACAATGCATTACTTTGGTTTTATTTTGAGATCAGTCAGCATCCGTTCACCTTCAACTGTCCTCACCGTGTCCGGCCTTCGCCACTGGGAACACTTTTCCTCGCTCATCCTTCACTGCTATCCGTCCGGTGCTGTGGTGGAAAATAGGTCCCATACACCCCGTGTACTGAACCGTTCAATCGAAAGGTCATGACCTTTCCAACAAAGACGGTTCTGACCTTGCAGCACAAAAAACACCAATGTGTACGTGCATGGTACGCAACCTAACACAGTCATTTATACAATCGACAGGTAGTACGAGACAGCTGAACAGCCCAAGTCAGTGTTTTGAGAAATGGCGTCACTCCATTTCCCCTCAATCTTTGCTTGCTTACTCCTGCAGCTTGTGTACACGTCAGCACAGACTCTCCCCGGCCGTGAGTAAACTTACACTTCATGTTTGTATGAACGTTCGAACAATGTTGGTTTCTGCTTGGAACAACAACTTTTTCCCCCATGTGCATGCCACAATGACTTGTTTGTAAACGGGAGCATAAGCGGAAGCTTAGACGGTATAGTTTCGTACAATCGCCGTGGCTGCATGCGCTCGCAGCATGGAGGAAAAAATGCTCCCAGCGGCAACCCAGTTAACCCACTTAATTATAATTTGGATTTTCCAAAGGGGTGACGCGCTGGGCCGGGTGTCCAAAACATTTTAGGGGAAGAGGTGGGATGACTGAAGCGTTGCAATCTGCTTGGAGCAGTGAATCGAGATTTGCAGTATTGAGAGATGACGAGGGAATCTATCTGAATGTGAACATTGTTGGAATGTATCAGTCGGAGGAAGGGGGCGGGGGGGGAGGGGGGGGGGCACTCCGACAACCCATTGGATCCGCACTGATACACCCTGAAGTGTAAAACCTGAAGTGTTGAATCCTGAAGTGTTAAATCCAACACTTACATTTATGTTGGTCAGTCTCCACACTTTCAAAGTGTGGAATCCAGTTTTTTTACGTTAAATCCAACACTTATACAGTTAATTCAACAGTTTAAGTGTTTACTCAATATTTTTTCAAAGTGTTAACTTTGAAACTGTTGAATCAACATTTAAAATATTAATTAATAGTTTCAGTGTTGGCTTTGTTAACATTCAAATGCTGGATTTAACATTTAAAATGCTGGAATCAATACATGTAAGGTGTGGTTTCTGACCGCGAACCAATAGTGTTGGATTAAACACCTCTGTTTTTAGAGTATACATGTACATGTAGGTCTATATATCCAGAATGATAGTAAAGTAAATTGTTAAGAAAGGATTATTCAAAGGGAACACTCTTCTTCTTTTTTGGTTTGAGAATGACCATAGAGCCATGCAGTTGCACTGCAGTGAAAACATTTACAATTGGATTTGCAATTATAGGTATTGAATGCAAGTTTCTGCAGGCGATTCATTATAACTATTACCAAGCTCGAGGTCGCCGTTTGATGTAGATATGTACTCCATACGCTAAGTGAGCCAATAATAATGCCCTCGGCAAATTGTAGTCATTAGCATATAAATGACTGTTTTGGTTGGAAGCTGATCGAGTGGAATGAACTTGATAGGACACTTAAACACGGAAGGTCACTTCCGTACATTGCATTTTGCCCGTGATCTGTTGACCTTTTCTATGCAACGTGTCTCAAAAGAAAATGCAAACAAAATATAACGGACTGCGAGACATGGAATGTGTAACCAACCTAAATAATACAGGTATGGTTTGTAAGATACGCTTTTCCACCTTAAAATGAGACATCAAACGTCCAAATCTGATACCTTTTGACAGAGTTATGAGTAATTTTCTGAGAGAAGTCAAATTGGCCATGGGACCAATTTTTTTATTTTTCAGTTTTTGGCATTGGGACAAAGGTAACCTATTGCCTCTGTGTGGATAATTGCCTGGCCTACAAAAGTGTGTTTAGCGAGTAAACACAATTCTAAACACTTTCTTGTTATCAGTTTGTAAACACGTTTACATGCTTAACATTTTTAAGCATAAGGTGATAGCAAGAATGTTTTTAGAATTGTGTTTATTCGCTTAACACATTTTTTTTAGGCCAGGCAAATATCCACACAGAGGCAATTAGGCTGCCTTTGTCCGACAAATGCCTAACATTGAAAACTCAGTTTGATTTGGACGTCAAATGTCTCAATTTAAAGTGGAAAGGCGTAATTAACTTACAAATTATACCTTTGTTATCTATGTTGGTTACACATTCTACGACTGACATTAGGTTATATTTTGTTTGCATGTTTTTATTTTTAAACACACTGTCACTGCGATCACAATTAATTGTGTGACAAAACACCTGTTGTAAATGGACATCAAAGTACCTAAATAAAAATGTTCAGTTTTAAATCCTTGGTTTCGGCTTCAAATAATGAACACGCAATTTGTCCCTTGATATAAAAGAACACCTTGTTCTCTTGATATAAAAGAACACCTTGTTCTCTCGTACTTTGCTAGGTACCTCATTCAATTGACAAGTGTATATTTTTTTCGTCCACTTAATTTCATAAAGTTTCCAAATATCAAAATGAATAGCAATATTTTTCTTCTCTCACCAAGTAATAGATGTTAATAAAATTTAATTAGGCGAAAGTCAATTTTAATTACGTAGGCCTAAATGTTATAAGGCGAGCTCCAATTCTATAAAAATACTTTGCCAACAACAACTAATTGGATTTTACCGCCATGAAAATACACTGTAAAAATGGTGCTTAGGATTTAAACACATTTCTAAACACTAATTCTGTACCCACTTTTTCCACACGTTTAGCATCATGACATGTTTAGATGTCCTTTTTCTGTGACACGCATTATCCGTTTGACATGTGCAATGAATAATATGTTTAGCATTTAAACAACTTCCTAAGCGCATTTAGATATACAATCCTAAGCACATGTCCAAAGCGTAAACACGTTTAGTTTCACAACATTAAAACGTGGTAAACGTTTAGAATTGAAACACATTCCTAAACGTATTAAACTCTAAACACCGTCTGATGTGTTTAAATGATAAACACTGTTTTTACAGTGTAACAGTCGACAGATATGCTGTTTTGAAAAACATAGGCCTTTACTTTTGCAAACTTATGAAGTTATATTTTAAATTTTATATTTTGTAATACTTGTAGTCGATGTAAGCCCAGGTAATATCGACCGACTCATCATTCAACTCGTTGGCGGTAGCGCCCGCAACGAGGGGCGGGTACTCATTCGCTGGTTTCCCGACTCGCCCTGGACCGCCGTGTGTAACGATCCCTACTTCAGCCACGCCGTCCCATTCCAGATGTGCAGGACGCTCGGGTACCCGTTTGCCTGCGGCCATGACTTCGCTGGTCCCCGTCGGACTGACGACGCGTCGCTGGTAAACGTCACCAGCGAACGTTACCTGGTGTCCTGTTCTGCTGACCTGAACGACAGGACACTCGGAGGCTGCAACTTGCATCCCACTGGAGATCCTCCCTGCACCCACGACAATGACATGTGGCTGTCATGTGGTTATGCAGGTACGCAACTTTTAACCCCCATTTGACCTTTCGCCATTTGCAAGTTGCCCACGCCCCTTAAACAACCCTATGGAGTTTGTGTTATGTGCACTAATAAGTTTTGTTTGTCTCAGATTTTGCGCGTTCCGCGTCCATTTGTAAATCATGTAACTGGACAATATTTCACAAGCTGCGTTGACGCGATTCTAACGCGATTCTACCACAATGGGTCGATTGATATCAGGCTTGTTCACGATAATTCCTTGACAGACAGTGTACCACTAGCTATAGACAAATTAGGGCACGTAACCACAGAGGCCAATTTTAATGGCGGAAGAACGGTGATAGTTTTTGTCAAGATAATCCAATGGTTTCTCCATAATTATAAGGGTCCTCGTATTGCGTACGTGACAGGGATCGCGCGCTAGAATTCGTCAATAACTTCACAACTTCCAGACAGAAAGTTATGAACAGTTTGGATCACATTTCGCGTTATGTCATCACGGAGCAAACTCATTGCAGGAAATGAAACCGAACTTTCCACTGGGACTACTTAATTCCCTGGCCTACTGACAGCCTTTTCCCAATCCAATTCGAGTTTTTAATTTGATCCTTGAATTCCACATCATTACAAGAATAATGATACTGTTTGAGATGAGTTAACATCTCGATTCAGTATTGAAAGTTATTGTAAGCTTGTTTCAATCTTGGTTTAATACTCTTGAAACTTAATAAGAGAATCTTAGCAATTTTTGCCGTAAACTTCGTGATTTAATTACCATTGGATTTTCGTATATGCTTGAAGGTATGCCGGACTTTGAACTCCGACTGGTCGAGGGTACATACCGCGATCCGGACCGTCTATTGCAGGGACGCTGTGGTCCGGAACACGAGTGGAGCGCCATCTGCGGCCACGGATTCCACCGGCTGAAGCAGGGCCGCGTGGCATGCCGGGAGCTCGGCTACTCCGATGAATTAGCCGTTGCGGGCGGTTTTCTTTCCCTGCGAGAGCTCGACCCGCAGCACCGACCCAACTACACGTTATTTGTGGACGTGGGATGCATCGGGGATGAAGCGAGTCTGAGCGAGTGTCAGCACTACGCGCTGCGAGATTGCAGCGGCTACGCAACGCTGGAGTGTTTCACTGGTGAGATTCAATTTTGTTCGTGCAGGAACGTAGATGGCGCTGTGAGGATGGACACGGCGCATGCGTACACTAGTTAGCGGCTGCGACTGCTCGTTGTGGGCATGACCACGTTTCAAATGAATATTGAACTTGCTTTAAAGAGGATGTGGAATGCTCGAAGACATTTCCGTCATTTTTCGGGTATATGTAGCCTAAGGTGTGATGAAATAAAAACGACTATTGTTTCTTTCATGAAATGAGTACAAAAGGTACTTTTGAGAGCTGTTTTTCAGGTCCAGTTTCGACCACTCGTGTATGCTACTGTGCATCGGGAGTCCTGTTTATTACGTCACGATTTACTGTGTTTTGTTTGCTGCCCGCAACGACGACTTTTACACAGTTGCACGTTCGGGTCGAAACTGGACCTGAAAAACAGCTCTCAAAAGTACCTTTTGTACTCATTTCATGACAGAAACAATAGTCGTTTTTATTTCATCACACCTTAGGCTACATATACCCGAAAAATGACGGAAATGTCTTCGAGCATTCCACAACCTCTTTAAAGTTATTGTGTGGTTCCGTTTCATCGAACACGGTGACTGTGGCATTCACGCGTTCTTCAGAAAAACATAATTTCACTTGTACTAACACTGAGGGCGTAGTGCCGGAACACAGGGTTCATAATGTCAGGACTTCCTCTTTTCACAAGATCTCGCTATTAAAATAACGAACTCTTGGACACTCAAATCATGTAATCAGATGAAATATTTCAAAGAACACTGTCAAGATTGCATGGAGAGTTTGGTAGTCGTAAAATAGTATTAATACTATTGAAGAACACTTATGTTTGGGATGTGAAAATATAATGTCAGAATGCCTTACACATCTTTATTTGTTTCATGAACTGCAGGTGTAACCGAGTATAATGAGACTTCGTATCTGTGCGGTTCGAAGCAGTTATGCCAAGATGAGTGTAAACAGGGTCACCCAATCAATGGCTCACGTGACGACATATTCCACTACTGCCGATGCGACGATGTCTGCGGTCTATTTGACGACTGTTGTTACGACCGCGAAGGGATGTGTAGTCTGGGGACGCCGACCTTGGAGCGAGGAGGGTTCACCACAGAGCAGTTCGGCTGCGTCTGGGTACCAGGCAGTCAGTTCACTCACATCGGCTATGTGGTCATTGACCGTTGTCCAATCAGCTGGACAGATGAGAGATCACGTGATTTATGCGAGAGGCCTGTGGATATCGAGGATGTATTCGGCTCGCTGCCGGTTTATGACGACCTCGAAGTGGATTTTAAGAACATCTACTGCGCCATTTGTAACGGGAGGACCTTGGAAAGTCTAAGAAGATGGGATGTCTCTGCTGCTGACGATGAACAGTATCAACCACCGGACATTTTTTATCCGTCTCTCAATACAACACTGCGAAGCTTAGGTTGGCTCATAACGCCCCCAAATGGCCACGCAGTACTCCGGGAGTGCCCCGCACATCTCGTGGACACCTGTTCAGACGAATTCAGTGGGACCCGCTTGGAAGAAGGATGCAAGGCTTACTACGCTCCTATCAAAGTTGAAGATAGTTACACCAGATATCGGAACCCTCACTGCGCCTTATGCAATGGCCAGGGAGTTTTGCCAGACAATTCCTGTGAGGATCAGGAGTGTCTGGAGTGGTGCGTGCCCGACCCCTGGGGACCGTGTGCGGGTGTATGCGCTCCCTACGATGGCTTCTTGACGATTGAGGTTCTGTTCGACTTCACCTCCTCCTCGTCCATCAGCGGGATGTCTTGCTCGGCGGGGCAGATCTACGATCCGTTCCTGGAGAGGTGCCGGGTGCTGACGTGCGCAGCTGGGTATCAGATCGTAGGTGACGAGTGCCTGGCCGTTCCTCCGGCACCAACCAACGAGAGTGACTCCTTTGTCGTCGATTGTCTCCTAGAAGGATCTGGGTTCGTGATCACAGCACAGCAGATAAAGACAGAAGCTCACCTTGCCTCAGTTCTGTCTGTAAGTGTGTTAGTGAGCTCAGCTGCTGATGTACGTAACCTTGTGAGTGCACTGGATAATTCAATCAAGACCAACCTAAACTCTTCCATGCCATGTAACATCTCATCTTTGGCGATCTTCTTGCCGTTTTCCTTCAATGGGTCTGGCCTCTGCAACAACTCTACGCTCCAGGGAAGTACTGTCTTCTCGGAGTACTCGGGAAGGCTGCTTACTGCTGTGCAAATCAAAAACATCTCCAGAGAAAATTACTCGAAGGAAGAGGTGGCATCGTCGTGTCTGAAGGTAAATGACCTGAACTGCTCATCTCTCCTAACTCTTGAAGACACAGAATATTCTGTGGTATCAGCGGAACGTATCGACGTCATTGCAACAGGGGAGAGTCTTTCTGAGAGCGAGTATGTTCTGCTTCCGGAAGGCATTGCCGTCATTTGCTCCTACATTCACCCAGAACCGGAAGGAGTTGAACCGCAGGTGCGCAGAGCGCTCTCATTCATCGGTAGTTGTGTATCGCTTATCGCTCTGGCTGCCACATTCATGACCTTCTGCCTGTTCAAAGAGCTCCGGAATCTATCCGGTATTGCCACCATGAACCTCGTGCTGGCGCTGTTCATCGCCATATTGCTCTTCCTCCTTTCAGGCTACCTGGCGGAGAGCCAGCCTGCCTGCCAATTCGGGGCTGTTGTGGCGCACTTCGCCTGGCTAGCAGCCTTCTTCTGGATGACGATGCTTGCAGTCAAGGTCGCCCGCACCCTCACCTCCATGGTGCCAAGGAGTGGACGCAAAACAGGCGTGTCCCGGGAGCTCGTTGCCTACGCTTGCCTCGCCTGGGGCATCCCTCTGCTCATTGTCTGCATCTGTATCATCCTCCAGTACTGCGATTGCCCCACCTTGCCCGTGATCTACGCAGATGGAGGTATCTGCTGGATCTCAGACATCATCGTTCGCATCGTCGCCTTCGTGGTGCCCATGGCTCTCAGTCTTGTCTTCAACTTGTGTTTGTACATCTTAACCATCGTCAGTGTCCGGAGGAACAGGCGCAGCTCCAGGGCGGTGAGGAGTCATAGCAAACTGGATGAAGCAAAAGAAGAGCTGTCTATTTATGGCAAGGTAAATCCTCCCCTTGTCATGTTTATTACTTAAGCTTGGTTTCAATCTTAGTTTGAACATTAACAATCCAACTTTGTCCTTGTCTTTTTTCCATATGAAAGCTGAGTGCCTTGGTGGGAGTGACCTGGATCTTTGGCTTCGTGTCTCAGTCAGTGACGGGCATCATATTTTTCTCCTACATCTACATCCTCCTCAACTACCTCCAGGGAGTCTTCATCTTCATCTCCTTCTGCCTCAACAAGAGGGCTCGGAGTTTGTGGAGAGAGAAACTGAATATTCGAAGCGAGACGATGACGACGGATAAGTCGATTGATCCGGTGAAGCCTCGTCGATCGAAGGAGACAGCCCTGATGACCACCGATACCCTGCCTGAGCACTCGGAAGATTCCAAGCTGTAGACTAGTGATCAATATATGCACATGGACAGTCAACGATTCACTATATTCACTCATTCCCAAGTTCCCTATGTGCCTTATTCATGAGTCGGCCATATTGAATTGAAAGGTAAGTGAATTCTTAATTGTTGGCACTTGCGAAGAGAAATGAAAGTAAGTTAATTTATAATGAATCACAGTCTGCTTCAGTGAGTAATATTAAAATTGTAATTAAACATTCCCTATTGTTTAAAGCCATTAAAAAAAAATGACAGTAAAATAAGGCTGCATTGTGCCTGCATAAATAGTTCTGCGCCATCCCATTACACAGTTAACAATTAATGATATACATTCAAGGAACTCGACAAAAATGTCCAACTCGTGAATAAGGCCCATCTAAAGGCGCTGATGACATGTTAACATGTCACGATATATTTTAAAGCGGCAACTTTAGGTCAACACTGTGGCTTGCGCATGCCCCGTGCGCAAGGAATGTATATATGAGGAACGTTGACCTACCCACAATGCTTTCCTCAAAGCCTTCATTTTCTTCACAAGATTTAGTGTAAGGGTAAGCGGTTACCAGTGTCTTTAAACAGGGCGGTGGGTACCAGCGAATTGACGACACAGAAAAATTGTGTCGTTGGAAGAGCAATTCCTCATTATGACCGCAATGCATCGCGGGAAAATGCAATTTGTAGGGTTTTTCAAAATCCTGGCATCGTCTCGTCTTCATCTTCTTGAATGTACAAACAAGATGGAAATGCACAAATTTGTGGTCTCAAAATCAACTTAGTCGATTAATTAATGTTCTCCATCGGCCAATTGTGTACTATAATACGTCTATTTGGAAACTTTATGTGTTTGCGTTGTAAATATCATCTATCTTTAATTAATATTAGAAGCAGTGTATTTAGTGTAATGTTTCATTACCCTTGTGTTTTTCTATTGAACACATCTAAAATTCAGTTCACTTTACTTCAAATACTTCATCATCTTGGTATTCTGCTGAAGCAAATAGAAGCTGTAAACTAAAGAAAGTTTGAGGTTTGCGTCCCCATGATAAAGTAGTTTTCACAATAATTCGTTCTTCAGAACATTTATTGAATTATATTCCGTATGTGCAAACACTCTTCAATGTCAAAGATAAACCTCAATTGTAATCTAATAAGGATGTACTTCACCCGCGGGTTAAAAAAGAAAAGAGCCTTTACACGGAAACAGACTGAATGAAATTATTTTGTCTGAATTGTCAACCGCATCTTTTGAAGTCTGCCGGGTGGCGGCAGATTCTTATGAGATCGAAGACAAACCAGATTTGCCGGGAGACAACAACATGTCAAGAGGAATGTTTGAGTCTCCGAATAAAAAAAAAACATTGGAAGCAATAGACCCAACCTAAGCCCCACCCAATAGTTTTTCGACCAATCACAACTGTGATTAAAGGGTTCACAAAAGTTCGACATGCGCGCGCAGCCGCATAAGCTGAAGTTTTTGCCCGAAAAACACCAGCCTGTATCGTATGCATTAAGGAACCAAAGACAGTTCAGCCTGCCTTTCTGTAAAACGAACATACTGAAGAATAGTTTCATTCCCTGGTGTCTCTACAATTTACAGTCCTAACTGTTACTCACTTTTTAGCAATTTTAAGCTAATGCTGATGTTAATATTAATTACTGTTTTATGTGTTTTTATATCGGTTGAAGTTACCTGTAAATACATGTGCGTCTTAATGATTGAACAATTCATTATAACTGAAAAGTTTTGTTTTTAAATTTAAATATTTGTCATGTCCGTTGAAGTTCTGAAGTAGTCATGTTCTAGTCCTGTGAAAGTATGTTTCTAGGAATTTGGTTTGTGTTGAATATTTGTATGTTTTTTACAGGAGTTTTTAAGGTTTAATGTTTAATGTGTATTGTTATTGAAATGTTTTAATGTTTCAAATTCAAATGTAATATAAATATCTTTTAAAATGTTTTAAATCCAACCATTTTTAGATGCTTTGGTTGCTAATAATAATAATAATAAACAGGTACAATGCCTAGCATCAGTTCCATGGAATTAGGTTCATGAGGCTTACTTTCCATATGAATACCCTTAAATTGCATAATTTCATTAAAGGCAAAGATTGATGTTATTATATTCTCGCGTCGGAGAAATTTGATTAAATATGTGTTTTCAGCGCGTACTTTCCTCTCTTGTGCTGTGTCTGTTTTGTAAAACCACACAAAGAACCAGCTATTTGATTACATGTGGTGATTTTCTATGCACTTCTTGTGTTTAGCTGTTTTGACGGAGTTGTACCTTGTCGATCATTCCTAGATTTTTTCGATTTAGTTTCAGCAATATTAGAAGCCGCACTGAGCGCACTGACACACAGATCTAAAAACATCCACAGGCAGCGGTCGAAGAATACGTCAAGCGCACTGGCACAGAGATCTAAAAACCGTACCACAGACAGCGGCCCAAGAATGCTGCAAGGGCGCCTGCTAGTTCTGTGTTTTCTGCTTCGTGTGGCCTCATGCTCTGGTCAGCCCAATGCCACCAAGCTGTACCTACTTGGGCTGTTTCCCTGGACGGGTGCGTGGGACGGGGCTGAGGCCACGGTACCGGCAACTATGCTGGCCGTACAGGATATAAACGCCGATCCTAAGCTGCTACCGGATTACGAATTGGTCGTCATTACTCGGGATACGGAGGTAAGAACGCAGCGTGAATGCAAATGTTTATCGAACGCAAAGCTGTTTCCGATCATTCTTATGATTTTCTTCGTCAGACTCGTCATTCCGTTCGGCAAAGTTATCATTCCGTTCGGCAAAGTCATCATTCCATTCGGCAGAGTTGTCACTCCATTCTTTGTCAGACTCATTCCATTCGGCAAAGTTATCATTCCGTTCGGCAAAGTTGTCATTCCGTTCGGCATTGTTGTCATTCCATTCTTTGTAAGACTCATCATTCCGTTCGGCAAACTTATCATTCCGTTCGGCAAAGTCATCATTCCATTCGGCAAATTTGCCATTCCGCCCGGCAAAGTCATCGTTCCATTCGGCAAAGTCATATTCCTTCGGCAAAGTCATCATTCCATTCGGCAAAAGTGTCATTCCATAGGGCAAATTTATCATTCCATTCGGCAAAGTAATCATTCTGTGCCGAATGAAATGATAATTTTGGAAACTGGATCGATGATATGGCCGAATGGAATGATGAATTTGCCGAACGGAATGATGAGTGTCCCGAAGAAATGTTGAATTTGCCGAACGGAGTGATGATTTCGTCAAATATGGAATGATGAATATGCCGAACAGAATGATTTTTTTTTGGAACGGAATGACCTACTGAAGGAAGCTTTGCCTTTCCATAAAGCAAACCCCCTTTTCTTACACGGGTTAAGCTTATGGGAAAACTAGAAACAATCGATCGCATTTCAAGTAAAATAGTCTAATCTTGCATGATTTTGTTGCTAATTAAATTTGCTTGGTTTTTAAACTGGCTAAATAAGAGATTTCCGATGATGAGGATTTTCCAATGTAAAACATCTCCAAAAGAACTTGTAGGCCTCCTGAAACGTTTGTAATTGAAGAAGGTGAACACTTGTTGAACAACTTATAACAGTAACATTGGCTATACGCTCTCTGTCAATACTATTCAACATTGGCATGTGCGAAGAGATGTGACATTCAATAAATTGGTATTAATTCAAAGCGGTAATTAACTAAAGGGGCATATTTGTTTTAAAGTATATTATCTGGTTTCAATTACCAAGTGCGATGGAGGAACAGCAACTGACGAAATGTACAAGGAATTGTACAACACCAGCACCACCAAAATTATGATTTTAGGTCCCGCGTGCTCCATTGCTACAGAGCCGACTGCGCAGGCGTCGCACCACTGGAACCTGGTTCAGGTAGGTGAAGGCTTGATAACCCAGGCCAACCAGACTATATGCAGAGGCATTGTGGCTGGACATGGAGAGATCTTTGTTCCTATCTGGCAAAAAGCTGACTCCCCAACTGACTGCCCCACTGACTGACTCAGTGGCGCACCCAAGGGGGCCCCCTCGGGGGGCTTGAGCCCCTCCCCCAAGAGGTTGCCATTTTTTCTGTTCCCATAATTTGACTTAGGTGATACGTATGCGGCCTATTTTCGAGTAGTATAATAAGGATGTAAGTGGAGCCACCAACGTCAAAAAAGTGCGCCCTTAAAACAAAACAATATTTTTTCTTCTGAGGCTAAAAACTTTGGGCAATTTTGAAGAAAAAAAATGCTTCTCGTACCTCCAAACGAATTTCTACAACTTTTGGAGAAACTTCATTTTTGGCCAAATTTCACAAAAGATGTAAGGCTAACCCCTTGCAATTTTTGTCAATTTTGATCAAAAAATGAAATTGCTCGAACCTTCCTGGAAAGACCCTCGAACACATTCCAACTCGATTGAGGGACAGATATATCGATAAAAAAAAATAATATTTTGGCAAAATTTCATCAAAAAATGTAAGGCTAACCCCTTGGACTTTTTGTCAATTTTGGTCAAAAAATGAAATTGCTCGAACCTTCCTGGAAAGACTCTTAAGGGACCCTGGAACACATTCCAACTCCATTTAGGGACAGATATATCAATACAAAAAAATAATCATATTTTGGCAAAATTTCATAAAAAATGTAAGGCTAACCCCTTGCTCTTTTTGTCAATTTTGGTCAAAAAATGAAATTGCTCATAACTTCCTGGAAAGACTCCTAAGGGACCCTGGAACACATTCCAACTCGATTTAGGGACAGATATATCAGTACAAAAAAAATAATATTTTGGCCAATTTTCATAAAAAATGTAAGGCTAACCCCTTGCACTTTATGTCAATTTTGGTCAAAAAATGAAATTGCTCGAAACTTCCTGGAAAGACTCCTAAGGGACCCTGGAACACATTCCAACTCGATTTAGGGACAGATATATCAGTACGAAAAAATATATTTTGGCCAATTTTCATAAAAAATGCAAGGCTAACCCCTTGCATTTTTTGTCAATTTTGGCCAAAAAATGAAATTGCTCGAAACTTCCTGGAAAGACTCCTAAGGGACCCTGGAACACATTCCAACTCGATTTAGGGACAGATATATCAAAACAAAAAAAATAATATTTTGGCCAATTTTCATAATTTTTTTTAGGCTAACCCCTTGCATTTTTTGTCAATTTTGGTCAAAAAATGAAATTGCTCGAAACTTCCTGGAAAGACTCCTAAGGGACCCTCGAACACATTCCAACTCGTTTTAGGGACAGATATATCAATACAAAAAAAATAATATTTTGGCCAATTTTCATAAAAAAATGTAAGGCTAACCCCTTGTATTTTTTGTCAATTTTGGTCAAAAAATGAAATTGCTCGAAACTTCCTGGAAAGACTCCTAAGGGACCCTGGAACACATTCCAACTCGATTTAGGGACAGATATATCAGTACAAAAAAATAATATTTTGGACAATTTTCATAAAAAAATGTAAGGCTAACCCCTTGCATTTTTTGTCAATTTTGGTCAAAAATGAAATTGCTCGAAACTTCATGGAAAGACTCCTAAGGGACCCTGGAACACATTCCAACTCGATTGAGGGACAGATATATCAAAACAAAAACAATAATATTTTGGCCAATCTTCATAAAAAATGTAAGGCTAACCCCTTGTATTTTTTTCAATTTTTGCCAAAAAATGAAATTGCTCGAAACTTCCTGGAAAGACTCCTAAGGGACCCTGGAACACATTCCAACTCGATTTAGGGACAGATATATCAAAACAAAAAAAATAATATTTTGGCCAATTTTCATAAAAAATGTAAGGCTAACCCCTTGCATTTTTTGTCAATTTTGGTCAAAAAATGAAATTGCTCGAATTTTCCTGGAAAGACTCCTAAGGGACCCTGGAACACATTCCAACTCGATTTAGGGACAGATATATCAGTACAAAAAAAATAATATTTTGGACAATTTTCATAAAAAAATGTAAGGCTAACCCCTTGCATTTTTTGTAAATTTTGGTAAAAAATTAAATTGCTCGAAACTTCATGGAAAGACTCCTAAGGGACCCTGGAACACATTCCAACTCGATTTAGGGACAGATATATCAAAACAAAAACAATAATATTTTGGACAATTTTCATAAAAAATGTAAGGCTAACCCCTTGTACTTTTTGTCAATTTTGGTGAAAAAATGAAATTGCTCGAAACTTCCTGGAAAGACTCCTAAAGGACCCTGGAACACATTCCAACTCGATTTAGGGACAGATATATCAAAACAAAAAAAAATAATATTTTGGCCAATTTTCATAAAAAAAAGTAAGGCTAACCCCTTGTACTTTTTGTCAATTTTGGTGAAAAAATGAAATTGCTCGAAACTTCCTGGAAAGACTCCTAAAGGACCCTGGAACACATTCCAACTCGATTTAGGGACAGATATATCAAAACAAAAAAAAATAATATTTTGGCCAATTTTCATAAAAAAAAGTAAGGCTAACCCCTTGCATTTTTTGTCAATTTTGGTCAAAAAATGAAATTGCTCGAAACTTCCTTGAAAGACTCCTAAGGGACCCTGGAACACATTCCAACTCGTTTTAGGGACAGATATATCAATACAAAAAAAATAATATTTTTGCCAATTTTCATAAAAAATGTAAGGCTAACCCCTTGCATTTTTTGTCAATTTTGGTCAAAAAATGAAATTGCTCGAAACTTCCTGGAAAGACTCCTAAGGGACACTGGAACACATTCCAACTCGTTTTAGGGACAGATATATCAATACAAAAAAAAAATAATATTTTGGCCAATTTTCATAAAAAATGTAAGGCTAACCCCTTGCATTTTTTGTCAATTTTGGTCAAAAATGAAATTGCTCGAAACTTCCTGGAAAGGTTCCTAAGGGACCCTGGAACACATTCCAACTCGATTTAGGGACAGATATATCAATCCAAAAAAAATAATAGTTTGGCCAATTTTCATAAAAAATGTAAGCCTAACCCCTTGCATTTTTTGTCAATTTTGGTAAAAAAATGAAATTGCTCGAAACTTCATGGAAAGACTCCTAAGGGACCCTGGAACACATTCCAACTCGATTTAGGTACAGATATATCAAAACTAAAAAAATAATATTTTGGCCAATCTTCATAAAAAATGTAAGGCTAACCCCTTGTACTTTTTGTCAATTTTGGTGAAAAAATGAAATTGCTCGAAACTTCCTGGAAAGACTCCTTAGGGACCCTGGAACACATTCCAACTCGATTTAGGGACAGATATATCAATACAAAAAAAATTATAGTTTGGCCAATTTTCATAAAAAATGTAAGGCTAACCCCTTGCATTTTTTGTCAATTTGGTCAAAAAATGAAATTGCTCGAAGCTTCCTGGAAAGACTCCTAAGGGACCCTGGAACACATTCCAACTCGATTTAGGGACAGATATATCAGTACAAAAACAATAATATTTTGGCCAATTTTCATAAAAAATGTAAGGCTAACCCCTTGCATTTTTTGTCAATTTTGGTCAAAAAATTAAATTGCTCGAAACTTCCTGGAAAGACTCCTAAGGCACCCTGGAACACATTCCAACTCGATTTAGGGATAGATATATCAAAACAAAAAAATAATATTTTGGCCAATCTTCATAAAAAATGTAAGGCTAACCCCTTGTATTTTTTTCAATTTTTGCCAAAAAATGAAATTGCTCGAAACTTCCTGGAAAGACTCCTAAGGGACCCTGGAACACATTCCAACTCGATTTAGGGACAGATATATCAAAACAAAAAAAATAATATTTTGGCCAATTTTCATAAAAAATGTAAGGCTAACCCCTTGCATTTTTTGTCAATTTTGGTCAAAAAATGAAATTGCTCGAAACTTCCTGGAAAGACTCCTAAGGGACCCTGGAACACATTCCAACTCGTTTTAGGGACAGATATATCAATACAAAAAAAAATAATATTTTGGCCAATTTTCATAAAAAATGTAAGGCTAACCCCTTGCATTTTTTGTCAATTTTGGTCAAAAAATGAAATTGCTCGAAACTTCATGGAAAGACTCCCAAGGGACCCTGGAACACATTCCAACTCGATTTAGGGACAGATATATCAACACAAAAAAATAATATTTTGGCCAATCTTCATAAAAAATAAAAGGCTAACCCCTTGTATTTTTTTCAATTTTTGCCAAAAAATGAAATTGCTCGAAACTTCCTGGAAAGACTCCTAAGGGACCCTGGAACACATTCCAACTCGATTTAGGGACAGATATATCAAAACAAAAAAAATAATATTTTGGCCAATTTTCATAAAAAATGTAAGGCTAACCCCTTGCATTTTTTGTCAATTTTGGTCAAAAAATGAAATTGCTCGAAACTTCCTGGAAAGACTCCTAAGGGACCCTGGAACACATTCCAACTCGTTTTAGGGACAGATATATCAATTCAAAAAAAATAATATTTTGGCCAATTTTCATAAAAAATGTAAGGCTAACCCCTTGCATTTTTTGTCAATTTTGGTCAAAAAATGAAATTGCTCGAAACTTCCTGGAAAGGTTCCTAAGGGACCCTGGAACACATTCCAACTCGATTTAGGGACAGATATATCAATCCAAAAAAAATAATAGTTTGGCCAATTTTCATAAAAAATGTAAGCCTAACCCCTTGCATTTTTTGTCAATTTTGGTAAAAAAATGAAATTGCTCGAAACTTCATGGAAAGACTCCTAAGGGACCCTGGAACACATTCCAACTCGATTTAGGTACAGATATATCAAAACTAAAAAAATAATATTTTGGCCAATCTTCATAAAAAATGTAAGGCTAACCCCTTGTACTTTTTGTCAATTTTGGTGAAAAAATGAAATTGCTCGAAACTTCCTGGAAAGACTCCTTAGGGACCCTGGAACACATTCCAACTCGATTTAGGGACAGATATATCAATACAAAAAAAATTATAGTTTGGCCAATTTTCATAAAAAATGTAAGGCTAACCCCTTGCATTTTTTGTCAATTTTGGTCAAAAAATGAAATTGCTCGAAGCTTCCTGGAAAGACTCCTAAGGGACCCTGGAACACATTCCAACTCGATTTAGGGACAGATATATCAGTACAAAAACAATAATATTTTGGCCAATTTTCATAAAAAATGTAAGGCTAACCCCTTGCATTTTTTGTCAATTTTGGTCAAAAAATTAAATTGCTCGAAACTTCCTGGAAAGACTCCTAAGGCACCCTGGAACACATTCCAACTCGATTTAGGGACAGATATATCAAAACAAAACAAAATAATATTTTGGCCAATCTTCATAAAAAATGTAAGGCTAACCCCTTGCATTTTTTGTCAATTTTGGTCAAAAAATGAAATTGCTCGAAACTTCCTGGAAAGACTCCTAAGGGACCCTGGAACACATTCCAACTCGTTTTAGGGACAGATATATCAATACAAAAAAATAATATTTTGGCCAATTTTCATAAAAAATGTAAGGCTAACCCCTTGCATTTTTTGTCAATTTTGGTCAAAAAATGAAATTGCTCGAAACTTCCTGGAAAGACTCCTAAGGGACCCTGGAACACATTCCAACTCGATTTAGGGACAGATATATCAGTACAAAAACAATAATATTTTGGCCAATTTTCATAAAAAATGTAAGGCTAACCCCTTGCATTTTTTGTCAATTTTGGTCAAAAATGAAATTGCTCGAAACTTCCTGGAAAGACTCCTAATGCACCCTGGAACACATTCCAACTCGATTTAGGGACAGATATATCAAAAAAAAAAAAAATATTTAGGCCAATCTTCATAAAAAATGTAAGGCTAACCCCTTGTATTTTTTTCAATTTTTGCCAAAAAATGAAATTGCTCGAAACTTCCTGGAAAGATTCCTAAGGGACCCTGGAACACATTCCAACTCGATTTAGGGACAGATATATCAAAACAAAAAAAATAATATTTTGGCCAATTTTCATAAAAAATGTAAGGCTAACCCCTTGCATTTTTTGTCAATTTTGGTCAAAAAATGAAATTGCTCGAATTTTCCTGGAAAGACTCCTAAGGGACCCTGGAACACATTCCAACTCGATTTAGGGACAGATATATCAAAACAAAAAAAATAATATTTTGGCCAATCTTCATAAAAAATGTAAGGCTAACCCCTTGCATTTTTTGTCAATTTTGGTCAAAAAATGAAATTGCTCGAAACTTCCTGGAAAGACTCCTAAGGCACCCTGGAACACATTCCAACTCGATTTAGGGACAGATATATCAAAAAAAAAAAAATATTTAGGCCAATCTTCATAAAAAATGTAAGGCTAACCCCTTGTAATTTTTTGTCAATTTTGGTCAAAAAATGAAATCGCTCGAAACTTCCTGGAAAGACTCTTAAGGGACCCTCGAACACATTCCAACTCGATTTAGGGACAGATATATCAATACAAAAAATTCATATTTTGGCAAAATTTCATAAAAAATGTAAGGCTAACCCCTTGCACTTCTTGTCAAATTGCTCTAAACTTTCTAGCAAGTCTCCTAAGGGACCCTCGAACACATTCCAACTCGATTTAGGGACAGATATATCAATACAAAAAAATCCTATTTTGGCAAAATTTCATAAAAAATGTAAGGCTAACCCCTTGCAATTTTTGCCAATTTTGGTCAAGAATTGCAATTGATCTAAACTTTCTAGAAAGACTGCTAACGGACACTCGAACACATTCCAACTCGATTTAGGGACAGATATATCAATACAAAATAAAATCCTATATTGGTCAAATTAGACTATAAAATGTAAGGCTAACCCCTTGCAAATTTTGTCAATTTTGGTCAAAAAATGAAATTGCTCGAAACTTCCTGGAAAGCCTCCTAAGGGACCCTTGAACACATTCCAACTCCATTTAGGGACAGATATATCAATACAAAAAAAGAAGATATTTTGGCCAATCTTCATAAAAAATGTAAGGCTAACCCCTTGCATTTTTTTCAATTTTTGCCAAAAAATGAAATTGCTCGAAACTTCCTGGAAAGACTGCTAAGGAACCCTTGAACACATTCCAACTCGATTTAGGGACAGATTTATCAATAAAAAAAATCTTATTTTGGCCAAATTTCATAAAAAAATGTAAGGCGTCAATTTTGGTCAAAAAGCGAAATTGTTTCAAATTTGATTTAAAATATGCTTAAAGGACCCTGAAACACATTCCAATCCGATATATCATTTTGTAAAATCATTTTGAAAGTTTTTTTTTAATAGATGAATTTAGCTCAAACCTTCAAAATATTGGGTTACTGACCGACTGACTCCCCTACTGATTGTCTGACTGACTGATCGACTGACTGACTGACGTCAGACCGACTGACTGATCTACTCACTCTTAAGCAGGGCAGTGCCATCTTATAGGACTACCAAATCCAATAAATGGGCGAAATCAGGCTCACTGTGTCAACCAGATGCATGCAAAATCATCAGGGTGAATGTAAGGCCATTGAAAAAAAAATATAATTTTCTGCACTCTGAGACAAGCATTATGCTTGCGTTGTCTTGATTTAAACACACCGCACGGTGTCATTTTTTGTTTTTACATAAATCTTGTAGCAAAGGAGAGAATAAGCCGCTGTGGTCAGACAACTGTTGCACAAATGGAGCAGCATTTTATATTCATAAAGTTTTTCCTTTTCCTGCTGCAGATATCATATTCGGCGACTTCTCCCAAACTATCCACTCGGTCGCTTTTCCCGCGCTTTTTCCGCCTCCTGCCGCCGGACTCGATGTTGAACGTGGTCAAGATAGCCATGTTCAAGGAGTTCCACTGGACCAAAGTGGCGACAATTCAAGAATCCGCTCCTCTCTTTTCCCTGGTAAGATCAAAAAGCTACAACTAATTGAGCGTCTCGAATAAGCCTTTTCGGAGTTCCAACTGCGCGCATTCGTAACCTGTGACAACGCACATTGTTTGTCTCAAATGCCCTTTGACAGTACCCACAATGCACAAACAGCCTTTTAGTCAGTGGCGCGATGTTGTCAAATGTCATATGAGACAAATAATGTGCGTTGTCACAGGTTACGAATGCGCAGTTGGAACTCCGAAAAGGCTTATTCACTTTTGTATGTGAACGTCTTGGTACCGAACACTGACTATAGTCTTGTCCCAAACTCCCGTCTTTGTATTTGCCCACGTGGTATCGGAACGATCAATTGAACAGCGCAGTTGAGGTCACAATTATCTTTTAAATTTGTGTGTTATATACAAGTAGTATCATCAATTTGCATAGTCTTCAATACCGGTATCGGAAATCGGGCGTTTCACAAGGCAGTGCGCCACCAAGAGTTTGCTATGGAGACTCAAAGTTTACGGTCGACAAAACATGGCCCATTACAAATCAGTGTTAGTAGACAACTTGATCTTTTTTGTTATAGATTGGGGCCTGGCGTTTTGCCGCCTTCCAAAAACACCACACTGATAAAAGGAAAAGAACAGGGAAAATCACAAACTCGAATCATACGCTTGCGAAACCACTTACCGGACAAATTAACTTTCCATTTAAAACGTCCTGCGCTGCGAATTTGTCGACCATCTCCCACAATGCACTGTAAAAATGAACTCTCCGTGGCAAACTCTTGGTGGCGCACTGCATTGTCAATGGCCCAAATTATATAACTTCTCTTCCACAGAGCCCATTTTATTACCCTTGACTGTAAAGCCCGGTAAAGGGACAATAATAAATGCAAAAAACAGAAACAGTTATGTAAATGGCAAATGAACTCCATTGTAAGATATAACGTGCACATTTGTAAAGTATCGTTTCATCATTCACATTGATTTTCTAATATTTACTCATGTTTTTACTCAGACCACTGCTGACTTCCACATTGAAGCAAAACAGGCAGGAATTGAAGTGATAGCGGCAGAGACCTTCATAGATAACCCCACGACTCAAATTGAGAACATCCAGGTAAAGTACCAAATTGTCTTCTAAATTTGTGGTACCAATTCGTGGTACCAAAATGTTGTGTTGTTCTATTTTAAAAGGCAGGCTCGGTCTTGGAATCGTTCAGACATTACTTCGCGCGTTTGCTCTTTAAGATCAGATCTATTATTGTAACTTCAATGTCAATTATGCATGTAAATTTTGTTTTCGCACATATACAACTCTTTCTCTGGTTTCCATATACATTGTTTTTCTGAGATATCAAGGTATGATATAAAAATACGAATTTAAAATGTATCGCTCTTTTTTCTTTGATAAACGTTTGAAAACAACTATAAGATATTAGATCTGATGTGTGAGAGTGGCTGTTTATCAGAAGAAACTACAGAGACTTCAATTTCTTTTTTTTTTCTGTCTAGAAATCGGGAGCTCGAATCATAGTTGCTGGTTTCTATGGCAACATGGCGCGGAGGGTTTTCTGTGCAGCCTACCACCAGAAGATGTATGGCGCCAAGTACGTCTGGATTGTGCCAGGTTGGTATCTGCTGTGTACAAGCCAAACCAAATATACCCATAACAAAGACCAAAGCAGTTTGCTTTTTGCGATTTTTTGAACTTGTTTTTTTTCGAACGTTTTTGCAAGCCTTTGCAATTGGTGCACTTCATGTTTGCTACACACCATACCTTACAAAAAAGGTTGCAACTATTGGAACGCACGCCAGAGAGAATATACATTTATCTTATAGCTGATAGCAAGTTGTTTATACCAATGATTAGGCTGGCTGGAATGGCATTGGTGGCGGAAAACAGACGCCTCTATCGACTGCTCAGTTGAACAAATGGACGAAGCCGTGGCCTACCACTTTGCTGTGAATATTGATAATCTACCGTCCGATGCCAACCGAGCTCCGTCGCTATCAGGAATGGCAAGTTCGAGATTACTCCCAGTCTATAATCTTAATATTCGCGATAAGTGATATAACAGCTTACGGTTAAGGTTCGGAACATCGGAATATTGACAAAGTATTACCAAAAGATATTATGATTATAATGTGTACACGTATTTAGACCTACAAAGTTGTGGTTGTTAAAATGTCAGTACTATAGTAGGAACTTATTGCTAGCCAAAACAAACTGATGAAGCAGAAATCTGGGTTGTCAATATTTCTTCCAGACTAGCCGCAAATTCCTAGAGAGGTTTGCAGCAGTCGTTGACACGGATGATCCTTCGTCACTGACAGGCTTCATGGAGAAGTCCTTCGCTTATGACACGGTCTGGACGGTGGCCCTAGCTCTACATGAAGCTGAAAGACAACTAAGCCAGCTAGGTAGCTAGAAAACTCTTGAATGAGTACTTGTGGAATCCGGCGACCAGAAATAGAAGCTTTTGCTGCGGTGGTGTCACGCTCACGTGCATGTTGCACGCGTTCAAAAGACGCGGCACGCGCGCATTTTGGTATTCCTATTGGTCGAAGGAGCGGCCCAGAGTGCGTGCGCACTACCTGAGCGCGACTCACTCCATCGCAGAAAATGGCTGCCGTCGGATAAGTGAATAAAGAAGTTTAAACTGACTTGTTTTTCCAAAGAGGCCGATTCCGATACCGACTTTTGCAGATTAACAGTCACGCTTAATGCGTTCCCAAGCATGTAGGTGATTTTGTCAAAGACTATAATAGAATAGCTACCAAAAATGTTTCAACATACATTAAAAAGATGACACAGATGACGGAAGTGTTTAATTCACTATTTCAAAAATTCTCTCCTTTTTCAGATCCTCCGAGAACAGTGGCAGATTTCGCCTACGACAGCATCACTTGTCAGATTCTCTTTGATGTCATCAGTAGCCTTTCTTTCGAGGGAATCTCTGTAAGTTAATAATCAATCCAACTGTGTCCATTGACCATTAAGATCATGACTTTTGGTCACGTGACCAAGGTAGCTCGGTTAGACTCGGTCACAAGGACGAATAGAATTGTACACAAAACAAAGATTGGCTGGGCTAAAACACACCCACAATCCTTACAGGACATTATTCTACCGGCTTGCTTTATTTTAATGACATATTATCTTATTTGCAGGGTCCTATCAAGTTCAATTCAAACGGTGACCGATTGGGACTTATTTTGCTCAGACAGCTGCAAGGTAAAGTAAAAGCTTGAAATCAGTTTTCAATAATCGGGATTTCTCAAGGTTTTGTGCACAGAAAATGGCATATTACTAAAGAATATTGTCTTTTAAGATGGCTGAGCTATGAGATCACCATTGTTTTTTTAATCATTGAAACGGCAGCATCAAGCCGTAAATTTTTCTCCGTTATGGGGAATATTGTGTTTTCCTGTTTGGTACAGTTTGTAAAGAAATTTCTGTGTAGTGATTTTAGCTTTGATTCCACCTCAGATGGCAGCGATGTCAAAGTTGGGACATTAGACCCAACCACAGGAACCGGTAGAGACATCACGTGGCTTGGATACGAACCAATCAGCTGGCTAGGTAAAGTCTTACCTTTTCATATAAAAACATACACGCACGTGGCGACATCAAACCAACAACCCTTAACTTGAACAGTTAAGTTCGGTTATGTTCTTCACGCGGTAGGCTTTCATAAAAATTATACGCTCCTTCAGAAACAATGTGTAGATGTTAGGCTTGTCTTTCCATTGTCAATAGGCCTGAAACATAATGACGTCATGCTTTGTTTTTACATGTGCGCTTTCCTATGTGGTAGACGGTCCCTACTTCGTCTGGCGTCCCGACTTCGCTCCCATAGGAGAGCCGCATAATGTAAACAAAGCCATTACGTCATTAGGTCTCAGGTCTATTGCAGGGGAATTATGTGAAAAATACTAAATCTACAATCACAAACTCGGTATAACTTAACTAAAAACTAGTAAATTTTAATCTTAATTTCTAGGTGGGGCGCCACCAATTGACTTCATTATTGAAAGAGAGGATCGGCAGACAATACAACTTTCACTTTTCCTCACCGGCGCCATCTTGGCTACAGTTGGGATCGCTCTGGCTTGCTGCTTCCTGGCTTTCAACATCCACTTCAAGAAACTTCGGTGTGTATAGTGTCGAGACTCTAAACGAAAATGCATACCACATTTGGAGAGTGTTCAAATATATTCACCCTAGATGGTTCATATGTAAGCTACACGTACACTGAGAGCTTTCCACTGGAGTGAGTTTTTCAATCTTGATCGTTTCACTGCAGCGTGATCAAGATGTCGAGCCCCAACATCAACAACTTGATGCTGATTGGTGGAATGCTAGCCTACGTTGCCATCATCTTCCTGGGTGTGGATACCAACATTGCATCCACAGACACCTTTGTGTGGATGTGTAGGGTAAACGATAACAATTCATTATGATGGAATCATGATTTGGTTACTACTTCAACTAAAAACAGTCATTAATTGTATCGAATGTAACTACTGGTCTTTACTATTTGAGGTCTACTTTCAACTGACTACTGTAGAAAACATTTGAACTCTTTTGCTTGAGGCTAGATCCTTTGGTAGGATTGAAAAATACCTCCTGAAATTGCTGAAACTCGCTGTCATTTGTTACAGGCCAAGACCTGGTGTCTGTCCATCGGGTTCTCCCTTGCCTTCGGCTCCATGTTCAGCAAGACCTGGCGAGTCCACAAGATATTCACCAACAAAACTGCTGCGAAAATGGTAAATACAGTCGAATCGAATTTCAAAGACACAATGGAGGTAGTACTGACATGAACATTATTTCGAAAAATTATAGATGCACTTTTTTTCCTTGAGAAGGGATGGTTGACTAATGCATGCCTTATGATACAAACTTTGTTGATTCCCTATATAATGAAAACTATAGTTTTCATTATAGGTTCATGGAATATGATTTGCAATTGACGTTAGAGTACAAACTCACTTGTCTTCTCATTTTATGTTCATATATTTTTACCCCAAGTAATGAAGCATCTTACCTTCATTTATTTTGAGGTTTTGAAAGATAGTCGACTCTTCTGCTTCGTTACCACCTTGGTTCTACTCGACGTGTTGATTCTGGTCTTGTGGGAAACACTGGACCCTCTTGTGGCGACAGAGCGTTTTGGAACGAAAGTGGTATGTGAACAAATTCTTTTCTGTTTTGAAGACAATGACAAAGTGAAACACAATTCGATATACAGAACGATATCTCAGTATTGTATAGGTGTTCAGTGCGTAATCTTATTTCGCTCTAACTTTAACTGATCAGTTGTTCATGTGTCGTCTGGTCTGTCCTGTTGATTAATGTTTTACTTATTTCTATCCCGCCGGTTATAACTGCAGTAATTGACGTCTTTGCAATTCAAGATGTTGTGCAGTACAAAACCCCAAAACAGTTAGTGCCGAGTACAAGATCCCCAAAACAGTTTAAGTTAAGACCGCTAAACGGTTTAGTTTAATTCTATTCGTTTAAGATTGACGACGAAAACGACGACATCGTTTACACACCTATCCGTATGATGTGTGAGTCTAGAAACCAGACCTACTGGATTGGTGCCTTCTACGTCATTGATGGCCTGCTGTTGATATTTGGAGCTTTTCTGGCCTGGGAGACCAGGAAAGTCTCCATCCCGGCGCTGAATGACTCCAAGTACATAGGTGATTTTTTTAGCTGCATCTGAAAATTATGATTCAGTATATGTCAAAGTTAACTACAAACACTGACTGCCAATGTGCCATAACTTATTTTGGTCAAACGATAGATTGCGTTTACCGTCACTAAGTTAAGTCTAAATATTTCAACTGTTACATTATTTTCCTTTGAGTACATTCTAGGCGTTTGTGTCTACAATGTCTTGATCATGACTCCAAATACATCGGAAGGCCTAGTGAGGTTTGGCCATTAAATTTGGTAGAATGTACAGGTTTTTAGCAAGCAAACTTTGAAATGTCAATGAACTGTCCATTTTTGAAAAAGGCTTTCTTTTTCCAGGCGTCTGTGTCTACAACGTCTTGATCCTGTCCTTCGTTGGCGCTCCGGTGTCGTTTATTCTGGAGGAGCGAAACGCCCACTACGCCCTGGTAGCTACCCTGATCTGGCTGGCTACTACCCTGACACTTTGTGTTGTCTTTGTACCAAAAGTAAGGTTTGAAATTGTATCTTTTCTATTTCGAAAATCGAGTAACCAAGACGGATTTGACCTGACATCTTTTTGGGTAAAAATGACAATTCACTCTCTAAATTCCAAAGAGTAAAATTAGGGACTAGACGTTTTAGAGTGAAAATCACTCTCATGTTCGATTGACATAGTCTGAAAAAAGAACCACTTCAGTCGAAGCTCGAGTGAAACCTCGATCTTTACGATTGAAGAAATTTCACTCTAAACGTCTAGTCCCTAGTTCCGACTGTGGGAGTGAATCCACTCGAATGGAGTGAATTTTCACTCTTTAGAATTTAGAGAGCACCGAGTCGCTTTCCATTCCATTTGACTGGGACAAGTGTAATTTCAACTCAAACAGTTGCCATTTGGAGCCACAAAAGTGTCAATTAAGTTTGACTCTGAGAATTGTCATTTTGATCCAGATGAGTTCCTGGTCAAATGTGACCCAGATTCAGAGTCAAGGACCCAGAACTTTCACAAGTGTGTTTAAATGCTTGATCTCAGATACGAACCAGAAATGATGTCCAGCCGGCTCAGAATACACTGGTCTCGCAGGTGACCCAAAGTCACCAGGGCGTGACCTCCGTGGATGCGCAGAAGGAACTCCAACTGCTGCGCCAGGAGATTGGCCGCCTGAGAAAGAACCTCCATGATTTGGTAATGAACCTGTTGAGTCTTGTCTTGAAACTTTACACATTGAAGCCAATGATAGGCTTACCCCAGCAATTGTGTCGACTAGATGCGTAAAACAAAACTTGCATTGAATAATCATTCTGAAAAAAATCGAGACTTGTGTGGACTCTTGGACCAGCTCTACTAGGTTTGCTTTTTCTTTTTGGGGGATGTACTTTGTATCTGTATTTTTAAATCGAAGCCTTTCAATTTTGAAGCCTTTCAAATATCAGCTTTTCGTTCTCCGCAGGGTCAGGACGATAAGGAGTAGGGGATTCCTGAAAGGCCGTTCACGTGTTTACAACAAAATCAACGATATGCAAGACCACGTGATCGAGCAGAAAGAGACTAATGAGTAATGAACATCAACATGTTTGCCTCGTGTCCATGCTTGGCCGGAACTTAAACGCAAAATACATTAGTTTGTTGCAGGTGAAAACGTAATTAATTGACTTCATCTTAAAACAAAACATAAGTGTAGAGGAATCAGTATTTGCAACAATAGAATGATACTCATATAGTTTATCAGTTTTAGTCTCATTCTGTTATATTTCACATGCATTTTTCATTGTGCATCAACATTGTTGTCTGAACATTGTAAAGTTAATTCGTGTATAAAACAATTAACATATAGAATCTTATAACAGTGAACATATTTTGCCTTGCTTCAACAAATATCGTAAGCTTGATGTTATTCTCATCTTTTTAAAAAAAATTGGGTAGTTTGTACATTTCGTGATCAGAGGAATTATTTTTTTTTATTTCACAGAAGTAAGGGCTTTGCAGAAGTAGTGAGTGAAAAAAAATATGCAAAATATACAAAGCTTGTATCACCTTAAATGGCACATTTACAAATCCCGAGCCTCCGTGTTCAATGTACATTGTAATTTTATCATAATTATGTTCACACTTGATCGTCATTTTCAATATTAATTACCTTTAACCAATTCGGGCGATTCACAGTGCGCCACCAAGAGTTTGCCATGAAGATTCCATTCTTCACATTACGGCCGACAAAACATGGCCCATTTGAATGAGTTTCAGTAGACAACTTGGGTTAATTTGTCATAGATTGAGGCATAGCGTTCTGCTGCCTCACAAAAAAACCACCATATTGATAAAAAAAGGGCAAACAGACACTCGCTTACGAAACTATACTGACCGAAAAAAAGAGAACAGATTGAAATGTTCCGTGCTGCGAATTTGTCAACCATCTCCCACAATGCACTGGCAAAATGAACTCTTAGTGGCAAATTCTTGGTGGCGCACTGCATTGTGAATCGCCTGAATTGAACATCATAATATTTACAAGATCAGCAAAATAGGTTCTTCTTCAGATTAACTTAATAACTGTTTATTACTTAGGATATATAAATCGATATCCCAAACGTTTTGTGATACTTTTATTCTAAACATCTAACATGAGTACTTTTTTTTTGGGGGGGGGTGTCGCAGTGGTAAAAAATTCAGTTTCGAGAATTGAGTGTCCGGTTTTAAAAGAGCATCTCCTAGTGAAAATAGTCCGTAGGCATAAAACTGTGAAGCATTTTAATTAAGATTCAATTACCTTTTTGTTAGAACTTAAAAATTGTTCCGTATGGTGGACAATAATTATCATCATTATTTTTATAAACACGCGAATTTAATTTTCTTCGGTTCTTAAAGTGTCCATTGTTCATATTTCATATTTTCTTTTTCCGAGTTTATTACGTGTCAGGGATGTGCAATGGTGATGTCATAACTACAAGATTACGTCGCCAGTTAATTCAGTTTCAGACAGGTTTTACGAAAACTTATTGATTCCGGAAATTAGTTTTGCCCAGGTTCAAGTTACCAGCATGGCCTTGTTTGGTCAGGCAAATCACATCCGCTCAAAGATCTTGACGGAGTGTTTGTCTGCGACAACGACGTCACCAGCGGGGGTGAATGCCATTCCTAGCGGATTGTACAACCCTTGAACAACTGTTGCTATGAATGCACCATTAGAGTCGTAACGATGTACCTCACTGTCTCCCACTGTACCGGAGTGAACGGCGACATAGATGCTCCCATCATCATCGCACAGGACACCAGACAGTATCGCTGGTTTCCCGTTCAGTAGGGTCATCACGTTGAACACCTCATTGCCCTTCGAGTCAACGCACAGCAACCTCTTCTCGTCGTAGTTTGTGAACACCAGCCGCTCTTTGTTGCTCATTGCAATGAAACATTCAACCATGCTGTTCGATGTGCTTGCAATCAACGATCCGTCCAGGTTGTGGACACTGATGACCTTTCTCCCCCAATCAGCCACTGCTACTTGTTGCTTGTCCACAGCAATACCACTGAGGTTACTCTCTGATAGGCCCTCTGCGTCGCCAACCGAAGGTGTAAACTCACGAACAAACTGTAGCTCAGAGTCAAAAACCTTCACTTTATCTTCATCCGTGGCGAAGAGCAGATCATCGCAGTTCACTGCCACGCTCCAAGGAGCTTCCAACCCGTGACATTCGGCTCCTTGAGCAATGGATGTTTTGAACTGCCCAGTGGAGGTAAACAACGATACCCGTTTCAAGTCTGTGTCGCACACTACGATGTCACCGTTGCTGAAACATGTAACGCCCCCTGCACACTGGAATTTCCCGTCACTTTTCCCCTTCTTGCCGAACTTTTCCTTCAACTGCCATTTCTCTTTGAGCAATAGTTTTCCAAGATCCGTGTCGCTGACAACATCGTGACATTTGACCCCGATGAACGACATATCCAACTTTGCCGATTCACACTTGAGCTCCTTCTGGAATTCCAAGTTGTGCATCACCTCCGGCTTGAGCTCCAAAAGCTCGAAACCATCCACTTGTCTCATCAAGTCATTTACTGACGTGACGATCTGATCTGTGCGTTCCATCTGCTCACGGTTGTGCATGAGTGCCTTTTCGTATTCACTGTCTCTCTCCTGACCGATTTCGTCGACCTTTTTGGTGAGAAGCTTTGCTTTGTTTCTGATTTTAGCGATCTCTGCCTCCGCCTTTGTAGAAATATCACTTCGAGCCTGAGAGAGTTTCTTTTGTAGTCTATGCCGTGCACGTTTGATAGAATCTTCATTTGCTGCCAATTGCTCTTTGCTTTGCTGGAACTTTTGCAATATGTCGTTGACACTCTGACGGAATGATTCCATGGCGTCAGAGATAGATGTGTAGTTGTGATCTGCTGATCGGTGCTCCGTCGCAGCACACATTGAGCAAATCAATTTATTACATGTTTCACAGAGAAAACATAACGGCTGTTCAATGTGCTCCCGACATTTTGGTGTGACGGTCTTGGTAACATCCGCTGGTACATCCCCCAATTTGTCCGAGTCCTTTGCTGGAATGATGGGATGGTCTTTGGTGTACCTCAGAAATTGGTGCGCTTCTTGGCATTTCTTGCAGAAGTTCGACTTGCAGTCAAGACATCTGGATACAGCTTCGAGTCCTTCACAAGATTCACAGGTCGCACTAGTAGTTACTGACTTCCATAATAACTGTTCTTGTTTGTTTATTTCATCGACAACAGAAATATAAAACAAGCTTGAAGACAGACTCTGTAATCCTCCATCAGGGACTGTCGTCTCTTTCCTGCAAACTGGACATGTTATCTTCACCGTCTCTGTCTTCTCTTTGCTGATCATCTCTTCCAGACAGTTCAGGCACAAGCTGTGCAGACAGTCCAACATCTTGGGATCCCTGAAACGACAGCAACAGATCGAACATTCGAGATGCTCCTGGCTGATCTTGTCCATCACTGTTTTCGCTGTAGCTTCCGCCATCTTGAAAAGTACGTCCTATAATAACAAGAAATCAAAACTGCGTGTCTGTTATTTCATTCAGAAACAGACGAAGTGTATTACACCCACGCATCATACTGGGTGAACGGTTACTTGTGCATGCATAAATCATGCTTGTTACTCACAGCTTTTTCACACAAAACCAAATCGTGTTCAATCTAAAGACAAACACCGATGACAAATTGACTCACCTACTTTTGATTCGCCGGTTAGCCGAAGTCTAACGCAGATACTTAGCGTGAGAATTCTCGTTATACACACGAGAACGGCAAAACAACTACCGTACAGTAGCTTTTAATGTACCACGTACGCAGGCCTATGTTATCGAGCGATGAATGTTGCAGCGACAAATCACCATGGGTAAAACCATGCCCTATTTGTATTGAACAGTATACTAACTACACCGTGAATAAACGCTCTTAATTCAGGTTCAAAGTACACAGTCCTACAGTATTCGGTACCAGCTACTCATCATGGGGAAAAAAACAGTTGCTATTTCAATTGGTAGGTACTTCACTTCCCGATAACCAGCGCAAAATGAATGGCCCTGATTCAAGTTCAAAGTTGAAACCAGCATGCAGCCGCTCTCATCTGCATGAAACTACGGATGCTCTAAAGGGACAATTTCTGTATTATAGGAAAACATTGTTGACCCAGGAAATCTTCGCAGCATGCCTTTGTAATCGAAGCGTATTTATTTTGGATTAGAGTGTTTTTATCAGGTCATAGAAGACAGAGAGTAGTAACGTTTATATCACGAGGTAGATCCATATTTAATCTGAGACCATGGAACTGCGCGGCAAAATCTTGTTGCTAAATTCTCAATCACAAGTCATCAGATGTCAATAACAAGTAAGTAGAACACAATCACAAATCATCAACTCACAAGAAATTCAGACATTTCTTTGTCATTGTCATATTATTTGCCTTAGGACATGGCTTGTGCTTTGACGTGAGGCTGACTTGTGATGGATTTGACACTCACAAAAATGGATTTGAAACTCACAAAAAAAGAAAGAGTGTTATATTCTTTCAGCTCCTGTACACTCCCTTATAAATATTTTCCATGAAGTACAACGAAGCAGGACACTGTACATTTACCTCCGATATCCAACTTTCCGTTTCTTAATCTAGACCAAATGACCAATAATGATGTAGAAGGTTCACTTTGAATATAAAAGGACCTTCTTCAATATTATTTTAATCTTTTCAAACCTACTGTGATCTGTGAGGATACAACGGAAAGTTGTTTTCTTTCTTTTTTAACGAACCTTAATTTGATGCAGTGGTTTGATTTGGAAACAATTGGGCATTTCAAATCATTTCTTTCCTATAAGAATTGCTCCAACAATTTAAGAAAACTTTGTGGAGAATCTATTTTTGTTCGTTTAATTGTCTCATTTAAAAGTGAATATAACTTTAATAAGCCTATTGCTAAACGGAAAAAAAAGTAAAACTATGCATCTCTGGTTTTGAAACTCGAAAAAAGCATGGGGAGTGCACGTTTAATTCAGAATAATCGACGATAAACTCTAAAAAGTGTCACCATCAGAACTGTAAACTGGATACTTTACAGAAACCACTCCATATTACAGTGGACATGTACGCCCCCAATCTGGGAATAATCAATAACATGAATTTCCATAAACGTCTACATTTTCAAAATAGAGGGCGCTATCTGATACGTTCGGACGAGTTGGACGATTGTGCACCTGAGATCTAAAAAAGAAAAAAAAAACACCAATTAACAAGTTCTCTATTGTTTCACCTTAACATCAGCGTAGAGATATGAGTGTTTACAGTAACGAAATAACATTCAGAGTGTTCATCAGCTTGCTTTCTTTTATCACTGCTAAATATTTTACTGATGAAATTCACTTTGCTTCAACATTGTTGTTTGAAGCCATTTCGCGTAAAAGAAATCTTACAGCAATCTTTAGTTTGCGTTGTATAAACATTGTAAATGTTTGTTTGCTTGTTAATCAACATTATTTACATTTGAACAAAAAATGTTTGTGTAACAATTTGTGAGTTTTGCATTCAATGGAATTAATATTTAATTAGCATAAAGTAAGCAAAATGCAAAATATACAAAGCTCGATACATATTGAATCTAATAGTTTCATATTCCCATGCATTCTGTTCCTATATCTTCATTAATGTCATCCAATTAATATTTTTACAATTCAGCGTTCGCATTCAATATTCTTCTTGTCTTGTAAAATTTGGGTAAATTGCTTTTCAAAAATGAGGATAGTTAAATATTAAATCGTTATTCATTCTTCTCAAGGCATTTCTTGTACAAGCTTACATGAATGTGTGTCTAAATATCTTACATATATAACCAGATTTTATGACATCGCATTGTAAATTCATTTTTGTGATCTGAATTGCCTATTGTGTTTGAGGTGTGGGAAATATACGTGTCTGCAAAGCGCAGTTCTAAAAAGATTTTGTAAGCATATTAAGTGAAGCAATCCACGGACCGGCGTACGTCGAATTATATCACTACAATCTTCAATTTCTGATGGGAAAATGAGTACTTGTTTTAAGTTTCAATGAACTTTTCTTATCACTAAGAGCAAATCAAATTAAACACTTCTTTGTGAAAAAATTTCGAATAATTTGCGAGATTTCTTTAAAAATGTCCGTGTTCGTATTGAGATTCTTCTTTTCCTGACTTTATTCCTGTAATGACTTAGGGGGTAAACTTAGTTCACCAGTTCATTCGATTTTGAGCAAGTTTCACAATCTGGGTAGACATGATTGTTCCTAAAGCGGATGTTGTTTAGCCCTCGATCGTTCAAGTAAGCTGGTAGTTACCAGCAGGGCCATGACCTTGTAGGTAGGTAAACCACATCCGCTGAAAGATCTTGATGGAATGTCTGTCTGCGACAATCAGGTCGCCAGTGGGGGTATAGGCCATTTGTAACGGATTGTACAACTGTTCGGCTACTGTTCTTACGGAAAACCCATTTGGGTTGTACTGCTGTACTTTACCGCTTCCCCTACTACCGTGATGCAGGGTTACATTAATGTAGCCGTGATCGTCGAAAAGGACCCCGACGGGAGACGCAGGGCTTCCGTCGATGAATGTCTTGATATTAAACACTTCATTACCCTTAAGGTCTACGCAGGACAGGGTTTTCTTATCGTAATTAGGAATGTATAGGCGGTCCTTGTTATTCATCGCTAAACCACGATTCACATTTTCATTTGGGATGGTTGTTACCAAGGAGCCATCAAGCAAATGCACAGAGATAACTTTCCTGCCCGAGTCAGCCACAGCCAGTCGGTCCGAAGCTTTGTCTACCGCTATAGCTGATAGCTCACTTGCGCCATCCTGGGAGGGTGTGAACTCGCGAACCAAACAAAGATTGTTGTCAAAAACCTTCACTTTCTTTTTGTCAGTGACAAAAAGCAGATCATCTGTGTTCACAGCAACACCCAGAGGAGCGTCTAGTTGATGACTCCTTCGAGTAGCTGAAAGTTTGAACCGCCCATTTGAGGTAAATATCGATAGACGCTTCAGCTCTGTGTCCGTCACAGCAATGTCCCCGTTGCTGAAACACGCAACACCTCTGGCGAATAGGAATTCACCATACCTGTTTCCTTTCTTGCCGAACTCTTCCTTCAATGGCCATTTCTCTTTGAGCAATATTTCCCCCAGATCCGTGTCACTGACGACATCTTGACATTTGACCCCGATGAACGCCATATCCAACTTTGCCGGTTCACAATTGAGCTCCTTCTGGAATTCCAAGTTGCGCATCACCTTCGGCTTGAGCTCCAAAAGCTCGAAACCATCGGCCTTTCTCTTCAAATCATTTACGGCCGTTGCGATCTGATCTGCGCGTTTTAGATGGTCACAGTTGTTTGTGAGCGCCTTTTCAAACCCTCTGTCTCTCTCCTGACCAATTTCGTCGACCTTTTCGGTGAGAAGCTTTGCTTTGTTTCTGATTTTAGCTACCACTATCTCCGCATTTGCAGAAATATCAATACGAGCCTGAGCCAGTTTGTCTTTCAATATATCTCGTGCAAGTTCGATTGAGTTGTTTGTGGATTTGATGCGCTGCTTGCACTTTTCAAACTGCAGCAAAGCGTCATCGACATCTCTTCGGAAGGACCTAACAGAGTCATCAATCTTTTTGTAACTGTGCTCCGCAGATCGATGATCCATTGCGGCGCACATAGGGCAGATGACGGTATGGCAGGTGTCACAGTAGAAACACAACGCCTGGTCAGTGTGGTTGGTACACATTCGGGTGATAGGTTTGACATGATCTGCTTCAGGGCCAGGGATATTTGATTTGTGCCAATCCTCAAATGAAATGATTTGATGGTTCTTGGTGGACTTGCGCCTCCCATGGGCCTTCCAGCATTTCTTGCAAAGGTTATCACTACAATCAAGACACCTCCAAGTGGCCTCTCTGTCTTCTTTACAGTCGCATGTGGTGGTAGGTATTGATGCTTCTCCTATTACCTCCTCCTGTTGTTTGACATCATCAAGGAGGGAACTAAGAAAGGAAGACGAAGTGAGACTCTGCAATCCTCCGTCAGGAACTTTAGTCTCTCTCCTGCAGACTGGGCATGTTATCTTCTCTGCCTCTGTCTTCTGTTTGCTCAGCATCTCTTCCAGACACTTCAGGCAGAAGCTATGCAGACAGTCCAGTATCTTGGGATCCTTGAATCGACAGCAACAGATGGGACACTCTAGATGCCCCTGGCTGATCTTATCCAAAACGGTTATAGCTGCAGCCTCTGCCATCTTTTAAGAATATCTCCTATAGAACAAAAGTTTGAAAACATGATTTATTCATCGATTCCGATCAAATATAAACCATCCAACTTATAAATCGCCATCCGACTTATAAGTCGCCTAGCTGTCATGGTTATTGACAAACTCTTCATTTTCATAGTTATGTTGGAACCGGCAGAAACCTCAACTTTCGCCATTTTCCTTGACCACAGAAAAAAAATTGTGTGTTTCATCATCGTTGCCTTGCAAAAGTTGCTAAAGTAATCTCACCTACCTTTAATTCTGGAATTTCACAATTCTCCTCAGTTGTAATGGGTTGCAATTTAATCGAATTTGACGTCAACAACAGGAACTTCTAACGACAACGATCAGCCAATATAATGATGCTCTTCATACAGTCGTGATCTACAGAACAAGACATTTTCTATGTGACGAGCTAGTATTGCTCACAAAGAGGAAATACTATTTTAGAACACAATAGTTAGCTGAGTCATATGCAGAGCACATTAAAACAATGTGGAATCCGGTTGGAAAGTCAACTTTGTCACGCGAATTTCGGAAGTAGGCCTTTACAATGACTAGCAAAAGCACGGCCAAGGACACACATGCGGATTTACTGATGAAAATAGCCTACACACGATGCACTATTATGCAAATATTGAGTAGCTCAGAGTGGAATAGGAGGAATATTATCGCAAGGAATTAACTCTGGACTTTTCCATTTCACGAGGCAAAGCCGAGTGAACTGGAAAAGTCCAGATTTACCGAGCGATAATATTCCTCCCATTTCACAATTTACAGCCACTCAATATTTGTTTTATAACTGACATTATAGATCCTTGTCATTTGATATACAATTAATGAACTTGATTAAGAAAATTGCTAGAAAAGGTATTTTTTTGAGGTCGAAGCCATAATAAAAACATTTATTTTTCTCTTCCAAACCACCCCTTTACGAAATGTTTGAACGCAACTCTGCATAGCTACTGGCTCTAGGGAGCAATACGCGCAACGCGCACACCCACGTGCACACAAATACAGCGCCATGGAACAAGGATGATCCTAACTGTTGAAAATAAATCCCATTCACCATGGGCGAATGGGACTTTTTTTGAGCCCCGGCGTGAATGGGAGCAATAACGAATGTCACGTGATGTGAGTTCCACTAATCAAATGACGAGGATCTGTATACATACTGTCTGTTAATGGGATCACTTGAATTAGAAGATCGATTGTAGACATTACAAAGTATCTCGAGACACTTAATTAAAAAAAAAGGAAAGAAAATCCCAGTTGACCTTTAAAACAAAAATACAGTAAGTTCAAGTTGGAAAGGAAGCACTGCCGTTACATGGAAAGAACACCCTCTACTGGCAAAAAATTGAATACAATCACGTCTATCAATGTTCTACTGGTTGCGGTGCTCTATGAAAGCAGGCTAGTTTTAACAAGGTCAGATATTAAGTGCTTGCTGTGCATAATCAGCCAGTTCGGTATTCCAAAATAGTCTGGTGCACATCAAGATTCGACGATTTTTTTCGGGAAAACCGCGGCAGATAAATGCACACAAAGCCAAGAGGGACGGGTAACCAAGTCTGCATTCTGTGCAATTTTTTGGGCAATCAACAAGAGATGGGACTTTCGTTTTCATAAATGTGTATTTTACAAATATTAATAGTTCGGCAGAAGTCAATCACAAGTCGGCTGATATCTTGTGATTGACATCTGCAGATGTCAATCACAAGTCATCCATCTGTCAAGTCAATTCACAAGACAATCAGACTTTTCTGTATTATTGTTCATTATCTGACAAAGTGACATGGCTTGAGATTTGAAATGAGATGCTTGTGATTTGACCTGAGATTGACTTGTGAAAGATTTGACTGAAATTTTGGAAAGAGTTTCATCTATTCATCTCCCATCTTTCAATGATAAACTATGCCCCATACAGTCGAAGTATAACACTGTAAATTTAACTCCAAAAATGTGCGATCCTCTCTTCCCAAAATATTGACGATTTTTTCTTCTTCTTTTTTTGCACTTTAATCTCTTTTTTTTAAGCTAATTGTCATTTTCCTTTTTTTTCCCTTTCAAATCCGTTGATGTCTTTGAGGAAAGCGCAATTGAATTGTTTACGGAAATTGAAAACGAACAGAACTATGCAGTTGAGGAAGGTTTGAAAACAATTTAGCTTTTTCATTTTTTTTTTAAATAGTAATTTCCTTTTTTTGTGGAAGACATGAGAAAGCATCTCTTCTCCCAATATGAAGAACAAAGAAACATGTGTGAGAAGTAGAAATATTATTCGGATAACATAGGTTTAAGTTTAATAATCTGAAATTAATAAGTCTGATTACATTCACGTTTTATGTTGAAAGATTGCTTTATAAATTATGAAGCGTTTGATAGCTCAACCATTAATTAGTGACCAAATTAATTGCTTTTTTGCACGACACGAAAACCCAAAAGATCATTGTCACGAAACATTGAAAATATTCTCCCGCTCTTGATTTGTAAAAAATTAACAACAGCTAATTAATTCCGAATAATCGAAGATTAAACCCGAAGAATGCCATCACCAGAACTCCAAACTGGAAAGTATACAGAAACCACTCCAAATAAAAGCGGACATTAAAGCCAATTACCTATACTGTTATTTGTAAGTTTAAATCAAGGTAAATCGCATATCCATTTGCAAAAAAAACAAACATTTGCAAGAGTCGCAAGCATGAGCAAGAAACCATTCAATAATGTCGCCTTAACGAAAGTTGATTATCTTTAATTTCTCGATCAGAGACAAGCGTAGTTTATAGAAGGTTATTGTAAAATTCAGTTCTACAGTCCGAAATAATCTTTAAGTTGGTCGACACGATTGTTTCATAAATCTCGTAGATGTTTTTGGATTTTAGGCAACGCATTTGGCTACCAGAGGAACATGACTGTCCGTAGTGAAGCAGATTACATCCGCTCAAAGATTTTGACGGAGTGTCGGCATGCGACAAGGACGTCACCAGCGGGGGTGAATGCCATTCCTAATGGATTGTACAACCCTTGAGCTACTGTTGATATGAATGCACCATTAGAATCGTATTGATGCACTTCATCAATGTCTCCCTCTGTACCGCAGTGAAGAGCGACATAGATGCTCCCATCATCATCGCACAGGACACCAGTCGGTTTCGCTGGTTTCCCGTTCAGTACGGTCATCACGTTGAACACCTCATTGCCCTTCAAATCAACGCACATCAACCTCTTCTCCTTGTAGTTTGTGAAGATCAGCCGCTCTTTGTTGCTCATTGCTATGTAATGTCTAACCAAGTGATTTGATGTGCTTGCAATCAACGATCCGTCCAGGTTGTGGACACTGATGACCTTTCTCCCCCAATCAATCACTGCTACTCGTTGCTTGTCCACAGCAATACCACTGAGGTCACTCTTTGATGGCCCCTCTGCGTCGTCAACCGAAGGTGTAAACTCGCGAACAAACTGCAGCTTATTATCAAAAATCTTCACTTTATCTTCATCCGTGACGAAAAGAAGATCATCACAGTTTACTCCAACGCGCCAAGGATTTTCCAGCTGATTGCTATCAGTTCCTTGATCAACCGATGTTTTGAACTGCCCATTGGAGGTAAACAATGATAGCCGCTTCTGCGTTACATCAGTCACAACAACGTCCCCATTGCTGAAACATGCAACACCCGCGGCCCACTGAAATTTCCCGTCACCGGTACCTTCTTTGCCGAACTCTTCCTTCAAGTGCCATTTCTCATTGAGCAATATTTCCCCCAAATTCGTGTCACTGACGACATCTTGACATTTGACCCCGATGAACGCCATGTCCACCTTTGCCGGCTCACACTTGAGCTCCTTCTGGAATTCCAAGTTGTGCATCACCTTCGGCTTGAGCTCCAAAAGCTCGATATCATCAGCTTGTCTCATCAAGTCATTTACTGCCGTGACGATCTGATCTGCGCGTTCCATCTGCTCACGGTTGTGCTTGAGCGCCTTTTCGTACTCACTGTCTCTCTCCTGACCGATTTCGTCGACCTTTTCGGTGAGAAGCTTTGCTTTGTTTCTGATTTTAGCGATCTCTGCCTCTTCTTGAGCAGAAATATCACTACGAGCCTGAGCCAGTTTCTTTTGTAGTCTTTTTCGTGCATGATTGATCGAGTCTTCGTTTGAAGCAAATTGCTCCTTGCTTTTCTCGAACGTTTGCAGTATGTCAGTGACACTCTTACGAAATGATTCAATGGCATCAGTTATACCAATGAAGTTATGTTCCGCTGACCGGTGCTCTGTTGCAGCACACATTAGGCAAATCAATGTATCACAGGTTTCACAATGAAAACATAAAGGCTGCTTGATGTGTTTTCTACATTTTGGTGCAACTGTCTTAGTAAGATCCGTTGGTGCAACTGTTGATTTGTCCAGGTCCTGTGCTGGAATGATGCGATGGTGTTTAGTGTACCTCAGAAATTGGTGTGCCTCTTCGCATTTCTTGCAGATGTTCTCTTTGCAGTCAAGACATGTTGATACAGCCTCCTGTCCTTCTTCACACGATTCACACGGCGCGCTAGAAGTTACTGACTTCCCCAAAAGTTGCTCTTGTTTGTTTATTTCATCGACAAGAGAAATCAAAAAGAAGCTGGAAGAAAGACTCTGCAATCCCTCATCAGGAACTTGCGTCTCTTTTCTGCAGACTGGACATGTTATCTTCTTTGCCTCTGTCTTCTGTTTTCTCATCATCTCTACCAAACAGTTCAGGCAGAAGCTGTGAAGACAGTCCAACATCTTGGGATCCTTGAAACGACAGTAGCAGATCGGACATTCCAGATGCCCCTGGCTGATATTGTCCAACACGGTTTGAGCTGCAGCCTCCGCCATCTTGAAAAGTATGTCCTGATTAAAACAGATCAAAAACTGCGTGTCTGTTATTTCATTCAGAAACAGTCCAAGTATACAACAGGAAGGGGGTGAGGTGGGATGGTTTAGGTATTCATTGACTCCAGCGAACCAGTCTACACTAGCTCATCACACTGATTAAAAGGCTACTTGTTCGTGCAAATGTCATGCATGTTATTCACAGCTATTTCACACAAAACAAAATGTTAGGCCTAAATCTTAGAACAAAAACCTAAGACAAAAATTTACTCACCTACTTGCTGATTCGCCGGTTAACCGAAGTCTTCAAACACGGATGTGAAGCGTGAGAATTCCCGTTTCACATACAAAAACGGCAAAACTACCATTCAATAGCGTAGCCTTGCATATACATGTAACATATAAAGCGATGAATGGTGCAGCGACAACTCACCATGGAAAAAGAACATGTCCTATTTGTGTCGCACAGTATAATACGGAGTACTGTATACAAAACATGCATACCTTCAATGTAGCTGCAGATAATAAACACCTAAATTCAAGTTCAAAGTGCACAGTACTGCAGTATTCGATACCACAGCTCCAGTAACTCATCACGGGAAAAACCAGTTGCTATTTCAATCGCTCGGCTGGTACACTTCCCGGGAACCAACGCAAAATGAATGCACCTGATTCAAGTTCAAAGTTGAAACGAGCAGCCGCTCTCTGAGTGACATTGTAAGGAAGCTCAAAACGGACAATATGCACACAGGAAAAAATGTTGTCCTATGAAATCTGCGCAGCATGAAGTTGTAATCGAGGCGTAGTTTGGATTAGAGTTTTTTAATCTGGTTATATGAGACGTAGTAACGTTTATATCGTGAAGTACACCCATAATTCATTGAGACCAAGTACTTCAAATGATTTTTCTATTGAATTTTTTTATCAGATTAATCAATCTGCCTGATATCACATGCACACTCGGAAACAAAATTTAAAAAGTAATTGGCACTCAGTGCGCAGAATTCACCCGCCTATACACAGTGAGAAATTACTTTGTGCAGTCCCCAATTGCGGCAGAAGGGGGTTGGCCAATGGGGCGGATCTCCCAGCCCCCCACATTTGACCAATTCGGCTACTTTGGGCTTGCCTCCTTTCAATCGTCCCCCACCCCCCCCCCCCCCGTCTCCACCACCACTACAGAAAAAAAATCATTTTCTTTTGTTAAAAATACAAGAGCACGGGTAGTGAAAACAACTGTTTTTAAAATCGATGCCGTAGGGTTCTCATCACTTTTTCTTTCAATGGCTTCGTGTGGAGAGTGCATGTAAAAGGGGAAAAAAGGATTAAAGTCATGGGCGTCGCCTGGAATTTTTTTCTAGAGGGGGCGAAGCACATTTTCCCAAAAAATCCCTGTACTTTTCCAGCATATTCTCAATTCATCATATTTCGAGGGTGGGTAGGGACATTTGCCCCCCCCCTATTAATCAACAGCAATAATATTCCGCGACTCTTTTTCTTTTCCTATTTCCTCCCCACCCCCCTTTTTTTTTTCCTTTTCGTGGAGGGGGCGGGGATTGTGGCATGGCTTGTGATTTGACCTGAGATTGACTTGAGATGGATTTGACTGAAACTCCTAAATGATTTGAAAAGAGTGTAATTCATCCAGCTCCCATCTGCCGTAAATGAAACTATGCCTCTGCTATAACGAAGCACGGCAAGGTAAATCAATCCCTCTCTTTCCAAATATAGACAAATTCTGATGTATCAGATTGAACTTGAAGATAAAAGAACATAATATTTCATTCCTATTTTTAGTCTTTTCAAACCTGCTGTGGTCTGTGAGGAAACAAAACGAAACTGATTGATAAAAATACGAGAATTAAAAAAGAACTGAATTTTTAAGCAGTGGTTGGATTTGAAAACAATTGAGCATTTCATGTCATTTCTTTCCAAGAAGAATTTTCTATTTAAATTGAGGAAAACGTGCGAGAGCATCATTCATCTCCGAAGAAGCAGTAATAATGATGAAATCGGTTTCATTTTAATAATCTCAAATGGATGATCAGTCTGTTTGCATTCATTATTTACATTTGGATTGCTATATGCAGCTTCTTCTGTTTTTTTTTTTTATAGTCAATGCATTAATTATTGAACAATGAATTGACTTTATATACACGAAACACAAACCTCAACGGGTCGCTGTCAGGAAACTTTTAAACTATTCTTCCACTGTTCATTGGTAGAAAGAAACATCTACAATGTACACGCAAAATATACAGAGCTAATCATAGATTCTGGTTAATCCGAGATCTCTTTATAGAATGTCATCATCAGAATTGTAAACTAGAAACGACACAGAAAACACTCCAAATAAAGCGGACGTAGCCAATGATGCAATGTTATGTGGAAAATATACGAAGTTTAAAAACTAAGGTAAGGCGAATATCCGTTTACAAAATATAGGTACTTTAATTAGTATAGTGTCTCGAGTAGTGACAGGGAAACCATCCGCTGCGTTTTCCTATATAAATGAAGGTTTTCATCTATATTTTCGATTTGAAAAAAAAAATATTGGGTCTGGGAAAAAATGTGCTTTGGTCTACACGAATTGTTCAGAAATCTTGAAGAAGATGTTTTGTGGATTTCAGGCAACCTATTTGGCTACCAGAGGGATCAATTGATTTTTAGTGAAGCAGATTACATCCGCTCAAAGATTTTAACGGAATGCATGTCTGCGACAACGACGTCACCAGCGGGGGTGAACGCCATTCCTAACGGATTGTACAACTTTTGTGCAACTGTTGATATGAATGCACCATTCGCGTCAAAATGATGCACTTCACTGTCTCCCTTGTTATCGGAGTGAACGGCGACATAGATGCTCCCATCATCATCGCACAGGACACCAGTCGGTTTCGCTGGGTTCCCGTTTAGTAAGGTCATCACGTTGAACACCTCATTGCCCTCAAAGTCAACGCACAGCAACCTCTTCTCCTCGTAGTTTGTGAGGATCAGCCGTTCTTTGTTGCTCATTGCCAAGTTATTGTCAACCATGTTGTTGGATGTGCTTGCAATCAACGATCCGTCCAAGTTGTGGACACTGACGACCTTTCTCCCAAAGTCAGCCACTGCTACTCGTTGCTTGTCCACAGCAATACCACGGAGGTTACTCTTTGATAGCCCCTCAGCATCATCAACCGAAGGTGTAAACTCGCGAACAAACTGTAGTTCATTGTCGAAAACCTTCACTTTCTTTCTGTCAGTGACAAAAAGCTGATCATCACAGGTGACGGCAACGCGCCAAGGATTTTGCAGCTGATGCCGATCAGGTCCTTGCAGAACCAATGTTTTGTACTGACCTTGGGAGGTAAACAATGATAACCGTTTCTGTGTTGTGTCAGTTACAACAACGTTCCCGTTGTTCAAACATGCAACACCCGCGGCCCTCTGGAATTCCCCGTCACCAGTGCCTTTCTTGCCAAACTCTTCCTTCAACTGCCATTTCTCTTTTAGCAGTATTTCCCCCAGATCCGTGTCACTGACGACATCTTGATATTTGACCCCGATGAACGCCATATCCAGCTTTGCCGATTCACACTTGAGCTCCTTCTGGAATTCCAAGTTGTGCATCACCTTCGGCTTGAGCTCCAAAAGCTCGAAATCATCGGCTTGTCTCATCAAGTCATTTACTGCCGTGACGATCTGATCTGCGCGTTCCATCTGGTCACGGTTGTGCATGAGCGCCTTTTCGTACTCACTGTCTCTCTCCTGACCGATTTCGTCGACCTTTTCGGTGAGAAGCTTTGCTTTGTTTCTGATTTTAGCGATCTCTGCCTCTTCTTGAGCAGAAATATCACTACGAGCCTGAGCAAGTTTCTTTTGTAGTCTTTTTCGTGCACGTTTGATCGAGCCTTTGTTTATTGTAAATTGCTCTTTGCTTTTCTCAAACTTATGCAATATGTCGTTGATATTTTCACGAAATGATCGGATGAAGTCAGAGACTTCAATGTACGTGTGATCCGCGGACCGGTGCTCTGTTGCAGCACACATTACACAGATCAATGCATCGCAGGATTCACAGTAAAAACATAACGGCTGTTTAATGTGCTTTCTGCATTTTGGTGCGACAGTAAGATCGACAGGTAAAACCCTCAATTTGTCCAGGTCCTGTGTTGGAATGATGCGATGGCCTTTGGTGTACTTCAGAAATTGGTGTGCCTCTTGGCATTTCTTGCAGATGTTCGCCTTGCAGTCAAGACATCTTGATACAGCTTCTTGTCCTTCTTCACACGATTCACACGTTGCACTGGTAGATAATACTTCCCCTAATAATTGTTCTTGTTTGTTTATTTCATCGGCAAGGGAAATCAAAAAGAAGCTGGACGAAAGACTCTGCAATCCTTCATCAGGAACTTGCGTCTCTTTCCTGCAGAATGGACAAGTTATCTTCCTTATCTCTGGGTCCTGTTTGCTCATAATCTCTTCCAGACAGTTCAGACAGAAACTGTGAAGACAGTCCAACATCTTGGGATCCTTGAACCGACAGCAACAGATCGGACATTCCAGATGCCCCTGGCTGATCTTGTCCAACACGGTTTGAGCTGTAGCTTCCGCCATCTTGATTTTTTTCCTAATCAAAACAGATCAAAAACTGCGTGTCTATTATTTCTTTCAGAAACAGTTCAAGTGAAAAGCAAGAAGGGGTGAGGTGGGATGGTTGAGGTATCCATTGACTCCAGCGAACCAGTCTACACTTGCTCATCACACTGATTGAAAGGCCACTTGTTCGTGCAAATATCATGCATGTTATTCACAGCTATTTCACACAAAACAAAATGTTAGGCCTATACCTAAGAACAAAAACCTAAGACAAAATTTACTCACCAAATTGCTGATTCGCCGGTTAACCGAAGTATTCAAACACGGATGAGAGGCGTGAGAATTCCCGTTTCACACACAAGAACGGCAAAACTACCATTCAATAGCGTAGCCTTGCATATACATACATGTACATGTAACATATAAAGCGATGAATGGTGCAGCGACAGCTCACCATGGAAAAAAAAATCATGTCCTGTTTGTGTCGCACCCTATAATACGGAGTACTGCATACAAAACACGTATACCTTCCATGTAGCTGCACACAATAAACGCCTAAATTCAAGTTCAAAGTACACAGTGCTGCAGTATTCAATACCACAGCAACAGTTACTCATCACGGGAAAAACCAGTTGCTATTTTAATCGCTCAGCTGGTACACTTCCCGGGAACCAAAGCAAATGAATGCACATGATTCAAGTTCAAAGTTGAAACGAGCAGCCACTCTCTGTGTGACATTATACGGAAGCTCAAAACGGACAATATGCACACAGGAAAAGAATGTTGTCCTGTGAAATCTTCGCAGCATGCGTTTGTAATCGAGGCGTAGTTTGGATTAGAGTGTTTTAATCTGGTTAAACGAGACGTAGTAGCGTTTATATCATGAAGTACACTCATATTTCATTGACATCAAGTAGTTCAAATGTTTTTTAAATGATTTTTTTTATTCACCGGGAAAATTTTATCACATGATTGGATTCTATATTTTTAACTTATTTCATTATTGTTTTAACATTCTTTAAATATATATTCGAATGCGCCGAGGGCCAATAAACTGATGTTTTCCCACTTCGATCAACCGGTTTAAACTGTCTAATACACACCCGGAAATAAAATATAAGTACTTTGTCACTTGCGCAGAATACACCCGCTTATACACGGTTAGAAATTCCTTTGTGCAGTCCCAAGGGGCGGCGGAAAGGGGGTTGGCCGAGGGGGCGGATCCCCATGCCTTGAAAAAGGTAAGGATTTTCCCCCAACGCAACTGTTGACCAACGAGGCCATCCACCCACATTTTGTTTGTTATGGTTCAAAGAATTGATCTAGCATGAATGCCAGCTATTACCCAGAAATGCCGTGAAATCTTTATCTCAGAGTACTTTTCCACATTTGGATGGCCTACTAGTGCCAACGCACAATGATGTGAATGAATGCTCCTGATTCAAGTTCAAGTGTAAACATCAACGTGGCAGTTCACGTAAAACTACGGAAGCTTAAAACGGACAATGTTACAATTTAAGCTGGAAAATAATAACTCGTCCTATTAAATTATCGCTCGTGCGTCTGAAATCGATATGTTTTTATAACGCAATGAGAAATAATAACTATTATATTGTTCTATTTTCCTACAATTTTTTTTTATTTTTTACTTTTTGTTGAATTACAAATTCCAATTTGCGTCATTCCAATGCATCCAGAGCAAATAAATGTATGTTCTCTAACCTCAGACATCCCGTTTGAATTAGTCTGCCTGATATCACATGCGTACGCATACCCGGAAAAAATGTCAAGGTACGTCAGCGAGCAGAATTGCATACACATTGCCAACTTTTGGATACAGCCCTGGACTTTAATTGTTCCGATGATCAGTTTATTAGGACGGACGTCTATGGCGGAGGTTTTATGTAAGGATATTGTATTCAATGCAATTGATCAAAAGTACCATAGAAATGCGCGACAGAGCCGTTGCCAAGTCCACACAAGATCAGAAATCGTCATCAGATCAGATTCAATCACTCGTCATCGGAAGCCAATCAAACGTAATCAGAATTCTGTGACGAGACATCAGAAGCCAATCACAAGATATCAGAAGTCAATCACAAGTCATCCGAAGTCAATCACAAGTCATACACTTTCTAGTCAATTCACAAGAAGTTCAGGTGTTTTTGTCCTTGTAAGTTGTGACATGGCTTGCAATTTGGCATGAGTCGACTTGTGATGGACTTTTATAACTCCAAAGAATAATTGGAAAGAGACTGATTCATGCAGCTCGCACACGGCACTATGATTTTAATTTCTAATATCACCCTCTCTTTCTAAACATTGACATAATTCTGATGTACCAGGTTGCACTTTGAAAATAAAAGGACGTCATTCTTTTCTGCTTTTCATTTCAGTCTTTGTAAATCTGCTCTGTGAGGAAACTACAACTAAAAGTGTACAATAAGTAACAAAAACTTGAAAATGTGAAGCAGTGGTTGAATTGAAAACAATTGAGCTTTTTCAAGTTACTTCGTTCAAATAAGAATTTTCTCTTTAAATTGTAAATAAAAATGGGAATTATCAGCTCTCTCCTCCCACTGTAGACAAGGAAACATATGCAGGAGGTAGAAAAATTACACTGATAAAATTGTATTTTATATTTTTTCCATATTACCTGAATGATGAAGAAGATTGATTCTGATGATTGTTCTGTTGATAATAATGACTATGCTGTTTACATTCATTATTTATACCTCTGAAAGTTTGCTATATATACAGCTTTTTATAGCTCACACATTGATTATTGACTAAATGATTACACTTTTTATACGAAACATAAACCTTAAAGGTCACTGCCATTCTCCTCCTATCAGCGGTGAAAAGAAAAAATCTATACACGCAAAATATACAGATACAATTAACTCCACGAACTCAAAGATCTCTCCACAGAATGTCAGCAGGAAACCACAGAGTCGAAAAGTGACCAAACTAGGAAAAAAAAATCTTAAAAAATATATCACTTGCTCTGAATATCATAGCAATGAAGTACATGCTATTGGCCGGAAATGGGGAAAATTTCACGTAATTTGCATACCGGTACTCTATTCCCAACTGAAGTCTTTTTCAATAACAAAACCATTCTGCTGTCCACCACCCATCATTCATTGTTCTAAGAACTGATTAATACCCATTAAATACAATAAACAAACTATCACAAAATAGCAGTGGTTGGATTTGAACACTATTAATCAGCCTTTTCAAATATTATTTCTATTAAAAAAATTCTTTTAATTAGATCAAACAATAAAGCATTCGGTGTACATTATGCTGATCTATTCTATAAGATGTATAAAAAATAATAATAATTATGTTCGATCTGTTAACATTTATTGTTTACACTCAACGATTATGTGTAGCTTTTTTAAAGCTCAAACATGAATTATTAATGTTAGAAAAAAAAGTATACACACAAAATATTATACAGGTACATACCCCATGCTTCTTACGAATTTTCAATTTATATGCATTTTATGAAGAAATAATCAATTACCAAACGTCGGTAAACATTTTTTAACACTAAACGTGGGTTGTTTTATTTTTTTGGATAAATGTTTCATTAAGAAAAGAATAACGTTTACATTGCTTTGAAAAGAAGCAAAACAAATCTATCTTTCGAAAATAGCACGGGGAATGCATTTTAAACTCAAAGAAGTTCGAGTGCAGAATAAGCTCTGGCCGTCTTGCACAAAAGTCTTGAATGAAATCTATCAAAATGATCCCTGCCAGAGTTTACAATGTGACGCCGAAAATGCTACGCTGATAGCACATATGGAACACCATGCTTTAGATGTTACCTAGAGCGATTTGTGGTAAATACCACATTACTATTTTAAACATTACTGCACATGTTCTGCCTCCATTTACAAATTTTTCATAAACATCTTTCCGAATCGTTACAAACAATTATTGTTTTAAGCATTTAATTAATTTATCTTGTTTACTTTTTTTTTTAAATTACAATTTGGTAGTTATATTTTATGGGAAATTTATGGGGCTTATTTTGCTTAATTTTCCTGGGACCGACAGACCGGCCACCAAGTGACATGTAGAAGCTCCTGTCAGAGCTTAAACAAAACTGAAGATAACTCTGCAGAGTGTCACAGTCAGAGCTGTAAACTGGAAACTGTACAGAGGACACTCCATAGCAAGAACAGCGGACATAAGTATAGCCAATCACGTACCACTTTAAATTTAACATCAGCCAGGGTAAATTGCATTGGCAGGAAACCACCCAATTCCCACTATTTGCCCTAGGTGATATGTATGTGGCCTATTTTGTAGTATAATAGGGGTGTGAGTGGCGCCACCAACGTCAAAATAGTGTCGTCCCCCCCCCCCCCAAAAAGGGCAAAATTTGAAAAAAAAGTATGAGCCCCCCCCCCCACCAAATCCTTGGTGTGCCACTGAGACGGTCGCCTTAATGAAAACTAATCATTTTTCTTTCTTTTTTATAGGTGACAAATGTATTCCACTTTTTTTTTTAATCCCTCCTGAGAAATTATATTTTTTGAACGATATTTTCAGTCATGTTGTACCTGTTAATGGATTTTAGGAAACACTTTTTGCCACCAGACGAACATGATTACATCCGCTCAAAGATCTTAATGGAGTGCTTGTCTGCCACAACGACGTCACGCGTGGGGGTTAAAGCCATTTGGAATGGCATGTGCAATCCCTGAGCAACTGTTGATACGAATGCACCACACAAGTCGAACTTTTGCACTTCTGAGTTACCAAGGTTACTGGAATGAACAGCAACATAGATGCTTCCATGATCTCCATCATCAGGCTCGTACATGACACCAGTCGCTTTTGCTGGTTCCCCATTCAATGTGGTCATTAGATTAAGCCCCTCAAAACCCTGAAAGTTAACGCACACAAACTTCTTCTCCTCGTAGTTTGTGAACAACAACTGCTCGAAATGTCTGTGGATTATCGCCAAGTAATTTCCAACCATGTTATTTGAGATGCTTGTAATCAACGATCCGTTCATTTTGTGGACACTGATGACCTTTCTCCCCCTGTCAGCCACTGCTACTCGTTGCTTGTCCACACGAAAACTTTCTATGGGATCCACAGCAATACCAGTGAGGTCTGATGCATCGTCAACCGAAGGTATAAACTCACGAACAAAGTGCAACTCTTTGTCAAAAACCTTTACCTTCGTTTGGTCCGTGACAAAAAGGAGATCATCACTGTTCACTGCAACACCAAAAGGAGCTTTCAACTGATTGCTATTTGCTCCTTGAGCAACTGATGTTTTGTACTGCCCTTTAGAGGTAAACAATGACAGCCGTTTCTGTTTTGAATCAGTTACTGCAATGTCCCCATTTCTGAAACAAGCAACACCAGTTGCACATTCGAATTCCCCATTACCCGTGCCTTCCTTGCCAAACTCGTCCTTCAACTTCCATTTCTCTTTGAGCAATATTTCCCCCAGACTTTTGTTCCTGACGACATCCTGACACTTTACCTGAATGAAGGACATATCAAGCTTTGCCGGTTCACACTTGAACTCCTTCTGGAATCCCAAGTTGTGCATGACCTTCGGTTTGAGCTCTATAAGCTCGAAATCATCAGCTTGTCTCATCAAGTTCCTTACGGCCCTAACCATCTTATCTGCGCGGTCCACCTGCTCACGGTTGTGAAAGAGCGCTTGTGCGTACTCACTGTCTCTCTCATGACCGAGTTCCTTCACTTTGGTGGTGAGATGTTTGGCCTTATTTCTGATTTTTTGGATCTCTTCTTCAGCTTTCGAAGAAATGCTACTACACGCTTGATACACATTTTTACTTAATCTCGATCTTGCTGCTTCGATTGAATATTTCGTCGTGCAAGCAAGCTTCTGTTTGCTTTTGTCAAAGTTCTCAAGGATGTCAGTGACATTCTTCCGGAAGGATTTCATTGAATCCGTAATTTCAATGAAATTGTGCTCTGCTGACCGATGCTCGGTTGCAGCACACTTTGAACAAATATATGTATCACAGGTTACACAGTGAAAACATATCACATGATCACTGTGTTTCCTACATTTTGGTGCGACGTTCTTGGTGAGATCCGTTTGTAACACCCTCGATTTACACGTCAGACTAGTAGTTAAAGCCATCCCTAAATTGAGTTGTTCTCGTTTCTGTATTTCATCGACAAGAGAAATCAAAAAGAAGCTGGAAGAAAGATTCCGCAAACCTCCAACAGGAACAAGCGTCTCTCTCCAGCAGACTGGACATGTTATCTTATCTCTCCCTCCGAGACAGTTCAGGCAGAAACTGTGCAGACAGTCCAGCATTTTGGGATCCTTCAATTGATGCTCACATTTCAGACACATCACATCGGTACGGCTGATCTCACCAAACGCTCTTTTACCCGTTGCTTCCGCCATCTTTAAAGTATATCCTATGGCCAAAATAGAACAAACTTTCACGTCAGTTTCTATTTTCCCATTCAGACACAGTCCAAGTGTAAGCAGGAATTAAGGAAGGTTATAGCCAAGGACTGTAGTAAAGGGCTAGATCCCCACCTCTTATCCTGGTTCATCACATTTATTGAAACGGTCGTGGAAATCTCATGTCGGCCTAATTGACAATTATTCCACGTCACTAAAAAAAAATAGGTTAAATATCTATATAGGCAACATTTACTCACCTACTTCAACGGAATTGTCAGGTAATTAACCGTCGACCACATTTCGGGTTAGATGACTTGTAAACACAACAACGTTACATGGCAAAACTACCATTAAATATTGCAGCTTTGCATGACGGTACCATATAGGTCTACATAACTAACTGATGAATGGTGCAGTGATAACTCAACGTGGGAAAAAAATCCTTTCCTATATCTGTCGCACAGTATAAACAAATGTACATGTACCTTGTAAAGCTTCACAATAAACCCCTTAATCCAAGTTCAAAGTACATCTACACCATTGTAGACCCGTGTATGGCGCAACAGTACAGTATTCAATATCGCAGCTCCATTTACTCAGTACTGGAAAAACCAGTTGCTATTTCAATCGCTCGGTGTGTACGTTCCCAGTACCAACACACAATGAATGCACCTGATTCAAGTTCAAAGTTTAATCCAGCAGTCGCCAGTCTGTCGCTTTCGAGGCGTAGTTTGGATTAGAGTGTTTTTATCAGGTGATATGAGACGTAGTACGTTTATAATATATCATGAAGTACACCCATAATACATGGAGACCAAGTAGTTAAAATGATTTTTCTTTTGATTTTTTTATCAGATTAATCAATCTGCCTGATATCACATGTACTGTGACACCTGGAAATAAAATTTAAGAAGTAGTTAGAACTTAGTGCGCAGAATTCACCCGCCTATACACAGTGAGAAATTACTTTGTGCAGTCCCCGGGGGCGGCGAAAGGGGATTAGCCGATGGGGCGGATTCCCCCTCCCACCTTAGATAAGGTAGGGATTCTTCCCGACCCCACTTTTGACCAATTAAGCTACTTGGGGCTTGCCTCTTTTCAATCCCCCCTCCCTCCCCCTCTTCACCACCACCACAAAATAAAAGTCAATTTCTTTTGTTAATAATACAAGAGCACGGGTAGTGAAAACGACTGTTTTTAAATCGATGTCGTAGGGTTCTCATCACTTTCTCTCAATGGCTTCGTGTGCAGAGTGCATGTAAAAGGGGAAAAAAAGGATTAAAGTCATGGGCGTCGCCAGGATTTTTTTGTAGGGGGGGGGGGCGAAGCACATTTTCCCCCCAAAACCCTGAGCTTTTCCAGCATATTCTCAATTTATCATTTTTCGAGGGTGGGTAGGGACATTTCCCCCCCACCCCCGAACCCATTATAACGGCAATAATACTCAGCGCCTCTTTTTGTTTTCCTATTTCCTTTTTTTCCCCTCTTTTTTTTTGGGGGGGGGGTGAGGGGGGCGGGGACTTGTTGCATGGCTTGTGATTTGACGTCAGATTGACTTGTGATGGATTTGAATGAAACTCCTAAATGATTTGAAAAGAGTGTAATTCTTCCAGCTCCCATCTGCCGTAAATAAAACTATGCCTATGCTATAACGAAGTACGGCAGTGTAAATCAATCCCTCTCTTTTCAAATACAGACAAATTCTGATGTATCAGATTGCACTTGAAGCTTAAAAAAACATAATATTTTATTCTCATTGTTTTAGTCTTTTCAAACGTGCTGTGGTCTGTGAGGAAACAAAACGAAACTGATTGATATAAATACGAGAATTAAAAAAGAACTGAACTTTTAAGCAGTGGTTGGATTTAAAAACACATGAGCATTTCATGTCATTTCTTTCCAAGAAGAATTTTCTCTTTAAATTGAGAAAAAAACGTGCGAGAGCACCACTAATCTCTGAAGAAGTAGTAATAATGATGAAATCGATTTCATTTTAATCATCTGAAATTGATGATCAGTCTGTTTGCATTCGTTATTTACATTTGGATTGCTTTATGCAGCTTCTTCTGTTTTTTTTTTATAGCCAATGCATTAATTATTGAACAATGAATTGACTTTATATACACGAAACACAAATCTCAACGGGTTACTGTCGTGAAACTTCTAAACGTTTCTTCCACTGTTCATTGGTAAAAAGAAACATCTACTATGTGCACGCAAAATATACAGATCTAATTATAGATTCTGGTTAATCCAAGATCTCTCCATAGAATGTCATCATCAGAATTGTAAACTAGAAACGACACAGAAAACACTCCAAATAAAGCGGGCGTAGTCAATAATGGAATGTTATGTGGAAAATATACGACGTTTAAAAACTAAGGTAAGGCGAAGATCCATTTACAAAATATAGGTACTGTAATTAGTATAGTGTCTGGAGTAGTGAAAGAAAAACCATCCAATGCGTTTTCCTTTATAAATGAAGGTTTTCATCTTTATTTTCGATTTGAACAAAAATATCGGTTCTGGGAAATAATGTACTTTGGTCTACACGAATTGTTCAAACATCTTGAAGAAGATGTTTTGTGGATTTCAGGCAACGTAATTGGCTACCAGAGGGATAAATTGTTTTTTAGTGAAGCAGATTACATCCGCTCAAAGATCTTGACAGAGTGAAGGTCTGCGACAACGACGTCACCAGCGGGGGTAAATGCCATTCCTAATGGATTGTACAATCCTTGAGCAACTGTTGCTATGAATGCACCGTTCGAGTCGTAATGATGCACTTCAGTGTTTCCCCAATTACCAGTGTGAAGAGCAACATAGATGCTCCCATCATCATCACACAGGACACCAGTCGGTTTCGCCGGTTTCCCGTTCAATAATGGCATTACGTTGAACACCTCATTGCCCTTAAAGTCAACGCACAGCAACTTCTTCTCGTCGTAATTTGTGAAGATCAGCCGCTCTTTGTTGCTCATTGCCAAGTCACAGTAAACCATGTTGTTGGATGTGCTTGCAATCAACAATCCGTCCAAGCTGTGGACAGTGATGACTTTTCTCCCGCAGTCAGCCACTGCTACTCGTTGCTTGTCCACAGCAATACCACGGAGGTTACTCTTTGATAGCTCCTCAGCATCATCAACCGAAGGTGTAAACTCGCGTACAAACTGAAGCTCATTGTCGAAGACCTTCACTTTCTTTCTGTCAGTGACAAAAAGCTGATCATCACGGGTCACCGCAACGCGCCTAGGATTTTCCAGCTGATGCCGATCAGGTCCTTGCGGAACCGATGTTTTGTACTGCCCTTTGGAAGAAAACAATGATAGCCGCTTCTCTGTTCCATCAGTCACAACAACGTCCCCATTGCTGAAACATGCAACACCCGCGGCAAACTGAAATTCCCCGTCCCCCGTGCCTTTCTTGCCGAACTTTTCCTTCAACTGCCACTTCTCTTTGAGCAATATTTCCCCCAGATCCGTTTGAGCTGTAGCTTCCGCCATCTTGATTTTATTTCCTAATCAAAACAGATCAAAAACTGCGTGTCTGTTATTTCATTCAGAAATTTACAACCCAAGTGTACAACAGGAAAGGGGTGAGGTGGGGTGGTTGAGGTATCCATTGACTCCAGCGAACCAGCCTACACTCGCTCATCACAGTGATTGAAAGGCCACTTGTTCGTGCAAATATCATGCATGTTATTCACAGCTATTTCACACCAAACAAAACGTTAGGCCTAAACCTAAGAACAAAAACCTAAGACAAAATTTACTCACCTACTTGCTGATTCGCCGGTTAACCGAAGTCTTCAAACACGGATGTGAGGCGTGAGAATTCCCGTTTCACACACAAGAACGGCAAAACTACCACTCAATAGCGTAGCCTTGCATATACATGTAACATATAAAGCGATGAATGGTGCAGCGACAACTCATCGAGAGAGAAAAAAAACATGTCCTATTTTTGTCGCATAGTAATACGGAGTACTGTATACAAAACATGTAAACCTTCCATGTAGCTGCACACAATAAACGCCTAAATTCAAGTTCAAAGTACACAGTACAGCAGTATTCGATACCACAGCTCCAATAACTCATCACGGGAAAAACCAGTTGCTATTTTAATCGCTCGGCTGGTACACTTCCCGGGAACCAACGCAAAATGAATGCACCTGATTCAAGTTCAAAGTTGAAACGAGCGGCCGCTCTCTGTGTGACATTATACGGAAGCTCAAAACGGACAATATGCACACAGGAAAAGAATGTTGTCCTGTGAAATCGTCGCAGCATGTGTTTGTAATCGAGGCGTAGTTTGGATTAGAGTGTTTTAATCAGCTTATATGAGACGTATTATTATATATTATTATATATGAGACGTTTATATCATGAAGTCCACCCATATTTCATTGAGACCAAGTAGTTCAAATGATATTGCTATTGATTTTTTATCAGATTAATCAATCTGCCTGATATCACATGCCCACCCGGAAATCAAATTTAAGAAGTAATTGGCACTCAGTGCGCAGAATTCACCAGTCTATACACAGTGAGGAATTACCTTGTGCAGTCCCTTGGGGCGGCGGAGGTGGGTTGGTCGATGGGGCGGATTCCCCCTCCCACCTTAGATAAGGTAGGGATTCTTCCCGACCCCACTTTTGACCAATAAGGCTACTTGAGGCTTGCCTCTTTTCAATCCCCCCCCCCTCTCCACCACCACCACAAAATAAAAATCAATTTCTTTTGTTAAATCGATGTCGTAGGGTTCTCATCACTTACTCTCAATGGCTTCGTGTGCAGAGTGCATGTGAAAGGGGAAAAAAATGATTAAAGTCATGGGCGTCGCCAGGATTTTTTTCTAGAGGGGGCGAAGCACATTTTCCAAAAAAATCCCTGTACTTTTCCAGCATATTCTCAATTTATCATTTTTCGGGGGTGGGTAGGGACATTTGCCCCCCCCCCTCCAAACCCATTAATTACAAGCAATAATACTCCGCGCCTCTTTTTCTTTTCCTATTTGCTCCCCCCCCCCCTCCTTTTTTCCCCTTTTCGGGGAGGGGGGGGGGCGGGGACTTGTTGCATGGCTTGTGATATGACCTGAGATTGACCTGTGATGGATTTGACTGAAACTCCAAAATGATTTGAAAATAGTGTAATTCATCC